TTCTGATAACCCCCGAGATACTATCAAAGACAATGGAAGAAATGAAAAGAACATCTGATTCAGAGGCTAGCAGGTTTTTCTGCATTATAGAGTACTTATACTACTTAGTGAACGATGATGCAGACAAAATGAATATTGCGTATAATGAAGTTAAAGCGCTATCTGTGAACGAAGAGTCTATATGTACCTGCATTACTATGGAGGTGTATAGGGCTGTTTATAACGTGTTTTGTTTGTTCTACCAATGTGCACCATTTACCTGTGTGGCAGATGTTAAAAGTGAAGAAGGCAAAGCAGAAAAAAAAGAAGCACGCATTAAAAGTATTTTTCAGTCCCACTGTCCGTACATACCAAAGAGTGGTGTCTTCAGACTACGTGGAAAAAGAGCAATTGTACTGCCAACTCTCGGAAAATACAACCTGTATGAGACTATAGGCTTGACTAGCAATGACTCCAACTCAATGGTCATAGAACAACAAGATCCACTATTTTTAAATGTAGCGTACCAATGTTCCAAAGATCACTATCATGTGCAGCTAGTTGATAACACCCGGCATACCGTAAAACTCGTTCCTATTCCATATCCTTCCTATTGTAATTTTTACATTTCTATAGATAGATCTATACAAAGAGAAACTCATTCAATTCGATATATAGTAGAGTACATAAAATCTGTACTGAAGTCAACCTATCCAGAAAAGAGTTCAGATTTTAATGTCTACCCATTTAGGCATAATAGAAAGAGTGGAGTATGGGCATTAATAGATGAGAATTTCACTTTTAATGGAATGAAAGGATTAAATGCAACCCTAAATGTAGCGAATAGCTATAAACGTGATGTAGTCTTCTACTACTTTGAAGAGAATATACATACAGATTACTTTAAGTGTATGGATTTTCAAATCTCTGCTGACTCGAATTCCGAAACACCCCGAATTCCTTTATTTCTTACAAACTTTATGCTGACCAGTACTATAATTAGCCCATATATATTTTTTAATGAAACATGTGTTCGAACCGAAATAATTAAAAATTATGCCACTCAGAAAAAAACAATTAAACCTACTGAAATGGCTATCAATACAGCTGCAACCAGCCAGAACTCATCTTCCGCATCACCAAGCAACAATGAATCTCAAACAAAAAGAAGCTACATTAATTACTACTACAGTGACTTTTTGGTTCAGAATATACACGAAAAAGAATTCTGCACTGCAGAATGCTTTGTTACAGATATCTCACTTAAATTATCAGAAAAAACTGGTCAGCCATCTACAGACTGGGATACACAGATAAAGAAAAGCGTACGCGAGTATGCAAGCTATCGCTTTCATATAAGTGCGGCTCAGAAACTTCTGAGAGAAAGTCTGCTGCGAAACAAAAAAGAGGTAGCTCCAACACTTCTGGATATATTGCAGCGCGAGAATTTATCTAGCGACAAAGTTACATACGGACTGTGCATCTATACATCTTTGAGTGGCAAGGAAGTTGCCGTTCCAATTATGTGCGAGAAAATGCGAAAGCTTTTGGGCGCTAACATTGATGATGACCTTAAGTCCAAGCATGCAAATTGGGAAAGTGATATTCTTCCTCCATGCATTGATATTGAAGATATAAAAGAGGATACTACTGTCTTTATCACAGTAAAAACCTTTAACTACACACAGGCAAACCTTGGAATACACTATGACATGCTAGCTGCTCTCTTCCATAATAATGATAATTCTGCACTAGCACCATAGCCAAAGTCTTCCACAAAGGCTAAAAACAAAGCTGTTGGCAGTAATTAGAATAAAATCGCTAGAAGCTGGTACATCCTTATTATCACACTGCCAAAAGCACCTACACGCAAGATCATAACCAATCCAACTAAAAGCTTCAATACTAACCTTCAAGCAATTTATGCTCTCACCAATGCATAACACAGAGTCTGTTAGTAAACTCTAGTAGAAATAAAATAAAGTATTTTTAAGTAACCTTCTTTTAAATAGACCACATTATACTATATACTACTGTGTCCTATCCGCAATAACACTTATTTTTATCCAATACGGGTTATATTTTGTTCTCTTTGTGCTACATAACACTAGATATTGCCTATGGCTAAACTCAAGGGCTGTGGCACTCTTCCACTAAGGGGTCTTTGAGTTTTGTCTTTTTTTGTATTTTCCATGCTCCTTCTCGAAAAATAGAAATAGTATTAAAGTGTATAATGCATAAGTAAATAGTGAGAATATTTCGTATTTTTATAAAAAAATAGCAGGACACTTTACATTTTATTTGTGAATTAAGCTATAAATATAATATGGGAAGCTAGCAGAGTAGAGAGAAAAGTAAGAAAGAACTAAATACACAAAGAATAAAGTCTCTTTCTAAAAATTGGAGGAACACATTTATTGGCTTATTAGGCTGAGTATGAGAACCTTCTAATTTTCCAGCTAAGTTCTTGTACTATTCTGCATAAAGCTTCCTTCAAGAAAAAGAAAACATAGAAGTATACTGAGGCATGCTAGAAATGCTTTTGATGTGATTGGATCTAAGCTTAAAGCTGAATTTTACTCTTCGAAATATTAGACTTGGTCATACTAAACTTAGATATAACATATTTCTCATAGTCACTTATAGTTTCTAGTGGCAGTTGCTAATTAGTGTTTTACTCACAAACGCATAAGCTTTGACAGCTAATCTAAATATGACACTTCATGTTATTACTACAAACTCGACATGTAAGTAAGTAGACCTCCTTGTAGCGTGTTGGACTACAGTCAAAGCTTGGAAGGCAATGACCAACACGAATCCACACTGCAGAACTAGTAAAAGGGTTACATGCTCACAAGGCAAGGAAAACCAACAGTTTGTTACCAACTACATAATAGATGTTATCGAATGCAGTGCATAGAGCAATGAAAACCCACAAAAAATATAACCCAAATCAGAAATACTTCTAATACGAGAAAGAGCTGCATGCTCTTAAGAAAATAAAACCAAGTGCAATAAAATACTTACTTCTCAAACAGAAATCCACTAAATCTCTGATATAATCTGAATAATTCTGGCAAATCTACAAATCTACATATCAAAACATCCCAATTGCCAAGAACGCTCCAAATACAACAAGAACTAGTAGGCAGCACACATATATAAATATACGAATAAAATATCTGTAAAATTACACCCTCTATTTTACACTAATATTTTTTTGCTAAAATATTCTTCTCTTAAGTATACTAATAAGAATATTTAACATGTCATTTTTTTATCTACTACAGAAAGATCATTTTAGACTGCATAAAGTAAAATTCAAAAAATAAAATTATGCCAGAAATATTCCCGAATAGATACGTTCTAATTGTACTTTTAACTATCTTAGTATTACTGCCAGCTTATATGTGCTCTTTCACAATATCAGAAAGTATTTCTTCATCAGAAAGTTTAAGTAGTCGTAGTTCTGAAGAAGATAGTTCTTCTGGAATTCAATTTGGTTTTAAAGCAAAGCATTATTTACGCTCGGAACATTGCTTTCCTGAAAGAGAATCTACAACAGATGAGAGACCCTTTTTTAATGAAATGCTCCAAAAACACGTATATAACCCGAACCCGAATGAAATGCAAAATCCATTCATGCGCTATTTTAGTCGCTGTGATAATTTATCCCAAATTGCCTCTGCTTTTATGGGGTTCAATTGCATAAGCAGAGAAACAGCTGACTTTATAGTGGGTTCTCTAGCACATGACCACCCAGATCTATGGCTGCCCCCAACAGACGTACTTTCCTTGAGTGAGTTAAAAAAAAAGATCTTCTTAACACTTAATACTGCTAAGGAGCTTAAACTCGAGTTTGAGTCGATAAAATCTGTCTTTGAAAGTGTATATGCATCTTTCTCGAAAGATCTCATAACAAAAAATCTAAAGAGATACAGTAAGGCCATGGAGACACTCAAGATGTACAGAATTCTGGAGGCAAAGAATATGTATAAGCTAAAACATATTTGGAAGCCGGAAAGTAAGGCAAAAGAAAAGATGGATTTATTTGAGCAGTATAATCCATATATGGATATGGCAGAAAGAAAGAAGTATATTCTTAAGAATAGGAATATATTCCAGCATAGCATTAGATCATTGTATGTGGCTAAGTTATTAGGCGTAGTTGCATGCGATGCCATGAAATTCAATTTTAAATCGATCGTACGCTTTAATCTAAGAGAACCAAAGGCAAGAAAAAACTTTACTCTAGACGATTTGAATGATTTGTCTGAATCCTTCACTAGCATTAATCCATTCGAATTTAACTACGAGAATGTAAAGTCTCATGAAGATAAGCTTAAGCAGCTCTTGGAAAACTATGTTGAAATAATAAACACGGAAGACAGTAATTTCAGAGATGAATATTACACCTTAGAAGAAGGAATCCAAAAAGATTTAAGAATGCACGGCACAATTCTGAGTACCACAGTGACTAGTAAGCACATAAAACACATAAAATACATTTTAATTTCACTAACAGAAGTCATAGACTCTAATGCATACATCTTACAAAGAATTAATGAGGATTCTAACTACGGTATAAAATTACTTCCAACAGCAAAATTCCTAGATAATTCTAAATATGCAGCATGGACCATGGCAAACTATATAGCAGCCATTATACTTGCTATAGTATTCAGAAATAACTTCTCATATGAGGTAACTGAGGTAACTTATGTGCAAACCCCGCAATACAACTAAGAAATATAAAGCAGATGCAAATGATCGCTGCACAATTATTTAATGAAGATGTCTCACTGAAAAGATCTATCTGAAGGATAATTTGTGAATGCAGAAAGAAAGTAAAGTACATTGCCCATTTAAGCATGCAGTAAAATAGCTATTTATTCAGGGATTGCTTTTTAGTGAAAAACACCAAAAGAATAAAGCCAGATATACTTCTGTAAGAGAAAGATAAAAGAGAAAATTACTGAGCTAGTTTCTTCTCCTCGAAGTCTTAAACTCACTCATACTAATTTAGATATTGTTGCCAGTGGCTCTATATATAGTAGTAATTTTAAATAAATTTTTGTCTTTAGTTTTCTTAGCTAGCGAGATATTATTCGTTTCTCTTTGTCTATTCATAGACCTCCAAAAGAAGAATATTAAAGTGGTCCCATGAAAGTATAATCTTATTAGGCAACTTAAGGCTAATGACAATATATATTACTTATTCAATCACATGGTCATAGATGCATAAGCAAATGGATACTCTTGTAAAACCCGGAAGGCAATGACTATCACCAATATATATTGCTGATAATAATAGAGGGTTACACTCTCTTAAGACAAGAAAAACTAACAATTTGTCTTTATTTAAGAGCATAAGCTACTTATAGTCTGCTCCTGCTGATGAGAATACGCTTATAACTGTTTATTTAAATGCATCAATAAGAACTTGTAGTTTTATTATGCGAAAGCATACTTATGGTCTACTATATTCTTTATTTTAAAATGCAGCACCATGAGTAGACAAGACCCATTGAATATGCCTGTAATACTGGCAAACATTACATTTAAGAACATTCTTGCACGAATTTGCATGCTCTGTGTTATACTGCATGCATGTGCTCTGTCTGTAAGCTGGATTTAAAATGTTTCGGGTTATGGTTGTTTTTATTCAGATGGTTTGCTACTGTTTTGTGCATGTGTCTCTGATTTTGTGGTCTTTATCTTTTGCACTGGCTGTGAGCTGTCTATCTTTGGCTGCATCTGTTTTATGTCTAGCTTGTACTTCTCTGGGTGCTGCACTTCATCTATTTTCTGCTTCACTTCTTCAATTATCTCCAGGGTCTCTTGTGTTTTCTCTGCACTGTCCAGCATTTCAATTATGCTGTTCAGCATTTTTATGGCCATCTCTTTGTTCTCTAGGGCCTCGTACGCAAATGCAATGCGCAAGGCAATGTCAGGCAGCCGGCTGTCCTTTGCGTCTTTCTCCTTTATAAGCGAGAAAGCAGCCTCCAGGTCTTCAAGTGACTCTGTAAAGTTGTTTGTTTCTTGCGAAATATCACTCAGGAGCAGGTGCGCCTTTACTAATTCATTTGTGAAGTTGTGTGCTTTGAAGACGTTCTTTGCAATTTCCAAAAGCTCCCAGGCTATACTCAGATCTTCTAAGTAATTATTGTCCTCTTCCAACTCTGGGTTTATCACTAGCTTGTCATTTGAAAGCAAAAGACACCTGGCATACTCTATGTACACTAAGCACATCTTAAGACTATCTTCTTGCTCTTTCTCTGCCATTTTTGACAGAAGATCAGAATATACTTCTGATGCCCTTGCGAAGTCACTCTGCACTATCAGTAACCTTGCTTTTTGAATATCGCTGTATTCATTTTCCACTTCTTGTTGGATTCTATCCATGTGCTAATAAAAAAAAATACTATTTGTAATCACATATCTAGCTATTCTATGAATATCCTAAGATATAATAAGATGTAATTTTCATCACAGAATATTGCACTAAAACACATTAGCATACTCCATGCATATGCTCTAGTAGTCTTATTCGCCTTCTTAAAACTACAATTTAGAATATTAAAATATAATTACTTATATAGACATACTATAGTACAAGAAATTCAGCAGTTACATCACAAAATAATAATGCACTATAGTATATACCTGAATATAATTTGAATGAATATATTTCAGAACTAAGTGCACATATAATACTATTTATGTGTTTATTCGGGTTATATCGGGTTATATACCATACAGTTATATTATTTGTATGTTCCCATCTTTTATTAATAAATTCTGTACAGCCAGAAAATATTCTTTTATTTCTTGAAAGCAAAGCATTACATCTGAAATAATGTAGAGTATGTTTGGCTGCCATAGACAAAGCACTTTTAGATTAATGGACTAGACTAGGATGGTGTACTTTAAGAATATTAACACTTTAATCAAGGATGATGAAAAGAATATGCAGTATATAAGTATATAATAAAGAGTCCTTTTTGTATTCATAGTAGTGAGGGGATATTTTCCTGGGATCTAGTTCTCTTTTAATGCTCTCTTGCAATAATATTACATCAGATGTACTTTGGGCTTGATAAATATTTGTAGATGTGATTTTATATCAAAGATCTTATCTCCTAAAATATGGGTGTACCAAGGGTCTGTTCTAGTAGAGTCATAGTTATATGCATATTTTAGTCATATGTTGAAAAGAATATTCAAGTATTCTGGGTATAGAAATATTGGTGGGTGAAGCATACTCTTAGACTGTGTTTTATTGGTACACTTTTGAATAATTACCATGGTATTCTGTAAATATTTATGTATTTGCATTTCTTATTTTTATGAAAGACAAAGCACAGCTTACGCGACTTGCAGTTGTTTTACCGGATAAATGCAAACCCAAATTGTGCCAAATGGAATGCAAAAAGGCATGTCCTATTAATAGGCAAGGCAAGCCATGCATTACAGTGGAGAAATCTGCAGTTAATGCAGTTATTTCAGAGATTCTGTGCATTGGATGCGGTGCCTGCCAGAAGAAGTGTCCATTTGATGCAATTCGTATAATTAACCTGCCAACTAGCTTGTCCAAGGATGTGGTGCACAGATACTCTCCAAATGGATTCAAGCTACATCGTCTGCCAGTGCCCAAGCCAAACAAAGTTCTTGGTCTCATAGGAACTAACGGTATAGGAAAAAGTACAGCACTTGGTGTACTTTCTGGGCAGACTGTACCAAATTTAAATGACTTTAATAGCACTCCGGACTGGAATAAGCTTCTGATTAAGTACAGAGGATCTGAGCTACACAAGTACTTTACACGCCTTCTGAATGAAAACATGCAGATCTCATATAAGACCCAGTATGTGGACAAAATACCAAAAGGCTTTAAAGGAAAAAAAGTCAGTGAAGTTCTTTCTATTGCAGACGAGAAGACTAAGGTGCTGTACAAAGAGCTGGAACTGGAGAAGCTAAGCGAGAGGCTGCTTGAGGACCTGAGTGGAGGAGAGTTGCAGAGATTTGCAATTGCGCAGACAATGGCAAAAGATGCAGAGGTTTATATTTTCGATGAGCCATCATCGTACTTGGATGTGAGGCAGCGAATAAAAGTGGCAAAGCTAATTAAGAAGCTTTGCTCTGACAGAAAGTACGTTATTGTGGTTGAGCATGACCTATCCATACTTGACCTCATGAGTGACTATGGGTGCGTATTGTACGGCTCACCTGGTGCGTACGGAGTGATTTCGCAGCCATTTTCAATTCGAGAAGCCATTAATATCTTCCTGAATGGAATGCTTCCAACTGAAAATATGCGGTTTCGAGCTGAGAGTCTAAACTTTAGAATCTCTGAGAGTGCAGTGAACATTGTAACAGATGCAGTGCAGCAGAGCATAGGAACAGTAAAATACCCAGAGCTCACAAAAAAATGGAAGGATGGATTTAAGCTTACCGCACAAGGAGGCTCTTTCATGTCTCCAGAAATTATTGTGCTTCTAGGGGAAAATGGAATGGGAAAGACAACGTTTATTAAAATGCTTTCAGGAGAGCTGTCAACTGACAATGGAAAGGAGATTCCAAAGCTAACAGTGAGTGTCAAGCCGCAGAAGCTTTCTCCAAAGTACGCAGACACAGTCAGAAACCTTTTCCTTGCTAAGGCGAAGCATGCACTTGTGGACTCTTTGTTTACAATTGAGGTAATGAACCCGCTTGATATAAGGTCGCTTTTTGAAAAAACAGTTAAGGAGCTGAGTGGTGGAGAACTGCAGAGGGTTGCAATTGCACTCTGTCTATCAAAGCCGGCAGATCTGTATCTGATAGATGAGCCATCTGCATATCTAGACTCTGATCAAAGAATTATTGTGTCAAAGGTTCTAAAGCGATTTATCACCAGCCAGCAGAGAGCTGCATTTATTGTCGAGCACGATATGATTATGGCCACGTACGTTGCAGACCGAATGATGGTCTTTGAAGGCGTGCCTGGGGTAGAGTGTACAGTAACTGCGCCGTGCGGAGTGGTCGATAGTATGAACAAGTTCCTCAAGTCACTTGATGTTACATTCAGAAGAGACGCAGAGAACTTCCGCCCAAGAATCAACACTCCAAACTCTGCCAAAGACAGAGAGCAAAAGGAAAGTGGAAACTACTTCTTCAACAATGAATAAACAAGTCTAAAGGTATAGATTGGGTTCTTTGCATTCAAGATATTTAAATCCTTTTTGTCCAAGGATCTTGTTCTCTTTATTTTCAAAGTGCATTCTAAGAAGAAAATATCACTCTTTAAGACATTTCAATATAGCAGAAATATAAAACATAGGCACCCTAAGAGAATATATAAATATTTCAGTCTGTCAGTTAAATAGTATGAAATTTCATATAAAACAGAAAATAGACACTATAAGTGAATGTATATAGTAACCCACATGTTATACTTCATAGTATATGCATGGTGTCTTTGTCATAGCAGCAGAATTACATAAAATGAATAAATATGTAGTATAGTATGATGTAGGCAGAAAGAAAGAAGTTTCTCATAAAAGAAGACTATTTACACAGATATACTTAGATATGCATCTAGTAAGAAATATATAGTTTTGTACAGTGTATATCTGAAGGCATACTAAATCATATGGAATCTTAGTAAAAATAAATTGGCGGGCGCGGGAAGGGAAAACTATAAAACTAAAATTGTGACTGAAGAGGCATGCAGACACACATAAGAAAATGCAATATATTATCGTGGATTGCAAAAAAACCAAAGCCATCCACAGAGATACTGTCCATCAGCACAGACTCAGAGGCCAGCCAGTCAGACTTCTCTCAAACAAATGAGTCAAAAGAGCCTTCTGAAAGCTCAAGTAGCAGCCAGCCTGACCAAAGTTTTATTGTAGAAGAGAAAAACATTCCGGTTCAGAAAAGGCCTAGCACAGCCAGTATGCAAATAAAAGCAGAGATGGTAGAGGTGGTGAGTGAAGAAGAAGTAGACTCAGAGACGCATGCCTTATTCCTTTCTCCGCCTTTTGATAAATTTGGAAGAAAGCCAGGAGACCTAGGATATGACAAAAGTACGCTGTATATATCAGAGAAGTACCTGTCTGCAATGACACCGTGCGAAGAGCAGTTCTGGCGCATAAAAATGGAGTACTTTGACACAATTGTGTTCTTTAAAAAAGGAAAGTTCTATGAGCTATTTGCTGAGGATGCAGTCCTGTCAGCAGAACTGTTTGGCCTTAGACTAACAAAAAGAGGCGCAATGAAGATGACAGGTGTGCCAGAAATGTCACTTGATTTGTGGACAGAGAAGTTCATACACAAGGGATATAAGGTGGCAATTGTAGACCAAAAGGAAACAAGTGTCTCGCAGAATATGCGCGTGAAGTCAGGAGATGCCAGGCAAAAGATCATTGAAAGAGAGCTAAAGGAGGTTGTAACAGACACAACCACAAGCTCAGATGGAATAGGAATATGCAGCTTGTTCATTCATGAAATAGAAAATACAGAAAAGGCAGACATAACAATAGCAGTATTTAGGCCAATGGAGTCTGAGTTCTTTGTTCTGCAGTTTGAGGACGACAAAGAGCTTTTTTCGGTTAAGAGTATAATGAAAAAAGAAAATATTAAGGAGGTCATAACAAATAGCCCAGCTGTTCTCAAGGAAAAAGTCATTCCAATAAGAAAGGATACATGGTCACAAGATGTAGCCTCAACAATTGAAGCCATGGGCGCACATTCTCTGGAGGGAAAGAAAAAAGAGGCATTGGAAATACTTGTCTCCTATCTAAAGTACCTGAAGTACGCATTCTCAGCACAGCTTGTAGAGTATACAGATAAGGTGAAAAACCACATGCAGGTAGATGGACGAACCATTGAAATGCTTTGTCTGGTGGAGCAGCCAAACAAAAAAGAAAGAGACACAAGCTCTTTGCTTGGGCTAATTGACCAGACAAAAACAAGACAAGGGAAAAGGCTTCTTCGGCAGTGGATCATAAGGCCTTTGGTCTGCATTAGCCAGATAGAGAAAAGATACGCAACTGCAGAGATGCTTGAGAATATTCCAGAAAGAGGTCTTCTTGAGTCGCATCTGAGAAAAATAGGAGACATAAACGACTTTGTCAAAAAAGCAAAGAACTACAAAGTGCGCCCAGAGGAAATAAGAAGGCTGTCTTCTTCAATGGAGGAGGTAGGCTGCATACATGCAGTTCTTCTTTCTGCCATTTCCAGACTTACTCCACAAGAGATTGATCTTACACACATACAACTACTTGCAGACAAAATCAGTTCATTTGGGGTTATATCCAAGATAACAGAAGGATTTGATATTTCAGGTGATATTATGCCACTAAGCACAGACCCAGAGCTTATAGCAGCAGAAAAGTACAAGCAAAAAGTCCTAGATATGCTGCAAATATATGGAAGGAAGGAGTCAGACACAGCACAAATAGAATTTACAGTCAAGAGAATTGGAAGAGAGCACTATTTAGAGTGCAGCAAGCAAGACTCTTCACTTGCAGATGGCAAGAAGTACATACCATCTGGATCAACAAAAACCGTTGCCAGGTACACAACCTCAGAACTCAGAAAACTCTCTGAAACATACCTTGAGGCAGAAGAAAAAATCACATTCCTGGCAACAGAGTCAGTCTCCAGAATCTCAAAAAGAATTAGTGATAATGATGCAAATCTAAAGACTATTTCCATGGGAGTGGCTGCTTTGGACTGCCTTATTTCCTTTGGATACTGCAAAGGAGCAAAACCAGTTCTTTCGGATAGACTGCAAATAAAAGGTCTTCTTAACGTGGAGCACACCCACATCCCAAATGATATAGAGATAGACACAGAGAACAGGTTGGTTGTCATGACAGGACCAAATATGGCAGGAAAGTCCACCTTCCTAAGGAACATATCAACTGCAATTGTGCTTAGGCAGATAGGTGCCAAAGTACCAGCTGAACAATTTGCAGGACCTGTTTACGATAGACTGTTTACACGCATTGGAGCAAGCGACAATCTTCTGGAGGGCGAGTCTACATTCCAGATAGAAATGAAAGAAACCGCTAATATACTGGCAAATGCCACAGAAAAGTCTTTTGTAATAATAGACGAGCTAGGAAGAGGCACTTCGACTAAGGAGGGATCTGCCATATCTATGGCAGTAAAGGAGTACTTAAAGAAGCTTAGGTGCACTGCATTATATGCGACGCACTTCTTTAGTGCAATAAAACCAAGCGATGTTACCATGAAAATGGACTATAAATACGTTATAAATTCGCAAAATCACCAAGAAATACTCTATCTGTATAATCTAGTGATGGGCATCTGCAAGGACTCCTGTGGAATTGATATTTGCAAAATGACAAAAGTCCCAGACTCAGTCATTATACGTGCACTTGAGATAAAAAGACAGCGTGCTGCACAGTAGAAATCCCATAATAAAACACATTTTGTATTCAAAGGGCATTTATATTATTCTAGAGTCTAATAGTAATAGTATCTACTTAGGCAGAACAATTGAAATTTATCTGCAAACTAAAAAACCTGAATTAATTATCTTTAAACAACGGTTTATTCTATTTATGACTGTTTTTTAATCTGATCACTCATCCATTTCCTAAGATAGCTGATCCAAAATTTGTTGCTGTCGCCTTTCTTTCTCCATCTGTTGTTCCCTGTATATGCTTTGTTCATTTCCATATACACTTTCCTATGGGGCTCACCATCATCAGTACTCTCAAAAAGCCAGGATAGATCTCTGTCTATGTCCGTGTACAAAACACTTCCTGCGCGGTATGTCAGAAGGTCTGGTGTTATCCCCAATATATCCACAGAGGCAGCCTTGCTGTCGTCTTGGCGCATCACAGCATGTGCCAGAGAATAGTCAATTGTCTTTATCCTGTACGCCCCACTGCTTGTCTTCCGTACCAAGACATTGCTCTGGTGCAGGTCTCTGTGCTCCACCTGCAGACTATCCATTACTTTCATGCACTTCAGTAGCTCTGTGTTAATTAGTCTACAGTCCTCCTTTGTAAGAGATGGCCAGTCAAGCTTCTCCAGCTCACACCCACAATACTCCATCTCAATTACACCAAATAACCCAGATGAATTGTTTGCTTGTGGGATGATATTTTCAGCACTTTTTCTATTCCTTTGTGCCCAGTCCCTGGATATCTCTATAAGAGCACTTGGATATCTCTCATTTACCAAGTACCAGTTATACATCTGGGCAGAGTACTTTGACCTGTTCATTCTCTCCATAATCAAGCACTCCTTTATAAAGTGGTCTATTTTCGTGTGCTCCACCTTAACGTACATTTTCTTTTTCGTTATAGGCACTATCTTGTAAACTGTTTGTGTCCTTTTGTTTATATATATCTCACTGAAGGTAGATTCCCCTAGCTTCTTCAGTTCTGCAATGGGTAGTGTAGAGAAAGGCATCCATTGAATTTCTTTAATCTGATTGGCTTCTTCTATAATGTACTCGCTATTCATGAAGCTATTTCCACTAATACTTTCCTTTCTCTCAATATCAGAGGCATGTCCAATATCCGTATCTACAAGTATATCTTCACTTCTGGCACGCTTTGGCTTTTTTACCTCTGGCTGTGCTTGGTCTTCTCTATGACCAGAAGGACTAGCTGGTCTTACTGAGGGATTTCTTTCTGAGTAGACACTTACAGCAGACATAGTATCTATTGCATGTACTTGTTCTTTTTCTGTGCTGTTTGCAAAGATCTTTATCTTAGTGGTGCTTTCTTTTTTTTGGGCTGACCAGACATTTTCATTAGGCTTCTTTTCGTCTTCATCTCTTTCATGGCTAAGAATTTCAAGAGTCTGCAGTGTCTTCTTCACTCCTGGAAGAACCAGAAGTTCTGGAGCAGCAATTACACCAAGACTCTTCCTGGGTGGCTTGCTTTTACTCCCAAATGTGCGTATTTTCATAAACTAAAAATAATTAGAATATTATAACTCTTCTACTTCGCAAACTCATGTAATTGATTTTTATATTAATCTAGCAAGTCTATCCACAACTGTTTCATCAGGTTTTACAGTCTCATCTTCCTCTGGGAGAGTATGCTTTGTGTACCTTTTTATAATACCGTGGGTTTCATCATACTTTGTCTCTTTTTTCAAGTTCTCAATATTTCTCTTTTGTCTTTCTTTTAAGTGTTCTAGCTTAACTGTCTTTTTCTTTAGGCGGTATGCGTAGACTCGTTGGAAAATATAGAAAAGCAGTGCCACTATTGTACCAAGCAAAAAAAATGCCCCCATGATCTTGAGTGTATAAATATATGAGATACTTTCTTTGCACACCCACAGGATAGAAATGGCCCCAATGAGTATCGCAGAAAGAGACTTGAAGAATAAGTCACCTGCTGACTCTTTGGTCCTTCTGATGGCTCTAATTTCCTTCTCTTGCTCCTCAATTTGCTGCTCCAGTTCCAGGATAGCCTGTCTCACGGACTTTTTACTGAATGAAATCCCCATTAAAAAAATTCAGCTTATTTTCAATCTATTTATAAATGCAAAACACCCTACAACACACTGGAATAGGCAAATATCCCCTTGTTATATCACATATTACTCCTTTCTTTATTTTAAGCTGAAATACTCTGTCTAACGCATTCTGCATACGCTGTACCAGTTCTATGGCCTGTGCCTTCTTCCCTTATAGGTCTTCTTCTCTCTTGGCTTTCTTTATTTTTCTTGCACGCTGTCTCATAGGAACATATGTTGTAAATGGTGAAATATCTCCCATTTCTTCAATTAGCTTAGTTGTTGTCTCGTTTGTTAGTCCAAAGAACTCCTCCAAGCTGGAAAAAGAGATCTTCTGGAACTCACTTGTAAATGCACTCCACACCTGGCTTCGTGAGCCTGCCCAGTGCTTTCCTCCGGTTGCACGAATTTCAAAGACACATTCCCCGTTTACTGACCGAATCTGGCAGAAATACGTTAGTTTTTGATCACTTTTCTCTGGAGACGCATACTTCCTCTTTATTTTGTATCCTATTGGATATATGTACATTGGGCTGTAGAATGAAGTATATTCCTCAGGGGGAAGTATTCCAATTGAGGTCAGACTGAACTTAGAGTGTGCCTTCCCTAGGACAATTGGAAAAGTACTTTCAGTCTCAAATTCTGTATACTTCAAGGGTCTCTGTCCCTTCACAAAAACAAGAAGATCCAGTAGTGCATCCCTTCTTTGCTGCAGACCAAGCAGCTCTCTGCGCTTTTCATCAGTCTTTTTCTTTATGTCTATATACTGAGCGAAGCACTCATTAAGCATAGTGTGGTCATCCATATAAAAATAAAAATGAATAGAATATAACCAAAACCTCTCTTCCTGCCAATTACCAGGCAGCAGATAAGTCTCTTATTAGCAAAGGGTACCCTTATAGTTATTCATATTAACTGTGAGTTTATGATAAGATTGATGGTCTTTCTATCACAAGAAGATACTCTACAGTGTATTGAATATTTTGAAGTAAATATGGTAGAAATGAAAATTCACATGAGAATAGAATAGAATAGGAGTAGTAGATAAAGTATATATAATATGTGTTTAAGCATATAAATACAGTAGATATCTAGATATTCTTTATATTTAGTCTATTATACTTAGATAATCCACATATAAAACTACTTTATATCTTGTGAATTTCTTAAGCACTGTATACTCTAGTATCCATGGATTAAAGCTTCTTTTCACATGAAAATAAAAGTGCTTTAATAAGAGACTTTCTACAGAAGAAATTCACTGTATCTTGCTACCCCACTAGTATATCTACTATACTAAGCAGACTATCATATGAATATATTTAATATTATTTCAGTTCACATACTTTAAGATGAAAGTAGTTTTACTTCTGGATTAACTGCAGGCCTGAATATTTTGAGTACTTTATATAGTAATTTATGCACTTTTATTTTAGTGCAGATATATTGCATGAAAATCACTTTGATGGTATATGAGTACTAGAAGTATACGGTTAAAGAGTTTTCTGTTAGTATAAATATAATTTGAATATGTGACTAACCTTTAATTTCTAGTAAAATATCCTTGTTCTCTTACTATACGCTTATTAAGGGGTCTGTCCTTCTGCTGACTCATACTATGTTTATTCAGGTTGAAATTTAAGTGAAAAGAATTTCTTAATTTCACTTACTACTAGGACCCTATGCAGAAGCAAGGAATTACTGAAAGAACAACAATTTTATTGTAGTTATATGCATGTATTAGCTACTGTCTTCTGAGTTTTAGTTATAAGTCAATATATTATTCTGGATTTGTCTTGTTTTACACAAATCTACAAGATATATTTGTCTCTTGATAGTATCTGTATATAAATGACTAATTGTTTATTTATATCGTTAAGAATGTCTTCTGTAATTTAGTATAAATTAGTATGATATGAGACATAATCTATAAGAAGACAAAAAAAATTAACAAATTTAATATGAATGAGTTCATTGGTTGTGAAGAGATAAACCACTCACAAACAACAGACCCACCATATTATAACAATTATATGCATAGAGTATCTCTTGCAAAGCATAAAAGTAATCATATATATCCTGTAATGTATGTCAAAGAAGCACAAAAAGATGCAATACTAGTGCATAGTAGTGAAACATTTTATAATTCAGCTTTTGAGAAGAATTCAGCCATAAAGGATACTACATTCAGTAGATTCTTCAATTTACTTTATAATCTATTTGTATGCATTTTTGTTGATATGCAGTACCATTACTCAATGTTTTATTCAGTTATAGTTATTTTAACTAGCAGTATAGGAGCACTAGGACCAGATAATTTGCATCATTCTGTCTATAACTCAGATTCACTATCACTATACAGGTTTATAAACCTTGCATGTCTGGTGCCTGGTGTCTTTGTGTATATGATATGTATGTTGTATCTGATGATCTACCAAGCCAATATAGACTTATCCAATAGGAAGGCTTGGGTGACTAAGAAACTCACAATTGGATTTAATGTTATTGGATGTATTTTCTGTGGATTTATAGTGTGGTATCTTCTGCCATGTGGATTATTTTGCACATTGATGAATCTTTTCATTCGAATGAAGATACTCCATATGATAGCCGCAATAATAAGCTTAATTATTCCTAGTGAATGGACGAAAGGACGAAGTATTATTTTTTTCACACATGGCCAGAACAACAGCCTGTCCATATGCAGTGTTCTATACGTTAACTATACCCTTCTTTTATTTTGGATATCTATGGCTGTTGACATTCAAATGAAACAAACAGAGAAATTGCGTATGCAACCGTGCATATTTTCAGGTGAGTTGTACAACTCTTTGTAAAGATATGACTCATAAGCTAGCATATTTATGGCTGGGTTATTGATTTCTATATAATTAGTGAACTAATCCTTAGATAAAACCAAGTTCACTCACTAGTACTAGAATTCTACCAGATACTAGACAAGAACGTAGCACAAGCCAAATAGATGTATAGTATTAATAAACTTCAGGATATTGTATATGGGCTTCTAACTGTCAGCCCACTTTTATTTTAACTTATCCCTTGTCTAAAGGAATACTACTACTACTAAGACAAGAGCAATTTATACTAAAGAATCCTGCTATTTCTTCTATCCATATGGCTGCAATTCCTTGGCTTACTATAGCATAACTAAGTTTATTTGCTGACTATGATATTCATTCAGTGGCACCAAGAGGGATATTCTGTTACAGTCTTATTAGAAGAGAAGTAGTTTTATACTCTTATATCTTATAATAAGACTGTAATACGATTTAAAATAAATATTACAGCGCACTTATAGACACACAATAAGCCAATTACCTATACTCTCAGCGTCTCTGTGGTGTATTTCTTTCTGGTGGATATTTTATGTTAAAATGAAGAAAATCTGTATGAAGGAGTTATAATAAAGTGCCTCAGAAGTGATTACATCAGTGCATGTGCAGCTTCCGGTGGGTTTGAATTACCATCCACTGCACGCTCTCAGGTTTCTTTCATCATAGGCTATTTGGATTAGATCGAATAAAGTCCTGGTCGGCATTAATTTCTTATTTATTGGATTTAAGTCACTGGAAATCTCCATTTTAAACAGTCAAAATGCACTGTCCCCCAGCCTTGACTATCTTCTCTTCTGCTTCTGGAGTGAATCTTCTGGCCTTCACGACGATTGGTCTAATAGGAGTGGCTCCGCTTCCAATTACCTTGAAGATTCCAAAGTCAGACAGATTTACGACGGGCACCTGTGATGCATCATTGGCAAACTGGTCGTACTGTCCGCACTTGTCTACCAAGCTCCATATCTCATCTACTGCAATGTATGGTGCGTAACTGCTGTTGTATCTTCTAAAGTAGATGTTCATACCTCTCTTTCCAAAGAAGTCTGGGTGGTATCTCTGGAATAGTGTCCTGTGGTGTGTCAGACCACCAGCCTTACCTCTACCTCCTGGATGCTTTCTGTGCTTTCCTACTCTACCGTGTCCATGTGACACGTGTCCTCTTAATTTTCTGGAATGCTTCTTATTAGTTGACATTTCACAGCAGGGGGCTTCAAAAAATTAAAATTTAAGTTTCTCTGCGAAAAATCCAGCAATTTAAATATTCCGTTCTGTAAAAATTTTAATGCGGCCACTGAAAGAAGAAGAATTTGACAAAGTTGAAAAGAAGCTGAGACAGTTCATGGGGAACAATCTGGCCTCTTTTCTAAACCCACTGCACGAATTAATATATCACAAGCAGAAGGTTTACTATGTTAAAAAAGACCTTTTGAAAAAAGCAAGTATCATTGCAAACGACAATATCCTGTGCATTGGCACATGCATAGGGAGATTCACTAAGTCTGAGTTCTTCAGAATCAGAATTACTGCTTTGCATATGCTCATGATGTATGCCAGCTGCAAAGTAAAAGTAAAGCAGAGCGCAGAAATGAATGTTCTGTATGGAAACCATGTCCAGAGGGCACATCTGTGCGGAGTAGCACCAGACACAAAGAAGCACTCAGGAGTAGTTCTGACTACATCATCAAGTGTTCCAATTGGGTTTGGGATCATGACAAAGTCTGGTAATGAAATACTGGCAGGTGATAGAACTGCAATAGTAGTGGTCCGGCATGGTGATGCAGGAGAGTATCTCAGAGGAGAAGACACTCTTATGTGATTATATGATATTAGGGTAATTTATAAATAAATTCGCGTTATAGAGATAAAAATCAGTTAGAGATACCTATGTGCAGCAGCATAAATATAAATATATTTTTACAGAAATTGTAGAATGCAGCCAGAGAAGCAGATACTTGAATGTTCGCCTCTGCTGTATATTACGGACAGAGAAAGACTCTACAGAATACTCTCAGAGAACTATTCAGAACAGCAAATAAAAAGACTCTTTTCTGAGCTCCAGAAATATAACGTGCTCTACTTCTACAAGATCCCCAGTAAAGAAGAATTAGAAGAGATATACGAAATTCCAGAAAGTAAAGAAGTAGAGGCAAAACAAGAAGGAAATGAAAAAGTACATAATAGATTCTGGGTTAGCACCTGCCAAGGACCCATAGAAGAGAATAGCACCAGACCACTAGTAAATGAGAATATTCAGACAAAGGAAGAATATTCTAAAGAAAGCATAGACAGCAGCCATAAGAAGATTAATATGTGGGACAGCAGTAAAACAGAAATAAACACTGCAGAGGGTATAGAAGCACATAGATCTAGCCCAATTATTCTAAGTACTGTAAATAACAATGCAGAAGCAGATGGTACAGTGGCTATAGAGGGTGTTCGTATAAGAAGATGCTTTGATAGCTATCACTTACGGAATAAAGAGTACCTGTACGATGAAAGTATAGATGAAAGATCTGACTTTGACAGAATATTCCTATCTGCATATTATAAATACACCTGTGGAGAGTACCTTAGTGCTCTTGATATGATGGAGAATTTACTAAGAAAAAGTACATCCGGGGACTTTGTTCATTTTGGCTGTAGACTGCATCTGCTTTCAATTGGGGCAAGTGCTGCCTACAAGTCAGGCGGGTACTTTGATGCCCTTTGGATGTGCAAGGCAGGGATTCTTCTCTCCAAAAGTGTTGACTTCTCAGAGGGGCATTTATTCTTCCAAGGAATGCTTTCAATCATTGAAGCAACAAAGAAGGAAGAAATTCTTGTAGAAGAGATAAAGCACACTCTCATATCATCGCATGTAAGTGAATTATTGAATATTCATGTGACTCTGGAAGATAAACTAAGCAGATGCATTCAGTACAGAAATGAAATAACCCTACTAAGAGATGTGAAAATATACGATGCCCGGGAAATTGCATGCAGTGAGATTGGGGATAGATCTATCCTGGAATATATTAATAAGATAAAGGGAATTGGTGAGAAATGTATGTATATTTCACCCATTGTAGTCTACTCAATTGATGGCTGCATTGCATTCGGCCTTATATACTATAATGAGAGAGCAAAAATGTCCGTTATAAAGTCGAAAATTTCTACAAAAAATCTTCTACAACGGCTATCTCAGATCCAGAAAAAAAACAAAGAAGTCCTTAAGAGGGTGTGCACTACACCACAAGAGAAGCAAGAATGGTGGCGTATCAGGATCTCACTTGATAATGAAATCAAAAAAGAACTAGCCCTAATAGACACGTATTTGCAAAGGTACTCAGAGAAGGGCCATAAAATTAAAGATAGAGTTGCACTTGTGATTGAAGATATCCTGGGAAGTATTCCCTTTGAGATGTGTAACTCCTTCTCCAAGTGCGGTGTATTCAGGTGCTCATCACTTTGCCACATTCTCTCGTGCTCTGTTGAGACGGAAAGTACCCTACCAGAAGACAAAGACTTCTTCTATGTTTTAAACCCAGAGAGAAATTTAATGCAGACAGAAGAGAGAATATCCAAGCACATAAGCAAGCACCTTCCAAATGCATCAGGAATTCGTAATAGAGTACCCCTTCCCATGGAGACAGAACAGGCAATTCTATCCCACCGTATATTTATGTACTTTGGGCACGGTGGAGGAGAGAAGTTCTTTACACCAAGGAAGTTAAAGAGACTTGTGAAGAGTAGAAATTCCACTGAGAAGAAAACAAAGAGTATCTTTCTATTTGGATGTTCTAGTGCCCATATCTCTGCATTTCCTTTATACAACACACACAGTACATGTATATCATATATGCATATTCCTGTTGTTAGAAATGTCGTTGGTGCACTCTGGGATATAACAGATAAGGATCTGGATATAACCAGTATTGGCATCATAGAGGCAATTCAGAATAGAAAGGAGCCACTCTCAATTGCACTGAATAGGCTCAAGCATGCATGTAAATTGAAGTACTTAAATGGGGCTGCCATTGTGCTATATGGAATAGACGAGTGACTTATCACTCTGCAGATATAAATATCCTTCTTATGTCCACTTAGTAGTGCAGTATAGTGATATAACCTGAGTTTTGGTATAAATTGCTGTATAAGATGCCTTTGTAATTAGTAAGTATAAAGTGTCTTAGTAGCTCTGTGTTGATTATTATGATATACACTGTGTCTCTACATATAGTAAATAACCGTTTTTGTTGATTCTATTTTTATCAAGTACCTTACTATTATCGCATATGTCTATTACTCTATTGAATAATTGATTTTAATTAAACCTGTTCATTCTATATTAATTAATAAATATAAATGGATACCTTTTAAAAATAATAATGAGAATGAAATACAGTGAGCTTGCATATACTGCACTTTCACCTATAATTGTCTTGGGGTTATCTGTAATTGGTCTGGTTATATACTCAAAGAGTCTTTTCTTGGAGAAAACACCAATTACAAAGCAAAATAAAGAGTCTTTACCGGGTGTCTACAAGAAGGGTGTTATCTTTGTCATGGATGGAGTCAGAGCAGATGCAATCCATGCAGTAATCCCAGAGAAAGCCACTCTCTACCATAATAATTTCTCTGTTCTAGAAAGAATCCCAAAGAAAGACATTTTCAAAGCTGTTAGCATTGCAGACCTCCCAACTGGAACTGCAATGAGAATATTATCAACCTTCTCTGGGATACCTACTACCCTTCTGTCAGCCCAAAGGTCATTCAACAAACAAAGCAGCAATGTGGATAATTTCATCTCACAACTGCAGCTGCACCAGAAGTCATTTATATTCTATGGTGATGAGACATGGACATATCTATTCCCAGAGATCACTCCAAATATTGGTGAATCATACCATCCATACGGTCTGATTCCTTTCTCAGAAGAAGAAAGAATAATTGACTCTGCCTTGCTGGCATATGAAAACCATGACTACCTTATTATTCATATGATATCCCCAGACTCATACGGGCACGTGCATGGAACAAATAGCAAAGAAGTGAAAAAAGCCCTTCAGATTATGAATAATGCACTCTCCAGGTTATATGATACAATGACTGATGACTCTTTCATTGCTGTCTTATCTGATCATGGTGTAAATAATGATGGTTCCCATGGTGGATCTTCCATCCAGGAGAAAGCATCTTCTTTCATCTTCATTGCACGGGATATTTCAGAGAGAACAACGACAGCCTCTCAGGAAAGACTCATTCAAAGGAAGTATGAAGGCGAATTATCTTCACTATTTATATCTGAGCCTGTGAATATTATCTCACAGAATGATATTCTCCCTACACTCTGTGGTCTTATTGGCTTGGGTGTACCTTATAATTCTTCTGGAATTATTTTGCCTGTCATTCCAGAAGAAAGAAAGGATATTTATGCACAGGAGCATGAGAGACAGAAAAGAACACTTTTTGAATTCTATGGAAAGAAATACCTGGAAACATATCTGAATAAACTGTCAAAAGTACCTGAAAAGTACAGGAATGAAATGATGGCAGACCATATCCATAGGATATTTCATAAGTCATCTAAACTTGGGATGATTATTGGGCTATTATTCATGGGATTAGGCCTTCTATTCCAGGTTATTAGTATACCTGGGAATGTACTTTGTATATCCTTTGTAGCTTCAATTCTGGCAATTTTCATGGTAGCCCATTCTGTTTATTCAATTATCCATGAGGATATTATCTCTTTATTCATGTGCATCTTCTTAAGTTGGCAGTCATTGTGGTCTGTCTTTGTGCTTGTAGCCCTTCCAGTTGTCTCTTTTACTGCAGGAGAATTTCCTTTGCATGCAATGGACAGATTCTGGATTATTCACTGGATTAAAAAGATTCCATCCAGGTATCCAGTGCCCTTGTTAGAGAAAGGTCTTCTTCTCTCTTCTTTACTTTGCTTGGGGGTACGGTTTATTTCACCAAAGTCTGCAGTGCGAAATTTAAAGGACGCTGGCTCTGTTCTATTCGCAGTCAGCCAGATTTTTTCCTTAGGGATTCCTCATATTAGCCGATCTATTCTGCTAGTCCTAGCACCAGAGATTCTTCCTGTTCTTCTGTATGCACCGTACCCAGCACTAGCATTTATTTATATTTTCTGTCCAATTATTAAAAAGTGTGCAGTTGCAGAGATGGGCCAGCTACAAAAAGGATGCTTTTTGTTTTTTCTGATAAAAATAATGTTTTTTGTAACAGGGCACAACCACGCACTCTCTTCCATCAACTGGGAGGCAGCCTTTCTTTTCTCCAGGAAAAGTATCCCTGGTGTATCTGCCATATTTGTTGGTCTAGACTTACTTATGCCATTTATATACACTGTGTATACAGTAGGAAAAGACTGCAGAAAAGCAGTTTCTGTGATTGTTCTTCTCCAGGGAATATGCGCTGTGCTTGGGTGTGCTGTCAACTTCTGGTTCCTAGGGCAGTCTTTAATGTGGTTTATATTCACAGGGAGAACTGTCTTTGAGTCATTCTTCTTTATTTCATTCCTGGCTGTGCAGTCTCTTCTGACTATTTGGACAGTTATCCGTCCAAAGCACCCTTATATAGACCAAGACAAACCCATTGAAGTCTCAAGAACCCTAAGAGAAACCTGGCATGATATATCCACATGTGATATTCACTCCAAAGTTAAAAAAGGTCTCAGTAAGCTCTAATGTGCTGCTGTCTGAATAAAGTATTCATGTCCTTCTGTTTCTCTTGAATATCCAGGTTATCACAACCTCCTGGTTTTATTTATTTCTACTTACAAGATCCTGTGATATTCTATAAGAAGCCATATACCCAGCATAACTGAAATTTCTATTAGAAAGAATTCCTTGTTATCCATAATATGCTTAGTATGCATATATATCAAAATAGAATTATTTCCAGTATAAAAACCGTTTAAGACAGTATATAAGTGCATATTAGTGTACTCTATGAATTCATGAATTAAATCCACTCCTACATGGTTTTATGCTTGGGAACAATAAAATTAAAGCATTGAAAATTTTATACTACAGATGGGCTACGAGTACAATGCAGAGTTGTACAAGGAATATGTCGCTGTATTAGAGACAGTTGGGGTAGATGTACAAGAAGACTTAGAAGAGATATACAAGAAATACATAGCAGAACAAATGGCAGTGTTCCCGTATATAGATGAGTCTGTTCTAAGAATGTATAGCTTGGTCTTTTTTCTGAAGTATGTTAAACAGTCGCAAGGAATGGCTAAGTTTAAAACCGTATATTCAAAGTTAGAGATGCAGAAGAAGCTGATCTCCAGGGCCATGGACACAGTCACTATAAACTTTGAAAAGCCTCAGGCTGATTTTTCTGTTGTAGAAGACTGGAGTTCTCTTTACAGCATACATAAGAAATGTATTATAGACTTTGTGAAAGTACGAAGACAGAAGCCAACAAAATAATTTGTATGGACTTAGTATGGGACTAGTGTGCATCTCTGCTTCTTTTGTATAAATTAGAGCAGTTACAAGTGCAATATAACCCGAATCTTTAATCTTTTGCTGGATGGCAAGGAACCAGACAAAATATTAAGCAGAGTCTTCTGATATATTAATATTACTGCAATTCTTCTAGCCCAATATGACTTGGTATTCTGTCTCTGCTGTGCACTGAATTATAAGGTGCCTAAAGGTCTTTTCACATCTGGTTTTGTCTTCAGATTTCTTAGGTACATCTCTAGTGCGTATATGGATATGAACATTCTTGGAGAATATTCGGGTTATTGTGCATACCTGTCTTAGAGCCTATATAATGACTGTTTAATAGGCTTGCACTGGCGTATACTTGCAGGATATTTTCTTATTTTCAATATGGTAAAATAAATATATAACTCTTCATATTATATTATATTTTGTACTGATATATCTTGATTTTATATTTCAGTTAGTGAAGGCTTTGAAAATACTCAGAAAACAAGAAAAAGGAAAAAGTCACAGAAACAGGAAAGATGTACGTAACAAAGGTTTATTCAAACCAGTGCATATATCAATATAAAGGCATTTAAGTGCTCTCTTACAGGCTCTCTACCATAAGAAAATTCCTAACAAGAGCGTAATACATTTTGAATAGTTAAAAACCAGAAATTATTCTAGTTATTAGCGGTTTTAATGGAATTTAGCCCATTCATTTTCATGGCTGTAAAGAAAACAAGCCCTACACCCATTGCAATACCCCCAATCTTAGAGATATATTTATTCTTGCGAATATTTATACTTTTCTTATTTGAGCTAACTGCTAAAACAGTGTCTATATATTGAAAAATCTTATTATTAAGGTAGTCCCTCTGCAATGCTGTGAAATCAGCGTCTTTCATTACATTAGCTGCTTTTTCACCTATTTTATCAAGATTGATGCTAAACTTATCTAAGTCTATCAGAGAGGCAATACTAAACTTAGTGTTGCTTGCTAGAATAGACTCAAAGGTAGGCACGCATATTAATTTCTTTTTAGATGCAATTTGATGAAATGCCTTAAGAATATTAGTTATTTTGGTTCTATGGTCATAGACATGCACCATTGCAGCTTGTTCCTGGAATGTTAGAGATAATGTCTCCAGATCTTCATGATTTTTATAACCAGAAAAGTACATATTTGCATGTTTTACCAGAAGATTCACTCCATGGTTCAGATGGTACTCACCATCTGGTGCTTTTATAAAGAGATCTTCTGTAGAAAACGTCTTTTCATTTTCTGCAAAAACGTTCATTCTGAGGTAATTTAGAAGTTTTATATTTGGCCGGTAATAGTCCAAGAATATGCTTTCATTGATGCAGACACGCGAGGTATTAAGGTGCTTTGTCATGTTCAGGTTATTTTTAGTGGCAAATTCAACCAGCTCATTGATTCTTTTCTCTGCACCAGTAATTACTTTCCCTATACTTTTTCCCTTAAATACATCTTCGTACCCAAAGGAAATAAAGTAGCCAAGTTCAGGACAACGAGGACAAACTTGATCCGTTGTAACAGCAGGAGTACATTTCCACTTTTTCTCCAGTAGGAACCTTATTACAGCAGTGGAAATATCAAGAAGTACTTGTTTATCTTCTTCGTTTGAGTTATGTATTGTTATACTAATATTTTCGTTTAGAATTTGAAAGAGAGTATCTAGGTTTGGGGTTTCAATCTTAGAGAGAGACATAGAGACATATGTCCATTTCTGTGGAAATATCCTTTTAACTGCTTCGGTTGCATCTTCCACATTAAAATATATTGTAACACGGGGATGCAATGCCTTTGGGTTATCTTGTGCTAAAATATGCACTTTCTCTTCACTATTATTTTTTGTCGAATTTAGACTCTCTGCGTCTAGTAGTGTATACGTAATAGAAGATTCACTTGAAAATATCTTGTTTTTTGCTGAGTTAAAAGCAGAGAAGGTTTTTGAGTATATATTCTCTGGTTTTTCCGTTGTAGCATTATGAAGATGTTCTGAGTCTTTGGGATCTGTTCTGTTGTTCCTTTCTCCTGTATCTAAATTCATTATAAATTTGTTAAAAAATGAATGCAATATAAAGTATTGAAATATTCAATTATCATGCTTAATATACTATTACCTGAAGAAATCAATGCATAAATCTTGTTTATCCCCATGGCATAGTGCATTTGCAATCTTATTGGCACCTGTCAAAAACCAAATGTTTTTATGCTTAAATTGGCTCAATTTTACCACAATACCCTAAACTTATAAACAATTGATCAAACCCGCTTTAGTGCAGTATTTCATTTAACTCAAATAAATATAATCTAAACCATACGGATACCTAGACTCTACCACATATATACTCGTGTTCTATTTAGTTTCTTTTATATTTGGTTCTATAAACATATTTTAGACTGCTTTTGCTACGTTTTAATTTATGCTGGCCTAAATAGAACCTATCATTAAGATGGACATAAGCTCATTCAGGTCAGATTGAAATACAGGAATAAAAGCAAGTGAAGATGAAAAAGGCAATTATATTTAATAGAATACTAGTATAGACTAACCTCCATATTTATAAACAAATTATTCCATAAGAATTCTTAACAGTATTTTTCTTTCTCTCAAATATTTATATTTATTTCTCATTCATCATTATTTATTTTCTTCCCTTCACTTCTAGGTTTGTTTTTTATCACATTGATACACATTATTTCTAGAAATTGTTCTATAATCATATCGATATATACCTAATTATTCTTCTGTATAAATAAGACCAAGAAGAGAGATATCTTGTATATTCATATAAACCCAGATAAATACCATTATAGTGTAATAGCATATACTTAAATTGATAGACTAAAATAAACACATATATTGATCACTCAGACAAGCAGATTTACAGAAGACAAAGGAATCTGGTATACTGAAGGACTTTCTCATAATAAATTCAAATGCGTAGATGTAAGTTACTGCAGCAGATAGCTTATTAAGTAAGTTTAATCATTTATTCGTCAAATATGTTAAATATCTTTAGACTGTTTCCTTCTGCCACAAAAAGTCTCTTTCCTGATATCTTCATATCAGCCACAGGTGTTCTAAGATCTATCTTATGTGTTCCCATGTACGTTTCTTTGTCTCTAAGCATAATGCTATTCTTGCAGGAATATCCAAAGAAGACTGTCCCGCATTCAATTCTAGAAATAAATGTAACGTCTGATTGGTACTGCTTCTCCATAGATGACAGACTGCATATGTATATTGCACCCCCTAGCCCACCTGCATAGACCTTTCCATCTTCATATCCTGCTGCAGTGATTGGGGTCGGTAAATTAAATGTTGTTTTAGCCCAGTCTTCCCCTTTGTAGACCTCAATGGCCCCTTCCACAATAGCCAGCACCAAAACAACTTCATCCTCTATTACTCTAAAAATAGTTCTTCCAATTTCCCCACTTGTTTTGAACCGGGCTGTCTCCTTGTTGTCTGCTAGAATGACAATTTCATTTGAGGCCAGCCCAATTGCCAAATAATTCCTGCAGTTTCCAATTGTTCTAATGGGCTGGTCTGCTTCAAAAACAATCTCACCCTTCCCAATGTCAACGACTTTATTTGTCGTGGTCAGAACATAAACCCCTTCTTCTGTTGAGGTTACTGCCCTAATTGGCTTAAATGAGTTAAACTCCTTTATGAGTTCTGTCCCAGGCCCAAGTGAATACTCCTTTGTTTCCCCTGTGGTAGTACATAGAATGACTGTGTCCATGTGCAGGTCAGGATGCCTTCTTATGGAGATTGAGGTTATTGAGCTATCAACATCTATCTTTGCAGTCTCAGATAGGATCTTTGTCACTGCAATGAACTCAATTGTTATTGTCTCTTCTTTCTCACATTTTGGCATTTCTTCTATCTGTTCTCCATTGTAGAAGAATGCATAAGATTTGTTCTGCTGCAGGTACGTATTCAGAAACTGCTCCATTTGAGCATCTGTGAAGTCATCAGATATTTGCATTGGGGGAGTACTAAACTCCTTGTCTTTCATATTTGTAAAGACCACTATTACTTCACTCATTACAGGGGTAGACAAAATTCTTCATTTAAATTCGTCACAAAGATATCCAGAGATAAAGCACCAATCAAATTATTTTTTTATATGACCACAGAATATGAAGAATGCGTCCAGAAGAAAAAAACATCTCTTAGTGAAACTTCTACTGACACCATGATTATAGAAGTACTAAGCAGAGTGCCCTTTATCACACAAAGTGAAATAGCTGAGACACTAGAGCTAATAGGCTCTGAAAGACTAGAATCCATTGCAAAAGAAAATCCATTGCTTATGCACACTGTCTATGATATACTTCTACTTAGGGCAGGACAAAATGAGAGAGAAACCCGGGAGATAAATAGTACAATTTACACTGACTTTAATACGCCTTGTACGCCTTATAATAAGTGGAGTCAAGATATCTTGAAATTCACAACTCTTGACTTAAAATCAGCCCAGAAGATAAGTGCCTTATTAAAGAGAAAATATGCTGACCTGAAGCCATATGATATTACAGAGCTACTAAGGAAGTTAGAGTACATGTGCACTGGTACTTCTTTTTCACCACAGGAGAAGAGTCTTTCCCTGGCTCTTCTGAATATTGCAGTTAAAGTAGGCAGTCTACCACCTGCTGAAATTCTAAATATATGTAGTATTATGAAGTGCATGCAATACGAGTCAGCAGAAAGTACTCTTTTGGAGTACTTTGAAAGAACTGACTTAGTTATAAATGAAGATGCAGTCAGTAGGTTTGTCCAAATGAAAAAAGTGCAGAGTCACTGGATGGTCAGGGTGCTTCTGCAAGTGCATCCAGACCGGGTTATGAACATATTCTATAAGATTGAAGAGAGCTTGCATCACTTCATCAAAGAAAAAGATATTGAGAGAGTTGTTGCACACTTAACCCCTCTATATATGCATAGTCAGACTGAGGAGATTGAAGAGTCAATTTTCAGCAGATTTAAAGAAAGAGATATGCTTAAGAGCATGTGCAATGAGCATATATGGAGTTAGTCTATTGTGTACGAAAAATAAATAAATGTAATAGTTCAAGGCATATTATAGACTTAGTCCTACTATTATATTAATATATCCATCAGTATATTCTCTACTTATTTGTTCTTTATATTTCCATGTGATATATTGACTTCATTACCCTTCAGAGTATTTCTATTCCAAGCCATAAATGTACATTGATGATAACCATTGTATTCAGAGTATTTTGACTATGAGATAGTATATTGCCAGGATATTTACTTGTTTATGTTCTAGTTAGTCTGGATTAGACTCTTATCCATTTATTCATTCATTCACTAAAGAATGAATAATCAATTATCTTCATAAAATATCATGAAAGACTCACTTGGTGACTACTACAGGCCCATTCCCCAGATATAATATTATTTGAAGTAGACCTATAAATAGACAGTAATAATTCGGGTTATATCCAGTCTAGTCTGACTAAGTCTATTATTTCAACAAGTAAATTAGTTTAGTCCTTTATCTAATATTTTTTGACACTTTTTTATTTGTGTCCAGATATCATTTATATTTAAATTTTAAGTTTGACACTTATTTTTTATCCAAAATAAACCTTCATTATATTTTAATTATCCAGCACAAGGTAGAAGTGCAATCTTATAGAAAATCATAAATACGATTCATATTGCATTTAAATCAAAATATATCTATTGAATTATTCTTGCTTCAGTAATAATTAAATTCTTGTCTTTGGGAATTTTCAGAGAATTTCTTGTATAATATGCAGGGGTAAAAAATAAATAACAGAAGAGGGACAGACTGCATCTAATAAATAGATATAATTAGGTATATACTAGTATTAAATCAATCTATAAGAAATAACTTTGTTTACAAAATAAATACCAGTCTTTGATTCTTGTATATTTTCTATATTAAATTAAAGTTTTTTTATAAGCCAATGAGAACCTTTGTTATTTTAGCTCTAATATTATATGGGGTAAGAATGGGAAACTTATGCAGCTGCATACAAGAGGATTTAAACGAGAATGACTGGCCTGTACTATTAGCACAAGAGTTCAAAGATCATTTAGATGAATGCATGGATGATGAGAAGTCATCATTAGTGCAGTCACGGTTCTTAGTACGGCCATTTTCTGCCTGTGCAATGGATGCAATGGAGGCAGAAGAAGAAGTTCAGCTGGAAGTATTATGTGCTGATTTAGGTGGGACAAGCCTAAAATTAGATATATACACAGTAGCCAGCGAGACAGGACACACTGAAAAAGTCACTAAACAGACTGTTAAGTACGATATACCAAAGACCAAGGAGGAAATAGCTGATAGAACCATATATGAATTTATGTCTGAGAAGATAATAGAATTCATTAATGACTACCAGAAGGCACAAAGAACTGGAGGTGCCCCTATGAGGGGTGCACTAACATTCTCGTACCCCCTGGAGAAATGCGGGGATGGTTTTAAAGTCACCAAATTCACCAAGCAATTCAACTGGGTGAAGGCTGTCACAGATAACAGCCCAGAAATGCCCTTAGATGAGCTTAATAAGCTCACTAACAGGTATGTCAGATTTAGCACAATTGCAAATGATACAACAGCACTGGGTATCTGGGCCTGTCAAACCCATGAAGATGCAATTGGTGGATTTGTCTTAGGAACAGGCATGAATTGCTCATACCTGGATAATATTCGGAAGAGTGAAAATATGAATGGGAAAAAGGTCAAAGCCATTTACAACACGGAATGTGGTGGATTTAAGTTCTCACAAGTGAAAAGCATAATGAATGATGCAGATATAAAGATTAATGAAAGTAATCCTTTAGAGGTAGATTCTTATATGCTGGAGAAGATGGTGGGTGGTTTATACTTTGAGCAGTATATAAATATTCAATTCATGGAGGAACTTACTAGAGTAGCAGGTGATGATCATGCAAATTCAGTTAGAGATGCTGGGTTCTGGTTAAAGAATGGTAAATTACAGCCTAATGATCTGATTGAACAAATAGCTGACGTATTTGATTATATTGGTCTAGGGTACCATTTCCAGAAGAAAATGTATCGGTTTATTACTGATGCTATCTCTAAGGCAAAGGACCGTAAATATAAAATATGCGCAGGTCTTTTAGCTGGTGTCATATACAAGAGTATGGAAAGTAATCCCAGAAAGAGCACAAATTATATCTTTGGTTTGACTGGGTCTGGGTGTAAAACAGAAGAATTTAATTCGAATGTCACCAGGTACATCACTGAAATTCTGAAGGCTCTTTGCAAATCCAGCACCACTGAGGTTTCTGTTGAATTTAAATTCTCAGAAGAGGCTTCTCTACAGGGTGCTGCCAGTTCTTACGTATACAAGATATATAATTAAGTAAAATATAATACAGTTATATAAAGATATTCTATAATAGAATAGAACGGTAAAACCCTCTTTAGTAGGCACATAAATAAAGATCTAAGATGGATTGCAACTTCATACTTTAAATTAACCTGTCTAAAATGCACTTAACCTGTCTAAAATACAGTTTGAACCACTCTTGGTTATTCATAGTATACCATTATAACTGGGGTTAAAATCTCATTTTAATTATTCTGAAGCCACAAGAGTCCATTAATGATAATTTCACTTTCCAAAGGATTCCTCGTATATCAGAGACTGACTATAACATAGGAAGATAGTAAGAACAATACAATTCAAGAAAACGCAGAACATGTCAACAGGAAGAAGTACAATTATCAAATATACAAAAGGTCACAGTTGCCAACTGCAGGATTACAACAATAAAACTCACTTGACAACTACCCCTATTAGAGTCTAAAATACTACTATCTCTAGACTAGCTCATTGCCCCCCCCTTTGGGCACGTCAATATAACCAGTATGCCTAGTACAGCAATAGAAATATGAATAATTCACTGAATTACCTGAAAATAACCGTATTACAGGCCCCTGTGCAATAAACAAAATATAAAAGACTGCAATGCATTCAAAGACAGAAGCAAAGCAGCAGGAAAATAAACACTAGAACAGTTATTTTTATCATAATATGAGAAGATACGCAGCCATCTAGAATTAATAATATTCAGGCTACTGTACCAGAAGAAAGACAAGTACACTGTATAACCCGAACCCCGTATAACCCGAATATAACCCGAATCATTCACTTCTCTTTAATACTTCTGCATTTGCTGCTGCACTTTCACACTGAGAAGCATAGGATTTATTAAACCTCACTGCCTGCCAGGCGTCTCTTTGTGCTGGCTGTGCAGTGTTCTCCTTTGTGCTTAGTGCTCTCCTATATACAGCTACTCTGAAGGCCTGCAGTTTGGACAAAGCCAGTTACCCCTGGGTGCACTAAATAGTCCCATGCACTCCATGTGAAACCAAGGAATTTCTATGTGGAATGCATCACAGGCAATCATGTCTCCATATGCAGGTCCATTGCATATGCAATATTTTCCATTCATTTGCGGTCCATCTGCATCCTCTGGGTTTCTCAGTCTTTTCGGATTATTTTTGTTCGTCTTGAAAATTCTTGGGTTCTGTGTCTGAATTCCAAATTTTGGCTCATAGGAAGACTCTAGCAGAAGAAGCTGCTGGTCAACCAGTGAGAGCAAAGAATTAATTTCAGACAAGAAATTTTTTGACAAAGAAGTTCTGTCATCCAGAAGCTTCTTATATGACTCGTATACAGTAAGTATCTTTTCTTCTGTTTCTTCACTCTCTATGTGCTTTGTAAACTCAATTCCAGAAGAAAGAAACTCCTTCCTTTCTTTCTGTGCATTTGTATATGACTCTTTAAGCTGCTCTACGTACTTGTTATAATTCGCCATTAAGTTATCTGTCTCTTCTGTCACTCTTTCTAATGTCTCTTGCGGTAATCTATTATTATCCATATTTAAATTGACTAATTTTTTTATACTCCATGGAAGAATATATAGGAGCATGCCTTATAATAAAAACGAACAAGACAACGCACATAGGAAGACTGCACCAAATATCACCTGAAATGAACAAAATGGTAGTAGAAGTATCTGGGAACCTCAAGGAAATAGAACTTTCTGAGATTGATGAAGTAGAAATACTTGCTGATGATGATAGCGAGATAATACAAAGAGAACAAGAGAAGGAAAAGACAAAACCAAAGGAAGAAACAAAGAAATTAGTGCCTGTCACGCACGTATCAACAGAAATATATAGTAGAATAATAGAGCTGTCAGATACTCTATTTGGTCCATCAAGAGGCGAGATTGTATACTCAGGTGCAAGAGGGGTACTGCACCTATTTGTGAATATTTTCAAATTCATGGATAAAAAGTTCGTTATATACACAGGGTCTGGTATATTCTCTGAGATTGCAGTTGTTTTAGGAAGAATATCACTACTGTACGGGACAGAAGTAACAATTATTCCATCCTCAAAGACGCAAAGAATTGCAAAGGAACTGTTCTATTATGAAGCTAATAATGGGATGGTCTCTAATAAGCGAAGAGATCAGCCAATTGTCATAATTGCAGATACAGACGTAAAAGAGGAAATGGTCAAGGGTGCAGAGAGGGTGATCTTCTTGGGAGACTATAAAAATATTGAGATCCCAAATAAAGAAGTGATATTCTTTGGGGTTCCAGTGCGAGATCCTTTAGAGTTCACTGGGAATTCAATTCTGTGCGATGTAGGGCTCTCACCAAAAGTGCTCTCTAAATATAACATTCGAAAATATGCCCCAAAATTACTCCAAAAGATTGGTAAACAGTGAAATGAAGACCAGACACAGTGGTTTACTGCTTTGCTTGAAATGTGTGGTTATGGCCTAGATGTATTTAATAAAAGTTTTGTAGTAAATCGTTCGTGCGAAATATTTTTTTAATTGGATGAAGACTCTACTTAGCACAGCAGAGGCAGTCAAAAGAGGAACCTTACTGCAAAGGGAGAAGGAAACAGAAAACAACTGGAATAAGATAGATTTAGTACTGGAGAGAATATGTGAAGCAAAGACACCAGAAGATGCCAGAATTCTTGCAGAGTTGATGCCTTTGATATGCATTGGTATCCAAAGTAACAGAAGCAAACTGAGTGGGTCAGGATGCAAAGCACTAAGCAATCTGTTTGAGATACTTGGAAATGAACTAAAAGACAGTCTACCTCAGATACTTCCATCACTCCTTGGGGCACTCTCAAGAACAAATAAAGTCATTTTCATGAGAGCCATAAGCACAGCAGCTACTATTGCAAAGCAGTCATCACTGCAGACCATTGCAAAGCACCTTCGTATAAGAATAAATACGCACAGTAAGACAGTCAGGCAGGGTCTCCTGGAGATGGCAATCCATGGGGTTGAGAGAGAAAGAATTAAAGAACTAGTCGAGATAATGGAGCTTCTTGTTGAAGACGTAAACCCAGAGATACGTGCCCGTGCCAAGGAAGGACTCAGCAGAATATCAGAGATGGACAGAAAGACAATTGTAGACCTAACGAATAAAGCACCAGAGAAGACACTGCCACAGAGAAATGGCACACTGTCAGAGATGGAGACCACCATGCCTGCAAGCATTCTCTCTACTGTAGAAGGATCACCAAAGCCAAGTGTGGTTGTTCTTAAGTCATCTGGTGCTAATGTGGTTGTACGAGGACCAATTAGGTCATTTGCTAGTACAATATTTGCACCTGAAAATATTAAAAAACCGTTACAGCCAGGATATTCTCTTGAGAGGATAGGGCAGAGACTGGAGATGCACAAGAAGGAGGTGGAAGAAGGTCTGAAGAAAGAGTGGACCCCAAAGAAAACACCAATCATCAAGAAGAGGCAGGGCCTGTCAATTGGTACACCCGTCTGCATCAAGAAACAATCTCAAGAGGCCATTAGCTACCCAGACGAGGAGAATGCTGATCTGTTAAACATATCAGAGGAGATAGGAAATTTGTCTATCACTAAAACAGAAGATACAGACCACATTGTAGAGAATAAAGGCATGCATGACAACATATTTAGCAGCAGAGAAATCAAAGGAACAAAAGAGTTCATAGAATCCTGCGGAATTGCAAATGACTCCATGACTGATGGAGACTACTCTATCTTGGCACCTGATGTATTCGTGAAGAGATCTACCACAAAGAAGATCTAACCAGAAATATCCCGAATAGATGCCATACACAGAGAGGCCTGGCCGGAATTTCCTGTAGGAAGACCAGATGGTTTAGGGTATGAAGACTAATTAAAGCCTTATTATAATTGGAAGTGCATCATACAATGCATAAATCATGGGAAGTGCATCATACGTGGAATAAATCATGGGAAGTGCATCATACGTGGAATAAAACACTCTTATTCCCTTCACTCTTCTGTGCATATGACAGTTAAATTTCATTTTTCTGTGCAATTTCACTTTCACTCTTCTGTGCCTGCCGGAATAGAATATGTGCTTTGACTGTCTCTTAGTATTAAATAATTCTTGTCTTCTGCTATTACTGCAGTAAGATAAAACTAGCACTAGGATGACCTATTCTAAGTGCAGCAGCAAGAAAGAATTTAATGAAATAAATACTCCCATACTTGAGCAAATATCTTACCAAAGACCTGGGATAACTGTTATTCCCACATAAATAAGTCTTTACTCTCTATCTGCTTGTACGCCTCAATTGCTGCAGGCTACAGAAATAATATTAAGAATTTTATCTAGTATATCTAAGATATAATAGGCTTCAGAGAAAATAAAATGAATTAATTAAGCTGAACACTTTATTCCTACTACATTAATGAATTACTTCTGCAAGAGACCATCATATGACTAATCCTCTGGGAAACTGAATTATTTAGTAGACTAAAAATCACAGAAGCCAAAGAGAAACCAAAGAGAATTCTTTAGAAGTCTGGAGTACAGCCATACGAATTAACTTTGAACTATTTCTCAGAAGATTTAGTAGGGTCCTTTGCAGAGCGCATTTCAGTTCTAGACATTTTAAAAATACTGCGAAATGGAGTTCCATCTAGCATGCCCTTTTTCTGTTTTGTTACCCGTATGTGCACTGCATCCATTTCCTGCGGAGTGAGTGTATTTGCCATCTCTTGCTCTGCACCAACCCTAAGGTATTTATATATCATTTCGTATAAATTACTATATTGCGCATTCTTGCCTGTTTTGCTCATGTCTTCAATCACATCCTCTGCTGTTGCATGGAGTACCTCTGTCTTCTCACTTTGCACTGGATCTTCTTTTTGAATATTTTCTGCTTGAATTACTGCAGGACTGTCACTTACCATTGTATTGGCATCTTTCTGTTCCTGTGCCATCTTATGCAGCTGCTCAGTTAAATATGCTATTTTCTGGTTTAAGTCATTGATTATCTCATCTTTTGATTTAACAATCGGTCTTTCTGATGTTTTGATTCTTTTCAAACGCTCTGCAAATTTAATTGTTAGTTGATCTGAGAGATCTATCACTGTGCACATGCATATTATTGTCCCATAGCTTAGTGTATTCTGCAGTATTCTGGTTAATTTTGACTCTCTGTAGGAAACATGTATGGTTTCAGTGTGCAGCTGGTCTATTACCTTGCCCAGAGTGAGAAGACTCTTGTTTATCATAAGACCCTCCTTCCTTCGCTCCAGATCCTCTGCAATCTTCTCGTTTCCTGCTAGGTCTACTAGATTTAGAGCCAGATTTATTGCATTAACCTCAATTACTGTGTGACTTCTGCTGCTTGCTGCATTGTGCTCTGTCTCTGATGTCTTTCTTTTCTTGATGATTGTCTTCAGCAGCACAGAGACATCTGCTTCTGTTTTAATTGTTACTTGTGTCTTACTTATAATGCGTGTTGCATTTGCTTCCTGCACTATTCTTATTGGCTCGCCTGTGAATAGATCAGTTGCCACCTCGTTGTATATCTCAATGCACTTGACTGACAGAATACCATGCGTGCTTAGAGTCTCCATTAGAATTAGTTCTGCAATTCCAGGCATATTTTCATCCCCAAACATCGTGTATGTTTTCCCACTGCCTGTTCTTCCGTATGTGAATATAGTAGAGAACGATATTCTGCTGGTGTGCACCTTAATGAACTTATCGTATATCTCCTTGTTGGTGTGGTGGGAGAATACTTCGTCTGCATGCGGGCACTGTGCATCTACAGTGCTGGGTGGTTTTACTCGGATTCCTACTACGACTCTGTGATTTCTTTCCATGCCCATACTCTCAGAAAGGCTTTTAATCTGGGGCGGTATGTGATTTGTGGATTATGAAACAATTTCTGTCCTAACAGGCGTTATTTTTAAGGCATATCTGCTAGTGGCTTAAGATTGGCTAGCAGCCTGGTAAATATAAGCCAATTCCAAGAGAATCTTCTGGTTTAAACTTTTCTTCTTGTTTATCTCTACGAATTACATGGTATTTTAAAGCAAAATGAAACCCTTCATTTTTTCAGAGAAATTCTTAGTACAGATATACTTCTATTATACATAAATAGATAGAATACTTTAATAGATTCATTTGCAATAATATTGATGGAAATAGAGCAAGTGGTAGTCTATATTATATAAATGCCTCTTGTTACAATTTGTATATGTACATAAAGATTCCTCTATTACAGGACTACTTTTATCTAGTCTAGAGACCATTTCCATGGTGAAACTTACTATTTGCCCTGTAATAACCACCATATGACATAGTATATTCATACATATACTCATACGTATATCCATATATAAGACAGTCCTTCAATATTTCCATCTTTTTTCATACAAGACAGCAGAGTGCAAAACAAAAGAATGAAAGCTGTCTATGAAATAAATTACAGTCGAATTCTAGATATCTCTAAAGATTCCTTAATAAAGGCAAACAAGATAGAAATATATCTAGAATATGAGGTCTTAGTATATCCATATCTTGTTTGTCAAAGTGCTTCTATTTACTGTAAATTCTCTTCATATTAGGCCTTTATAGTATGTTCAAATTCTATCATAAGAAGATGAAATACTTACTTTTATGCATAATACACCAGGGATGCACTGCAGTCTCTTCACAAATTTAGACTTAAACACCAAAAATATCCATTATTGAATAGATTTAAGGCATATTATTAGTGTTCAATTGAAAGAGAATCCAGCTATAATAATCTCAATGAGTAGACTTCTAAGTGGAAATCAAAAGAATGAATATCAGAAGAATTCTTTCTGGAAGTGTGCTTTTCTGGCACAGAATGTGCTTGTATAAAAATAGCAAGATTCCATATAAATGCGAATATTACAAGAAGAACCTTCTAACAGATATAAATATACTAATATACTCTAGACTAAACTACTATTCACACTACAAAGCATGAAGTATCTGGCAATGTCTCTCTTCATGAACACTTATTTATATAAACTGTGCATTTTTGTACATCCATTCATTCTGAGCACTTATGTGCACTTGTCTTTGTATATTTCTTTGTGATTTTTTCAACTGCTTTGTCACTTGTTTGACTGGACTGGCATAGTCTAATTCCTTCAGGCACTGTGGTGTGCTTAAATAGAATCAGAATATTAATTATTTTTATTTCTATACTTTATGGCTGCACAACACTTTCGGATGATAAAGGAGTCAGAAAATACTGAGATAGAGGAGGAATCAGTGGTATACACTCACTCTTATGTGGTAAAGGAGAATGGTGGTAGATTGATAGATAGTGCAGAGAGCTGCAAAACACTATTTCAGGCACTTCATGATATCGCACATAGCCATGGAGACTTAAACTTTCTTGGGAGAATAAACGAAAAGGAAAAGATTGAATACATAACATACAAAGAGACACACATGTATGCAGAGGAAGTGGCACAGTTCATTCTGGCTCACTCGGAGATGCCAAAAGAAAAAAAACCAATCATTGGGATATGCTCAGAGAACAGGCCAGAGTGGATTATAACAGAGCAAGCAACCTACTTCTACAGTGGAATAAATTGCCCAATATATGCATCCTTTGGGTGGAGTGCAATCAAGCATATATTAAATGAGACGCAGATGGGGATTTTGTTCATTTCAGAAAAAAATGCAGAAAAGATAGCCACCAGCCTGCACAGTGAAAATAAAGCAGAGCTTAGTCTACCAAAGATTTTTGTGCTCATGGACTCTGAGATATCTGATGCCACAGTGCAAACACTCAGCACATTTGGTGTGGATCTGTATTACTTCTGGGACATTGTGGATCGATGCAAAAAAGTAAGTTCTTCCAGTGAAAAGGTCGCTGAGACAGCAGAGACAGGAGAGAGACCCTCTGGGAAATTCAAGAAATTCACTCGAAATGCAGAGAAGTATGAGGAAATGAAAAAGCTTTTTTGCTCCCCAAAGCCAGAGACAATTGCAACAATCTGCTACACAAGTGGGACAACAGGGGCACCAAAAGGAGCAATGCTTATGCATAAGAATTTCATCAGTGTGATAGGAGCATTCATTCTCCTGTCAAAAAGAGGAATTTTCTTTGATATTAAGGCAAAAAGGAGATATCTCTCTTTCCTTCCACTAGCACATGTGTTCGAAAGAATTGTAGAGTCTGCACTTCTGCTTAGCAAATGCGAAATAATCTACTATAGAGGGAATCCTAAGCAGCTGCAGAAGGATTTTAGCATCTCAAAGCCACACTACTTTGTTGGAGTTCCAAGGGTATTCAACTCAGTAAAGGCAGCAATTGAGATGAAGGCCAAGGAGAAGGGAGTAATTGCAAACTTTATCTTTAAATATGCACTCCTGGTGTGCATGCTGTGCAAGAACAGGGTTATTCGGGGAGTATTTGGGAAAACCATCTTTAAGACAATCCGAGAGACCTTTGGAGGAAGTATCCTGTGCATGCTTTCAGGATCAGCACCTTTGTTACCAGAGACTGCACTTTTCTTTGAAGCCATCTTTAACTGTCCTATGTTTGAAGGCTATGGACAAACAGAGACTGCAGCAGGAAATATCACAACGGACATTTTTACTGTGGAAAAGGGTGTTATTGGAGTACCTTTCCCTTGCAACAGAGTCAAGCTAGTGTCTCGCCCAGAAGCCAATGCATTTGCAGAGAAGAACCAAGGGGAAATACTTATGCAGGGTCATTCCGTCTTCTATGGATACTACAACCAGAAAAAGCTGACTCGAGACTGCTTCTACTACCCGCATGGAAGCAGAGTTGATGGACCAGAGAGTGCAATATACAACACAGATGGAAATAAGTGGATTAGGACAGGTGATATAGGTGAAATCACAAAAGAAGGAAATCTGAAGATCATTGGAAGAAGCAAAGAAATCTTTAAGTTATCGCAAGGGGAATACATCATACCAGAGAAGATTGAAAACCTTATACTAGCTGCAAAGATAAAAGGTCTTGAGGATATTACAATTGTAGGAGACAGCTCGTGTGACTATGTGATTGGAATATGTGTGATAAGCAGTGCCTCTAAGGAGATGGAGAAGAGTGTTTCTCTGTCAATTGCAAAGGAGGGAGAGAGACTTGTACATGCGGAGGAACTAATCAAAATAGAACTTCCAAAAAAGTTTATCTTTACTGACTCTCTGTTTACAATTGAAAATGGCCTTCTGACGCCCTCAGGCAAGAAGATAAGAAAGAAGATTGTATCACTGTATAACAAACAAATTCAGAAGCTATACAATACGGCCTAGACTGCATACTATGCACCTGAAGGTGTGCACCTGTGTAGTTCCGTCTGGATTTATTGAAGCTACTAATAAATTTCATGCAGTATACACCATTCACTTCATTCGGGTTATATCGGGCTATTTATATTTATATTTTCAGTCTCTGCGTAGTACTTCATATCCATGCCATGAACCTACATTAAATATTCTAGTGGCTTGTCCTTGGGTGGGTGTATTTATGATTATGACTGAATCTCATATGCTTCTGCCATTGAATAATCTCAAATCTATAAGAAAAAGTACAGTGCATGATTGAATATTACAGTTTAGCAGAGTAACAAGCAATTATATCCAAGGTATTCGGGTTATATCATATTTAAAAAGAAGACTGCTACTGTGAATGAGAAAAAACTCTGACTTCTGCCAGAAATTCAGAAATTGCTTTAAATAAGTATAGGTGTGAAATTCTAGTTTATTAAGTGCAGCTCAGCTACTGCAGAATATTTGCAGAGTATGCAAATATAGGCACGGCCAGAAGAAGAAACATACACAGTTCATTGTAGTGCCCAAAAAGACCTCTCTTTTCAAACTCGGATGGAGAGATATTGTATATGAACGTACGGGGTTTGATGCTTTTCGTTTTCAAGAAACGAATTGCAAGAATGTTTAAAGTGCTTAGTATTCTTCTTTTTACTATAGAGTGTATCTGTTTTGTTCCTTCCCTTGAAAGGCACTTTTCGTCTCTGGTGCTCTCTCCTTTTGCATAGATTTCCTTTCGGACAGCCTCTGCTATTCTTCTTGTGAGAATAGACAAAACAGACTGCAGAATGGACACCCGTAGAGCATGGTATTTTCTGAAGTATCCGGATAGGGCACCACTTTCAGTGAATATTCCATCTGAAATAGCCCTAGCCAGATAAAACTTGTTGTCAAATGACTTTCTGTTTCTCAGATTGAATATTTCCGGAGACTCTTGCAAAAGCACATCCAATCTATGGATCTTTTTTGCTGGCATCTTGACCATATGACCACTCATACTCTCTTTACTTGTATTGTTTTTGTAGTATTTCTGTATTAGTGCTCTGTGGTATATTTTGTTTTCACTAAGAAGGATTGTAGGAATGTCTTTTTTTTCTACTTCCTTCTGTCTATGCAAATAACTCTGGGCGAAATCATGGATTAGAAGATATATGACCCGGATAATATTTATGTAGAAAAAGGAGTCAGTGATTGAATTGACTGCCTTAAGAATTGACTCCTTTCTTATGGGAGAAATTCTTAAGAATATATCACGCAGTCTCTCTTTGTTGTAGCACCCTGTCTTTTTATAGTCTCTGTTTGCTTTTTTAATTAGAAGCACAGTGTCATTTTCAACGTATTTTGAGAACTGCACCAGGATATACTTTATATACTTCTCTACGGCTTTGGCCATATCTGAATCTACTCTATTGGGAGAGCACATCTCAATATTTATCTTCTGCCGGTCCATGCACAGAAAGGGCATTACAGAAATGTAGCTGACTCTTTCTGTTTCAATCATATTTATAGTGAGCTCCCTTAGAATAGCATACTTTGATGGCCTTCTATGCCTTTTAAACCCGCAAAAGCATGTAAAGTGTGTGAGTATTTCAAGGCTTTCCAAGAACTGTGATTTCCTACGTGGCTGCTTCTCTGGCACTACCTTCTCTTTCGTCTTATTTGGCGACTTGTCCTTGATAAGTATAGATATGTTTCTTATTCTTTTTTCAAGATCCTCTATCTCTTTGGTCCACTCAGGATCATTCTTTGCAGCCTTTTCTGAGTTTTTCAACTGTTTTAAAACTGTCTTTTCCCTTTTCATGCAGGCTAAGAAGTCACTCTTGTCTTTCTTTGCATACTCCATTAGCTCTTTCACAAAGTTGCAGATTTGGCTTCTAAAGACATGCACTTTGAACGCCTCATCGCTTAGTATCTGATGCAGAAATTGAATGCTTACAACATTACTGCATATATAGTTAAACACCAGAAGCTTTCCAAACTTTATTGCCTCCAGTGAGTCTGGCTGCATTCCTGCCTGAACGGCCACTAGCTTTCCCAAATCGAATATTTTATTTCTATGCTCCATAAAAAACCTCTGAATACAAAGGCTTTCTTTTGGAAACTTGTCTGCTTGTTCTACAATCTCTAAGAGCTCCTTCACTGTCTTTTTAATAAGGCCGGTGCTAATATGTTTCTCTTCCATAGTACTCCTTATTATTCTCTCAAACTCAATTTATTCAAATATTCTCGGGGTATTACTCCTTAATTGCCTCCATAAAATCAGAGTGCATTTTATTATATGACACATCCGCAAAGTATACATCTCCTGATTCCTTCATGCTAATCATAAATTCAGAGTCCTTGATATGAAGACACCCATCAATCACACCGTTCAAAGGGACTATTCCACAAGGACTTTTCACAGTTATTGTGCAATCTGAAGACACAACAAATGATGGGGCCTTTTTATCAGCAGGGCACACAAATGTAATAACAACTCCTTCAACAGCCCCATGCAGAATTGGCCCATTGGCAGATGCGTTGTAGCCACTAGACCCAGTGGGTGTGCTAATAATTACACCATCACATCTAACAGCCTGATGTGTTAACTGTGAGTCAATTGAGATGGAAAGGGCTCCAAGCAGCCCCTTTTCTCTCTGATATATGTATATTTCATTGAGTGCATATACGCTTTGGTTAAGAAGCAGCCTGCGTCTTTTTATGGTGCAGTCCCTGTATAGCCTATCTATTTCCTCAAAATCATCCATACACATGGCAGTTATTAAATTCTGAAGAGTATTTTCTCCTTCTTTCGTCATCTTCTCCTTAATATTGCAGAGCCGCCCCCTGGTCCCATGATCAAAGGAGAATATCATAGGGGTATAATCTCTGTCCTTACTGACTACTGGGTTTCTTTGGATTTCTCCCTTCACCATTGGCACCCTTCTATCCATGCAGATATATTCTGCAGTCTCAAAATAATTCTTTATTGCTGTGCAAATAGAAAGCGTCTTAAGGACGGTTCCATCCCCTAGGAATAGAATAATTGCTTTGTAATCTGTGTTTCTGTACAAAACCTGCTCTGCATACATTTCTGGCACATCAGATACGTCCACACTGCATATCTCCTCTATTTTAGTCTTTAGACTTTTTTCGTATTCTTGAAGCTCCTTTCTGTTCTTTACGACAATAAGACATCGCATTTATCCTTAGTAGTACTCAGAGAAATAAATTTTTATGTCTTTAAAGATTCTTCAGTTAGAGCTGCTTAGACTATCCCCAGAGAACACTCTCCAGCAGAACTACTGCACAAAAGGCAAGACAAAGGATGTTCTGTGGAAAGACATCCAGGTGCTTTCAAATGGAAGGAAATACAGCGCAGCATACGCCTGTGCTTCTGCGCTTAAAACCATTGCAGAAAAGGAAAACAAGCAAGAACTGCTTAGAAGATGTCTTTTAGTGCTTGCTAGGCTTTCAGTTCTTCTATCTTATGCCACTGCAGAGTCTTTTTATAAAGCACTAATTAAAGAAGTGTACACTGATGTATTTGTATACAAAGGAATATACAGCTACTCTCTTGATGTCTTTAAGCAATGCGAGAACAATGTATCTGCCTTTCATTTTGTGTTCAAGGAATATCTAGCAAACATTAGAAAGTCAAAGAACAAAGATAGAGAGGAGATTCTATTCTATACTCTTATTCAACTGCACCTTGCAGGAGAGAACCCATGGGCATCGCACGAGATAGACCTTGATCTTTCATCGCTTCCAGTGCACATACGGGATAGATATATAGAATATACTTCAGATGAGCCACTTTTCCCGTCTTTTGTGCAGGAAAGAGATCTTCTAGAGTGCCACTCTGCGAACCTGCATAACTCAAAGCAATTTAGAAATGCGCTCTCTGTGTATAGAAAAACCCCTAACTGTAATGAATAAATATAAAATACTTTGTAGGTAGTTTTAGTGCCAGAGTATACACACTAGCAGAGTGCCTATAGTTAATATCCTTTGCTTTTGGACTAAATATGATTTTTATCCTCTTGAGCCTTAATAGAAGCATAAAAATAAAGCATAGCACAGAATGAGTTTCTGTCTGGATTGTGGATTTACTAGCTCTCTTTATAATTCTCTATGCAGAACTATGTCTCTTTAGATTCTATTGAACTTTAAATACGATATACTGTTTAAAGTGGCAGACATGTGTTTAGTATATGAGAAGCCTTTGTTGTTCTCCTTTAAAATCATGCAACTGTGTTCAAGCTTATTTAAGAACTTCTATATAGCTATAAAAATGAAAAGTATTAGTATAAAAGTATTAAAACTACAATAATATTTTAGAATAAAGCTGTTTAGTTAGTGTGCTAAGCAAAAAGAACTAGTCTTTTAAATGAAACAACGCATTGGCATAGTACCAAAACAATGGCAGCATAAACAGAGCTTATTCTTAGCTATGTTTTCATAGAAGCATTATTTGTATGATTTACTTTATCATACAATATGTTTGTTTCATTAAATGAATTCGAGAAGAAAAAAGGCAGCTCTTCTATAAATCTAGGAAAAACAATGTTTGACTTTGGGTTGAAATCCTTCTGAGTTTTAGCCTCGTTGTAATTACTTAAAATAAAAATAGTCACTAAAACCATAACCACACATGTGGCAAAGTGGGTCAAATAATATAAAAAGCTTTCTATTCCCCCAAATGGGTTAAAGAATGCAAACTTCTTTGATCTTCGGCAATTTAACAGCCACTTTTCGCATATTCCCAGAACAGACCCTATGCCTGTTAATAAAATGAACGTGTACATTAGAAAAGGCCATATCGCATGCTCATTAATTATTGTTATAAGCTTTATATTAATGACCTTAATAATTAAGAAAACCATGCTAGTAGCGAGTATAATGGTGAGCATCTTCATAAAGCATTTCATCATGTAGGGGCTTCTCCTAATATAATAGTTGTACCTCATAATGCTGTACAAGTATATTAGAAGGCCTGCTGCTCCTGCAATAACAGTGTTGTCAAAAAATACACCACCATATGTTAAAAGAGGAAATTCCTCCATGTTAACTCTGTAAATCATTACTATTCCGATCCAATTGCTTAGTATAAAAATACAATATCCCAATGATATGTAAAGCTGAAGAGGAAAAATAAACTTAATAAATAGCTTTTGAACTATGCGGGAAAAGTATCTTTCTATTGGACTGCAAATGCATGGAATATCCCGGTTTCCGCCTGAGTGCTGGCTGCCTCTCTTTTGTCTTTTTTGTCTGGACAGCGGCTTAGTACTTGAGTCATTCTCATTATCTGCAACAAAGAAGTCCCTTTGACTAGTATTGTATGGTTGAGGTTGATGCAGCGCTGTATTGTTCAGGCTTTCATTATATGACTGGCGCGGCCTAGCCAAAGTTATATATGACCTGCGCGCCCTGATTAGCTCATCTGCGGATAGAGAAGGAGGTGCTGGAGGTGCCCTATATTTTATGCGAGGGCCCTGCTTTTCTATAGATATGCTTTCTTTTTTCATACGTAATTAATATAAAAATATAGATTTTAAGCTTTTCTATATATGTTGTATTTTTTGTACTGATCTTTGCGTTATATTAACTAGTGCAATCTTTTGATTTCTCTAATTCTTTTATCAGAATGATCTTCTATGCAATTTATTGCCAAATAAGCTTAACTAAAACTACAATGTGCATGAAAAAGAAGTAAATCTATGATAAAATCGAGTGATACGCCTTCATAAACAGCCTATAGCTATAGCTCTTTCGAACAATATTTTGTTACTGTGCAATAACAGGGATGAAACTTCTTAAACCCCACTGCTAAGTTATTCAAAGACAGATTATTTCAAGGCGGTTTTGTTCTTATTTAGCTTCTTTCATGCTTTTGCCTTTATATATATCTTGTTTCTGTCTCTGTCTATATCCCTACATGCCCTTTCAATTTGCACAGTTTCTCTATTTTCGTGTTCTCTCCTCTAAATTTTCTACTAAACCTTCTAAAATATAAATTTATATTTGACAATAGTATACACTTTGTTTTATAAAAAGAAACACATTAAATTTGATAATTCCAGAAAGATGAAAAAGCATAATATAAGCACAATACAAGAAACTACATCTAGAATTTACATAACTCTACAAAATATGCCTGCATACACATTAATTTTCAAATCTGCTTGTTTATTGGCACACATTTAGGAATATTTTATGATGTAGAATGCTATAGCTTAGGACAGCATATAACAGCACTCAAATACAGCTGTTTTATACTTTGCTAGGCATACATAAGTAAAATATCCGGATAAACTAGTAATTTAGCTACTAAATAGGCACCTGGATAGGAATATCTGCTTTGCAGTAATATCACAGCTTGAACAACAAGTATTCTTGCTTGAGTAATATTTTTTTTAATGAAAGAGAGAAAGCCAAATTTCATACGAGAAATACGTATGCTGATGTATTCACTTGGGGATACTATGAACCCAAGACTTGACTCAGCAACCGTAATCCACGACTATCTCTGCCACTATCTGACGAATATTCTGGAAAAGGCAAAAAATGTATCTAAATGCAGAGGAAGAACAAAAACAGATGATCTTATGTACACTATAAAAAGAGATAGAAGAAAGTATACAAGGGCTAAGGAGCTTTTGGTGACCAACGAAGAGCTAAAGAAAGCAAGAAAGCCCTTCGAATATGATGCAATTGAGAAGGAATAGAAGGCAGGCCACAGGCCTGTATTCTGTGTAGTATTTATAGAATAAACCTTTAGCAGCCAAATATATCTGCACTCCCACCTCTTGTTCTTTATATATAGTGCAGCTGGAAATTCTTACCACGGTATAGAACTATTTTGTTTATTTTTGCACAGAACCCAATGCGTATATATTTAATACGTATACATTAGAGCTATTCAAAAGCCATATTATTGTTTAATGTTAAATAGTGCAGGTGACTCGAAAGCAGCAGCATAAAAAGCATTTTTTCTAAGAGAAAGGCATCGCCTTCAACTGCAAATATACTGAAACAAATGGTAGCTTCCAAGTACACGCAAATATATATAATTAAAAGGTTGTCTAAGCATACACATTAAGAGAATATCCATTTGAAAGGCATATATGCAAGCAAAGGATCCATTCAATAGAAATTGCATGCTCTATATAATATACTATGGCGTGCTAGCAGGAAAAAGCCATGGCATGGGAATAGCAACTTAATAAAAATAGAAGTTAAGTAAACAATCTTTATTAGCCTCTTGGGAGGATCATTGACTGTTATTCTTTTTCAGAACTTGTCTTAAATACGCCACTATTTTCTACTCTTTACAGAGTCCAATTTAGTATTCGGGTTTCGGGTTCTGAATGCACACTTTGGCTAGTATTATTGCAGCCATTTTATTTTGGAGCTTTTTATAGTAAGAAAGCTTTGAGGCTGCAGTGACTTTAGCACAAAAACTATTTCTGGTGATTTTCATACCAATGCTTATTAAAGCTTCTTTCTTCGGAAGATTCAAAGTCTTCCTCACTAGTATCATCTTCATATGAATAAGTATCAGAATTGCTATCTCCTTCTTCCGCAGACTCAAAGTCGCCCTCATTAGTATCATCTTCATATGAATAATCGCGACTATTCTCATCTTCTGCATATTCAAAGACCTGCTGATTGGCGCCATCTTCATACGAATAATTATCCACATGTTTATTTCCTACATCTGTAAAGATATCCCCAATGTTTTCATCTCTATAGTAATAGACATCACCACTCTCATCTTCTTCAGATTTAACGGCCTGCTGGTTGACGGCATCTTCATACAAGTGACCGTGGCTGTCTAGAACTTCTACCTTATGCTTATGCTTTGGGTTAGAGGTATCCTTTCTCACTAGGAAATTTATTTCACGCTGATTATTGTCATGATATCTCTCTCCTCCATTATTAGAATTATTCTCTTCAGAAGAATGCTTTTTTGCACTTTGCGTCTTGTGGCTATTATTATCATTCAAAGGATAGTTTCCTGTGGGAGTTGAGGCATGGTGTGGATCATACTCTCTATTTCTTTTATCAGAACGAAGATTCCTTGATGCAGTTTCAGCTCTATTTATAGAAGGGTGTGCTAGTGGATTTCTCTGCCTGTTTGAAATAGACGGGACTGAGTCTGCACACGCTGGAACCCTTTCTAATGGGGCAATTGGTTGATAGACTTTAGGATTTTTTAGAATAGAATCCTTGTATTGCTTCTCACTGTCAACATAATCATGAATATAAGTAAACCCATATAAAGTATGGCTTCCTGCTTCAACAAGGTGCTGTCTTAGAATACAGTTATATAATTTAACAATTGCAATGCCTATTTCATCAAGCACTGATATACAAGATGAAAACTGGCGCACGAATAAGTAATCATCTATAGACTCATGCTGTTTAAGTACATATGCAGATGGTTCTTCTGGATTATTTGCAATCAAGCTAGATAACTTCATCATAGTCTCTGTAAATTCAGCCTCAATACGCTCACATAGGTCATATATAATGTTTAAAAGCGAAGAAATCCCAGCTTTCATTCTTTTCTGTGCCTCAATAGAAGCCTTATTATCAATTGTGTACGGGTCAAAGTCAAGCACTAGGTTGTAGGCTTCAGTAAAATTGCTCAGAACATTTGCCTTTTCTACCAAAAATGTACACCCATCTACGATAGATTCTCCATTAACATCGCTATTTCTTAGATGTTTATAGACTGTTTCAATATGTGGGAACAGTCCCTTTACTTGGTATATCATGTTTAGTGTTGCTGCCTTGCCATAGTACATATTTTCAATCTCAGGGTAGAACAAATCTTTGTTTTCATTGATGTGTTTTTCTCGCATCTCATATATCTCGCTGCTGTTTGTAATAGTGTCTCCTCTTTTTCTAACTTTGCTAATTTCTTCTACTGCTGCATCGCTATAAATAAATTTCCTTTGAATTTCCAAAAAGACCTTCAGCTGACTGGCTATGTAAGAGTAGAAGGTTCGTACCATTACTTGGTGATCCCAAAAGGCATCAATTGCTTGTGCATCCATTCTGCTGCTCTCTAATGCATTGTACAAAACACTCCGTACATCTTGCAATTTTTCATAAAACTTAGTTATAGTGTAAGAGCTTTCTCTTATCCGCATCTCAACAGAATATGACTCCAGGTTCTTGGGCATAGCATCGCACCGATATCTGAACTTCTTCTTAATATCTGGGCGCGTATAGTTTGGTGCTGTGTCAAGCAGGTTTTTCAGATATTTGTATTCAGAAGGGTCCATGCAGCTTATTACCATAAAAGAGCAGACCTTTGGATTTATTTCTCTGTAGTCTTCTCCATATAAATAGAACTCATCAGGACCCACTGACTTTATTTTCCGAGGGGCCTGTAATATGTCTAGTAAGTTCCTACACTCGCGATACTTATCTTTGTTTTTGCTTATTGTTTCATGAAGATCTGTGAATAGAATTTGTCTTATGTATGGATTTTTCTCAGAGACTTCAAATCCATTTTCATTCGGGTTTGACTTAGGAAGGCCTGGCTCATAGAGGGTTTCTCTTTTATTTTGGTCAAAGGCATCTTCTATATATTCAAGTCCATTGCGTACAGCATAGTTATTGTCTAATTTATACTGCAATTCTCTTCTTTTTCCTGCATGCCGTTCATGTCTAGAAGGCTCAATCAAAAGGGCTGGATTCGCTGTTTCAAATGTATTAGGGCTTATGAATATCGGATTATATACTGCACAAAAAACACTTTCTGTTTCTACTAGTAGAAAGAGTACATTCCTTAAGAATCTCATAATTTTCCAATTTATCCTTCTATTTATATTTTCTTTCTAAAATCAGATTGATAGTGTTTTAATATTAGAGAAATTTCAGGAAGAGTTTTTTTTCATCGAAATATATTTTAGGAAAAATACATTTGCAAGTGCAGAACTTAGCAGGCAAGTAGATTTGAAAGATAGAGACAACCACTTTTCTCTAGATTTTACTATTTGAGCGTACTAAACTGCATTTACTAGATCTCTTATTTCTACAGTTTAAACTAAAAATGCCATATTATTGCAATATACAACTAAATATCACTGTGATTAAGATATTTGTAAAAAGAATCTGTATGATTTATGATATGCTTAAAGAATTCTTGTATTACAGTAGAATAATTGAAATAATATCTGGGTTTATCTGAAGTATTAGACTTAGTCATACTAAACTTGGATATAATTTATTTCTCATCGTATATTTATAGATCTCTTAGTCAGCAATATATCAGTAATATGCTTCAAAACAAACACATAAATAAATACACTATCTCAGGTGATGTGATAGTGAGTGTCAACAAACCAAAAGGTATAAGATACTATTCTGTAAACAAAGAGAGCCCCTTGTAGTGTATTGTTTTGCAGTCAAACCAGAAAGAAAATAATCAACACAAATCTATACTGCTGACCTGAAAAGAGAATTTCATTCCCATAAGACAAGGAAAACCAAAGAATAACCCGAATTTAAAAGACTAAGAATTTAGTCACTTATGGCCATATTCACAGCAAGAATACTGGATGCATTACTAGGCTACAAATAATTCTATTTTGGCTATAAATATCTATTTATTCAAACACGCCTGATAGAATGTCATATGGATCCGCACCAATCGACTGGAAATATTCAGACATTTGAGGATATGTAATATTATTTCGCACTAGCACAGAATATCCCTGAAGAATCTCATCACACTCATAGCCATACACGTGAATTCCGCATATTTCAGATGTCTCATTGCACACTATAAATTTATATGTGTTCTTTTGGCTGGAAAAAAGAGATGCTGGGTGGAAGAGCTGAAACTCCTTCACAGACACAGAATCTTTTATATTTCTGGCTTGTTCTTCTGTGTATCCAACTGAGCCAGCAGGAGGGTATGAAAATACAACTGTAGGAACAGACTGAACTAATTCCTTCAGGGTCCTCTTAACTGTATTTTTATACAAATAGTCAGCTAGTCGCCTTCCACAGAATATTGCCACGGGTGTAAGCATGTGCTGATCCATGGTTATGTCTCCAATTGCATATACATTTCTATAAGTTGTCTGAAAGAAGTCATCTGTATCTATGAACCCATACTGAGTCTTTTTTATCTCTGGGTTCATCACTGCCTCTGTATTCGCATGCCTTCCAATTGCACAGATGACCTTCTCTGCTGAGATTATTTCACTTCCACTCTCGGATGCAAGTGTTATTCTAACGCCTTCACTGACTTTTTCTACATGAGTGACAGTTACTTTCTCAATCAAACGGATTCCTTTGCGCATAAGACTATCCTGCACACCTTTCTGTATCATTTCATCAAAGGCCCTTAGTACACCTGTTCTCCTTGCCACCAGAGTCACCTTACAGCCAAATTCCTGAAGTACACATGCTGTTTCAATTGCAATGTATCCTGTGCCTATGATGACTATACTTGCAGGGACTTCATCAAACTTGAAAAAGTCATCGCTTGTCATGAAATTCTCCTTTCCAGTGCACTCCAAAGTACTTGGTCTAGATCCCATAGCAAGAACTGTCACTTTCGCTGCATAAATATCTTCACCCACATTGATTGAATCTTTACCAATCACTGCAGTTCCCTTAGCAGTTGTAACTTCGTCCTTTTCATTCCTTTTTATGTACATTTCATTAAGAAAGTGGATATATTTATCTCTCTTCTCTCTAAATTCCTTCCAATTATGCTCTGTCTTCTGGTCTCCGTATAAACACTTTCCCTCCGTATTTAAAGATGCCAGATTATAAAGCATCTTCTTTGGAATGCACCCGGTGTTTACACAAGTACCTCCCATGGCATCCTTCTCAACGAGCAAGACTTTCTTCCCATAGACTGCAGCTGCCCTTTTAGAAAGTGCCAGGCCACCACTCCCTCCTCCTATTACCGCCAGGTCGTACATTTAAAAAATACAAAGTATTAATTCTTTATTAGAAGAAATCCTGCACTTTCATTTTCAAATATCCAGCAGAGTAGACAAATAGCATAGAATAACACTATTAATTAGTCAAGTAAATGGAAGTTTATTACAAAGCACAACCAGAAGTATAATCTGAATACTTCATTATAATCTATTTTAGTACCTTTTAGGACTAGAAAATAGATAGTCTATAACCATAGTAAACCCACTAGACACAAATACAGCCAGATATTCCCCTAATATAAACAATTCTATATACAGAACGTAATAATACGTATGTATACTGCTGCACCCATGCTATTGCATTTAGAAGTGGAATTTAAATATGCAAGAAAAACTTAATAACGTATTTCTTTGTTCTAAGCAGAAAAGAGTTTATTAGGTTTATTAGGTTTATAGAAAGATAGTAGTAATACTTGTAATTGATTCCTTAAAAGGAATTATTTTTAGACTTTAGTATTTATTGAAGACTGAACTGTTTAATTTTGTTTTTAAGTTAATTCTGTCGTTTATCAAAGTAAACAAACTAATTAACTGATCTTATCTATAAAAGTAAACAAAGACAGATTAAATTGTTATTATAGTCAATAGCATATCTGACTGTGGTAATTTTGCTATGCCTTCAGAGATTTCTTATATCAACAAAGATTAAAAAGTCTTCACTATCCCAAGATAAGAAATCCACTATAAAGACAGATAAAATTCTACTTGAGAGAGCAAAAAATAAATGACAGAGGCATTTACTAAAAAATCAAAGCAAAATATCCCAGCCATACCCGCATGACATGAATGAAAGTTCTTCTTTAAATAGCTTCCACCACTGTGACATGTCACTGCCATTATATGTCTTATATGCATACAAAACCTATCCCTATAAAAAGCTTTTTTGTGCAAGTTCCACAATAGAAGACTTAGTATAAGGAGTATCTTAAATTCTTACATAATTATTTCCAATTCAGCATAGAATTATTCCTCTTTAAAGCCTTTAGAGTACTTCTCTTTTGCTATTTTTAAATTTGTAAGAAGTATTTGCTCTTCTATTACTCTTTCATCTACCAGCTTATATAGTCTTTCTATTTTCTTTCTAATCTCAAAAAGCTTAAAATACTCCTTCTGGATATCTCCATTCAACAAGTCTAACTGTTTGAATATGTTTTCTAATTTTAAATTAAGCTCATTCTTTAATAATGGATTTAAACCAACTAGTTCTGTATTATCTTCCTGTAATACAAAAAGTCCATTGAAAGGATAATCCCACTCGTATGATTGTTGATCTGAATTTGAGAATTCAGTGCTATTCTGTTCAGAAGTGCTTTTTAAAGAAGTATCCAGTGAAGGGTTTCTTTCAAAATTATTTTGGTTTTTTGAAGTCTCCATCTGGTCATTATTATCTGGGTTCATTCGGGTTATATCATCTAATGTAGCCGTAGTGTATGCGTATATATAGAAAAAGAGTATTAACTTGTATATGGCTGGTCTATTTTTCTTTATACTGCTGATACTTCTTTTGTTTTTCGTATTCATTGTATTATTCAACCTCAGTTTATTTATATAGCTTTGTATTATGCATACAAACAGATCAGTTTATTTCAAATTAGTAAATATTGTAAGTTTACTAACAGAAGAGTTTGTTATTATTACGTAAATTAACTTTCATAAAAATCCAAAGAAATATCTAAATAGTAATATGACAGAAAACCAGTACATACAGATTAATATAACTTAGCATACTTGAATTATCTAAGGAATATAACACTATCCTGTAATAACTTCTTCTGATGAAGTCGGATGGATTGGGATTGTTTTCAAAATATCCTCTGGGGATATTCCGCAGTACATACCTATAGAAAACCCTTTAATTGCATCGATGCTACTTGCCCCAAATAGATGCAATCCAACGAGTCTCTCCTTCTGCGGATTCTCTGCAGTATCCAAGGCAAACACAAGCTTATAATCCGTTGGTACTTTATTCTGGCAGACTGAGTAGAATAATCCTCTGAACTTCGGGTTTACAACACGCACTGAAGGAAAGTTCTTTCTTGCCATGGCTTCAGTGTACCCAACAGCTGCAGCAGGAGGGCTTGTATAGATATATGTAGGCACCAAAGGAAAGTACTTCTTATCCTTTGAGAATTCAGATGGAAACAAGTTATTAAGTACTTCTACCTCTGCCTTCCCAATGTTCTTTCCTGGCTCAGATACACTTAGTATCCTTTGACTTTCCATTATATTTATCTCTAAAGAATATTCTCTCTCAGTGAAATAATAGTCTATATCCTTGACTACTTGACTAAACCCATTAGAAGTATTTACAGTCACAGTGTAAGTCCTGTCTAACTCATTAACTATCTCTACTGATGACTCAAAGAAGAGTGTTACGCCTTTCTCCAGAAGTATATTTTTAATATTCTCCTGGATATTTGTATCGCACTCTGGTAGAAGTACAGTATCCTTCAGTGATAAATATACTTTACACCCTAAATCTGAGAGAATTGAAGCAGTCTCTACAGTCTGTTTACCACCACCACTTAAAAATACACAAAAAGAAGTACTCTCTAACTCTACTAGTTTAATCCATAGGTTATTCAGGTTAATTTCTTCTGTATTTTCTAAAGTATTCACTACAACTATATTCTTTGCCTTACAGACTTCCCCATTAATATATATTTCAGATCCTTTCTTCTCAATTGAATATATGTCTTCTGGTGCTCTCTTATTTGCCTCTATTTCATGTACTTTTTTCTTTATTTTCTCCCTTAGTATGCTCCAGTCTACTTTAGACTTACACTTTAGTCTTAGTGAGTAGTCTGCGTAGTACTGCACTCTATCCAGTGCAGAAGCCATGCTATGAGTAACTGCCTGGTATAATCTATTCTTTATTTTCATGGAGTCTTTTGTACGTATGGTTTCAACAGATTCAATTCCTTGTTCTTTTATGAGATTCTTTAATCTTTCCCCGAATGATCCTCCATTTACAATAAGTACTTCATCTCCATTGAAACTTGAATTTCTCACTTGTTCTTGCTCCATTAAAAATTCAAAGAAAAGAAATCTATTTATTTCAATGAGAATATTCACTAGGACAGTGGTATACAAGTGAATTCCTATGGGTTCATGAGATTTATTGAAATGTGATCAGAATTTAAACAGGCCAGTGGCTGGGAGTGACTCAACATAATACTGCTTCCCTTGGACTGAGAGAATTGGTACTCCTGGTATACGGCGTAGTCTTTGTTTTAGTTCTTTATCACAGGTTGCAATAATATAGCAGGGATGTTGTTTTACTCTTTCAACAAAGCAGTTATCTGCGTATATACCAGGGTGGTCGCATTTAAGCCGTTGAAACTTCTCTCCTTTAATTACTTTCAAGGCAAGAGTATGCACTCGCCCAAGTTTCTCCATTTCTGCAATGACGCAGTCTGTGACAAACATATTTACTCTGCTGAATAGACAGGATATAAGAGATGGAGCTATTTCTATTTTCCTTCTGAGTGACATATTCACGAAGTTAGTATCCAGTATAACATTGTATGGTGGATTTAAATTATGGTTGATATCAAAGTATGTCCTTAGGTCAGGATTAATCTCATCCTCTCTTATTTCTGGAGTATTCTTTGCTTCTTCAACAGGACTAGCTCTTCTCCGCATGGATTTCACCCGGCCTACACTTTTCTTTCCGCACATAAATTTTTTTGGCAAATTTCAAATTATTCATAACGGACATACTCAAGGAAGTATATAGATAGAAGGACATTTAACTTATAAAATAATCATACAGCCATATGCAGTAATTTATTTAGTAACAAATTACACTATGTAATTCATCGATTAATTTGCACACTATAAGCACCAATAGAAAGACATTTTCTTTGAGTTTATTCTTATATAAATATATACTAATTGACGTGCCCAGAAGGGAGTGACAGGCTAGAATAGAGAGTGTAGTCTAGAATAGAGAGAATAGAGAGTGTAGTGGTTAAGGAAGGTTTATTATCATATTTTTTCAGTTGGTGACTGTCATCCTGTTGCATACTTGATAAGTGTACTTCTTACTGTTGACATTTTCCCTTCTTCATTATTGTACTGTTCTTACTATCTTACTATTATATAGTCAGTCTCTGATATAACCCGAATAACCCGAAGTTGAATTTCTTATTAATGCACTTGGGTAATAGTGTTTATTCAAGACAATTCATACTAATATACTGTATTTCTATGACTAAAAGTATAAGTAAATAGACAAAGAGTGCATTTATTCAAATATATGCACTAATATAACTAATATACAGTATGCACTAATTAGAATATCCTGTCTCCAATGTAGTTGGTTTTTTCAATTTCCACTTTTTTATTCCCTGCCTCTCTTTATACTCATAGACATAGAGTGAGAGAGAACAAAACAAATTCTGTCTAGAACAAAAATATATCCAGAATAACCCGGGTATAACCCAGAATTCATGAAGATATAACCCGGATATAACCAGAATATAGCCCGAATTGAATAATACAACAATTACTGCAGCATATAAAATCTCATGAATAGTACTACTATGAGGGTACTACTATGAGTCTAGAATAGAATCTAATTTATGATTTATCCTGGTTATATCTGGTTTTCTATAAAATATCAAGAATCCTTATAGAAATATACATAAGAATGAATTATACTATAGTATACATGGATATATTCATATTTCATTATCTATTATGGTCTGTTTGTTTTTGTATTTCGCATGATTTTGTTTTGTTTTCGAAATTTAATCTAATTAATGCTCTATTAAATGAATGGTGTTTTCGTATATATGAAAGGAGTAATTCTAGTAGGAGGACTTGGAACAAGACTCAGGCCCTTAACATATACGCACCCAAAGCCACTAATTCCATTTGCTAATAAGCCAATAATAAAGCACCAGATAGAAGCACTTGCAAGGGCAGGTGTGACTGAAGTAATCTTAGCAGTAGGCCATATGCAAGAGAATATTAGGGAACTTTTATACGGATACGATAAGGAACTTGGAATAGAGATATCTTATTCATATGAAAGTGTTCCAATGGGAACAGCAGGACCACTCTCTTTACTCAGGGACAGACTTCAGACAGAAGAAGGTCCATTCTTTGTGCTTAACTCAGATATAATATGCACCTTCCCATTTGAAGAGATGCTAGGGCACCATACACTACATGGAGGAGATGGAACTATTTTGGTGACAAAAGTAAATGAACCCTCAAAGTACGGGGTCATTGTGACAGACAGAAATGCGCAAATCATGAAGTTCATTGAAAAACCAAAAGAGTTTGTTGGGGACAGAATAAATGCAGGAGTGTATCTTTTCTCAAAGGAAATCCTGAAGTACATTGAAGAGAGACCAATGTCCATTGAGAAGGATGTTCTCCCAAGGATGATCACTCAGAAGGTAGTCAAGGCATTTGACTTAAAAGGCTTCTGGATGGATATTGGTCAGCCAAAGGACTATGTCACTGGGAATATTCTGTACCATGAGAACAACAAGGAGTGTATCATGATAGATAAAACTGCAAAAATATCAGCAACAGCTGTAATAGGTAAGAATACGACTATTGGACCAAATGTAGAGATAGAAGATGGAGTGGAAATAGAAAACTCAATTGTCTTTGATGGTGCCTGCATACAAAAGAATTCTTTAATTGTAAATTCAATCATAGGGTGGGGTGCATGCGTAGGGAGATGGTCCAGAATAGAGGACTATTCCGTTCTGGGTGCAAATGTAACCGTGCAAGAAGGAATTTACATCACAGGTGGACTAATTCACCCGAATACACTGGTATCCATTCATGTACTACTGCAGCAGACACCTGTTCTCCCGGAAATAAACACAAATAAGGAGTCACCTGCCATCTGAACCCAGAAATACCAGAAATAAAGATAATGCATGATGGTTCATAACGTATTTATAATTATATCTGTTTATTTAGATAACTATATACTGTGAGTTTATTTAACTGTTGAATATTTATCTTGTGGGTTGTGAATTTAACTGTGAAAAAAGGACAAAAAGTGCAGCACTCTGTGTTCCCACGCGGTCTCCCATCGCAGTACTATCAAAGCTGTCACGCGCTTAACTTCAGAGATCGAACGGGTTCTGGTGTGTACGCAGGCATATGGCCGCACGAGTATTAGTTACCTGCTGGGTCCATGTGAGTCTATATTTCTATTTATTATATATATTGTAGGAGTATTTTCTTGTGGTTGGTGTCTAGTCATGGGAATAAAAAGGAAAAGAATATGGATTATGTAGTAGACTGTAAATAGTCTAAATAGGAAAGAGAATTCTTCAATATGAAAATATACTGAAGAATGACTATTTCTATGGATTAACATTAGTCTGAGACTCAATGAGTTTTTCAACTTTCACTTTCATTATGTGAAATTAGCACATATTAGAAGAGAAAATGTCAAAGTGTCAGAAGAGAAAAAATGTCAAAAATATATTAAGCAAAAGAGACAAAAGTACAAAAGAAATCACAGTGAACAAAGACATTCAACCAAGTGATAAAAGTAAAACTCCCTTGACAACTACTATCTATCTATCAATCTAACCATCTATCTATCCATCTTAGACTAATATTTCACCCAAGAAATATTACTTCCACTTGAATATGTCAACTATAAATACAAAATTATTCTATAATTGACTAGAGACTTAAGAATAAATTACTGTAGACATATTTAATTATACGCTTACAGGCATATAACATATACACATATACAGTGAGATATATGTCTACAAATAATAAAATATTTATATTGAAATTTTAAAGTGATATTTTTGTCGTATTGACACTTTATTTGCAATTATTTTATAAAGATACAGATTATTTCAGAGAGTAAAAGATAAAATAAATTATATACTACAGAAGACAATTAAAAGAACAGACTGTAAGTGATATTGACGTGCCCAATAGGGGGCAACCAGATAGTCTAGAATAAAGAGAATATAGATATAGAGTGTAGTTGTCAAGTGAGTTTTATTTTTGTAATCCTGTAGATTTCTTAGGTGACTTTGACCGGTTGCATATTTGATAATTGTATTTTTTCTTTCTGACATGTTCCTCTCCTCTTGTATTGTTCTTACTATCTTCCTATTATATAGTTAGTCTTAGTATACAAAGAATTCTTCTGAAAGGTGAAGTTATCATAGATGTACTTTGGTCACAGAATTAATGAAAGTGGGAATTTTACCACAGATATACTGATATAACCCGAATAACCCGAAGATATAGACACATAATATATTGCAGCAGAGACTGATGTAATATTATAAATGACATGCTGACTAGAAGGTGAAATGTGTCAAATTTCAGCAAAAATCAATATATAACTAAAGTGAAGGCATTTAACAGCTTAATTAAAGTGGATTTGATCGATTCAATAGATATCTCTACTATATAATAGAGTAAATTAGCAAGTTCTTACATGAGAGAAGAATTTGAATTATTGAATTCTAATAGAACCATAGTAGAAGAAAATAAGAAAAGAAATAAAGAAGAAAAGGACAGAAGCCAAAATAAGTCTGGATTAAAAATAAGCCAGAATTCAGATATGAATATGAATATGAATATGAATAAGCCATCTTGCAGTAAGCTTAATTCTTCAATTCCCAATACGAAAGACCAGATGTACAGTAATAGTACTACAAATTTCGTTGAAAATAGTCTTTACGTAGGAAAAGACAATGAGTCTAAGGATATATACTCAGTGCAGAGACAAGAAAGTATAGATCTATTCAAGGATATTAACCAGGAAGTAGATCCTAACGTACCAGAAATATCAAATAGTTTCAACTTTGCACATTTTCAATTTAAAACCACCCATATGCTGGCTAATGAGCTAACTTTCTCCAGTAAAGAAAAGAACATTTATAATGTTCATATTCAGACTATATACAATGCATATGAAAAGTGCTTTTCTTACATAAATTCACAGGAGTATACAAACAACTTAAGTATGAATACACTAGAGAATATTTCAATCGAAATGAATAAGATCCTAGAGGTTATAATTCGTCACCGTGAAATTATCCTTAAGAAATACACTGTAAAAGAAAACCAAATGCTATTGAATTTTATCACTAGAAAAGAAGAAATCTTGGTTAATGCGATACATTATAAACAAGAAACCATGATAGATCTATTTGAAGAGCCATCCCAGATGCAAGCATTACTATTGAAATCTATCTTCCAAAATATTCAAGATATAAAATGGATCATGGAGTACTACAAGAAGAGAAAGTATCAGATAGACATGGAGACTAAGCATGAAGTATCCAACTATGAGATGAAGATATTACAGAAACAACAGCAGGAATATATGGAAGATCAACCAGATTCATATGCATATGCTATTCTTTCAAGAATTAGAAAATCAAAAAATAACGAATTTTGGGAGAAAGTGTTAACACCTTTATCAAAGTTGCATGGTGTAGATACGTTCTATGTCCATCTTTCAACTGGATTAATCCTTCTTTCTCATACAATATTTTTTGTAACTGCCCAGGCACTCCAGAAAATAAAGTCAGAAAGAATAACAATCCTGTACTACTACGTACATATGCTATACAATACAGTACTAGGCAGTCTTCTATTAGTATATTCCCTTAGGAAAATATTCGTAGCCTACAAGTGCAAAAAGAATAATCCTGAAATATACAAAAATATACTAAGTGCAGTACAAAGGAATAAGCATATTATTAGGGCATCTATTCTGTCATTTATATCTCTATTGGTAGTAGTAGGGAATAGTTTTATATTGACCTTAAATATGGATAATTTAATTTTGTGCATAAAAGAGTCTGTTAAAATTGTTTATGATAGGTTTGCTGCAGGTAGAGTACTTGATGGGGTTATGTTGATTGTCTTTGAGTTGATATTAGCACTAATTTCTCTTACTTTAACTTCACTTTTCTTTGGGTGTCTATTCAAAAGGAAGTGGTTATATGAGAGAAAAAAGAAGATGAGTGGTTATGCACTTATTATGTGCATATTCGTTATATATTCAGTTATATTTTTCATTATGTCAGTTATTTATGACTCAAACCAAATAGTTAACAAAAATAGCATGTCTTACAGGTACCACATTGGATATGCTATACAAATATTCTGCACAGTTGCCCTTCAGGTGCACAGAGCCATGCTATTCCTTAAGGGAAGCCCTCAGATTGAAAATGCATTTAAAGAAGGCAGAATCAACAGGCTTAGATATAATTATATCTTTGCCATAGTCTTAGTAGGAATAATATCTGGAGTCATATGTGCACTTGGTCTATTCTTCTATGTGATTGATGTTCACAAGAACCTGATAAAACTCAGTAGAACAAATATAGCAAAGAAACTTCCAATTGTTCTAGCAACAAAAAACTACAAAGACCTACTTGAAGCATACTTTCATTATTAGTAAGTACCAGTATACCTGTATACTTATTTATATAAGTATTCTATCGAATTTACTGAATATTTTTTGATTTTGATAATCTTTAAGATAGGTAATTTCTAGTTTTTCATTCAGGTTCTGGTCATAATAGTGATTTATATGCAAGATAAATAAAGTATTTTAGTTAGTGAATTAGTTCTTATATTCAGCATAAAAATATCTAGTTTAAACAGTCTATATAACCCGTACTGGTAGTACTAGTACTTCTATTAGAATATTTCTCAATTTATAAATTTATTCATATGAGAAGAATTTCATAGAAATAAAGAAATAATTTAGTCTAATTTCCTGTATAAAAGACCATCTATAAAATAACTAGACAATTAAAGAGTGAAAATACTCAGATCCACTGAATATAAAGACATTTCTGTTGTCTAGAAGAACACCCAAATACATTGAATATTTATCATTTTAAGTGTAATATAGCTTATGGTTTAGTTGAAAAAAAATGCTTTTAAGTTTCCATTGGGCTGAGACACGGTGCAGAAGAATAAAGAATCCAATTGAATATGTGTCCTTGGAGGAGTCACTAGATCTGCCAAACATTGAAGAAGTGGATGTTCTTCCTACTTTTACTGCAGCAGAGCATGAAGAGTGCATTAAACTAGAAGAAATTGGTGCTGAAATATTGAATAAAATATATGCAGCAGATACTTCTCTAAAGGTAAGCATTAAGTGCAAGGGAATAGCAAGAGAAGAATATAGATTTTAAAGAATAAAGGTGTATATAAGATAAGATAAGAAGAATTTAAAGTGTTCAAGTGTAATTTCAAATATTTGAAGACTAGTAGACGTGTTATATCTTAATATAAAGTTATTTTATATATATAAATAATAAGAACTATAGAGTATGAGTCTATAAGGAAGCGTATAAGAAAAGACAAAATATCCTTTATATAAAGAAGAATCCAAATGCATAGTAGTGTTATTATTCTTGGAAAATACTAGATATGGAATGACTAAGTCAGTTGTAATTAAATTACACTATAAAAAGTCGTTAAAAATTAAGAATTAACAAGCAAGAATATAAAAATAAACAGAAATTAACAAGCAAGAATATAAAAATAAACAGAAATTAACAGGTTTATGGGCACTTTAAGCCCAGCAAAACAAAGATCCTGTGTAAGATACAAAATTATCAGAATATTTCAGTTAAAATATAATATATTGGTGTATAGAGTAATTTATTCGGGTTGCAAAGATGGAGTTATTTAAATAATCTCTTGCAGTTGTGCATTCTCATTGTCTCTTTCAATCTCCGTATCTGACTCATATATATTTATAACAGTTTTTTTGTGCTTCTTTTGCTTTCTCCTAAGGTGCATGTGAATGATTGGGGCAGTTGTCCCATGGACTACAATACTTGAAAAGACAATTGCCTGGACAATCTCCAAGACAGAATCTGCCAGTTCTTTATCAATGCTATTAAGCTCATGCATGCTGTGGTACGCAAAGAAAATAGCACCAACACCAATGGGTCCAAACCAACCAGCAAATAGAATCTCACGTGTAGTGAATTCTGGCAGGAACCCACATAACTGCATAAGCAATAGGGCAGGCATCCTTCTAAAGACAAGAATAAGCACTGAAGCCAGCATACTCTTCCAACCAAGCACATCTAATGGAAGAATTATCCCTAGGACGATAAAGAAGGACTGATTGAACAACAAGTCAACCACCTCCATGACATGAGAATTCTTCATATCCATGACCATCTCCTCGTCCCATGCAAAGAACAACCCAGAGACAAAGACAGCCAGAAGGTCATCACTTTCCATCTTGGCAGTTATTCCTGTCACAAGGATTGCTAGAGCCAAAGAATAAGCCAGGAAACTCTCTTTATCAATTAGCATCTTCTTCACACTGTACTTCAAAAGTATCCTAGCCAATGCCCCAATCACTGCACCTATGACAATTGCAAAGAGAATCTCAAATCCCCATGTATGAATGCACCACTTCCTTAGTGCACCAGCAACTGGCTCTGTACTATCCTTGAACTGCATCAGAAGAATTGGAAGGACAAGCAGTGGAAACCCTAATCCATCATTTGCTCCACTTTCCACAGCCAGAAGGTATCTAAGCCTAGATGGAATATATTTGTTTGCGAATTTCCCCTTAATCACAGCACTTGCTAAGACTGGATCTGTTGGTGTAATACAAGCACCAATCATCATTGCAGGCAGCCAGTCCATTGAAAATACGTATTTTATAATGATACTTGAGACAGCATACATTATCATCATAACAGGAAGAAGAAGGACCATGAGTGGTTTCCAATTCTTCTTCATAAATATCTTAGGTACAGTCACACCAACAGCCACCAGCTGCAGGGAAAGTACAATATGTGAGAAATGAAACATAAATTGAGTATTTTTCAAACTTTCAACAGGAAGAGTGTCCTTTTGGTCTTTACAAATTAGAGCACAAATAATACCATATAGTGTAGCAACTGTTGTTTCTGCAATGTACAGTCTTTCTTTAATAAACAGTGAGATAAGACCGAAGCTAAGAATGAATCCCCCAAGAATAGAACAGCAGAGCGCAAAACTTTGCATTAAAATATTTTTATGAACTGTATAAGTACTTCCCCTGGAATGGTAAAAGTACCAAAGAAATTCGGGTTATATCTAGTATATTTTAGTTATATTTGGTTATATCGGGTTATATTCGGGTTATCGGGTTATATTTGACTATGTACTCTTGTAGATATAGCTGGTTATATTCTAGTATATTTTAGTCATATCTGGCTATGTACTGGTAGGTTGATGCTTATATATGTAGAGACGGGTTATATAAAATAGTACAATTCTATTGCTTATGTACTAGAAAACAATTAGGAAAGTAATACAAAATATTGACATACAATCGACTGTAGTAGTAGTTTATTGCTTTAATACGTTTGAATGAAGATATAACCCGATATAACCTACCAATAACTGAAAATGTCTTCCAGTTGAAAATAAATCACTTTGATGGGTGCAGACTCCAAGTAGTCTTTATTAATTCTACCAGTCAAGTAATGAAAATATCCTATATCCATATGGACCAGAAGATTAAACAGTCATTAGAAATATCTCACTGATTAAAAGTATTAATAATTAATACTCTACAGCACAGTATTCTCTTTGAAGGAAAAGTCATAAAATTCCCTTGAAGGATAGTCTTAGACTGCTATAGGAAATACTACTGTAGTAAATAACTGAATAGACTTAATATACTAATAATCTTAGTCTGTGCTGGTACTAGACTGAGCCAATATTATGAATCTATTATTTATTCAAATGGCATCTTTAGAGTCTCTCTGATTCTTCTCTTTCTCTCTTGGTTTTCTCGCATTCTTTGGTCTTCTGTCAGGGCATCCAGATTCTTTACGATGAAGATTCTTTCGTCTTCTACCATCTTCTCCTTTCCTGTTAGAATTCTATTTTTAATATGGAATGCCTCTCTGGAGTGTCTTATGGCTGCTATCTTAGGCATACTTTGAATGACTTTATCGTATACCTCTTTGTTGTAGATGATTGGCTCGTGGATTCTTCTTTCGAATTCCTGAGATGTGTCATTGACCAAGTCCTTTCCTCTGACTTTTCTGTATGTCTTGGTCCATGCGACTCTCCTTGGGTTTCTCTTAAGCTTAAAGTTCTTTACGCATTTTGACCTGCAGAACTTAAACTCAGCCCCGTCATTTCTCACAAATGTAGAACCGTGACCTGGGTATATGCTTGATGAGCAGAAGTAGCAGTTGAATATCCGCATTTTGTAAAAAATTTAAGAGAAAACTTTTTATACCCCAGGATTCAAATTGACTCTCTTTCGCCACGGATTTCTTGATTGAAAAATCCGCCAGATGGAGAGATATTAACACGTGGTCAAGGAAGCATATCCTTAATAGAGATATGTGCCAAGTACCACAACATTACATATTAATATCTTTATCTTAAAAAGTTCACCTAAAATAACAGAAGTACCAGACCAAAAATAACAAGAAATATACATGCACAAGGCCACTACAGTGCAATACCAGGAATATACTCATAAATAGAAGAAGCACCAGATATACTGTAGGTCTAGTGGGCTTCCTTCCAAAGAAATTACTAAAGAGAAAATAGAAGGACTGAGAGACAGAGACTAGAGAAGGGATTAGACTAAGAGTGAGAGAAAGAATTAGACTAAGAGCTAGAGAAGGGATTAGAGAAGAGAAATAAGGTAGTTCTATTACTAGAGAATAGTTAATATTTACCATAAATCAGATAATTGTATGGATATGTACTCTGGTCTGTCTGCCTTTATTGTAATATTCTTTTGCTGCCAAGGACTAAGATTCACTCTGGATAAATATATAAGAATATACTATAATCTATGTGGATTTCTTTATAAATATTTCTTGTTATGAGTGACTGTACTTAGTAGTAGTAATTTTAAGTAAATTCTATCTTTTGTCTTCTCGTCTTGTCTTGTCTTGTCTTGTCTTTAATTTTGTCAGTGACTCTCTACTAGTAGTAATTGTTGTCAGTCCCTCTATATATATGTAATAGTAAATTTAAATATATTTTTGTCTTCTCGTCTGTGTCTACTAGTAGTAATTCTACTAGTATTAACTTTAAATAAATTTGTCTTTAATTTTCTACTCGACAACAATAGACAAGAATTCTCTACTCGACAACAACTTTCTTAACTAGCCACAATTGACAACATCTTTCTTAACTAGCGACAATCGACAACAAAAATCATTTTATAACCCAATATAACCCAATACAACCCAAATACAACCAGAATGCAACCAGAAATAACCAGAATACAACCCAATACAACCAGAAATACTAACAACCTCTTGTCTATTTATTAATCTCTACTAATATTCACTCTATTAATATCTATTCTATGCATCTGCACCTTCAAGTGGGACAAAGGGTGCATTAATAAATGCCTCGTCATCCATCTTCACAAGATGCAGGACACCATCCTCTCCTCCAGATGCCAATGCCTCTCCGGATGGGTGTATATCCAGGGTATTCACAGTTCCAAAGTGTGTCTTATAATATCCCACTAGCTTAGAGGTGGCACAATCAAAGAATTCTATGTTGAAATTACCCTGGCCCGTGGAGGTAGTGACATCTCTTGCTGCTACTCCCCCAGCAGATACAAGAATCCTGTTGTCTGGTGATACACGGGCTGCATTATTTGGTGAATCTGACAGGAATTCCCTTACACTTTGTATCTCTCCATCTGCCCGAACTATTTTACTCTTAGAGTCAGTTGATGCAGTGACAAAGTAAGTATTACAGAAGGAAGGTGTTAATGAAGTTATCTTTGCTTGGTGAATCTTTTTTGATGAAATCTCATTGAAGGTTCTTTCGTCTATTAGAGTTAAAGAACCCTCTGTATCTCCATAGAGTATTTTCCCATCTACAGTCGACTGAATTACCACAGGCGTATTTGGAATGACTTTTTTCTCAATTAGTTCACCACTTACTGCATCAAAGACCCAGATCTTTGGCTTTTCCCCTATGATAGCATCTGTGCACAGCACAATCCTCCTGCTGTCTGCTGTGAAAGAGACATCTCTTGTGGTTACGATTGTGCTGAATGTATGAATCATCTTTCCTGTCTCTAAGTCGTACACATTGGATCTTCTGTCTGCCCCAGCAGAGACAATTCTGCTGTCTTCTTGGTTTATGTCAAAGCTTACAATGGCTCCACTGTGCCCCATGTATGCCCCAAGCATCTCTCCCGTTGACACACGCCATGCCACCAAAGATGCCTGCATGCATGACGAAAAGAGTAAATCTCCGTCATGATTGAACTTAACTGTTTTTATTGGCTTTTTATGATATCTTAGTGTACAGCTGGTGCTTGGCTCAATTAGCCCCTCAAGTGCCTCTGCGGCTGCAGTCTGCTTTACTTCCATATGGAAAAAATTACAAGAATATTTAATGGAAAAAAACTAAAAAAAATATGGTAGATAGGGATAGATTTGAAAATATTAAGGAAAAATTAAAGGCAGGAAGGATAACCTTCAAGGAAGTATGCATGGGGGCCTTGCGCAAGGACCACATGGGACAGAATGACCTGACCATGCTTCTTCTGACTGCAGAGGATATGGCCTTTCCAGATGGAATATATTTCATTCGGAATATTGAAGAGATAGAAAACATGGAAACCTCAGACATAAAAGCATCAAATCAAAATATGTACGAAAGATATGAAGAACTAATGAGAGACGCATATTCCAAATATCTTTACCTTCTTTGCGTATTTTTGAAGGAGTGTGCTCGGTACCAGTTCACCATGGATCCCTTCTGCGAAAGTATTTTTCTTGAGAAGGGCATTGGAGTCTGCCAGGAGATTTTATTTACTTTAAAAAAAAGAAGCACCCAGCAGGCAAGAATTGGCTATATTCCCTCAGATATATTATGCCTTTTAGTCAGTATAATACGATCTCACTGCAAGGAAATGACCCCAGAATTCCTCAGTGCTGTCCATGAAATGAAAAAGCTTGAAACAGAAATTCTTGAGCTTCTTAGTATGAAGTCCGTCATGGTGCCACTCTTCAAGTTGTTCAGCTGCATTATACGGTGTGCAGAACAAAAAGGAGAAGAAGTATTGCAGTCCCTTCTGAAGGCAATTGAGAAGACAGAAACTTACAAAAATTCACTATATTTTGGCCGTTATAAAAGTGTTCCATTCTTGGCCCGTGCACTGCGGGATGAGATACGGGCCTGGGGAATGTCTCTTGTCTCTCCTGCATACTGCTATATTGACCCTGCATTTCCATTATTGGCAGGTGCCTTAGTCGTAAAGCCAGAACCCATGAATATTAGTTCATCAGATGACCTCAGTATGCATATAAGCATGATCATACGGGAGATGGTCAGATTTACACCGTACATTGACATCCGAATAAACTATCTGTATATTGATGTGGGTGATATAGGAGGGGAAATTACTGTACATAAGTGGGATTATATGTGCCATGTCTTTAATATGGACGTAATAACATGCGAGATTAACTTTACAACGCAGAATATCTATGAAGCATCAAGGTTTGTAGATGGCTTATTTAGGTCTATTATATCACAGGATATTATCTCTCTATCGATGTACCCTATAATTCCCCTTTCTAAGAAGGCCCAGACTGTACTAATTGAGAACCTTCATATACAGTCTTTGTATCTGAAGGAACTCACTACAACTGACTTTGTTAATTCCTGTATAGAGGAATTTGTGTATGCCCTAGCAAAGAGAAGGAGTGGTCTTCTTAGGTGTCTGAAGGGTCTTTCAATTACTGCTCCATTTCATAAGTCTATGGTTGACTCCATGCAAAGAATTACCTTCAATGGAATCCAGGAATTAGTACTGGATTTTATCTCTTTAAATAGCGTATACCAAATGGGCAGATTAAAGAGTATAACGGAAATAGTGAACCCAACTACATTCCCAATCCTTCAGGAGCTCACAGTAAAGAACTACTTGATCACACGGGATGACTTTAATTTTCTGAATTTAAGCATGAAACTAGTACAGATAAAGTACTACAACTTCTACTGTCCTTCTGGGTCTTCGTATCGGCCAGAGCAAACAAGTTATATTTTCAAGCGCCCTGAGTCCGTTGCAATGACCTCTGGAATTGTCTTTATAGTCTCAGAAAGCACTGTCTATGAATGGACTATGAACCATTCTACTGCAGCCTTCTCGGATTGTCTTATTTGCAATGAATCCTTTAAGGATAATCCAAAAGAACAAGTTATCATTCTTTCCTGTGGCTCAGTAGTCCATATAACGTGCATCATGGAGATATTTGGGAAGAAGAAGAATCCTTGTTGTCCGTTTTGCAAAAAGAAGGTTCATTTGATTATGGGCTCACCCATGGCGGTTGATGTCATGTTCAAGCCCCCTACTGCATGCACGGCATACAAGTCTCTTAGGCAGTAGGTAGTCTTTTCCTTCAGAGCCCTTTGTGAATCTATGAGAGATCTTCTGAGGAGATCTTACAAACAGATTTATTAATAAAGTGTGCAGTACATATGTCTTTACTCGCTCTGCAAATATGTGCACTACTTGCCATCATGCAGTCAGCGCCTTTTATCTTCAAGAATCTTCAAGAATCTTCAAGAAAATCATTTTGATTCTTTCATTAATATTATTTATAGAGTGAAGGATTGCATCGATTAGCACATATTACTAAGTATCTTAGTACCTGAAATATGGCAGTTATTTGATTTTGAGTTATTTTTTAATATATATTCCGTTAAAAAGACAAGTTTATGGATTCATATACAGCAGGATTTCTTATACTCCATCCTTATGCACTAGGCACTTTGAATATTCACAAGTCTATTACTTCCTGTCTCGAATACTGCCAGGATTCTCAAATAATTATGTTGTGACTTGCAACTGTCATTTTACTATGTGGTGATTGTCTCATTTTTAGCCAAGAAATGTGATTTAACCGACCTTCCTGCACATGTCCCACTAAGAAACAGTAGTATTTCTGATTATCTCAGCTTAATACTGCCTAAATTATATCTATTTATTTAAAATATAACCCCATAGTATATTACTAGGCTTCTTTCTACTAGAAATAAATAACAGATGTGTTAGTCTTAAGTTACACACTAATAATCCATTAGTTCAACAGTGCACCTGCACACTTACAAGACTTCTACTAATTGTATACTCCTGTGCTGTAACTGTAATATTCTTCTTTATAAAGGCATTTTTATTGGTTCTTGCTTCTTTGAACTAGTTTCTTACGTATGCCTTTATTATGTAGTTGAACTTCTCTTTGCTTATTTCGTTATTCTTCTCGCAAAGTATACTCTCCATGGATTTAATTATTTCTACTGCTTCTTTATATTCTCTGTAGTATAAATATGTTCCATTATGGGCATTTGGATCAATTAGGTCATAGAGACCTTTAATTATGCTAGAGTGACTACTTCCTTTTTCTGACAGAATTTCAATTATTTTCATTAAGAGCTCATTAGCATATCCTAGATAGTTGTATCTAGGACAGCAAATCTTCATTGCATGCATACTGAAGATAATTGAGGTAATATACTCTATAGATTTATATTTCTTTGTTAAAAGACTCACAAATAACTGCTGATTCTCTTTGCTCATGGAGTTTAATGCAGACAGCATAGGGGAATGGTAAAAGTGCTTTGTTTTAGTCAGGTTATACCGCATTATTATATCCATATTATTACTAAATGGCTTTATATCGATTGAAGACTCTATAATATTCTGCATTCCAAAGTCTGAATAGTCTTTTACTTGGTATATTCCATTGTCTATACGTATATTCAATAGATATTTGTCCAAATTGCTAATCTTCATAGCTATGAAGAAGGCATCTCTATCATAACTCGTTTGGAATGGTGCATCTACTATGATATTATTAACAAAGCGTATAACTGGATGGTTATAGTTGAAACCAAGTCGCATTGCATTCATTAGTAACGGAAATATAAGGTTTAGTCTATTTTCTCTTTGATGAACAAGTCCCCATGGTAGAATACTATTCAGATTTACAGTTTTAGTCTTTTTCTCTGGAAGACCTTTCATTATAGTCCGTACTTTATACTGAAGGTCTTTCGTGGTAATTGACTCGCACTCTTTGTAGTACTTGACCAGCCATGCCGTATAAGTTTTAGTTTTAATCCACTTGGAAAGAGACAGGCTTAAGTCAGTTGGTACATCTTTTCTTCTATAACTGACATTATTTTCCTTTCTAACTGAAAATATTCTTTCGTTAATTTCATCTTCTGTGTCTTTCTCTTTAGACTTTGAAGATGTCTTTATACTAAGAGAATAGCACTCGACTTTGTTCTCATATTCATCCAAGTATACTATATCCATATAGCCAAATATATCGGACAGTCTGAGTTCAAATTCCTTTTTATACAATTTCAGTACTTTTACTTCTAGGCACTTATCAATCATAAGGCGGTTGAATAACTCACACATATACATTTCTATGCCAAAGTGCAATTTCTCTTCTTTTTCTCTTTGCTGGACTTCAATGCGTCTTATTAATTTTTTGATTTTTTCTGTTTCCGTTATATTTATTTCATGCTCTATGCTCTCTATCTTACAAAGGAGTTTCTTCTTCTCATCACTATCTTTTTCCAGCCACTCTTTTATCACTAGCCTGTCCTTTTCACAGATTCTCATATCCTTTATCTTTGCTCTTATGGCATCATCAATATCTTTCTTTTCTTTGTCAGTTGCTTCTTTCTTTCTGTTCCAAATGGAATTCCGGAATTCACTCAAAGAAGCCTCATCCTTCATCTCATCTACTATTTCCATGAGATCATCTAATCTTTCCCATGTATCTATACCAGATATCTCTGCAATTGCATAGAGCATATTCATGAAGCCAGGAGCAAGCTGGTTCTTGTCACTCCGCATATACGTTATTCTTGAGTCCCTTAGTCCTGAGACTACTTTATTCCAGTCATTATGCATCTCATCTGAGACAGTTCCATACATATACTTATGCTTTATGAAAAACTCTTTTAGCTCCTTAGAGGCATTCACCATGTGGTCAACCTTATAGACTTGTTCCCTTGAGTCATACGCAAAGATACAGAATAGACCAAGAAGTGCAGTTTCAACGTGATCAGCAAATGTATTACTAATTTCCACTGTATTATTACCCTCATCATCTGTATCTTCATTAAGACATGCACACTGACATATTGAAGAGTTCTCTGGAGGAGATTTCTTCTTTGAAATAGAAAGACAGTCCTGAATTGGTTCTAACTGGGCCTGGTACGTAATAGGGAACCTTCTAGTGGTATTTAGTATATTTTGCATATGCATTCTAATGTACTTTAATTCTCCTATTTCATCACCTTCTTCATTCTGGTTATATGCAAAGTATCTGTTAAATATATATTCTGCCTTTTTAGTCTGAATTACCGTTATTTTACTATTTCCTGCACTATTCTCTATATACTTACATAATAAATCATGTACTGTCTGAATGAAAATGCACATTTCTGTCTTATCCTCAATATAATAGTATATATACGTCTGAATGAGAAATCCTGGACTATTTAAGAACTTTCCACTTTGGAACTCTTTGTATGACTTTGGCTCTGAGAGATATCTCTCTTGCTTGATAATTTTAGCTTGACTATTCTCTATAAAGAACATAAGCACCTTCATGGCTTCTGTATATTTAAATACTTTCTTTTTCCTAAAGACTCCTTCATTTTTAGTCTCCTCTGTATCCTTAGTCTCTGTATCCTTGCACATGCGAATTCTAAATTGATCTTCTTCTGTAGATTCCTTTAGAACTAGCTCTATGTACTCTGTGCTTGTGTCAATTGAAAGAGGAATCTGCAATCCCTCTGAAAGAAGCAATAGAGATGCAAGTATCTTGTATTTATGCTCCTTCACTGTGCTACTATTCATGAAGTTGTAGAATGAGTCCTTTTTGTCTGTCCATATGGATACATATCCATGGAGTGAAGGAAACATCTCAAGAAGTGTTCTGAAGTAGTCATTCATGTACTTTAGGTGGGTGCCACTGTATGGTAGGTCTGGATAGACTGTATCCTTGCTGTAATCCCTTGTTTTTGTGTATGTTTGGTCTTGTGCCACTGTACTTCCAATTTTTATTTCATATTCTATCTTTATCTCTGCTGATAGAAATCTCTTACTATGAATAAACCCGATTTCATTTGCGAGCATGCTATGCTGTGGGTTTAAAGGACCTTTTAAATTAAGAAACAAGTCTTCTTTATCACTTCTTAAATTGCCACTAATTATTCTCTCTTGAATCTCCTGTATGTCCTTCAATCCTACTCTACCATGAACCTGCCACAGAAGCACCAGCTGAATCAGCCAGTATATTCTAGTAATCCATCCTGACCTAGAATTGTTTTTTCCCTTTCTATCACATCTTATAGAGTACTCTGTTAATTTATCCTTCTCTACTACCCTGCAATTCATTGATTTTTATCTAAAATTAAATTATTATATTTCAGAAAAATAATCTACTCTTTATTAAATTGGTTTATTTTCGGAATGATAAGAAAAAAACAAAAAATACACAAAGGAAAGAAATAGTATATAACCCGATATAACCAGAATATAAAATATATTTAATATTACTAGTAGTAGTATAGAGAGACTAAAGACAAGAAGACAAAAATTTATTTTAAATTACTACTACTAGTATAGAGAGAGACTAGAGCAAAAATTACTACTAGTAGAGAGAATGACAAGACGAGAAGACAAAAACTAAAGACAAAATGAAAGATATAATTTACTTGAAATTATTACTACTAGTATATAGTTACTAGTAACAATTATTACTAGTATATAGTCACTGACAACAATTACTACTAGTATATAGATATTGTTGAGTTTTCAAATGAACAATAAAGTCTAACAGTGACTCTTTTTAAGAAACTGACTTATTTTATACTGGGACTAGTATTTTGCTAGTCTATTGTATTTATATACTGTCCTTTTCTTTTCATCCTACTGCATACTCACTTGGCTAACTGTGACTGTACTGGCTTGTATAACTCTCTAGGATACAACAGACAGTCATATTCTCTATCCATTAACTGTGATTTTTTGCTATTATATCTGTTGTACACTGTACTATGCTACTAAATCTTGCTTAATATACCTTCTTACTACAACATTACAGAATAATTTTACTTAGAATTCTTTAAAGTAGAGTATATTTATTGAATATTCTTCCTACTAATAATCTTGCACTCTTGGGAAATTTCAGAAAATTCTCTTCTGCTGAATAAAATTTAAAAAGAAGACAGGAAGCTTTTCTTCATAAAAATATTCAAGTGCAGAAATAATTCTTACAAAACCAGTACTAGCAAAACTTAAGTAAAACAGTGACTAAACTGCAAAACTTGTGTGAATTTGATTAGGAGTCAGTTATATAGATGATTCTCAGACATTGTTTAAATATCTGAGCACTCTTAACTTTTCATGAAATTGGCTATTTTGCTGATATAAGAACTAATTTGCTTGGATTTTTCTTCTTTGCTGTTTTTTTCTTCTGTACTGCTTTTTTCCCTATTGACCTCATCGACTACTATATCGTCCGAAGTGCATTGTTTTAGGGTTTCTGCATGTTCAGAAATAGCATACATACTATAGCTGTCTTTTTTCGCTACCATTATTTCTTTCTGTAAGTTATCAGAGTCATATGTTTTTTGAGTACATTTACCAATTTCTAAATGAACTTTTTCTAGTGATACAAAGCGAATAGTCATTAATTGTTCTTTATATTTTGTTGCATACTGAAACACTAGATTACCAGACAAATAGTATATATCATTTTCAGTCTGTCTTTTGTAATTCTCAAATTTCACAAGTATTTTTCTCTCATATTTAGAAAACATAGAAGGCATAAAGCGCCAATTTATAAATGTGGAATTGCTTATGGCTTCTCTTGTCATCTTAGAGAATATGCCTTTTGCAAGGTCTGTAAGATCAGTTTCCTGCAAAGATAATGAATCGTTTATATTCATGTTTCTTGCGGTTAAGATTCTATAACCCAGAATTCTTCTCCTATATTCATTATAATCCAATCCTGTAATTTTTAGCATTATTATGAGAATATTGAAGATATCTGGTTGAATCACATACCGACCATCTACAGATATGTGGTTTATATCTCTAGTATCCGTTGCTATTTTCTCAATTATTTCACTCAATTTCTTCATAATATCCGGTGATATTTCCTGTCCTACTTCTATACCAGACATACTATTACTTGATGGATTGCTTGTATATGACAGACCAAACAGATCCTTCACTTCTTCTGACATAGATGGAAGATGGCCAAAATTATACATTCTTGTCTCTGGGTTATACCCGAAGCAGCATAGTAGAGTAAGTACTACAGATTCTACATCACTTGAAATTAGTTCTTCTTCTAACTGAGTATCTTCATGGAAACTTATTCTAGATGATCTTTTAGTAGGAAGCTGAGTATTATCCTTGAAAGGAAGTGGCTGAGTGTTTTTACTATCTTCAACCATATAGTCAAGTTGGTTTACCTTTATCCACCACTCAAGTTCTTCTAACTGTTTTTCTTTGTAGGTACGGAATTTTTTAATAATCACGCCCATATTATCTGTATAATTCGTATCTAGTGCGTACTTATGAATGTAATACTCTAGTTTTTTGGCTGCCATTTCATAGAATTCAATTGCATCCTCTTCAGTTTTCAAGTAGTGACATATATAAGACTTTATGAGCCATGAGGGCGTCATAGTAAATTCATTTTCGCAATTAATTTCTTTTGACTTTGGCTTAGATTCTTTCTGTTTCTTTTGTATTTCTTCTTTAAATTGTTCATTGATTGGTACATTAAGGAAGTACTTAATAGTCTGCACTACTCTGCTGTCAACTTTTTCTATATTTTCTTCACTAGAACTTTCCTGTCCTTCTGTAATAGTAGTGTATATGGGAAGACTGAAGGATTCTTTAGATTTGCTTGAACTAGTATACACAAGTCTTGGGATTCTGTTTTCTTCCTCCTCAATTACCATTGGCACAGGTACTCCTTCTGCCCGTATAAGAAGGACTGCAAGAATTCTATGGGAATATTCCTTGACATTCTCACTTTTTAAGAAAGAAGTGAAAGAGTCTTCACATCCTTCCTTAGAATAAATGCTTATTTTTCCGTCTGAGGAAGGGAACATATTAATTAGTGCATTGTAATGGTCTACAATTCTCTTTGGTATTTCATTTTCGTCTAGATCTTTTTCTTTCACTGTGTCATATGCTCGGTTTATTTTTCGTGAACCATCTTTTGTCTTTAATGCAGAAGTCTGTCTAGTTATGTATGAAGGGTTAAATCGAATATTATGAAGAATATTCATTTTTTTAAACAAAGATAGCCTACTTGAGGCAAGAGGCTCGCTCATTCCGGGGTTAGACTCATTTTTCGATTCATTTACTGCAGTTTCTAGCGCATTATCTGCACATCTTTCACTCAATGTTCCGAATATATTCTGTACTGCTAGAAATATACTTATAAAAAGCACTTTTACTAGTATCTTAGTAGATATCTGTTTGTTATTTCTGTTGTATAAACATCCATTTTCTTTTGTTCTAATGTTCATATCTTAGCACTGAAATTCTCAAGTGTCTCCGTATTTAAGCATTTGAAATGTAGTAATTTATCAGTAACTTTCTATTACATGTGCGAATTAATTCTTGACAGATCACTTTATTCTTCGCAATTAAGTTTTTTTAGTAAATTATACAAAGAGAACAACAAGAATCTCTGGTTAAAGCATATGTGTATATGTAATAATATGCAGCTAAATTTAACTATCCTTGCATACATACATATTCACATATTTGCCTGTTGAATTTTCCTGCTGTGAATGTATAAATCTATTCCCTTGAGCTAGCATATTCTACCAAGTGTTATACTTTCATGCGCTAAATTAAACTAATTAGAATTAATTAAAATTAATTAATTATTCATATCTCTTCATTCATCTATATTTTGTTTGTTAATTAACTCATATTTCTATTTCTGACTACATTTTGTTTTTTTTAATAATTGCTTATTGCTAGTAAATTAAATTACTACTAGTAGAAGCACTGACAAGACTAAAGACAGAAATTATTTAAAATTACTAGTAGTAGAGAGACACTAGAGGCAAAAACTAAAGACAAAATGAGAAGATAGAATGATTATTTAAAATTAATACTACTATATAGTACTAGAGACAGTAGAATATTCTTCCTACTAATAATCTTGCACTCTTGGGAAATTTCAGAAAATTCTCTCTATTAGCTGAATAGAAGACAGGAAGCTTTTCTTCATAAAAATATTCAAGTGCAGAAATAATTCTTACAAAACCAGTACTAGCAAAACTTAAGTAAAACAGTGACTAAACTGCAAAATACCTATTATAACCCAAAATAATATTAATAATTGGAGTATGGGCTAGTATATATATAATTTTCAGACAGTTTTTAAATATCTGGGCACTTTCAAGTTTGGTTTTCTTGTAGTTCACTTACTATTTAAGAGTCAAATTATTCTGAAAGATTTATTCAAGTTATACTAGTAATTTCATTTCAACTATATTAGGGGTGATAAACTTAAAAATCACCTGGATTAGATGACCTTAGTAGGTTCTCTGCATATTTAAAAAGAGCATACATATTATAACTGTTTTTTGGCATATCTATTATCTCGTTCTTTAACATGCTAATCATCAGGCTGTTTAATCTTACATCAAACGCACTAATTCCTAACTGAATTTTTTCAAGTGATACAAAACGAATAATTATTCTTTGTACCTGATTCTTTGTTCCATAATGAATCTCTAGATCACCAGTAAAATACTTTGTATTATTCATTGTCTGAATATCATAATTCTTAAAGAATACACCCATTTCTTTCCCATTTTCATCATTAGAAGATGCATAAGAGACTAGTTCATGCCAATCTTTAATAATTTTAGTGCCTAAGAATTCTCTTGACATCTGAGAAAATATCTTCTTTGCATATCCTGCAATTTCCATTTCAAATGAACCCATTAGGAGATGACCACCCACAAATATTTGGGCTTGCAGTCTGCCCCTATATTTCTCTATTTCTTTCTTATAAGCATTACAACCTATTCCTGTGAGATTTAGCATTATTATTAGAATATTGAAGATATCTGGTTGAATCACATATCCACCCTCTATGGTTGTGTAGCTTATATCTCTATCCCCTTTCACTAAGCTTCTAATTATTTCACTCCATCTAGCCAGAATATCCTGTGATATTTCTTGTCCTACTTGTATAGAAGACGTATGACTACTGGATGGATTGCTTACGGATGACATACTAAAAAGATCCTTCACTTCTTCTAACAGGCATGGAAGATGGTCAAAATTATACTTCTTTGTCTTCTCGTCATATCCAAAGCAGCATAGTAGAGTGAGTACTACAGACTCTATATCACTAGGAATTACTCCATCTTTTAGCTGAATATTTTCATGGAAACTTATTCTAGTAGCTGCTTTAGTAGGGAGCTGACTAATATTCACGAAGGGAAGCACTTGAATGTCTTGACTATTTTCAACCATATCTTTAAGTTGGTTTACTTTATTCCACCACTTAATCTCCTCTGACAGTGCATCTTCGCATGTAAAGGATTGTCTAAATAACTTCGTTGAAATAGTATTTTTCACCTTCTCTGCGAACTTTTCCATATAAACCTTCATTTGATTAGCTATTTCATCATAGAATTCAATTGCATCTTCTTTTGTTTCTAGGTAGTGACATATGTAAGACTGTATTAGCCATGCTGGTGTCTCAGTAAACTTATGCCTCCAGGCCATTTCTTTCTCCTTTGATTCTTTCGCCATTATATTCTTCTTAATTTTTGGTTTTGGTTTCGTATTAAGGAAGTACTTAATAGTCTGTAATACTCTACTGTCAAACTTTTTTAGACTTTCTTCACTAGTACTTTCTTGTTCTATAGTAGTGCATATGGGAAGACTGAAGGATTCTTTCGGTTTTCTTGGATTAGTATACACAAGTTCTGGGTATTTGTTTCCATTCTCTTTAATTTCCAGTGGAACATGAATTCCTTCTGACTGTAGAAGAAGTGCTGCAAGGATTCTATGTGAATATTCCTGGACATTCTCACTCTTTAAGAAAGAAGTGAAGGAGTCTTCATATCCTTCTTTAGAATAAATACTTATTTCTCCGTCTGGTGAAGGGAACATGTTAATTAGTGTATTGTAGTACTCTACAGTACTCTTTGGTATTTCATTTCCGTCTGAGTCCTTTTCTTTGACTGTGTCATTCGCTCTGTCTATTTTTTGTGAACTATTTTTTGTCTTTGGTGCTGAGAAATCTATGCGTATGTGTGGATATGTAAGCCGCTTATTATGAAGAATCCCTGTCCTTCCAGATATATATAGCATATATGGGGGAAAAGACTTAATAATCTTAGTCATTGAACTATTTCCTTTATATTTGCTTAAGACTATTTCTAGCACATTATCTGCACATTGTCTGCTCAATAACCCAAAGACATTCTGCACTGCTAGAAGTGCACTTATAAGAAGTACTTTTACTAGCATCTTAATGGATATCTGTCTGTTATTTCTTTCGTATAAATACTCATGTTGTTTCATTTCCATGTTCATATCTTAGCACTGGAATTCTTAAATATTTTTGTATTTAAGCATTTAAAATGAAGTAATTTATCAGTAACTTTCTATTTTTTGCTCATGAATTTTTGACAGATCACTTTATTCTTGCAAAAAATTTCTAATAAATTATACAAAAAATAGCAAGAATTTCTACTGTATTCTTGCACATTTATGCAATAAAGTACAGCCAGATTTAACTATCCTTGCATACATACATATTCACATATTTGCCTGTTGAATTTCTCTGCTGTAAGAGAATAAATCTATTTCTTAAATTATCAATATTCTACAACGAGTTATATCTTCTCTCTTAATGAATTAATATTTTCATCACATGGTATATTCTGTTTATTAATATTCTGGTTATTAATATTCGGGTTATTAGAGACAATGATGTCTAGTAGAAAATTAAAAAATAAAACTAAAGAGAAGACAAAGAGAAGACGAGAAGACAATGAGAGAAAAAGATGAAAAATTATTTAAAGTCACTACTACTAGTAGAGAGAGCCACTAGAGCAAAAATTAGAGAATAAAATTGAAGAATAAAGAGACACAGACAAGACAAAAAATATAATTTATTTTAATTTACTACTACTACTAGAGAGACTGACAACAATTAATACTACTAGTATAGAGGCTAGAGCAAAAATTACTAAAGACAAGACGAAAGATAGGATTTATTTAAAATTACTACTAGAGAGACTAAAGACGACAAGACAAGACAAAAATGTATTTAAATTAGCCCATAAGAACTACTGCAAACTCACATAACTTAACTATTTTCCATCTAATTATATTATTAGGCCTTTTCTTGCTGTAAATCTAAGTTATTTTTGTACTTTATATATAGTGGCATAACTTGCTCTTTGTTGCCTCTATTCCCTCCCAAACAGAACTATCTATTTCTTCTGGGCACCAGGATGGAAGTTCTGTTGTAAATGAATTATCCTTTAAATAATATTTCCATGCATGCAAAGACAATGTAGAGAACTTAGGGAGGCTACTAAGCAGATCTTCTGACTTCCTGCAGTGCATGCATGACTCTGCAATAAATTCAGATGGACAATTTGTTGAGACACCTTGAAGGTATTCCTTGTCATCCTGGAACTCATCAGTTCTGCAGTCTTCTGCTGCCACAAATTCACTGACTGACTCGTTTGTCAGTGATAAACCACATGATTCTGCTATTTTCAAGTACACTTCCTCTGTTATATGTATACTCTTGCTATTAATTAGTCTATAATTACTGTCTATCTTATCCTCTAGATCTTTAGACAAATCCTTGTCTACTTCTTGTGCTGGAATATTTTCAAATTCATTAACTTCTGTGTGTAGGTTGTTCTCTTCTTTTTTTACTATGACATCTGGTGATTTACAATTCCCTGCACCTGTCCTTTCATTCTTTTGAGTCTTTTCTGTTGTGATATGGCAGTTTTCTTCTTTCTCTTCTATAATTTCACTGGTTTTATTCTCTTGCACTACAATTCTTCTTTTAATTTTCTCTGGGATAGGACTACTTCTTATAGAGTCTTCTTCTGTGGTTTTATCATGAGATATATCTAATTTCTTGTTTATATCTAGAGTATGCTTCTCTTCATTTTGATCTTTTTCAACGACAATTTCATTATCTTGGATTTTTAACAGATCATTAATTAGGTCACTTTCTATGTATGGCTGACTGTAAACCATATCATCCACTATGGGAAATCCAATTGCCTGGAGATGGACTCTTATTTGGTGAGTTCTTCCTGTGACAAGTCCACATGCTAAGATGCTTTCTCCTGCTGCTGTATTCTGTGGGATTCGTCTGAAGATGGTTGTACTCTTCTTCCCTTGGAATACTCCGTCTATTTGGTGTATTGTTGTAGTGCATGTTTTCCTGGAAATGGCTAGTGGTAGATCTACAATTATTTCATGCTCTGGGAATTCACCACGCACTTTGCACAGATATATCTTTATTCCTTCTCTTTCTGCCATTTTCTTGTGGTATTCCACTGCTGCCTGTGAGTTCTTAGCAAGAATCACAATCCCTGATGTCTGTTTATCTAGTCTATTCTGTGCTGAGATGAAGTTAAGTCCCATTCTTTGCTTAAGTATCTCTGTTAGACTGTTCTTATTGTAGCTTGAGTTAGGGTGACATGGTATACCAGATGGCTTATCTACTACTAAAATGTCGTTATTTTCATAAATTATATCTATTTTATCCGTTGGAATAGGGGGTTCATGTCTGTGCGTTGTATGTGTGATTAGATCCCCATGCTTTAAGATATATGAAATATCTACACTCTGTGCATTCACATGGATGCTGCCTGCCTCAATTGCCTTCTGAAAGTACAAAGAACTTCTTCTCTTAAATTCATTCGACAAAACATCAAGTAATTTGCACCCAACCCATCTCTCCTTAGTATACGCCCTGTGCTCGTATATGTACCATGGCATTCTCACTGCAGTCACTGCATTATTTTCATCTTTTTTTGCTCCAGTCACGTGCATATTTCGTTTTTCTTTCATTTTTCATTTTTTTCCTTTTTCTTCTCTTCTAAATTTCTCCCATGGACAGCTGTATCCAGCAGTAATTTATCTATAAGAAATTACAACGTAATTAGGGTAGATGAGTTTCCACTGAAATATTAGACATAATTTCCCTATTCATCATCTAGTTTGTTTGTTATCAGTTATATTTAGTCTCTTGAGCTGATAATAAATAGATTTCATTCCATAACAAATCAATAATAAGCTACTAAATCACTTAATTAACACAGATATACATTAGTCTATAAACAAACAAACCCCTTCATGTCTTATTGGCTACTAGTCAAATTCCTAAGGAAACAAATTCCTTCCATTTTGGACTCAGAGAGGTTTCACGTTCGTATGACACAGAAAACCAACAAGGATTATATTCATTAGAGAAATATAAATAGTATACTTTAGTCTACATATTCACTCCAAAGTATTATTCAGTTAGCATGAATTATCATTTAATTTAGACTAAATTCATTTATAGTCATACTTGTACTATTATTCATACTAGAATATCCAGTGAAATACCATAAATTATATGAAGTAAATGGGTTTAAGTGAGTTTTAGTATATAAATATATTCTAACTGATACTATTTTAGTCTAGAATATCTGAATATTCATTAGATTATCACTCTTTGTACTAGTAGATTATTCAGTTATATAACCCAAATTCATCTGAATTATTTCCATAGTATATATAACATATATAGTATACTAGTGTGGTAATATTCCACCTTCATTAATTCTGTGACATTCCTCGTATACCAGAGACTGACTATATAATAGGAAGATAGTAAGGACAATACAAAACAAGCAGAATATGCCAACAGTAAGAAGTAGACTTATCAAGTATACAAAAGGCCACAGTCACCAACCGAAAAGATATGATAATAAAACTCACTGTACCACTACACTCTCTATTTCGGACTAGCTGGTCACTCCCCTTTTGGACACTTCACGTGTATAATATTCCTACTTAAATCTCTTCTTATTTTGTTCTCTCTTGGCTTTAAAGTGATTTTTCATTCTGCAGAATTTTGTTGCTTTTTGGCCTTCAGTTTGCTGAAATATTTTATGCAGGGAATTCTGGAGTTTATTGCATCCCGGGAGAGTGGTGTAACTACGCAAGAAATACAACAGGAATTTAAAGATATGAGTCTCCAGGATATTGTAGTAGAGATAAATGCCTTACATGCAGATTCATTAATCGACTTATTTAAGACTAAGTCTGGCATAGTTTACAGAAGAAACACAGAACCACAGTCATTTAGTGCCCCAGAAGAGAAGATTATATACTTACTAATAAAGGAGTCAGGTGTAGATGGAATCTGGATAAAGGATATACGAAGTAAAAGTGGTTTACACCAGAATTTAGTCACAAAGATCCTTAAAACACTTGAGCAAAGAGTGCTTATTAAGGCAGTCAAGTCAATCAAGCAAAATAGAAAGGTCTACATGCTGTATGACGCAGTTCCATCAGATGACTTAGGGGATGGTCCATGGTTTACACAAGATGCAGAATTAGACGTAGGCTTTGTAGAGGCAATAAAGGGAGTAGCACATGAGTGGATAGTCAACAGTATAGGTAGAGATATGCCTGCATATGAAGATCTCCCTGGGATAAAGGAGGTTCATGCGTTCTTAATGAGAGCAGAGATATCTTCAGTTCATTTGTCTTTGGAAGACGTAAAGAGAATATTAGACATACTCGTATACGAAAGAAAAATAATTCAGTTAGACCAAAGATTCTATATAGTAAAAAGTATCTAGACCAGAATAAGCACTAGATTCAATCTGATAAATATTCTAGTCATATTCAACTGAAATAATAGATATATTTAGGTATAAAATGGATAGGTTTCTGAATAAAAATAGATAAGAAATTACTGAATTCAGGTTATAATTAACGAATATTTAAAGATCTCACATTGTAGGTTATCTGTAAATTATCTTTGTTTTTGAAAATACAACAGTAATTAGTCTGGTTTATAAATGAATTTTTCATTGTAGACGTATTCATATGCATTATAAATAATAAAATATTTTTGCAGTGGAAATGCACAGTGACAAGAAAGACATTTTAGAAGACTCAAAGGAAGATGGCAGCAATAGAAAGAGCAGAACTGAGGATTTACCAGATGATGTAAAATATGCATTGGAAATGATACAGCAAATGGAAGTCTCCAAAAAAGAGAATTCCAGCATAGAAGAGTACAAGAACTCTCTTCTCTCCAGTGAGCTTCTAAGTAAGCAGTCTTTTGAAGATCTTTCCATTCCAGAGGATATCATAAAAGCCCTTAGAACAATGGAATTTAAGAATCCCAGCACAATCCAGCAGAGATCCATTCCAGAAATAGCAAAGGGCGGGGATGTGGCATTCCAGAGTCACAGTGGATCCGGAAAGACAATAGCCTTCCTTGTAGGGGCTTTGTCAGTCATAGATAGATCAGTTAATACACCACAGGTAATTATTATTACGCCTACAAGAGACCTAAGCAAACAGATTTCTTCAGTACTTGAGAACTTCAAAAAGACAATTGACTTTACTATGCTACAGGCACTACCAGATGTAGTAGAGAACATGAATCTTAGAAGACTAAAGGAACAGATTCTCATTGGTGCCCCAGGAACCATAAAGAGAATTGTGTCAGATTTAGAGTCACCTGCAATAAAAATGGTTATTCTTGATGAGGCAGATGCCCTTCTGGAGGATGACATGGGAGCACAGACTGTCTCTGTTGTAAAGAAGATCAGGAATAAGCAGCTGGTTCTGTTTAGTGCCACATTCAGCACAAAAATGAAAGAGATTATTTCCATGCTCTCAAAGAACATAAAGACATTCTACCTGGAGGAGACAAAGGTAAAACCAGACAACATCACGCAGTTCTACATGGAAGTACCTGAGAAGAATAAGATAAGCACCCTTCTTAAGCTGTATGAAATGATGGCAATTGGTCAGTCAATTGTCTTTGTGCACACAAGGAACAAGGCAGAGACAGTGCAGCATAACCTGAAGAGAGATGGATTTGATGCAGCACTTCTACACGGCCAGCTCTCAAAGGAAGAAAGAGACAGAGTCATTGCAGACTTCAAGGAGGGAAAGATAAAAGCACTTGTGACCACAAATGTCCTCAGTAGAGGCCTTGATGTACCACAGCTGAATCTTGCAGTGAACTACGATATCCCAAGGAAACAGTCAGGCAGCGTAGACATTGAAACCTACATTCACAGAATAGGAAGAACAGGAAGGTTCAACAGAGCAGGAGTCTCCATCACATTCTCCACAGGGGAGGCAGATAAAATGGACTTGCTTTCGATCCAAAGATCAATCAGCTCACAGATCAAGTACGTTACGCTTGAAGCCCTCTCCACAGCCATCCAGGAAAACCAGAAGTCAGACCAGGAAGACGATGATTAATCTCACAGGACTAATACCACAATAAACAAAAGACCATTCTGAAAGGACCCAGATACCCAAGGATTTAAATGTTCATCCTGCACTGAATAATTCAGTAATATTCTTACAAGGTCTTTAAAGATTGTTTACTGTTCGTGTGGAATAAAGCAATAAATAAATTATAACTTGATTTGTTATTTCCTTAATAGAAGATACCAATTATTTCTTAGTAGGAGATACCGTTAGACTTTAGTATTTGGTGTTAGTGTACTCTATATCTAGATATAGTAGTGATTTTAGGTAAATTATATCTTTTGTCTCTCTACTAGTAATTTTTGTTGTCAGTCTCTCTCTACTAGTAGTAATTTTAAATATATTTTTGTTTTCTAGTCTTTAATTTTCTCTATTTTTTGCTCTAGTGACTCTACTAGTAGTAATTGTAATTCTACTAGTAGTAGTAATTTTAAATAAATTTGTCTTTAATTTTCTACTCGACAACACTCGAAAACAGTTGACAACAAAATTCAACAAAAACTCAACTGTTTAAATAAATTCACATCTTTAGTTAATGTGATAAAATTCCCCACCTCTAACCTTTAATTCGAGAATTCAAGAATCCAATTACCCCTTAGGAAAATAATTCCTTCTGGAAATTTCTCAGGAAACTATTTAAGGAATAAAAATTTGCAGAAGCAAGAGACAATGTCGACAACAAGGCATACACACGGGAAAATACAAAAATCACAGTGAACAAAGATATTTGAGTATGTGATAAAAATATAAATTACTTGACAATTACCTTTATTAGAGTCTAAAATAGTATCTTCTGGCTGGAATATTTCTACTTTTAGATAAGTCACTAATTAACTGATATCTTATCTATCAAAATTAAACAAAAACAAGTTAAATTGTTATTCTAGTCAATAATATATCTGTGATTATATGATATTCTGAGAATACAACATAAATATCTATATTTAGTCTAGTCTACTGTCTGCCATGTAATAAGAAACCAAAATAACTCATTCTCTAAGGTGACAGTTATACTTATATGATAGGCTTTTATTTAAACTTGCACTCCAAGCAGAAGACCTTCCCAGCCTGACTGCACATTCTTTAGACCTAACTAGAAGTATCTTTATTTCTCTCCATCTACTCTTTCACATGCCTGCACTAGTGACAGACCAAATACACTTTCTATTTCACCTGGAGATACTTCTGCCATATCCTCCTTTATTATATTCATTCCCAGTATTCCTTCCCTTATATCTGTAGATATAAACTCATTTCCATCTTGTACTGATGACTCTGCTACTTTATTCTTGCATATTTCTTGCTTGATATTCTGGTCTACTTTATCTTCATTTAACCCTTCTACAATGAAGAATCTGTGCGTCCCCAAAGACTTCTTTTTATACTGCACTGTACACTCCATGTATGCTGTGCATGAGATAGGTCTATTCATTATGTCTATGAGCGTGTATGTGTGATTCTTTATCTTAAGAGAGCCTGTCTTAGTAGCCAGTTTATTGTATACGTGCCACCCTACTATGTTTATATCTGATCCAGTGCTGTGTCTTCCTTTAACTGAGTGCCCTGCTAGTGATAATTCTATGAATATTCTCGTACAATCTGAATTTAATCCATTACTATTTGCAACGGTAAACATTGTGCTTTTCTGTCTCTTGTGCTTCTGGACTGAGTTGCAGACCTCTGGGATATGTCCTTTTTTGTTACAGAAGGTACAGAATGAGATATACTTAAGACTATTACTATTTGTCTTACATCCTTCTTTCTCAATTCTTTCCATGTCTATTTCTGTGCTAATACTGATCAATAGGTCAGTGTCTGGGGTACCTTCATCTAATTGCGCATATTTATCGTGAATTCCCTTCCTTCTAAGTAGTTTTACAACGGCATGCCATGGGACTCGGTCCTTTAAGACATCATAAGACAGGGTTATGGCCCATGTGCGCATATCATGGAAGTCAAAGCAAAAGGGTATGTGCCATATCTTAGACAGATTATATTGGTCCAGAATGTCTATGAGTTTTGGTAAAACATCTTCTATCCATTTTGCATCTTTTTCTGTCTGAAGGGACTGCAAGAGTATGGTTATCCTGGGAATAATTGGAGCATAAGAGTTATCTCTTCTGCATATAATTGCCCTTTGGAAATATGCTAGTTTTTCGCATGGTGTAGAAATATGCCAGGCAGGGTTTGCTTCTATCTGCTTCTCCTTCTGCATAAACTCTGCATAGTTTTCTTGAAGAGTGAATATTTGAAGTTCTTTAATCAGGCTGTCAGCCCATTCCTTATGTATCCTCTTCAAGGCACCCATGCTTATCTTAGTAGGAAGTAAGGAATTCTTGTTCATTTGCTGAGACGGCATCTCATCACACACCCCATTCCTCATCATATAAATAAAGATTTAATTCCATATAAAGATAATTATGGTGGAAATTATCATTAAGGGATGCTTTGTTGTCAGCACAAAGGTCTTTCATAAAATATAAAAATATCCCTGACAGTTGAAGTAATCACACTCCACCAAGACCACTGAAATATCAAAATTAAAAGCACATTATTATGTCACATTATATCAATAGACTAAAATAAGTGCCTAGTAGCAATGTAAACAAGTGCCTAGAAGGCACTACTTCTCATTTAAATTATTATTAACCAGGATCTCAAATATACTTCATATGACTAGACTAAACTAGACTAAACTTATAGTTCTATTAGGCATGGAGTAAGTATATGGTTAAATTTAAGTGAATCTCTCTAAATATACTAAATATACAGCAGAGAATATACCCAATATACAATTTACAGCAGAGACTAGACTAAATTTACTAAATTATACAACAGAGAATATAATGAATATAGACTAAATTTACAGCAGACTAAATACAATTAAATTTATTAAATATACAGTAGAGCATAGACTAAATATATAATTTACAACAAAGTATAGACTAAATAGACTAAATTCTTCACTATGAATCTGAATTTATTTACAGTAGAGACTAGACTAAACTTACAATTTACAACAGAGAATATACCTAATATACAGCAGAGTATATACTAAATATACTCAATATACAGTAGAGACTAAACTTACAATTTATAACAGAGAATATACTCAATATACTAAATATACAATAGAGTATAGACTAAATTATACACTATCCATGAATCTGAATATTTTCACCCTGAATATATCCAATACCCAATATCCAATACACAGCAGAGAATGTCTAACTGACTTCTCAGAATTACCAATCTAAATAATATCATATAAGCAGTGCCAGGTTAGTTATTTTTATTTTACTCTCTAGACACATGATAACTCAATCTAGCCCTTACCTTTTTAAGTACTTTTTCATATGCTATCATCTTCTTCCCTGCTGCTTTCCTTTATATTTGCATTCATGCCCTCCTCAGAGTATGCTGAGTGACTATGCTTTGCGTTGTATTGGTCGCTGCTCTCATCATAAGAAGCATCTTTCCTGTGGGTGTCTTTGGTACTTTTATTTCTGGTCTTGTTTACTGTAGGCCTTCTAGTACTATGCTCTGCACTTCCATGCTCTCTCTCTTTGTTGCTGCTTAATAGCACTGCTATTTTATCTATTTCCTCCTTCTCTGCAGCTGAAAATATGAATCCTGTTGGCTTGTACCCTAGCAAGGCATGTGCCAGGAAGTAAGGTGTTTTACCAGGGTTTGGCTGTATATCACGCAGTATTAAGTCAGGTGGAGTGTATCCTTTGCCTCCTGCCATGTGCTTGCTACTGATTTTTTCTTCCAATTCTTCAATTCTCTCAAGTACCATCCTGTCCTCTGGTGAGATTGTCATTGCCTCTTCGTATATTTCAAGTGCAATATGTATGGTGCTTTCAAATTGCTCATGAACTGCCCCTAAGTTATACACTGCCTCAACATATCCTGGATTATGCTTCCTTGCCTCTTTAAAGGCCCTCATTGCATCTTCGTACTGTAGGAGGTTGAAGTAAAGTATGCCCAAACTGTTCCAGTATATGTGATTCTGACTGTCTTGCTTTAGTGCACAGTGGTAGCACCTGTATGCTTCCTCGTAGTTCTCCAATTTCTGTTCTGCTCTGGCAAGCAAGTACCAAGAGAAGGCAGAGAGTGCTTCTGCATGGTGCGTCTTTAATACGTCCTTTGCTACTTCCCAGTTTCTCTCTTTATAATACAGCCATGCCAGTAGCATAGCTGCCTTTTCGTGCTTTGGGTTCAGCTGACAAACTCCCTTAAGAATATCTACAGCCTCTGACTCCCTGCCTTGCAGTTCATTCGCATGTGCTATTTGTATTAGAACATCATCCTTAGTGGGAAAGTGACTCTTTGATGAGATATTATGCAGTAGATACTCAAAGCAATCCATTGCTGCTGTCAATGCGCCTTTCTTTTTGTATGTTACACCAAGCCTAAAATATACTTCTGGAATATATTCTGACATATGGTCAATCTTAATGGATGCAGCATATGCTTCTTCTGCAATCTGCAAATTATTCATTCTCTCATAGAATACTCCTACTCCGTACCACAGAAATCCCTTTTTTTCTTTTATTTGGGATGCATGCTTAGAAACCATTTTGTACCATGCAAGGCTCTCCAGGAATCTGTCTAGCATGAGGTAGCAATATGCTATATTTATGGCTACACTTATGTCTTCTCCTTGGTGCAATTTGTACAACCGCAAAAATACATCTAGTGCTTTGTTGAAGTCTCTTCTTCTTCTGTATATTGGGCCTAGCATGGACAGGGCATCCCTTGAGAGTGGGTTATTGGAAAGGGCCTTCTCATACGCGAATGTAATATTTTTCTCCATGTTGCACTCTCTGAATAGGTTGGCCATTGCAATCCAAGATGCCTCGTTGTCCAGAAGGAGCCTAGTGTATAAGTCCATTGGTGGTCTCTTTGGCATCTGTGGAACTTTATCCATTCCAGGTAATTCTTTCCATGTGCTTTCTGGTAGACTAATTTTAGTATCGTTGTCCATTCCAGATATAAAACTTTTTATTAAAAAACTTCTTTATGATCATATTATAGCATGGGGGTTCCTTTCAAAAATTAATTTTACAAAATTTGGGTAAATTAAGCATAAAATAGCATGGAATAGACTAATAAGTATTAGGTGAATCGAAGGAATATAAGAATTAAGTGCATATTGGTGCAGAATGAGTGAGGGTCCAGAAGGAGAAACAGTCCTGCACGAAAAGTCATTTTGAGACCATGCCAATGGAGCCAGCTATTTGATAGACTATAGAATGGAGCTATCCAAATGTCTGGCAATTTGTTATATTTAAAATGAAATTAAGATCGCATAAATGCAAGTGCATTCGTAAATGAAGTCTCCAATAAAAAATCATAAAAAACATTCAAGGACCAGAGTGCCAGAGTGCATACAAATTGAAATTGAAGAATACGGTCAGAGTGGCCCGGTGTATACGTGTATAGCCCGTGTATATATGGGTTATAATGTGAAATAGTCAGTATTGTATTGTATGAGTTTATAATTTATATAATAGAATTATAATAGAATTACAATAGAATATGACAGTAAAAATAATGAAAGTGTATGAATGAGTGTATCCATTGAGTGTGTCCATTAGTAGTCTATTAATGGAATCACTTAATATATTTTATAATTGATGAAATTATACTGTATTTGCACTTGTATTGATACTCTTAACACTCTTAGTACTCTTAACACTCTTAATAACTTGAATATTTTTGGTCAAGACAGTCCATTTAAATATTCTTATATGAGGATATTTTAGAATAATAGTTCTGTATATGTATAACCCTAATATTACTGGTTATATTAGACTGTGTGTATATAATTATAATAACCTTAGGGTTCTTGCATATTAAAGAGTGCTTGTATTAAAGAAATTTAAATTTTATCCAAAGGATTTCCTAAATTCGGGTTATAGCCAGAATTAGTCTGGACTTCTCAAAAGGACCCAACTATATTTATTATAGTGCTAATAATATACGCCTTCTAATATATCACTATTTTCTTTAAATAATATTTCTGTAAGAATTGTCTAGTATATTAGTATACGTATAGACCAGGTACTTCATAGGGTGAATTACTCTGATGATTTAGTGAACACTTCATAAAGGAACTTTCTTAGTGCACCCATCCAGGACCTGAATGAATATTCTGAAGGTGTCTCTGTCTTCTTTTCACTTAAAATAGTCTTGTGGTTTCTTAAATTTAAAGAATTCTGGTTATTCGGTTATATTCGGTTATATTTTAGTATGTCCTTTAATAGTGCATATAAATATATTCGGGTTATATCGGGTTAATCTGTGTGAATATATGCATGTGTATATTCTTAATATAATTTCTTACTAATTAATATACTAATTTACTATTTGAAATAATTTAGAATAGAATAACTGCTAATTAGAAGCACATAATGAAATATACTTTATAATTCACTAGAGACAAATTAGTATTATCTAGTGCTAATATTACAATAGAATGAGAAATATTTACAATAAACCCTTTCTGGTCATTTGAATATTTTTGACAGCTGCCTCTAGAGTACTAGACTCTCTTAGTGTTTTATATTTTTATTAGATTGAATTTTAGTTTAAATTCTGGCAGTCATTGGATTATTTTGGATACTCATGGGGCTACAAGGCAAATATTCATTAGAAATCTATGAAGGTGATAATTTATTACAATTACAATTTCAGAATGGAAATATTCTTGTAGTAATTAGTGTATATTCTTATTGACTTAGGCATATGGCTAGTTATCAAGTGAGTATTTTTGTCATATACTTGAATATCTTTGGTGACTGTGTCTATTTTATTCATTTTAGATATATTTCTTACTATTACTACTATTACTGCTTCTATTAATATTCTTTTAGACTTATTGGTCTTCTAGTATACGAATTTCTGAAAATATTTTGGAGAGTGAAAGTTGAAAAACTCATTGAGCCATAAATTAATAATGAAATATTTACTACAGTTATAATTAAGCTATTCTATGCCCAGAAGTATCTTCATATATTATTATCTGTAGTATAGGCTATTTACTATAAGTCTCTTTAGGTTATTAGAATATAACTTGAGAAAACCTAGTATAAATATGTCTAATTCTGGTTATTCTGGTTATAATAAGTACTTTTCTGTTGTAGAATGCATGGATATTTATGTACTAATGGATTATCTATTTATCTGTCATTATAATTGATATATCTTAGTCTATTCCTTAATGAAAGCATATTTATGTACTTTATTATTTTAAAACACATTCTGAAGGCTTTCAGTTTATCATAATATGATGAAATATTTATAAAATTAAAGTTATTTAGTACAGAATTAAACCACAGAAATATTTAAGAGAACCAGAATACTCTAATATAAGTATACATTAACCCATAAATAGTACTCTATAACAGAGTATATTAAATTATATTTATATACTGTAGTACTATTATCTTGCTAGTCTGGTCTCTCTAGTTCTATTATTACTGACGTGTTCAATAGGGGGCGACAAGATAGTCTGGAGATAGTAGTCTAGAATAGAGAGTGTAGTTGTCAAGGATGTTTTATTTTTGTAATCCTGCGGTTGGTGACTTTGACCTTTTGTATACGTGTTGGATGTACTTCTTACTGTTGACATATTCCGCCCTTTCAGTATTGTTTTTAATATTACAGTCAGTCTCTGATGTACTCTTGTGGCTTCAGAATAATGAAAGTGGTATTTTTACCACAATTACTGCTGTCTTTCTATGATTAAAACACTAAGATATAACCCGAACCCGAATATAACCCGAATATTCCCAGAATTAATTCTATTAAATCCACTAAGCAAGACAATCCGAAGATAATTTAAGAAAGAAAAGTCAATTTGAATTCACTGCATAAAGAGATCCTAGTGCAATATATTCAACTATATTATAGACTTATTTTTATTGTACTAGCAAAGACTAAGATAGACCTAATTATCAGATACTAACAAAGAGATCTTTGTGTATTCAACTATTCCCTCTGGTGTTGGATTCAGAAGAGACAAAGTTGCATCAACTTCTTCTTCAGAGAGACCTTCTGGGCCTGCCTGCAGTATACTCTTTACTACTCCTATTGGAATCTTCCCTGTCTTATTTATGTCGTACGCCTGGAAGGCACTAAGTACGTCATCCTTTGATAAGAGTGGAAATGCATCTTCCTCAGTCATTGTTTTTATCTCTCCTACAGTATATGCATCCTTTTCGTATGGCAGGACTGCCTGAATTTCCTGTTCATTCACAATATATCCTAGAGTCTGCAGTAGAGGCAATATATTCTGTCTTTTTACATATTCTTGTTCTGTCTCATCCATGAATATTTCAAAGACTTGCTGTAGGGTTGTATCCATGAGTGAATTAAATAAAAATTTATGGAATTTGAGTTGTCTCTGGGATTAATTTGACAAAAATTTAAGAAAGATGACTGGCTGCAGGGAAATAGACCTAGCCATATACTTTATAGGGAAAAGTATGAATATATCCAGAAGAATTATAAAAGTACTTCTAAAGATGCATAATAAGAAGATTCTAAGAGTATCATGTGAAATAAAGAGGGTTATATGTAAGTGCTATGAAATAATGGTACCAAGCATAAATTGCAGAAGCAGAATAGTTAAAGAGACAGATGGAATTTACATGTGGAGAGAGTGTTTTTCATGTGGGGCAAAGGATAAAATGAGAGTCTCTGCAAAGAAAAGATTTTCCAATGGAAGAAAAAGAAGAGAAAAAAAGACTCTCAAAGAAGGAGAAGAAAGAGCTGAAGTACCAGAGGCTGAAGGAAAAATATAAAGAGAAAAAAACAAAGAGAACAAAAAGAAAGAAGGCCCCAGAGAATCAAGTTAGGTCAAACTACAGAATATGGATAGAAGTACTAGGGGGTTCTGACCTAATGACAGACAAAGAGATGAGAAGTCTATGCGAGCAAATAAGATATGTCTATGCAGCAAACAGAGTAGCACAAAATCCAGTGAATTTAACTGTAGGAAATTCAACCCTTCTTAATGGATATCTTAGGCAGGACATAGAGAACTGGACGAACATTCAGTTCAGAAGCAAGTCAATTCAGGACATCACTAAGGATAAGGTAGTGCGGGAGGAAGAAGGTGTTAAGATGACAGGAGAAGGTGTTAAGGTGGCAGGAGAAAGTATTGAAGAGAGTCTTAAACCAGAAAGTGCTAAGGTGACAGAAGAAATTGCAGAATATAAGGCAGCACGAGAAGAAGCAGAAGGTGTTGAAGAGAGTCTTAAACCAGAAAGTACTAAGAACCATGAGATGCCAGAAAATAATCCAGAAAGTGATAAACCAGAAAGTACTAAGAACCATGATAATCCCGAAAAGGTAGAAACCAAAGACCCCTTGGATGACAGCATAGATGATTCTGTGGATATTTCAGATATAGTAGTACTAACAGCAGATGCAGAGGAAGAATTAACTGAAATGGAAGAAGGAACAATCTATGTGATAGGTGGTCTAGTTGACAGAAATAGACACAAAGGATACACAGAGAGAAGATTCAAAGAATCATTCCGTACTGCAAGACTCCCAATAGAGAAGAAACTTAATTCATCTACAGTCCTAAGCACACTGCACGTATTCAATATTCTTCTATCATACACCCAGACCCAGGACTGGAATGCAGCCATAGAAGAACACCTGCCCATGCGAAAACAAGTCAAGCCAGAGCCAGCAGCAGAGACAAACTCAGACAAAGTGGAAGAGACAAAGCACAGCAAGGAATAATCAGAATATAACCCGAATAATAAATAGAATATTAATACGACCTCATTTCACTACTTCATTTCTTCCTGAACACTCCCAGTCTACCTATAGACCAAGAATACACCAAGATAATCTGCACATTAATACTTTTATACTTGGGTACTTGGGTACTTAGTAATTTCAAGTAGATTTAGTCATAAGGTATCTACACTTCACATCTTCACTAAATAGACTGTACAATCAATTAGATTATTTACTTCACAGATGCATTTTCACTACAACTCCACTACAAATAAACTTTACAATCAATTAGATCATCCACCCCATAAACCTCACTACAACCTCACTACAACCTCACTACAACCTCACTACAAATAAACCTCACTACAAATAAACCTCACTACAAATAAACCTCACTTTCACTTCACCCCAAATAAACTTCACTACAACCCCATCCCAAATACGCCCCAATACTATTAATTCCTTCTACTACTCACTCTCTTAATCATATTTACATTGTATTTAGAGTATTCCCATATACTAAGCTACTACTTGATTTAAATTTACTATTAATTTTAATAAAATTTGAACCCCTGCCCCAGGAAAATGAGAGAGATACTTTCAATCCACGTCGGACAGGGTGGAATACAAATGGGAAATGCAAATTGGGAATTATATTGCCTAGAACACGGAATATTACCAAATGGTCAAGTTGACCCAAATTCAAATAAGTCAATTGAGTCTGCATCTTCATTCTTTTCAGAGACAAGCACAGGGAATATGGTACCACGTGCCCTTATGGTGGATTTAGAGCCAGGTGTAATTGACTCAATAAAGGCAAGTGAATACAAGGATTTATACCATCCCTCACAGCTTATATCAGGAAAAGAAGACGCAGCAAATAACTATGCAAGAGGACATTACACCGTAGGAAAGAGTATAATTGAACCAGCAATTGAACAGATAAGAAGATTAGTTGATAATTGTGATTCTCTTCAAGGATTCTTTATCTTCCATTCATTTGGTGGAGGAACAGGATCTGGTCTAGGAACACTTATCATGGAGAGACTCTCCCAGATATACGAGAAAAAGAGTAAGTTGGAATTTGCCATCTACCCAGCACCACAGGTCTCTAACTCAGTCGTAGAACCATATAACTCTGTGCTTACAACGCACATGACCCTGGAGCACTCAAATTGCTCCTTCCTTGTGGATAATGAAGCCATATACGATATGTGTAAGGGTCTTGGTATTACTAGACCAGATTATGTCGATCTAAACCGAGTTATTGCACAGGTAGTCAGCTCTATTACAGCATCCCTAAGGTTCCCAGGCTCTTTGAACGTAGACCTGGCTGAGTTCCAGACAAATCTAGTGCCCTACCCCAGGATACACTTCCCTTTGATTGCATACTCGCCCATGGTCTCTGCTGTAAATGCATCCCACGAGCAACTGAGTGTAACAGAGATAGCAACTGCATGCTTTGAGCCTCAGAACCAGCTCGTGAAGTGCGACACCAGACAAGGAAAGTACATCGCATGCTGCCTTCTCTTCAGAGGAGACATCAACACAAAGGACGTGAATATTGCAACAGGAATCATAAAGAGCAAGAAAGGAGACAGGTTTGTTGAGTGGTGCCCAACAGGATTCAAGATAGGAATCAATAATGAACCACCCACATCCCTCCCAGGAGGAGCACTGCCCCCGTTAAAGAGAGCAGTCTGCGCCCTCAGCAACACAACAGCAATCGTTGAAGCATGGAAGAGACTTAACTCTAAGTTTGACCTCATGTACAGCAAGCGGGCATTTGTCCACTGGTACGTAGGAGAGGGAATGGAGGAAGGAGAATTCAGTGAAGCAAGAGAAGACTTGGCTACGCTTGAAGCAGACTACCACGACCTTTCTGGTGAAATGATTATTGGTTAATAAACAGTTGGGATTTCATTATTTTTCTGCTTGAAATATTTTTTTATTTCTGCCTCCCTGCAATGGCAAATATAACATCTGAGAACAAAGTGGTCGTATTGACCGTAAACCTGTGGAAACTTGTAAAGGGATGCTCCCAGAAGAGGTGGGCAGACTGTGCAGTCAGAAACTTGAAGAAACTCATTAAGAAACAATTCCGCACTGAAATGGATGTCAAGATAGATATGGACCTCAACAAAGCCATCTGGGCCAGAGGAAAGAAGAATCTTCCCACTAGAATTAGAGTGGAAATAGGAAAGAGACCATCCTTCAAGGACAACGCAAAGACAGAAATGTTCGTCAAGCACGTGCACGTTCCTGAGTTCAAGGGACTGCAGACAGAAAGCTTCGTTGCACAGATGGACCAATAAATTAGGTATTCTACATTAACTGATCTATTCATTCAAGTTGCCATCACCAAAGAGCATTTAATTCTTCTTTGTGCTGGTTCTTGTTCTTCTGGTGTCTTGTGCTTTCTTCTCTTTACATTGACTCTTTCAAGTGCAGATTTTTCTTCTGAGAGAAAACTCTCTGGTATTTTCCTTTGGGATACTCTATATTCTAGGGTACTTATCCTAATTTATGTGCATATTACTATACTAGGTCCTTTTATATTCACACCCATGGAATTTCATGGAATTTTTATTTTCTGATTTTTGGAGAAAGACAGTTCTTGTGCTGCAGGGAGTGAATATTTCGGGTTATATATATTCGGGTCATATTCGGGTCATATTCGGGTCTGAAGTGAGGAAACTTTTACTAGGCAAATACTACTAGGCAACATATAATAGACAAGGAATAATAGGCTAGACATAATAGACAAATACTCAACTTCTACTAAATAACTTAAAATATTCAACTTTTTAAAGTACTCAAATAGACAACTTCTACTAGACAACTTCAATTAGAAAACTTCTTTAAATACTCAACACATAGTAGACAACTTCAAATGCTCAACTTCTACTAGACAACTTTTTAAAGTACTCAAATAGACAACTTCTTCTACTAGACAGCTTCTACTAGAAAACTTTAAATAGACAAGACATAATAGACAAATACTCAACCTCTTCTACTAGACAACTTCAATTAGAAAACTTCAAATACTCAAATACTCAAATTCTACTAGACAACTTCAAATAGACAACTTCTTCTACTAGAAAACTTCAAATCTACTGTGTTATAACCCGTTATAAATTCATCTAGAAGATAAAACCACTAAATCACACTGTAATCCTAGTAAATATAATATAAACATGTAGAAAGAATATTCTAAAAGTTAAAAGTACATATGGGCTTGAATAATTTATAAGAAATGCAGTCCATGTGAATGAGATATAATGGAATACTCTAAATATGAAGATATCCTTATAAATATTCAATAAACATAATATTCATGCAGGATATAGGGTTAATCAACAGAGAGACATCAAAGACATTTGGTGGATATTTCTTTGGTATGTGTACTCTTAGCATAATATACACATTAGTGTCTGTTATTACACTTAGACAAAATTACTACAGTACAAATAGCTATGGTCACCAAGATGAACTATTTACAATTATATTCGAAACAATCTCAAATATTATCTTTAAGTCTTTTGTTGACCTACAAGCCATAATATACTTTATTGTCACTGGATCTATCTCTTTCTTCTATGTATACATTGGTATGCAATGTGCCCGTCTAATTAGATATGCCATTGTAGAAGCATTTACAATCCCAAATATAAATATAATCCTGTACTTTTTGTATATTATATCAAATATTCTTAGGATAGCCATTAATATCAAATGGGCTACAAGTACAAAATACTATTTCTATCAAAGAATGTGCAGTGTCTCAAATAATAATATTTCATCTGGTGTGACGTACTATTCTGTCTATTTTATGCTAGAAGGGTGTGCCCTACTAATTACAAATAGATGTATATTCAATTCATTCTTGTACATATATACATATAAGTATACGTCTGATACGGATATCATAAATAATTTGTGGGTTGGGATTACTTCATGTTTCTGTTGGTATTTCTTATGGATCACAAAGCAAAATAACCAGAAGAAGTGGTACATGAGGATATTCTTTCTAGTTAATATTGCACGGTTTGTCTTTATATATTTGACATCTGGTGAAAGAAGGTATATTCTTAATACTTATTACAGGGATATGACAGTCTCTGAGAGAATGTATTCAATTGTAAATTCACGCACTGAGAACAAAGTGAATAATAGACGGTTAGGCTTGAATATAGTAGATAATTTGGAGAACTTTTTTGTTGACCTTATATTCAATATATATTTTGTATGGTATAGCATCCTACTGTACAAGCACCCACAGAGTGACTGTTTGTTCCGGGTGAAGGCCAGGTCATCCATCTCTAATTACAGAGAATCAGATGACCAGGAGGTGTAAATATTTTGGGGTGTATCGAGATATTTTGGGGTTATATTGGAGTATTTTGGAGTATATTGGATATAACGTATATATTGGATATAATATGAGATATAGTGTTGAAATAATTTTGAGATATAGCGTATATAATGTTGAAATATTTTGAGATATAACGTATATATTGGATATAACGTATATAATGTTGAAATATTTCGAGATATAATGAGAATAAATATGATTATTCGTTATATTTGAATCCGTTATATTTGGTTGTCTATTGTAAAATTAAATAAAGGACTGCTGTGCATGAAGCTACTGTCTGAAATATCTTGAATACCCTTAATTATCTAGCAATAATAAACTTATTTATGCCCTATCTAGTGTACATGTATCTTATCTATTTATATTTCTTCTCGTTGTATTTTCTTAATTCTTTCTCTCTTAAATATTCTTATTTGAATGAATTTATCATGGGCTAAATTCAGGTTATCCTGTGAAGTAGACATAAATAATTATGCAGACTTATAAAATATCTAGAATGCCTTAGTCTAATATATATGCACATATACACTCCTGCCTCTAAACCCTACTAGATATATTTGTAAAGTACATAAATACTTTAGACTATAGTTTTAACTTGCAGGAGTGAAAATTCTAGTGCATGAACAAGTGCTCATTTATAAGCTGAATGGGTCGTATATACAGTAGAATTAGCATATATTCAAATAATTGCAGTTAAAGTGACTATGTACTGATTCATATACTGTGATACCCAGGGATAATACGGTCTCAGGACATGAATATTTAGAGATATTTTCACCCAAGAGTATAGAAGTACAAGGGAATATAACCCAAATATACACTCAGAGACTGTAAAATGCTTATTTATTTATGCTACTTTATCCACTCAGACCTCTTTCTGTCCAGTGCTGTTAATCCACATTCTTCATAGTCTTCCTTAGTGATCATAAGTGTACTGGCAGTCCCAAGTGAGCCTAAGATTGATCCTCCAAAGAAGGTTCCAAACTCTCTTCTGTCATTATTCACCTTTATCCTGGCATTTGGATACATTTCCATAAGATCAGCCTGCAGTCTCTCTGTTATCCCAGGAATCAAAGAACCACCACCTGACAGCATTATATTCCCAAGAAGCATATCATAATGGTCTAAGTCAACTGTATCCATGGTGGTTTTTATCATTTCTAATAGTCCCATTGGCTCAATAACCCCAGCCATTTGCTTCAGTGGATCAAGTCTCTCCATTGTCCTTCCAGTCTTCTCAAAAAGAAGTTCTGGTATTATATTTCTCTCTGAAAATATTCTTGTACTGAAGCCAGTTGCAAATTCATAGTACTTTGGTTGGCAGTGACCAATGAAGGAAATTGACTCTTTAAAGCACTTTGCAACACCCATCTCAAGAGGTACCTTACTTTCCTCTGAGAGAATTGAATATGAAGGCTTTTCCTTGTAGATTGGCATCTGCTCAAATGAAACTCGTGTTCTCTCTTGAATTGCCACTGGTGGAACAAGAAGATCTGTCTTTAGTTCTGCTGACTTATTTTTTAGAAGACTATGGGCAGCCTTAGTCAGACTATCCCCACCACATGTACTCTTAATACCACCACTCAAGCAATATCCATCAATAACTGAGATAACTTGTGTACTTCCCCCACATAGTCTCACCATAAGACCAGAGCTCTTTCCATAACTAAAGCAATCTGCAACAGCCCCATTAATAAACAGTGTACCAGAAGCCAAAGTAGTCTCCATTATATGCGAGAATGCATTCTTCCTGGCTTCTTTTGATGTGAATGGATCTTCAATGTTAATCAATGGAATAGTCTCAAGGTCATCTGTGAGTTCTTCTAATGTGGCAGTAAGTGCTTCTTCTAGAGTCTTTTCACCTCTTTTCTCAAAAATAGAAGGAACTTCTCCTCCTGCATAGCCTGCCTTACACGTCTCATGTCCTATGTCAGCCACATGCACTGTTATGTCTCCCACGGTATACATAATAAAATTATGGTAAAGTTTTATTTATACTTCATATACCATAGACTTGACTTACAAAGGATGGTGGCTATTGCAGGATTTCATAGAATAGTGTAGATATGTAGATATATCTCATGGGGTATATGTAGATATGTGTAGATATTGTGATAAATTGCAGTGAAATTTACATGTTTTGTAAATATTGGGAAGAATATATAGTGAAGAAATATAGAGAGAATATATATAGAAGAAATATTGGGAATATATAGTGAATATATAGTATTGGTCAGGAATAGAGTATAAAATGAATATATTGTGAAGAAATACCAAGTAAATATGTATGAAAATACAACTATAAACGTGTAAATATATACATATAATACTCTCTATCACTAGTAAGTACCACTAGATGTATTATTTCTTTAGTAGAAGTTTTTATGTTTATGCTCTACAGCAGAACAATAAAAAAATACCTGAATAGAACAATACCTGAATAGAATATATAGTGAAGAGAATAATACCTGAAGAGAAAAAGCAGTAGACTTAGTACTATTTTATTCATAGTATATAATATACAAAATATATTAGGTCTTAGTCTATGACTCTATGACTATTTTAGCTGTTATTTATTTGGTAGAATAATTTTTTTTGAATGTCTGTGATCAAGCGTATGGAGAAAACAAATGCCTTCTTAATGTATAAGGATGCTGATGAATTATCTAATTTTGATGTGGAGAGAATGTATGGATATACTCTTCCTTGCGTATTTAAAGATGGATGGGACTTTCCTGACTCAAAACAATGCTATGCAAGAGTGTCATTTGACCATGATTCGGCTATTGCTGATATAAAGCAAGCCTTACTTAAGACATGCGAATTAGTCTACTTTGGAAAGAATGACTTAATTCCTTTACTGCAAAATGCTTTAATCAGGAATATCTACATAGATATAAAAGATATGCCTGATTACTGCAACACAGACTCTTTCAAGGAGATTATTAACCTATTCATAGAGAAGAATACGATGATTTATCTATCAGAGAATGACCATCCTATCTATAGAACCATGCGTACTACAAAGAACCAGTTTATTGAGTGTCTGGAGGACATACTTGGGTCTGTAAAAATACAGTCTCTATTGGATACTATAGAGAATAAGATGAATAGATGGTGCAGTTACACAAATGAGAATCATAAAGGAAATCTGTACTACTTCATGACATATAAGGCAGCCAGCCTAGCAGAAAAACTATTTGTCTCCATATACAAGGAGAGCATAGTAATTCCTATTCTGTGCAAATTTGTGCAGCACTTAAAGAGTGAAGGGTTTGTGACAAGTGAAATTAATATGTATGAGAAGAGAAGGGATGGGGTGTATAATATAGATTATGCACTTAGTCTATTTATGAGTCATAGATGGAGTCTACTGGCACATACTGAGAAGGAACAGTTGGAAAATGAAGAAAATATGTCTAATTACGACAAGCAAATGATTGTAAATCTTTATGAAAACTTTCGTGTTGTAAATGAGGTTATCCAAGTTATCCAGGATATACTTGATGAAGACAGTAGCTACAAGGAGTATGAAGCACAATTATCAGCTGCCTTGCCATCACCCAAGGTGAAGGGAAGTGCAAAATTACCTTACAATGTTAAGTCTCAGAAGAAATTAATTCTTGCTAGGCTAAAGAAGTTTTTGCATGAGAATGAAATAGATGAGGATATTGCTGAATATATTAAGGCCAGAGTAAATCTCTATATAAGCATTATATTAGACCACAACAGAGTCACTCCTATTAAGAGTAAAAAGAGCATGGTTTCACGTGCTCTTATAGGCGCAGCTGGTCTTGCCACTAGTATATTTACATTGAAAACTCTCCGTGATTCAGTCTTTAATAATAATGAAGAGATGGGTACCTCAAGGTCTTCATCTATTTACTACTGCGAAAACCCTATGGACCATATTAAATAGATTTTTTGGGTGAAAAAAGGCATCTTGCAACTCGTATGCCAGTAGGCATAAAGCCAGAAAGTAGCAAATATGTGCTTATTCTCTTAAGTCAAAGGCTTTTATTAATATAAATGGGTCTTTTGTTCTATGCACATATAATTATTTTTCTTTGCTGATGTCTTGCTGGAAGCACTTTGATGTAAAAAGCTACAATCCTTCTAGAAGCACAGAAGAAGTGCTGAACTTATTCTTATGGATTTATCTACTCTTAATAAAAGTCAACAATAGAACTATTCTTTTGGTTTAGATATTTTTACAGTATATTTAGTCTATTATAATGAAAATATAACTACACAGTGAGTCATAGTTATTAAACTTAGACTAAATTTCACTGCTAAAAAGCCTTTTCCCTACATATATACCTTCATATAGTACTGGTCTCTTGGATGCTTATGCAGTTAGTGCTTTATTTTTGGGACTATATTCTTTAGAGTTGATTTTAATAGGATTAAAATATTCAGTAGTAGATATAATAGAATGCACTCTTCTGCTTCTCTTATTATGCAAGTTGCATCTGTGCATAGTAAGGCACTAGATGTATTTATTAGAAGCCATATAATCTATATTTCCGCATGTTTTATATAACTTTGTTTAAATTTAACCATACACACAGCATCTAAGTGGGCTGGTATAACTTGCATATGTATTATTATGCATATGCCATTGTTCACTTGCTGTGTGTGCATGCCATTTATGTAGGGTTCTTTATCTACGTATATTTTCATATTTTCTAGTGCTACTCCAAAAATATAAAGTGTCTATACTGTAGTATATATATGTAAAAAATGAAAGGTTACTGCACACAAAGAAGAAAAAGATCAAAAAAATAGAAAATAAAATAACAGTCCCATAGACATACACTAGACACATTGGGCTATCTGAATAAAAGAACCAGTCAGTATGAGTAGAAAGGTATAATATTCGTCTTTCAATACATTTTGGTGTTAAATTATTTAACACCTTCTGTACGTTGCAAAGCAGTTATCTTGTGCAAGAGTGAAGTATACAGAAGAAGCAAACCTAGCAAAGAGAAATGGCCCTGCAGAAAGTTAAAGAAGCAGTCAAAAGGGACTTTAATATAAACGGGTTATATATAATATGCTATAAAGTAAATATATAACCAGAATTTCATTATTATAACTAGTAGAAGGTTATAACTAGTAGAGGGTTCAATTGAATGAAGAAATTTGATATGTCCAAACGAGATAATATTTCAGCCAAGATATAGTAATATAAACCTCTAATAGGGATATTTGTCAAGGGGGTATTATTCTTATCACATACTAGAATATCTTCGGTTACTGTGATTTTTTGTCTCTCTAAGGACAATTTTCAGTTGTCTTAATATTTTCACACTATTTACTACAGTGACCTTCTCATATACAAAGAATCTTCATCCAAGTGTAAATATGGACTCTTGCAGTCTCAGAATAATCTTGTGAGATTGTCGACTAGAAGGCTAAAGATGAAATTCATTTTAAGTTAAACTTCTACTAGTAGAGAGACTGACAACAGAAAATAAAACAGGATTATTAGTCTAATTTTAAGCAAGAAGACATAAGCAGACAAATAGTACAAGAAATATACTTGAATATATTCCAATATAACCCGATATAACCCATATCAAATAGATATAATATAATTATTCACTACCATAGACATACTAAAACTAGTTACAGCAGCACATAAAGAATTCTTTAGGAGTAAATAAAACTGTATTTCATTCAGAATATACAGACAGTTGAGATAGTTCTATTCCCAAGGGACAATAAATATGGAATCTCCATACATTCTGTTCCCCTGGATTACTATCCAGAATATTTTATTTTAGCTTAAGCCAGTTGAAATCTTCAATGGAAGCTACAAATTTTTTTATGTCTTTAATACACTCGCTCATAAGGGCGCCCAGAAAAATATCTGAGTGGATTGGGCTGGGGGCAAGTACCCCTATATATATGGATTTCCAGGCAACAACTCCAACAGACCCAAGGGTAGTCAGTGCAATGATTCCGTATTTCAAAGAAAAGTTTGGAAATTCGCACAGTCGAACCCACCAGTTTGGATGGAATGCAGAGAGGGCAGTAGAAGACGCAAGAGAGAAAGTTGCCTCGATAATACACGCAGATGCAAAGGAGATTATATTTACTAGTGGAGCCACAGAAAGCAACAATATAGCGATAAAAGGAATTGCAAGATTCCTTAAGCAAGACATGAGTGAAAAACCGCACATCATCACAACAAAAATAGAGCATAAGAGTGTCCTGGAGACATGCAGAGACCTAGAAGAAGAAGGCTTTGATGTAACATATCTCTCTGTGAATAAGAATGGCCTAATAAATATAGAGGACCTAAAGGCAGCAATTAGACCGCAGACAGTTCTTGCGAGTATCATAGCAGTGAATAATGAAATAGGAACAATATCCCCATTGAAGGAGATTGGGAAAATATGCAAGGAAAACAATGTATTCTTCCATACAGATGCAGCACAGGCAGTTGGAAAAATACCAATAGACGTTAAAGATATGAATATATCACTAATGAGCATATCAGGACACAAAATATACGGGCCCATGGGAATAGGTGCATTGTATGTCACAAGAGACAGGCCCAGACCAAGAATACAGCCATTATTCAGTGGAGGTGGCCAAGAGAGAGGCATGCGCAGTGGAACTCTTCCAACGGCTTTGGTTGCAGGCCTAGGGAAGGCATGCGAAATAGCACAGAGAGACATGGAGAAAGACAACAAGAAAATAAAAGAACTTTCACAGCAGCTAATAAAAGGACTGATCAAGGAGATCCCAGATATAAAGAGAAATGGAGACGTAAGTGGATACCCAGGCTGCATAAATATATCATTCCCGTATGTGGAAGGAGAGTCTCTTATTATGGCCCTTCCAAATATTGCTATAAGCAGTGGGAGTGCATGTACATCTGCATCACTTGAGCCATCCTACGTATTAAAGTCCCTTGGTGTAGAGGATGACCTAGCACATTCCTCTTTGCGATTTGGAATAGGACGGTTTACAACAAAGTCAGATATTAAGAGCGTAGTAAAGGAAGTTGTAAAAAAGGTGAAGAAACTAAGAGAACTCTCGCCTCTATTCGAAATGGCACAAGAAGGGATAGACTTAAACACAATAAATTGGAATGCCCATTGAGTGCAAGGATACAGTATTCTTTGCAAAATAAGGTCTGATTAATAAATACCGTTATGATAAAATATTTCATTATATTCTTTGTATACTAACATTCGGGTTATATCGGGTTATATCCATATAAATGTTTTTTTCTCTAGTGGCTATATGTAGTAGTAGTTTTAAGTAAATTATATCTTTTGTCTTTAGTTTTTGTCTATTTGTCTTTAATTTCTTGTCTTTAGTAATTGTTGTTGTTAGTCTCTCTACTAGTAGTATTTTTAAACAAATTCTCTCTTTTTCTCTTTTTTTCTACTGCCAGTGTACTCTATATATAGTAGTACTTCTAGTAGTAGTGAATTTAAATAAATTTCTCTTTAATTTTCTTTAGTAATTTTTGCTCTAGTGTACTCTCTCTACTAGTAGAATTTTAAATAATTTTCCATCTTTTCTACTCGACAGCACTTGAAAACAGTCGACAACAAAATTCAATAAAAAGACAAAAAGACAAAAAATAACAGTCACCAAAGATATTCGAATATAACCCGAAACTAAAGCACCCTTGACAACTATCTACTATCAAGGTTTATATTAATATCTCCTGGCTTAAATATTATCTTGTTAGAGTACATTAAAACCCAATATAACCCAAAATATTTTCATGCACAGTAGACGGGTATTTCTAAGGGCAGTGTAGATAAATTGACTGTAAATATCATAATGATTCATGTACTGAGGGTTTATGGATGTTCGTTTTTGTTTAAAAGAGAGTGGTTGTGCATACTTTATTCAGTTTATTTAAAAGCTGCAGGTTAGTTGCAGGATAGCTATTCATTCAATAGTCTTTGCAAGGACTGCATGCTGAAACAGAATAATAGTCTACTTGTTTTTCTTATCTCTTCTCTGCTCTTCCACAGCTGCAGCTGGTTTTCGCATGAAAAGCTCAAAGGAAGTCTTTTCTATGCCCAAGCAAAGAATGAAGTTGGCGCACATTGTGCTAAGTAGCCTCATTTTCATGTTCATGGGGATCTCAACAAACTGCATTTGCTCGTTTATCTCAGGCATAATCTCCAAGGTGCAGACAACCACCATCCCCAAAGAAAGAAGCAGTGAGTTCAACAGCTTCTTATTTTCTGTAAGGCTTTCTCTGAATGGGCGCCCAACATAGTTTACAACAAGCGTGGTCACCTGCAGGGCAGATCCTAGCAAGAACATGGCTGTATTTGCTAACGTAGGGACAAATTTCTCCTGAAGGACAATCGGCCCAAATGAAATTACTCCAAGGTATATGTAGTAGAACGAGGAGATATGCACAAGGGTTTGCAGTACAACAGAGACTACAATGTATCTACTGAATATTTTTGCAACTGGTTTCTCCTGGGATATCCGGGCAAGAGGCCTAGATTTCCCAAAGAAAGTGAATGAAACAGCAGAGAGCATTCCAGCAGCAGTCATTTGGAAATCACCGTACTTTACGCCCATAGTATCAAAGACACTAAGGGTATATGCAGATAGAAGGCAATTTAGAGCAAGTACCTTGTACATTTGCACAGTACTGACAAGTGCAGACCGTCCTCTGGAAATAACGTCAATAACGGATTTAAGAGATCCTGTCCTGGAGGTGAAAGGGGCTGCAATACTTGCATCTCCCAACTTCACTTTTATCTCTTCATCAAGAATGAACATAGACTGTCCTATATTCCCAGGTAAGGCAATAGACTTACCCTTTCCCTTTGTCTTTTCCAAAAGAGCAATTCCAGCATGTGCTGTTTTCAATGCACCAACGTCATTTGTTCCATCACCGCACATGAGTGTGTACTCTCCTATTGAGTTCAGTAGGGAAATAATCTTCTCTTTAGAGTCTGGGTCAGCCCTGGCAAAGACAGAGGGCCAGACCACAGTCTTTTGCTCTGACTCAGGCATCTGGGATACACTGTGCAAGAATGCATCTATCTCACTAGAGCCACTTAAGTGCTTCTCGTTGTACATTCCGACCTGTTTAGCCACACTAACTGCAGTCTTCCCGTTATCTCCTGTGATCATAATCACCTTATGGTTACTCTCTATCAAGTGACTGATTGTCTCTTGTGCATTATCCTTTAGTTTCGAGTTATAAAGGGCAACTCCAACGAACTGCAAATCAGCCTCAATCTCAGTTCTCTCCATGGAAAGAATCTGTGCCTTAGAGAGTGACTTCAATGGCTTCATTGCCAAGGCAATCACTCTAAACCCGTTCTCTGCACAATCTTCAAATTTACTGTAGTCAGCAGGGACCTTCTGTAAGTATTCCTGGACTGTCTCTGGGGCACCTTTCATAACGACAAAGAAAGAGTCTTCTGACTGTATGATGGAGACTGCTCTCTTCAGAGAACTATCAAAAGAGAGTTTCTTCAGGACAGTGTACTGCTTATTTTCCAGTAGAATTTGGTTATCGTTAAGAAGAGATCCATTTACGTATGAGAATCCACATGTATCCAAGGGGTCACCTTCTACCTTGTCATTGAGAAGCACTAAGGAGTGGCATGTTCCAATCACCAAGTGTGCCATTGCCTTATTATCAGACTCAATTGATGTCAGTTGCAGGTTAAGTTCTGTAAGTGTTCCTGTCTTATCAAAGCAACAGACGGTTATTTTCCCAGCAAATGGAATTCTGAATGGCTCCAGGCAGTAGACACCAAGACCAACAAGTTCCTGAAGGGATGAATTAACAGCAATAGTGAGCTCCATGGGCAGTTCAGGTGGTACTACATTAGTCAGAATCATAATGCACTCCAGTACAATCTTGTAAAGTGTCTTTCCCATTGCTATGCTTTCACGGACAACGTACACGCAGGATATAACTGCAAAAACAAGCATAGCCAAGATAAACATATATGCTTCATAGTTATTTTCACTAACTGTGTCCTCTGATGCAATCATAGACTTAATAAGTTCACCTTGTTCTGACATAAATCCAGTCCTAAGGACAATGCACTCAATGCCCTTCTCAGAGATCTTGAGTATTTTTGTTCCCCCGAATAGGATATTTTTCTTGTGGTGTGCAAGTGAAAGGGGTACATCTTGCTTTACAACGGACTCTTTATGGACGGGTGTGGCTTCACCTGACAGCATAGACTCATTGACAACTGCAGTGCCTTTTACTATTAGTACGTCAGCTGGCAGTTGTATATTTTGGTCAACAAATATTCTGTCTCCTGGAAGCAGATCGCAGCTTAGCACTGCCTCCTTCTTCTCATTTACCACCCGCATGATCTTCTGTGGTGCTAGGTTAAGACTTCTTAGCTGCTTAATATTCGTGTGTCTTTGGAAGACCATTCCCCCTTCAAATGCAATTATCGTGAAGAACGTAAAAAGAGAGTATTTCCAGTACTCATCAAGCATCCACAGAAGGGCACAGAATATCTGGAAGACAAAGAATGGACTGACTGCATGCTCTGCAAACATTCTTATGAAAGTAGGTGGCTCAATCTTAAATTCATTCTTTGGGCAGATGACTCTCTCCAGGGTAGTGAGCATATTGGACACACTCACAGTCTTAGAGAGATATGCCTCCAAAGAGAAATCTGTTTTTATTTCTAGCTGCTTAATTGCTGTTCCATTGAAGTAAAACACATCATTGTCAAATTCAAACCACTTTATCTTCTCCTTCTTGTCCTTAATAACAGCCACCTTGGAGAGTACTGGTGCAAATCCAACCTTATTCTGCTTGTTCATTGCCTGCTTCTTTGTGATTTTTATCATTTCTGCTTCATTTATGTTGGAGACCTTTGTGAGCTTAGATATTTCGTATACCTTACTACCCCAAAATGAAGATAGAAACAAGAATCCTTGGATCAGAGCCAGAAGGAAGACACAAATTGCACATCCATTTGTTCCTGCTTCTCCAAATGTAATCTTCGCCCCAAACCAGTACGCAGCTGGATAGAAGTAAGCTGGAATCACGTAAGTGTGTGTCCAGACAGACCTTCGCTTGTACAATGAAAACTCCATTTATTAAAAAAGTTTTTGTCTGTAAATATGCGGGATATTATTAAATCTTCCTCTGCTGACATTCTAAGAGACTTCAAGCTGTCTTCACTTGAAAGCAGTACAGAAGACAGTGGATATTTAGATCTCAGCTCAGAGAATTCTTTAGATCTGTGCAATCTGCTTGAGGGGCAAAGTGAAGCAGATAGGTCAGATAGACTATCTATGCAGGAACGCATTCACCCAGATACAAACTCAATTTTATATGCAAAGATAGAGGAGTACAATGAAGTTGCCTGTCTTCTTATGGAACCAGTGTGTATTGAAATACTTGGGGTTAGGTGCTCTGGTAAGTCTAGTTTTCTTTACGGTCTGCTACGAGTAAATTACCATCTATTCCCACAGCTTATTATTACAAAAGGACCAGTCCCTGAGATAGATGGGACAAAGGTCCATACTGCAACGAGTATGGATGAGATGATTTCCGTGTTAGAGACAGTCATAAAGACGCAGCATATTACAAAGACACAAATATTAGGGATAGACACTCTAATTACGCTTTTAAATGTGGAAAGAACAGAAGAGAAAAAGCACGAGGTCTTCTTCTTATTAAAGGTACTGAATGCCCTGGGTGTGCGTGTGGTTGTAATAACCAGTCTTATAGAGACAGTCAGAAGGTCATCTGACTTCTATCATAGAAGCATATTATTTAGGCGTCTGCCGTATAGTGAATAAGAGAAATAGTAATTATACACTAAAGGAGTTAATAAGTTGCTATGATGCAATTTATATCTGAAAATAAATAAATAACGGACTTTCTAGTTCTGATATATAAGTATTATAGTGAATTTAAAGAGAGAATATCTTGTACTGTACTATTAAATCTTGTAGAAGAGATAAAACTAAAAGGAAAAAGAACAAAATAATACTACATAAAGGATTATACTTTAATTATCTTTAGGATTATTATAACCTTAGTCTCCTAAGTAGATCTGTCTAGTTATTCTTACTAAATGCATGGCTGTATTATTTCTAACAGACTTTCAACTATTTTTACTTATAGAAATAAGTACAGTAGTACTATTAGTCTGCAGTATAAGCCACTAGTCTGTTTATAATGAGTTTTTTGGTCTAGAAGATATTATCTATTTAAGGCACTAATTATATTTGATTCTGATTAGTCTGAGGGCCAATTTTAGCAACTAGATTACTTATACTGTATCTTGAACCGAAGGACTTATTGGATCAGTTGAATCATAATTAGCACAATTACTAACATGTAGATCATAATCGTTACCATTACCTAAATAATTTTGAGAAGGACCATATCCAAAGAATCCAATAGGTTCAGTATCTCTTAAATTCTTTGTGACAGATACAAAATTTGGAGCCTTTAGAGTTTTTAGTTGTAAAGGCTTACTGTTAGTATCTTGATCACTTAGATTTTTATCATTTTTATCACTTAGATCTTGGTTACTTTTAGGAGTTGTAGTAGCAATTGGTGTTGTAGCAATTAGAGTCTCATCTGTACTATCAATTGGTGTAGCAATTGGAGTCTCATTAGTCTCATCTGTAGCCTCATTAGTCTCATTAGTCTCATCTGTAGCCTCATTAGTCTCATTAGCCTCATTAGTATCATTAGCCTCATTAGTATCATTAGTCTCATTAGTCTCATTAGTCTCAGTTATAGTAGAAGTTGGAGCAGTAATTAGAATCTCAGTTCTAGTAGTTGTTCTAGTAGCAGTTTTTGTTTTTGTTTTTTTAGTAGTAGCTTTAGTAGCAATTGGAACCTTAGTTATAGTAGTAGCTGTTATAGTATCAGCTGTAGCAGTAATTGGAATCTCAGTTATAGTAGTATAACTTGGAGGAGTCTTTAGTTTTTTTTGTTGATCAATATTTGAGAGCATTATTTGTAAGCACTTATCTAGAGTATCACTTGTTCTGTTACAGTTATCTTTTAGATTGTTTGCTATTTTTGTGAATTTTGAAAACATATAAGCATCTTTTAACTTATTATATTTTTCAGTGAAATCCTTAAAGTCCTTCATAGACATTGCTGTAGAGACATCTTCATAGGATACATCTTGCATATTAAAATTAACTGAATTTTTTTGTTCTTTAGGTTCACTATCAGATGTCTTTATAATATCTAATAAACTATTGTATGTACTAAAATCACTTAAATCCTCATCTTCATTATAATCATTGGATGAATTTTGATAATTTGCATCCAAATCTGCAGATTCATTAAAAAGCACAGAATACCCTTTAGTATGCTCTGACCGGGTACTTTCAAATTTTCTATACTCGTCTTCGTATACTGAAAACTCTATAGGCTGGTCAAAAGGTCCATTCTGTGTGTGTTCATTGTCCTTCTGTCTTTGTATATTCTGACGGTTAAAAAACCTCATATTTTGCTTCTGTGGGATATGTATTACATTAGACTGTGAATTATGACTGCTAGTGGATGGTTGCTGGATATGCGGGTTATGAGTGCTAGTGGATGGTGATGTTTGTACTGATGAGGGAATATTTTGTTCTTTTTCATCTAAATTAAACGAATTCAGAGAATTACTGCTTCCATATCCATCATCCTTTTCAACTTTGCTGAATTTCTCTGATGCATTGTAGGGATTTATTTGTTTTGGTCTATTTTCAGGCTCATTGGTAGTGTTATTATCCATAGAGCTATTATCCATGGAATATTCATAATTTTGGTTCTCAAATTTAAATTCTGAATCATTGTTCATAAGGTTATTCTTTAAGGAGGAATCTATATCACTCTCATCTAAGTCATTGAGTTTTGAGACTACTTGCATATTCTTTAATAAAGGGTTATTTGACCCTAGATTATATATATTCTTTTTAATGCCAACCATTTTATATATACAGAATCCTATAATAAAAACAATTAAAATAGCCAGGACAGAGAATTTAGCTATTTTAAGTACTCTCGTATTGTTGACACGCATGTAAATAATTGTGTAAGTGCTTAAATACTTTAAACTGTATTTTTTGATATGCCAAAATACTAAAAATATTTACATTCACACGAAAACAGACATATACTGATATTTTTCTATTTGTTTGTCCTTAGGACGTGGTATTTTGAAAATATCCACACTATCATAAATATAGTCATTCTATTAGGGCATTCCCTTTGTATAAATTGTTCTTATTTATATACTCTTTCATATTCTGTTCTCTAGCCATTGAGACTTTTTTTAGTAAAAATAAAGCATACTGCAAGAGAAAAGTAAAATTAATTTCTAAAATACGTACGAAAATATTCAAATTAGACTAAGTATTACAGTATACTAGAATTATATTTATGTATAGCACATATACCAGACAATTTCAACAGAGATGTATATATTGCCATTTATTTAAGTACTAAAGTGTTTATTTGCTTTGCTGCTTATAGTAAAATATATGTACTCCTAAGGGACTACGTATATATGTATGGAGACAGACTAATTTCTGCATAAATAATCAGTAAATAGATAGTTGTTTATATAAAACAATACGCAGTTTTATTTAGAATGATAGAAGCTGAAGGGTTTTTAAAAAAACAAGATGGAAAACAAACAAAGTCTCTCTCTATTAAAAATATACACTGTAGTACTCTATAAGCATATAAAAATAAAAATAACATTATGAACAAATTCAAATACTACTGTGGTAAAAGACACTAATGCACAGATGAATCAGATAATGTGCATATATTTTATATATTCTTTAGAGTAGGCTGAAGATAACAGTTTATTTCAGGTTATTTTTTAGTGAAAATATATCTATTGAATTATTCTTGCTTCAGTAATAATTAAGTTCTTGTCTCTTGGGAAATTTCAGAGAATTCTTTGCATAGTGCAGGAGTAAATTCTTACAAAGCAAATTCGGGTTATATCGGGTTATACTGGGTTATATCTTCATTCAAACGTATTAAAGCAATAAACTCCTACTATATACTGGACTATACTGAATTATTTTCAGTTTATTTCAGTTTGTTTTCAGGTTATATACTGGGTTAATTTCAGGTTATAACATTCAAGCATAAGGCTATAAATGTAAGAAGATCCTTTAAAGTATGAATATGTGAATATATTTCTATATACTAATTGAATATCCCAGGGAGGTATTTTACTCCATTCTAACCTCCTAATAGGCAGCACATTATCTCTGCAGAATGAAGCTAAGCACAGTATACACCAGAGCACTAAAATACGTGAGTTCTCACATAGTATGAATATTTAACTATTAGTCTCTGTGAGCATACTAGATACTAATTAGTACGGAAGAACTGTAGTATTTGAATAATTTACAATCTACAGTATAACACACAATACAAAGACAAAACAATTCTATATTTACTCAACTATTTACTTTATCATATCATTCAAATCAAAACACAGTCACTCTCTGTCTAATCCATAAACTTCTCTTTTGCTACAGCCACTAACCCGAATATAACCACTGCTAGTGTGAGAAAATAAAGCCTTCTGTGCAAGGTACTTGTAGTCTGCATCTTCTTGTTGATGCACTCCAGCTCAGAAAGCATTCTACTGCACTCCTTAACACAGTTTGTTCCTGTCTGCACCTGGAGCTTTTCTATTTCCAGGAGAATTACCCGAATTGTTGTCTGTATCTCCTGCACTGCATCTTTCTTCTCACAAAGTTGAATTTTCTGTGCTGCTGCCTTTGCCACAAACACTTCCATCTTCTGAAGAAGTTGTTCTCTTTTTCTTTCAATTCCCTCTAGAATTTCATCTGGGAATACTCCTTCATCAATTGACCCAGCCGATAGACGGCTTGGATTTATTATGTCAAAAAAGCTCTGTGCTTCCATCTCTCCAGATATCTTTTTTCTTGCCTCAGGAACTATCTTCTCCATTCTAATTATTTTTTTCATTACGAAAAGAGTCTTTTTCTAGACCGAGTCTCTGAAATGTACTCTTCTGAGGCACCGTGTGGGGTTGGGGGTATTATTATATTTCTATGAGGGGAAATGTATACTATTTTTCGTTTTGGCGTGTGAATGACTCTGTCAGGTGTACGTACAGTGTTTTGTTCTTTTTCCTTCTTAAAGACTGGCTGTATTTCTATCTCTTTAACTGTTGAGGGAAGTGTTTTGGACCGTTTTGATTGAGACCGCTTCAGAGTGACCTCTGTTGAGTTTATTCGCTTTAGATATTTTGCGGTCCAGTGAGTTCTTTTTCTTTTTTCCATGCAAAGCGCATTCTCCTAAAAAATAAATTCATCATATACTAGTCTCGCTTAATAGTCATTCAATTTATTCAAAAGTCCCGTGCAATTTGTCTATCAAAGAAGAAATTTCAATTACGCCATTTACAGTGGGAATCAGGGAAAGAACCTGGGTTGCCTCAGTTAGTGTAAGCTTATCACCCATTGTAGTGATTATTTTAATTAATTCGCTTCTGGATATTCTTTCTGTTCCCTTTGGGGTTATTTCCAAGAGTCCTTGCTTAAGTTCTTCCAAGGACATGCTTTGTTCTACGGGAGCATCTGGTTTCTGTGTGCTTACGTACGTCATAATATTAAAAAACTTTTGCGATAAATTTACACAAAGATTGCCCTAGCACTGAAATTATAAGGTTATTCCATTGTATTCAACAGATAATTCTCAGATTACCAAGTGCACAGTAGATTTAGTCCATTGCCCATATCCAGTCTCAATGGGTTTCAGTGGGTTTAGACTATTTAAATAAAAATATTCCCAGAGAAGCACAGTCACATAGACAGACTACTAATAGCCTTATATTCTAAAGGATATTAGTTAAGAAAGGAGTTTGGTTAAGACTAAATATTAGATACTTAGATACTCCTTTTATTCTGCTCAATTAGTAAGAGTTTTTTGAGTTTTCCCAGAGTGCAAGAATAATTCAATAAATAAATACTTTGAAAGAGCCATATATCTTATATTTAGAGTGCCCTTATATATTTAATTTGAAGGCACACAGTGAAATGTCTTTATTCATGGTTTAGTCCAAAACATATTTACACTCTCAAGAATATTCATGGTTTAGTCCAGAGTATTTATGTTTTAGTCCAAAATACTCACCCTCTATACCCCAGAATATATCCCCCCTCTAACCCAAAAAACTCACCCTCTAGTCCAAAAATACTATAAGGATAACCCGAAGTATTTTGACTTATTTACTTGGAATCTAAAATTACCACTTTAAATAACAAAGTGATATAACCTTATATAGTAAATATATCTATTTTCTGGTTCTTGTTTCGAAAGGGCATCAAATTGTTTTAAGTTCTATTAATATTATTGTTTTTATTTTCATTCAATGGCAAGACAGGGAGGCATGCAAAGTAGAACACGGGGTGGGATAAGTGAGATGTCAAAAGGGTTTTCCATTAAAAATGAAACTTCCAATATTAAAAGATCTCTCTTCCTGCAGCCTGCCTCACACTCCATGCGGAGTGGTATTACATGGGTATCCAGCCTATACATCTTCTTATCTATTCTGTTTACTTCAATGATTATTAATACATCTACAGTTATTCTGTGCGATGGAATTCTACTTGGGAAGATGCTTTATATAATATGTGCACCAAGAGTAGAATTCCTTATATTTGTGCCTGCTCTGATCTTTGGGGTTAGCTTTATCTATAAAAAGGTCTTTAAAATCACCATGGCTGTGGCTGTGTACATTCTAATTCTTTCGTTCACAGTTTGTATTCCTGTGATTTTAGTAGACAGCATATTCTACATTATAATGCACAGAAGTATGATTAGACTATACGGCATGATATTCAGCATATTCCCCATGGTAATTATAGGTATTATTTCTCAGTACCTGGCTACTATAAATTTGTCTGGGTGTGTGGATCCTTCATCTGACAGTAGAACAAACATTATACGCCAGGTGACCATGATAATTGGGAACTTTATCTGTGGTTTAGTCTTCTATCTAAGTATTGTGTGCACCCGAGACAATGCAATTATCATTCGAAAATGAAGAATGAAGTAGCCAGAATGCATGCATAAATGAAGGATAGAGGGGCAAGGAGACAAAGAATTGTATTAAAATACTATTAGTCCAGGCTGGTTCCCTTGCAAGGGACGCATCGATACTTTTATTAGTATTAGGAATAAATGATTATTACTGTGCTTCTTATATCGAGTTATATCGGGTTGTATTTGGGTTATATTGGGTTATATCTATTAGTAAATCCACAGAATACACAGTATACTAGACTAATTACTGCATTAAGTACTCGTATATTTTTGCAGATTATTTGTAGACTGCGTATTCTATGGATTATCAACAGAAATTAAGTTTGAGTAGATTCGGGTTATATCGGGTTATATTAAAAATACCAAGATATTCCCCTTTATACTTTTATCACATATAGTAAATATATCACAAATATCACATATACTTTCGGGCTATTTCTAGTTACGCCTGTCTTCTATCACTCTGTTTTAGACCACTTAGACGCATTTTATAAATTCAAATACTCAAGAAAGTAATATCCCACGGGGTAGCAGACTGTGAGTAGTCAAGAGACATCTAAAGTAAACAAATAGTTCTCTCTTCAAAGCACCTATTATACCATAGTATACCTATAACTATAGTCTCATTGTATAAGGTGCCATGAACAGCCAGTTATACATCTATTGCAAGTACTAGTACTACTGTATACTCTATTACGTTGCAGAATCTGCTTTCCATTAAGAAAATCCACTAAGCATGCACTAAATTCTTCAATAAGAGAAATATTCCAGAAATACCTTCAAACCCACTGAGTATCTTAGTTGTATGCACTCAATGGTACATCATAAAAACAAAAGTATTTGAGTTATATTATGGATTTCTTTTTAATTCTTTGTTTATTTATTTAGCTCATGACAGTTTGATACAGTGCTTCTTTAATCGTGTAAAATATTATTATGTTTTGTGAATTATGGGGCAGCACAGCAGACTAAAAAGAGCATATTTATACATAATTAAGGAGTCACTATATTTTAGAAGGGCTGTCCTTCTGCAGCCTCTGACTAAGCCAGGGAACCAAAAGGCATATTCTCAAGTAGGTCTTTGGGTAAACATTGCCTCTTTGTTTGTATCTATGGTTTGCAGTTGCTCTTTCTTCAGGGCACTTCTTAGTTATAGAGACACAACAGAGCCCTTTTGTCTTTATATTTCCATGGGGAAACTTGTTCCACTTTTCTTTGGAGTACTTCTCCTAGGATCCTTTCTATATTCATTTCTATTTAGTTTCACATTCATTGAGTCTGGGTACATTACATCTTACTCCATGTCAACCACATTCCCAATTACCATCGTAGGAAAGGCCTTGCAGTTATATTTCACTGAGCATATTTGGCCAATTGGGTGCTTGACATTCTTGCTGAGTGGGATAGTCTCTAGTCTATTTATAATTATTAACAGAACCAAAAGGATAAAGGGTTATTACACATTCTGGTGCATATTCACAGGGTGTACATTAGTGCAGATTCTAATGCACATCACAAGTGACTCAAGTATATTTGGTGTTCTAGTCCTAGGAAGGTTTAAAATGTAGAAATATGGTACTCACAAGATCCCATGCTTCTTTAATATTTCATGAGCAAGGGTTATTTAAGCAAGCACATCCGTACTTAGACAAGAATATATACTTGTATACGCCTTTATATTTATTGTTCAAAGGGCACGCTGCGGGAGTATATATTCAGAGTGTATCTAGAGTATATTCAGAGTATATTAGAATATATTAGAGTGTAGTAGAGTGCAGTAGAATATACTAGAGTACTAGAATACAGTAGAATATACTAGAGTATATTAGAGTGCAGTGGAATAAACTAGAATATAAAAATACTCTAGAGTACACTAGAGTATACTAGAATACAAATACACTCCAAAATACTCAAGAATACAAAAACACTCCACTGCCTCATATAAATATTCGAAATATTTTAATAGACGAGTAATAAATTGACTAGTAGAATATTTTGCATACGACAGTAGTACAGAGGTGCACCTGAAATGCAAAAAGATGAAAAGTGTGAAAAAGATAAGATAAAATAAAAGACGTTTTAATTGCAGTTATATATTTATAGATGGAGTATTTTCTATTCGATAAGAGAAAGTGCCCTACCCAGAGACCAGCTAATATCAGTTGGAATGGTTGCCACATTCTTTATAGGAGTAAAAAGGCCGACACCAAGATTCTCCATGAACATTATGGTGTACAGCACACTCACACAGTCAGGGGCTGGGGAGGTTGGAATGGGTGGGTTACTGGCAGAATGTGCATTGGATGCAGTTGTATGTGGTGCAGATGGCTTATTTGAGCAAACCGTAGAGGCAATCTTCTTTATGTCTTTGAACTGTGCTGTTGCAGGTGTCTTAAGAAGATGCAGCATCTCTGCAATGAAAGAAGAGACAAAAATAGTATTTATCTGGGACAATCCAGGAGCAACCTCCTTTCCATGCGTTGTACTTTGTATCATTGTGGCTAGTATGGTCTTTATATGGCCTTTGCACTTGGCTACATCGAAACTCTGTGATTTCCACGTGCACACATTCTGAGTGTCAAGTTTGTGCACTTGTGCCAGGCCTGCAACCAGACCCATTCCAAGGAAGGACCTGGATAAAACATCTTTTTTCTTTCCGTGCACTATTCCCTCCTGAACACTCTGTGCATCCTTGTCAACTTCAAAGGAAATTTGTGCTGATCCACCACCTAAGTCAATAATCCCAATCTTCTCTTTCATTTGCGTGACAAACACAAGGGCTGCCCATGCATAAAACCCTTCTTCTTTCCCATCTATCACCCTTACTTCTATTTCTTTTTTCTTTGTTTCCTCCAAAATAACGGTTTTTACTTTCTCTAGCACCTGGTCTTTTGCTCTTTCCCCAATTAGCCTTAGACCTGCAGTTCCATTGAATACAACAGGGAAGTCATATCCTGTTGTATGCTGGTGTTCCTCCAAGTATTTCCTTCCAACAGAAAGAAGACTTCTAATATCTTCTTCTGGGGTCTTGCTTAGATGAATCCCTGGGGAAACATTTTTGAAAAGATGCGACTTCAGGGTAAGACCCTTCTCATCAAACTGATATATATTTAAGCGGGTACCTGTTGACCCTCCATCAAATACTGCAACAAATTTATCTTTAGGTATTTTCTTCTCTGCACTCTCTTGCATAAATGTACTGACTATGCTTGAGATTGAAGATAGTGCCTTTCTAATCTGTGCTATTTCTTTCTCTTGCCTAGTGAGTGTAGAGAGTGCATATTTTATATTCTTATCTATTGCCTGGTTGTACTGCATATTTCTTTTTGCAACTCTTTCTATTTCTTCTTTGTCCTGTCTGTCTGTCATTCTTGAAGGCAGTTCCATGTGCTCTGTCACTTTTGTTATATCCCGTGACCCTAGCATCTGTCCAGTTGCAGCTTCATCTGTGCCTTTATATTCAACAGCGCATCTGCATGTAAGCATAGCGAAAAAAAGAAGACCTCGCATAATATCCGAGAGAGAAAGGATACTTATGCTACAATTGAAACAAAACATCTTAAAACCAAAGAGACCTCCCATAACAAGAAAACACTTGATCATTAATACTAGTGCAAAAATAAGTCTATGTCCCGTATATTCCTGTTATAATGAAACCTTCTGTAGCTCAATGTGCCTGGGTATATCTAGCACTCTTAGTCTGCTACTGTGAAAGTCTCTATGAACAAGTTTATTTTCTACTGACTGAAAGAGACATATAGACTGAACTATTCATTTTACTGCACAAATTCACCAGATGCATACTACCGCAGAGACTATTCTATTGGCTAATCTTCTATTTAAGCCTGATTATTAGGCAGAAGTATTTGTATACCATGGAGACAAAGTCAGTGACTATTAGCTGAGTATAATTATACTAGATGAAATTCCATGAAAAGCCAGTATATCATGACTATTTTCACTGTATTAAACTAATAGATTCTTTTCCTTCTAAATTATCCTTTAATCTTAACTATTTCTTCTATTTGTTTTATATAGTATCTCTTGCATCTCACTGTTTCTTCAAGTATATGCATATATCTACTATATCTCATAAATATCCCTAAATATCCTAATTAGAGTCACTTTATTTCAGATATCTCTGCTATTACTTCAAATTTCAAAGGACACAGTCAAACACTCTAGAATTTCTTCGAAAAAGAATCTTTACTATACTTCACAACATTTTACTATAAGAAGAAGCTTAAAAGTGCAAACTATACATTCTAAATACTTCACTTAATAAACCTTCTTGTAAAGAATCTTCAATATAGTACTCTGCATTTGCCAAAGTTATTTCTGAATTTCTCAAAATTGCATGCTGTAGGTTAAATAATATACAGTCATTAAGAGGAAACTTTCTACCCAGGCAATACTCTGGTCAAATAGCAATACTCTAGTAAAGTAAATTTCAGTTAAGAATCTCACAGTCAAGCAATGCTCTAGTAAAGCAAATTCCACCCAAAAAATACTCTAAATATAATACACACCATATATAATATACAATATGCCCATGCAGTGGGATATTCTCTCCCACTGTATGAGTGAATTTAATTAGAAGCTGAATAAAATATCCGACTAATTATTTAACTAATTTCCATGTACAGTCACCCTGCATATACTCCTTACTTATTATACTGAATCATATACGGCTGCAGGAGACACATTAGAATAATAAATATGCATGAAATTCTTTGATTTAAGTGCACGCATATTAAGAATATTTATGAAATTATTGCAGTCATATTTTGCATTCTACTGCATATTTGCTGTCTCCTGTGGTTTTTGTCTTAATTTATTCGCATTAATTATATTACTCATCGGGTTATATTAAATAGGTGCCTTGTTCTATTAATTTCGCATTCTATTTATTTTTTATCGAATGAGAGATTCATCTAGTACAGCATTAGCACAGGAATTTCAATCCCTTTTGGAGGAGCTGGGGATAGAAGGAGAAAATAGGAAGGTGCTGCTTGCGCTGCCCACAGAGCAGAAACTCCGTATGATAAATGCACAGAATAAGTCTATGCAAATATCAGGGATTGAGATAGCCAATCAATTTAAAAATATTAAAAAGCCGTTTTCAATCTCTTATAATATAACGGACATTGAGGAATACATTAAAGAGATACGGATATTGCGGCTAAAGTTTGTGGAGCTAACAGAGAGAGAGGTAGAGAAGGCAATTGAAAAGAACCTTCTTGTGGACGTATGGGGAATTATTTCTGCTCTTGCACCAAAGGCAGAGGTGCAGGATTCTAGGATGTATCTTCAGCTGGAAAATACCAAGCAGAATAAGCCCATATACAGGATACTAGAGCCCACTGTGAACTTTTTTAAAACTCTGCTGAAGTCTCCTGCTATAATAAGAAGTCTTCAGAGTAGTACAAAACTGTTTACAGAGATATTCATGCACTTCCCTTCTGAGTATGCAGGAATATCTACTATCATCCTGCAGATTGCTGCAAAGTGTTCTACTATTTATATGGATGTATTTCTAGACTATTTATTTAGGTCCTCTAAGCACGAAGTACATGCCTACTGCATTCCTGCTTGTGACATTAGAATGAAAAGAATACTTGATGAGATCCATTATAACTTGACATTTAGGACGATTGATGAAGAGTACGCAATTGCATTTTTGCATCTTTTGGTTGATTTCTACTCTGAGCCACCTTTGGTTGGTATTATGCTGGATAGTCTGCTGCGAATGTGCGATATAGGACGAGTGCTCAGTAAGATTGAAAGCACCTTCTGTGGGACAAGAAAGTTAATTGGTGAAGTAATTGAGATGCAGGAGAAGGTGCGCAGCATGGCAGGTGAGATTGATGTGCGCCAAATTCAAATGGACACAGAAGACACAAAGAAAGATCTTACATATATCGTAAATGTCTTGAGTGTTCTGAACAGAATAAACAGCAGCCGAATATACGATGTAGTGCAGTACATCAGAGGATGTGTTCTGGAGGAATCTGTCTACAAAAATAAGGACATTGCGAAAATAGAACAAGAAAGAGCCATTCGAAAGAAAAAGGCAGAGAAAGAAACGTACACGTGCATATGCAAGGATATTATAAGAGGGAAGGAATTGCAGGCACCCATCTTCCCATCACCCACTGCAATATCCGTAAACTCAACGCAAAAAGATGGAAAGACAGAAGAAGGCACCAAACAGAAAGATCCTGAGGCAGTAAGCGTAAGTCTATCCGAGTCAAAAGCACCTTCTGCCCTTGCTAGAACAAAAGAGATGAAAACACCAACACCAACAGAAAAAACCACTAGCCAAAGGACAATGGTAGAGAATGAAGGATTCAATATCCCAGATGGAATACTAACCAAGATAGAGACAGACTCTCTTGTTAGCAAAATCATTAAGAATATAACCCGAATATCCTTAACTAAAGACCAGTGCATATCCTTAAAGAAAGCCATTGATGGCCGAGATGCACTAGTCACAGAGAAAAACCTCCCAGAAGACACGAGCAAAGTACCTATCTCAACTAGTCCATCGAATGGGCCACCCTGCAGGCCACCAGGTGCACCACTTAACAGACCGCCAGTTGCACCAATTATTAAACCACCAACTATGCCTCTGGGTAGACCACCAACTGCACCGATTAACAGACCGCCAGTTGCACCACTCAACAAACCACCAACTGCACCGATTAGTAAACCGCCTACCATGCCTCTAGGTAAACCACCAGTTGCACCACTTAGTAAACCACCAACTATGCCTCTGGGTAAACCACCAACTGCACCACTCAACAAACCACCCATCGGAGGATCTATGCCAAGTGTTTCAAAAATGCCTGCACCGCCAATTATGAAAAAGCCTTTGAGTGGAGATTTAGACCCTGGTAGTACTGTGCCCATTCCTACACAGCCAAAAATAGGCGTATGCCCTCCTATGGGCATTCCCAAGAATGATTTTGCAAAGAAAAGTGAATCTGTCCCGTCAAAAGAGACAAGTACAGATGAAACTACTATCAATAGTGCAGAGGTATCTAAGCCTGGACCAAGAGCTTTATATATAGAGCAAGCTGCACTGTTGCAGCCATCTAATCCGCAGCAGATACCTTACGAAGTCCATATACGAAAGCCAGGTACAACTGGCCTGTGGAGTGTACTCGACAAAAGCGAATTAACGATATTTAAGAAAGAAGACTTTTCTGCTTTTGAAAGAAAAAAAGTTGATAAAACCGTTGAAGAAGAAAAGGCCATAGTGGATGGGGTAATTGATAAAAAAAGATGCAAGTCCATTGATATTGCGCTTGCAAGAGTTAAGATCCCTTATGAAAAGCTAATTGAGGCAGTGGCAAATATCAATCCAGAGCCATTTAATGAAACCCTTATTTCAGGTCTTCTTAAAAGCTACCCTACTGATGAAGAAGTCGAGCTCATACGAAAGCATCCTGTGCAACTAGCACCTGAAGTTTTCTTTAAAAAGGCAATTGCAGTGCCTTGGTTTAAAGATAAGCTAATGATCCTCCATCTAAAAATAACTCTGCCGAATATCCAGAATGTCCTTCTGCCAAATGTACATAAACTGACAGAAGGCTGCCAGCTTCTCCTGCAGGAAAAGAGCATCCACAAAATAATGAGGACAACCCTGGGGATTATAAATATTCTTAACTCCAATGGAAGAAACCAAGGTGCCTGGGGTATTAAGCTTGAGACACTTCCCAGGATACTTGAGAATTCAAGTCTTGTTCTCCTTATACAAGAGAAGATGAAAAAAGACAGTTTGAAAATTCAGGCATGCGTGACTGTGCTATCAGATGTAGTAAAAATATCAACAGATATCATAGAGACAGACTGCCAGGAGTACTATAGCAAGAAGGAGCTTATTGAAACAATTGATATTGCAAAGGAGCATAAGAAGTCAATAAGCTCTCTATTAAAAGAGCTAAACAACTTGCAGGAAGCATACCTTAAGTGGAGGTCTTCCATGGAAGAACTTAGGCTGTTCATGGGCGAGAAGGAGTTCACTGGTGCTAGTCTGCAGATTCTCTCAAAGTACATTATTAACGTACACACATTCAAATTACCAAAGAAGTAGCCATGAACCTGCAAATCTTCCCATACTACATCTGTATTTAGCAAAGGCACTGAACCTGTTTTAATAAATATTCTATAACTACGCCCACCATGAACTTTCCCTGTGCAATCAACAGTTTTATCAGTATGTCTATGACTAACTAGACTATCTAACAGTCATCCTTATCCAGCAAGACATATATCCAAGCAAAATATGCCAAATTACCCTACACTCACACTCGATATATTCTGGCAGAGTGCAATATAGAGCACAGGAGACCAGACTATACTGTACGATGAAATCCATGCGAAATAACCAGAATATTAAGTGTCTTATAACTTTTAATTACTATGATGCAGCTGCATCCTGTGATAAATCTGTACCAATTCTATAAACTCTGTCTATTATTTATGTTTTTAGCTCATTTCAGCTCTCTATTTTCACTACGGCGCCTTCCTGTGCGCCTGCTGCTTCTGTGCAAAATATGCAGAAATTTAGCTCCTGCCGAATAAAACCCGTGCAGTCCATGCAGAGCCGGCTCTTGCACCCGGGGCACCCATGCAGCTGAATATTTTCCTCTGAGCATCCTCTGCACCTTCCTTTGCCTTCTGGTGCGTATATTGGGGCTGAGTCACTCCAGTGAAGAGCCTTAAGTAAATGAACTGGTGCACTCAGGATGTTCTCACAGATAGGGCATACTCCAGGCACTTTGCACACTTTTGTCGTGCAGAAGGGACACTCATATCCCCACTCCTTCAACTCTAAGTGGCAGGCACAAATTGTATTTTCTTGGATCGATGATGGAAATCCAATTTTCAACATGGACAGCCGTGCAGAGGCTGAGTGCGGTGGTGGTATGCATATCAGACCTAGTAAAGTAGATAAGTCTTCTGGGCAATTGACAATCCCAAATATTCCCCCACTCTCTTCACTTATTTTTCTAAGTATTTCCATCTCTCCTGCCATGTGGATTGTATGCATGATAATCCCTTTGTTAATTAAACTGTTCTTTAAAATAAACGGACTTCTTCCAACAAAAGTAAACCCAGATACAATGAAAATAACTTCTTTCAGAAATGAACAACCCTGAAAGAATTCCTTAACTGTCTCAAAGGCAGATCCCAAAGAAAACCCACCCTGTCCTTCATTCTGTGCAAAACACATTTCTATCTCATCTTCCTCACAGAGAATCGAACTCACCAAATACGACATTCCCCCGCATACAACAGCCAATCCAACTGTAGAGAGTGGATTGCTCTCAGTGAATTCCCGGAAGAATTTTATGACGCCCTTTTTGACGTAGTATTTTCTTGACGGAAGAAAGTCTCTTTCTTCAATTGATGATGACATGTCAAGAACCAGAAGAACCCGCCTAACAATCCCTCTTTGCATGTTTTCTGTCCTTCTGGTTACATTTAGTGCAAAAATAGCATCTCCTTTGCCATGTTTCTCCCATGTGTTCTGGAAGGCTTCTTCCCATCGAAACTTATTTGAATCCATTAAGTAACTAAAATTCTTTGTTTTTGTTATGAAGCACAAGGAATTGCTTTTAGGCAATAAAGAGCTGGATTTGTTAATTGACTGCGCACAAGCCATCAATTTATCAGGGGAAAGTATCCCTGCGATAGATAAAATAGTAGAAGTAGTCAGCACACCAGACGACTATGAAACCATACATGCCCTAGCTAAGGGTGGGCACAGTGAAGTGTTTGTTGTCAGAAGCAAAATAGACGGGAAGGTATATGCACTGAAGAAGGTCTTCAAACAAGATATTATCAATGACCCTCTTGTAAACCCAATAATGAAAGAACGAGATTCCATGATATGCGGAAGAGACTCTGCATGGCTTCTGGGCCTTCACAAGTCATTTCAAGACAGAAATGCCCTGTACTTTCTAACTGACTTTATCTCAGGCGGAGACTTAGGAAGTCTGGCCTGCCGAGAGGGAGTGCTTTCCGAGGAAATGATCAGATTTTTCATTGGTGAGCTGTTAATGGCCCTGGGTGAACTGCATGGCCTTGGATTTGTCCACAGAGACATTAAGCCAGAGAATGTTTTGATTGACTCTGATGGGCACATAAGGCTTGCTGACTTTGGGAGTGCAACAACACTGTGCGCTGATGACCATCATATAGTTGTCGGTACGCCTGACTATGTAGCACCAGAGTTACTGAATATGTGCGGTGGACTCAGTGAAAAAACAGACTTGTGGTCAGTTGGTGTTGTCATATACGAGCTGGCACACGGGATAACTCCTTTCTATGATGACACAATCCGTGGTACATACGATAATATAATGAACATAAAATACTCCCTAGAGAAGACAGGCTCAGATGAACTCCGTGATCTAATCAGTAAGCTACTGTGCGAGAAGGAAAAAAGACTTTCTTTAGGTGAGATAATGGCGCATGGATTCTTTAAAGGATTTGACTTCTCTGGGAAGCATGCGAATACGGCGACGTACATTCCAACTATTCTGTCAAAAGAGTCTGTTGAGAATTTTGAGGTCGATGACTTCATGCCTGCACAAAGCACACTCCTGAACACTGCAGAAAACATTCGAAAATTCATTGGATTCGGATACGACCCAGATATCCAGGTGGAAATCAGAAGGGAAAGAAAGAAGGAAGAGATATCCCCCATATCCCCAATATCCCCCATATCCCCCAAAGACGCAAAAGAGAATTCCATCGAGGTAAGTGAAGACTGCACTGCAGAGTACACGCCTTCCAATATTTCCAGTGTATCAAGTACATCCAATACTTCCAATGTATCCAATATACCCAGTGTATCTTTAAGTGCACCTGAAGAGTCTGTAACTGAAGAATCTGCACCCGTTGAGAATATGTGCAGCGTATGTAAAAAAGTGAAGAAACCTTCTGAGGACGAGACAGATGAACAAACAGAGGATCTGAATGAAGATGCAGCTCATGTGCAAAGCGAGGCGCAGGCAGAGAAAGCTGTAAATGATATTCTGCCAAATAAAAGCACTAATGAACAACATAATGAACAACATAATGAAACTGCACAGATTGAAGAGCCAATTATAACATGCATTGAGACATCAAAGAAAGAATCCTCTGAGAAAGAGCAGGTTTCTGTGGATGCAGATGCTTCTCCTGTATGTATAGACACTAAGTTTGAAGGAGATTTAGAAAGAACCTCTAAGGAACAGGAAATATCTCCTGTCCACAGTTTAATGCAAAAGAAGGATGGAATATTTTCTGTCTCTTTGGAGAAGGACTTGGAGATGCAGACAATAAAAAAAGAACGAGCTGATCTGGCTAAGGCAATAGATGGACTAGAACTGTCTTTTAAGGCAGAGTATGAGCATCTCTTAAGAATAGATCTTGAGCCTCTTATAAGAAATATAGGACTAGTAGAGGAAGAGATAAAGACGTATGTCCACACAGTGAAGGAGTCCCTGAAGAGAGAGAGTGAAGTATCCTTCCAAGCCAGGTGGGTGATAAGGAAACTTCAGACAGAACTGCGAGACACACAGAGCAGGATCCAGAGAGAGGTTGAAACACGAGCAAAACTCTCTGAGCAAGTGGAAGAGGCAAAGTTAGAGAACAAAGAACTGCGCGAGCACATAAGAAGACTTAAACTTGCCTCAAATGTATACAACTTTCCGATCAAAATATACGTTGACAAGAAATGGGAATCTTCAACCCTGCACCTTGAAGAAGACTACCTGCAGATAAAGGACATTTGTCTTCCGCTTAACAAGATATACTTCCAGGATATAAAGAAAAATGAACTTCTTAGAATAAACTCCAAGGCAGAGCTACTTTCCTTCAAGCTTCTTCTCCCGTCTGAAGATGATGTATACACAGAGCAGACTGAGTCTTCGTCTGATCAAGTCCCTACCCCGGGAGAGGACAAGGAGCTACTTCATGAGCTGGAGAAAGAGATGAAAATACTTGAAGGAATTGATAGAATGATAAAAAGCACATCTGCTTCGTGCAAGATGATCATTCCCATGGCACTCAAGCAGAAGGAAGGAACTGAAAAGAAAATACACGAGCTAAGACAGGCCCTAGCACAAGGACATTCCTCAGAGCCTGCAACCATCCGGTACAACAACCATACCTTCAAAGTCACCACCTTCAAGCAAGGAATCCAGACATGGTGCCACATATGCAATAGGCTTCTGTATGGAGAGACCAAGCAAGGCCTTCTGTGCAAGGGGTGCAAGATGGTCTGCCATAAAGAGTGTCACACCTTGATAATATACTCGTGCGAGTTGCAGCAGGCCATGGAACGAGGAACTTCTATTATTCTTATGGCAAAGCAGCTAGAGGATAAGGAGAGAATCAAAGCAATTGTAGGAAGCGGGCAAAGATAACCACGTATTTAGGCTATATTTAAATAAACATTGGTAAACAACCGTATATTACCTTAAAGTGCATCTGTTGTTCAAGAGTCACTGCCTCTTAGAGTACTCAGACCATGCATCCATCTAAATATTTAATTTAGAAGTTTAAAGGCAATGTCTCACTATAAAGGGCATTTAGAAGTTATTAGAGGCAATGTTCATTTCATATTTTATATTCATTCTATTCAGGTTTGTTAAGATATAAATATTCAGGTTTGTTAAGGTATAAATATTCAGTTTTGTTATGGTATAAATATTCAGATTTTTTAATAAACTCTAGTTAATTAAAAGCCTTTTACATCTTATAAATATTGTACTAAGTTGAGTAACATACACCCACAGTTTACACTTATTTCACTATACTAGCAGATTTCTCATGAGTTTTTGTTCTTTTTTGTTCTTCAGTACTGCATATATACCCCTATATACCCCGATATAACCCGAGTTAACCTGAATTAACTACATTTATTGCATGACATATTTTATTTTTATGTCTAGATCATTGTTGATCTGCCTTCTGTGCCTGATGACCTTTTTCCAGATGCATGTGCTGGGTGGGGGTGTGATTGTTGATGATCCTTCTGTGAGAAATGATGTAGTAATAGAGAAGCACACCCGGGTAGTTGATGACTATTTTATTCTGCGCAGGTGCATAGACACTTTTTGTGTTAGGAATGCAGGAGACGGCGTAATAAAAGGAATATATATTCCTAGTGAGAAATTTAGTCATCTTTCATACTATGATGAACTTGGGAGTATTCATAAGCGAGTCATTAGGAATGGTCTGTTTCTGCTTGGGTTTAGGTATTCAGTGAAGCCAATGGAAAGAATATCATTCTCAGTGGAGACCGTATATACTGGTCCTGGGAAATCACAGAATATCTTTGATACCACAGGAGTATGGCCATTTGAAAGTATTTTGCCTCTTAAGCACTCCATGACACACACATATTTTAACATGTACACTAGAAAGATTGGTCTAAACGTGTAGTTCTTGCAGTAAGGGAGTGCACTTGAATTTCTACAAAAGATATTCAATATAATTAACCTGAATATACTACTTCTCAATTGTTTTATGCTGCAAAATATATTTTCATTAAGAAGCTGCACATTTAAATAAAGAAAATCTCTCTTCTTTTTTATTTTTCGAACAAAAACTGCAGGCTTTCTTACTAGAAGACAAAAGAAAATATAAAAATACATTTTGTGCAAAATAGTTTGGTCTCTTAGTGGATGCCTAGTAAGACGGTTTACAAAACAGAATAGAAAGACAAGTATGCATGGACCGTATTCTTTAGGCAGAAAAAGATCTATAAATTGCAGATTGATAAAGAATCTATATATTGCTCTTATAAGACTTCTTATTACCAATCTAGATGCGTACTTTAAGCGTACTTTTGTTCTACAGAAGATTTCAGCTTCTTTTTATAAAACGTGTTTACAATGTAGGCTATTGGGTCGGTCTAATTAGTGCTTGCAGATGTCTATTTATGCGGTTGGCTGACTGCATCTCATAATTCGCTGATTTTTCTATTGGCAAGAAATTGTTATGAAGCATTGGGTATTCAGGGCTATATCTATTAGCTTATCAGTTAATCTATCTATATAGAAAGAAGAAACCTGGAAAAACATGAAGAACACAACAATGATTAAGAAAACAAAAGCAATCTGGGCACTACTTATGCTGGTAATTCTGGCTTTGAACTTTGCACTAGTATCCTCTAAAAAAAAGGGAAAGGGACCAAAGACAGACGAGAAAGACATTACTAATGAAAATGGTGATGACAGCGAGAAGGGCACCAATGACAAGGGCACTGATGATAAGAAGGGAACTGATGGTGAGAATAAAAATGAAGATGACAACAAGGGTTCTGACGACAAGGGTGCTGATGGTGAGAATAAAACCGAAGAAGATGGAAATAACACTGGAGATAGCGAGGAGGGTGATCAAAATGAATCTAACCCCATGGGGGATAGACCAGTAAAGAAGTCATCTGGTGTTAATTTTTAGTCTGTTTAAATTAGAGCACATGTAATTACTAATTAATAAATAGTTTTGTTTATACTCTACAGTTAATTACGAAATCATTCTATAAAAGTACATTTCTGAACGTATTTTAGTAAGCACCATAGATCAAGTGAATTAAATATATAGCCATTCAGGCGCAGTAAGACAGTTAGAGTGAGTTATAACGTAATACAACCAGAATATCTGGATATAATGAAATTTCGCATATAAATTGCAGAAGAAAGAAATAGTTGACTATGCACTCAGAGAAAGAACAAGGCAGTAATTTCAGTGCAAGCTTAAATAGAGAAAGAATTTATCATGTATGCATCTCGTCTTACGAATGACTAGACAGACTGCACAGCATAAATTAGTGCATGATCTTATTCAGTCTCAGATTATATTAGACTATGCTGTTGTCATGGCATAAATATAACCATGCGAACATAAAAATGCCAAAATCAGAACAATAAATAGATGAATAATGTGACTTTACTGAACAGCCGTACTGATTTACTATCAACCAAGCATATGCCAGAATACAGGCAAACAGTGCTGCCTGGATAAAGATATTCTCAAGTGCAAAATATATGCATATTTCATGTGCAAAAAGACAATTTCCTTTGGGATTAGCTGGTGAAAGTAAATCCAATCCCTAGGACAGGCCCATTTGAAGAAATCTGCCCACTTAAATTCAAGGCTGCTCCATCTCCAACAGAAATATCTGAGGAAACAGAGACAGTTCCGTTACTCCCAGCAGACACTCGGGTGGTATTTCCATCCCCGTATATTGTGGTTCCAATAGATGCTCCTAGTGACTGCAGGATATTTTCCATCTTTGACTCCTTCTCTTTTCTCTTCAGAATATTTCTCCAGTCAAAGGATACTTCACCATGCAGAGAGACAGACTCATCAAGCGACTTTTCAATCAGAGCACCAGCCGGGCCTATTGTGTGGTATAATCCTAATACTCTCCAGGTATTAAATGCCTTACTAATTATACATGTAGATGCAATCTCTGCAGAGTACTGACCAAATATTGATGAAACCGTCTTGGTCTCACCTCCTGGGATCTTGCTGTCTTTGGCAAAGGAGATAATAGTCTCGTGTCCAATGTGCATAGTAGGGTATATCCTGGCCACAGAGGCTATTGAGAATATTCCACCATTCACTATTTTATGCACCTCAGATACTTTTCTCTTCAATTTCTCTGCAATTTTAGTATCCTGCAGACCCTCTTTCATAAGGCCCGAGATATTTTCAGCAGTGAATAATTCTTTTATTCTGCCGAGTACAGCACGAGGGTGCATTTCCTTTGCAGAGAAATTAACTGCTGGAATTTCCAAGTCAGGATTTACTGCAGACAAGGCAAAAGAGTAGTTCTTAAATGTCTTAGTATATCCAATGTCAAAGTACCTGTTGCTAGTCCCATGCATATACGTGAGAGAAAGACCTGTTCCATCTGACGGAAGAATCTTTCCTAAGACAGAGCCATCTCCAAAAAGAGAGGCTGAGAAGAGCTTTGAGATATTCTTCATGGTGTAGTTCATGCTTAGTCCTTTGTCTGTGTTTGAGACTGTAATGACAGATCTGTTCAGAAGGGATTTTGATATATCCAGCTTAGTCCCTTCAAATATATAATTCTCAGGGGAATTGCTTTTGCTGTTGCTGATTATTTCTTTGTACGTGGTGCACTTGTCTTTTTCATGGGCTGCAGGCTGAAAAAGCATTTAATAAACTCTGCACTCCATAAAATATTTTAAATTAGAATGATTCCAACTGCAATACAGACAAGCACTTTAGTGGTGCTTGGGTTAAAGCCAAAGGATATGGCTGTCCAGATGGAGGAGCTAAATAAACTTGCCGGGGGAAATTACTTTACAAAGGAAACATGCGTAGGAAAGGACTCTGCTGTCTTGTGTCTCTGTGGAGGCATCAAGCTAGTCTCAGACTTAGTCAGAAGACTGAACAATATGAGCATAGATGGAGAGTGCATTCAGGCTCTTTCTTTTGCTAGGTACTTAGCAATGTACAGCGTAGGAAAGCTGTCTGTAGGAAAAGAGCAGATATACAAGCCTGCAGTGAAAAGGATCATAGGAAAGAAAGAGGTAGAAATGTGGAGGGCAGAGGCACTTGGGGAGCAGTTCGTAATATATGGCGAAGATGTTCTTTCCAACTACCAGCTGTCCAAGATGTTTCCCTGCAAGCTAATTAAGTCAAAGCCCATAAAGGAGATGGAGATAACAGTAAAGGATGAGCTAATTGTGGCACGCAAGCAGAAGAATGTGTTTGTCTACAGTGGATACTTAGACTTACTCGATGGATTTGTACTGGATGACATTATATCGCACTACACCTTGGGCGAGCACATTATCATTGGGTGCCAGCCAGATCCATCTCGCCAGGAGTGGCACGTCTACAATATATACAACAAGACAGAGATAAAGAAGGTGGAGATTGAGAATGAAGAGACCTTTGCTGTCTCCTCAGACCTAACCCACTATATGATTTCTGGTGAGAAAGGCGTCCAAATAAGAGAAATCGTGACAGATGAAATTATCTACCCAGAGTACTACGGTGTGCCAAATGAGAAGGTTGAGGGATTTATGTCAGAGAAGAATAATGTTGTATTGGTGGTGAAGACTACTTCCATAAGCACGCAGCTATCTTTATACTGCCTCACCTCAGGGAAGACCATTCGAAAGAGAGTTTTCACCAACATAGAAAGCTATTCTGTTGAGTTCTCAGAGAATGAAGTTTCTGTTGTGAATGTCCGTAAGATAGCAGACAATCTTAGCCACTTTATAGAGATATGGAATTTGGACGGGAAGAGAGTTATTTCAAAGGCACTTGGTGAGAATGTAAAGCATGTATACACCAGCAAAAGCTCTATTGTAGTGCAGACACAGACGTCTGCCAAGGTGCTAAGACGGGCACAGAATATACTGGTTGAGGGCGCAGTCATTAGAGAGCCAATCTCCAGGGTAATAGCTGGCGAGATAACAGTAATACTCATTGACTCAGGAGATCTCTGCCTGATTGGGAAGGATGGAGAAGTGCTGCACAGAGTCCTGGAAACAGGCGCAGCTGAAATACAGATGTCTCCATTTGGTCTTTACATTGCGCTTCTCTCTGGGGATCAAGTGCGAATACTGAATCTTTGCGGGAAAGAAGTCTTTGCGTCAAATATAAAGAGAGATAATGGATTTTTCTGGAGAACAGTCGTGGCACCAACAGAGGAGATGTCGCTTGGTGAGGAGGAGATACAGAAGTACAAGATTGAAGACAGCCTTAAGAGAAAGGAGGCAAGAAAGCAGTTCATGAAGGAAAATGAAGAAAGAGTCTCTGAGTGGAGACTGTTCTTACAGGAGATGAAAGAGTTTAAGTCTGCACACGAACAGGCAAGAAGCTAGTCTAACAGATAAATAAATTAACTGCTGGTTTAGCTGTTTTATTTCTTTCCAGGAAAATACCAGAAGATCCCACTTATTTGAGCAGAGTGCTTTAGTGCGCCTGGCTGTCCTTCCTTTGCAATTCAGCACTGAGCAGTAGACTTATATATGATATGCAGTAGATATATTTGTTTTGCGCTTGCTAGCAATCTGGCAACTCCTGTGAGACTGTCTAGTACTCAAATGACAGAAAATGCGTATAATCTCAGAATCAAGAGAAGGTCTCTATGACTATAGTATTTTAATAACTATTCTAACATGATTTTCTGTCGTACGAATGATTCTTTAGATGCCTTCGTATGAAGCACCCGATTTCGAAGTTCTATGCAGCTGAAGCAGCATCCTCAGAAATCAATTTATAAAGTAGCAGAAAACAGCTTTGTAGGCATTTATACTGAGAGCCGGAATAGTTCAAATAATTCCATCGATATTCAAAAGTACTTCTAGCTCAGAGACTCATCTGTGCATTCGGGTTATTAGCAGAGCTATAACAGCTATAAATATTTCTGCATTTTATTTTCTATGCGCTGCACTAAAAATAGCCCATTTGTGTTTAATAATGGCCTCACACGCTGTCTGAATCTTCTTGAAGGCGCAAGAAGCAGCCCGCCTCTGATTCGGGAGATACTTGCAAATATAGCTCTGTGCAGAGATCTGCTGGGGCCTGTTCTGAAGGTACTAACATCAGATGATGTACTGCGAAAGCATGGAAAGCAGAAGCTTTTTCAGATGATTATGGCCATATGGAGCGTATTCCCAGAGATAGCCCGGCCAAATAAGGTCTTCCAGTACATTTCTGCATCGGATAATAGTCCACTTGCGCGAATTCTTCTTTTAAAAACGGCTCTTTCTCTTGTAAAAAGAAACAGCGAGCTCACTGAGATAGAAATAGAGCAGTTAGTGTCTGAGATTGAGCTGTGCTTCTGTAAGCACGGAATTGAGGCAGACTATTTGATGATTCTAATTCTGACAGAAGTGCTGGATATTGCACCAGGAATGAAAGGCCGCGTGCATTCTCTTTTAAATACAATATCTCCAGAGTCATCCTATTCATTGGCTCCTGCTATGTTCCGTCTTGCACTGAAAGTTGATTTTTTGTACAAAGTGCCTGCATACATCTTCACAGTCTGCAATACAGCACTGTATATTAGAATTCACACTGCTATTCTTATAGCAAGCAATCTCCATGAAAAACAACAAGTGTTCTCTTTGCTTCCAAAATTATCCGATGAAATTATAACGCAAATCCAGTGCTTTATTAAAGAGAAAGTCTATTCTATTGACTACGAAATAAAACATGACCGAAAAGCACCATTTACGCACAGTATAATTCTGCAGACAATAAAAACAATTTTGTGCGCAGAAGAAGAACCAGCAGCAATAGTTGATTCTTTGAAAACACTTTTAAATATCACAGAATCTACAAAGGCAGTGTAGAGTGATACGCATAGAACAGAAGCCAAAGAAAGCAAGAACCTGTAAGGTGAGGTGTATGAATATGAATAAAGAGATGTATCCTTCTTTTCAATCTGAAAAGATTGCTTTTGAGTCTGAAACTTCAGAAATAACTGATAGGAATAGATGCACATTGTATTTACTCCGGAGTTATATTGGACTTATTCCTGCAGTTTTGCCACTTTAAAGTATTCTATGTAGGATCGAGTAAATATGTCATAAGAACCTGCTAATTCTAACCATTTTAACCAGAAATATTATAGTATTCGGGTTATATCCATGTACTAGAATATTCTTTAGTATGAATTTTTCTGTTGAAATTATTCTACTTAGTAATACACTAATTCTATTATGGGTATTTATGGATTGAAAGGCTGGAACACTTAACTAGAAATATGCTAAAATCACAATATCCAGTGAATCTCTTCTGCAGGATGTCTCTATAGTACACTTATTTGCTGGCTGTATTTTCTATTTCTATTTTATATTTTGTGCATCTAGGCATAATGAAGTTTGAAGAAACAAGCGAGAAGAATCCGCATATACTGGAGGTTTTAAAGAAGGCTCTTCCAGAGAAACTATCTTCTTCTATGGAAATAGAAGTAAGACTGGGCACTATAATGGACAAGTCAACACAGAAGAGACTTGCAGTGCGAGTCCTTCACCCATGCATTATGGAAAGAACAGACACTCTGTGGTTTGAAGCCACAGTGTCAGAAAGTGACTTTCATTTGCTGCAAGGTCACTTCTCTAAGATGTTTGAGGAGTCTGAGAGTAAGCTAATAATTGACACATTGCTGCACGGCATGCGAAGATCAGAGACAAAAGAGATCAATGGTGCTCCAGTGCATAAAGAGTCGGTTATTATCAAAAAGAAGAAGATGTTCTCTCTGGATATTTTCTGTCCGCAGAGTAAATACGACCTTAGAATTGGGCTAAGTGAGGAAATTGTGCAGAAAGACACAATTGGCATGCAGGTCTCAGGAAATGTGAGAGAAAAAAGAAGAACAACATACACGCATCCTTTGTTTGTAGTGGATGTGACTGAAGTGAAATCAAGAAGGGAGAGCACAGATGTAAAGAACTCTACTCCTACATTTGAGATTGAGATTGAGGCAAACAACAAATCATATGACAGAAGCACCTTTATACATATCGTAAATAACTCAATAGACATTATTAGGCACGCACTTGTCAAGAAGCCATAGGATACATGACGTGCCCAATAGGGGGTAAACGAGCTAGTCTGGAGATAGTAGTATTTTAGACTCTAATAGGGGTAGTGGTCAAGTGAGTTTTATTATCATATTTTTTCGGTTGGTGACTTTGACCTTTTTTATAAGTGTTGGATGTATTTCTTCTTTCGGACATATTCCTCCTCTTTAGTATTGTTCTTACTATCTTACTATTATATATTCAGTCTCTGATATACGAGGAATATCACAGAATTAATGAAAGTGAGATTTTTACCACGCATAGTAGTAAGTATTAGCACAGTGCTAAAAACAGAAACGTATTTGGGTTATATCGATCCTTGCACCTGAAAGTCTTTCTTTAGATTAAAGATCTGAGATGCAGTTATATATTATGGTGGCAACCCACATAATGAATATATAACTAGACAGTGTGCTTGCAAATAAGTATACCATATTATGATATATAAGTACGCAAGAAATATTTAATTAATAAATGGTTTACTATATACGGCAGGTCTTTGTTTAAAATGTACTTTAGTGCTTCTTATCGTATAAATATTGCTTTATATAGATGCCATGTGCACTAATTTGTGTTATTCTGGTTGTATAATTTTAGGATATTTAACACTCAGTAGTGCCTGCAGCACATGAATAAGAAGATTCTGGCAGACTTAAATTAACTGAAAATGACACAATTTTCTGAGTTTTAGCTAAATTTGGGTTAGTTATGGATATAATTCACAGAAGAACAAGTATAATGCTTCTGTTGTGTTTTCATTTTTTGTCATGTACCCACGCAAATTTACACTATATAAATATTTAGCACCGGATAAAATATAATTGCAAAGAAATCAATGGAAGCAGCAGTATCAGATAGGTTGGACAAAAATACTTCTAATGAATGCGTTATAAATCTAATAGCGCATGTGAACCATGGAAAGACTACAGTCATGGACAATGTACTAGAGTATATGGGGGTTTTGACAAAAAGCATGGCAGGCGAGGCACGGCTGCTTGACTCACGAAAGGACGAGCTGGAAAGAGAAATGACAATGAAGCTGTCACCTGTGAGCTTATTCGTAAATGGGAAAAAAATAACCTTCTTGGATACTCCAGGGCACTTAGAGTTTAAATCATTAACGGAATCTACATTTATTCTTTCAGACATATCCCTAATTATTGTGGATGTAATGAAGGGAGTGACTGAGCGGCTTAGGCAGCTAGTGAGGAATTCATCAGACAATCGGTGTGCTCCAATTATTCTCATTAATAAGATCGATGCTCTTTTCAAGCTTGGTGCATCCGGGGACGAAATTGAGCATAGAGTCAGTGGAATTATACAGAGCTTAGAAGAGGTTCTTGAAGAGCCCATTGGCTGGGACATGGGGAATATTATAATAGGCAGTGCAAAGGACAATTGGTGCATGGGACAGAGTTCCAACGCAGACAGAGTGCTTAACAAGGCAATGGGGCATCTGACTCTAAAAAAGTCTCTGCGAATAGTGCGCACAATATATGCACAGGAGCAGGCAGAGTTATTGAAGCTGTCAGAGAGAATCAATAGAAAAGTCAAACCCGGGCTTAAGATTAAAATACGCCCTAAAGACATTGTTTCGCATGAGTTTGGCTTTTTTTCTGCTCTGTATACAGCTATTTCCTCGGTAAATATTCCAGCAACAGCAATGCCTGATGTAAGTAAATGTGAAATTGAGTGCAGTAAAGAAGACAGCAGCATATCTTTTATGGACAGCAGGATATACCATACCCCACAAAATACCTGGATGGGAGTAGACAGTAGTAGTGCAGTGGCTATTATTTGCTCAAATACGTTAGTAGATAACGTAGTAACTGCAATAGGGAGAACACTCTATGGAAAAACAATATCTGTAGGAGATTCAATCTATGTAGTGGAGAGTAGTGGTATTTCACACTGTAAAGTTAAGAATCTCGTATATTTTACTAAAACACGCAGCAGTGTGGAAGTGGCAGCTGGATTGGTGGGTATTCAAGGGATTGACTGCAAAAAGAAGGGAATTATTTGTGCAGAAGGAACATGCAGTGACCTGTCTAAAGAGCTATTAGGCAAATTAAGATGGCCTGTATTTACGCCTTTGTTCACTGATATTATAATACCATCTCCAGAGTGCTATTCCTCTGTGGTTGAAAGACTTGGCCGCTTGTCAAGATGCGAGCCAGGCCTGTTTATAAGCGTGAAGCAAGGGAAGGTAATTGTGCGAAGTGATGGTGTTCTGCAAATTGACAAAATACGAACAGATTTAGAAGGTCTTCATTTTAGTACGGAAGACCAGTCAGAGATTTACCAAGAAACAGTCTCAAAAGGAGAGGGAGTTGTAAAAGTACAACAGGATGCAGAATCTAAATGCTATGCGATATCTTTAAGAGGGATACAAGAAGAGTCAGGCGAGGAAATCGAGAGAATGGGGTATAAACAGCTGTTTGGAAGAGACTGCTATGTTAAGTGCGCAGAAGGCACTCCAAATATGCTTAGAATGAGTATCTCTGCACTGCTACAGAATGGGCCTTTTTTGCTTGAGCAGTGCAACAGAGTTATGGTAGCAGTAGAGCCAACTGAAAGACAGCCCACAGGCACACTGTCACAGATATATCTGGATTCCATGCCCAGGCTGCTTACAAACCATACAATACTCTTTATATCCGCCCCATCTATCTATGCAAAAAGTGTAAACACAATTCTAGTAAAGTCCCCTGGACACATCCTGTCTACCACTGTAGAGGAAACATCCATAACCTTTGAAGTAAGAATGCCAGTGGCAGAGATAAAAGCACTCACAAATCTGCTTAGAACACACACGAAGGGAGAGGCGGATATTCTTCCTACGCACTCTCTCTACTATATGGTGCCAGATAAGGCAGAACACGAAAAAGCACTTACGCTCGCACTAAGAGAGAAAAAAGGCCTATTTGAGAAAGAAAAGATAGAGTAAGCAAGGTGAATAGCAAAACACACGAGAACTTCCCATAGAACTTATATACGACATTTTTAAAATAAATAAATAATCTATAAAGTATTACTGCATAAGGACCTGTGGGTGCCAGATTTTAGCAAAGCACTAGTAGACAGCAACACTTTTATTCTTGCAAAATATTTTAAGCGTTTTAAAATTTTAGTTGCATGGCACGGGGTAATAATAACGCAAATACAAAAGGCGGCGGAAAAGGGCAGAGAGACTTTCCACAGATGCGGTTTGGGAAAAGAGAGAACAAAGAAGACCCGGCAAACTTTATAAAGATTGGGGAGTACTCACATCCTGTAAAGAACACCAATATGATTGTAATTCGGCTAACAGAAAATATTGTTCCATACTTTAATGCAGGAATCTATGGAGAGGGAGAGAGAAAGATTGCAGACATTCATGAAATATTTGGAAAGTTTGATGATCACGTATATGCTAGTATTACCATTGATAGCAAGCTGGATATATCAAAGTACCAGCCAGGCTCTATTTTCAGAGCGGACAAGTTCAGATGTCTTTCATTTGACCGAGTTAAAGGAGCTAACACGCACACACCAAAGAATGCAGCACCCAAGAAGGCAGCCAACCTGCCACAGCAGTTTAACAGAGGAAGAAGCTCCAAATATAGAACAAATGCACAGAACGAGAAGGTTCGGCAGTATGCTGATTCACAAATAAGACAGAACCAAAGAGACAGCAGAGACCCAAAGAAGAGAAATGAGTTTTTGAAGAAAACAATTGAGAAGAGAGGATCAGAAATTAAAATGAATAGAAGAACAACCTTTACATACGATGAATAAATTATTTATTATAATACACTGTGCTAGGTTTTAGTCTTGCGCTGCAGCAAGCTGAGAATGAAGTATGTCTGTGCTGTGGTTAATTTGGGCAAGACAAAGCATCAGACACAATGCTAACTTCCTGTATAGGAATGGAATTACTGCCTGGATACAGTATTAAGAAATATTCCCATGTGCTCAAACATGAAATATTCACTCTGCTACAGCACTCACAGTAATTCTTATAGCTCTTTATGTAGTCCAGCTAATATACGGCTCATCTCTCTTTATTAGCTGGCGTGCCAAGTAGATTTCTACTTGTTTTTGTAGTTATCGTACTAGATCCTTCACCATGCGCCCTTCTCTTGATTTTATGCCAGAGCATATAGGCTTAAAACTCTTCAGCCCACTATTTATGTAATAATATCTGTAGAGTTTATGTTCTAGAAAAGATATAAGTAAATAGAAAAGAAATTGCATAGCCCTATTTGGTAGTTAAAATAGAGACACTTTGAACCTTTCAAGTATTTACATGAAAACATATTAAACTCGTCAGTAACTTTTGTCTGAGGGCACAGACTCTATATTTGTCTGCTGTTAAGGTACATTCTATTTAGAAAAACACAGAAACCTTTGGGTTATATAATAATAGAGATATTTTAAAGTTTGATCGCAATAAAATATTATATGTTATTTGCTAAATGTCTTAAATGCGATTTATACATTCGTTTTACTCTATAATTTATCTTTCTTTGCGAGTCTCTAGTACTTTTATTTTTAGAATTTTCAATAATTCTATTCTTAGTTCAAAGTGCTGCATGCAGTATGCTCTTAGCCAATATTTTGAATATTTCGAAAACTTTAAGCCAAGTATTTACTCAGCAATATGTGTCATCTGCTCATCCAGTATAGAATCGAAATTGTACAGCATATAAGTGGACAAGAGTTTAATAAATAAGTAGACAAGTAGGTACTGAGAGTGTAGAAATTGCTGCAATTTTGAATAAAATCAGGCTCTAATGCACTATATGATTGTAAGCCATATAGACCTAGCAGTAGTGAATATCTTTGCATCTATTTATATATAACCCGAATTCTCTGTGGCTTTGCATGAAATACTCTTAAATAGTCCTACTTTTGTGTTCATACAAGGTCTTCTATTATTGAATTTTCTTTCATATTTTCTTATTGAATTTTCACATGCACTCGATAAGAAAGATGCAAAAGCAGGTATACTGTTAATGCGCTGTAAAGAAAGCAGATACTGTTTTCATTAAAATTGTACATATGCAAGAATCGGTTAAATAATGAAGGCATAAATTTCAAAGCGAATAGTAAGAAATCCTCTTAGGTTTTGCTGTATAAGCATGCTAAGCTACATAAGAATGGCGTGCTCCAATTAAAAATTTTATGAATAGAGAAACAATTGTGGTGTTTGCGCTAGGAATGATTTTTTATCACGGAGTGTATAGTGCGGCAAATGAAAAAGGCCTGAAAATAGCCAGTGTATGTGCACTCATACTATTTTTTCACAAGGCAGTTTTCAATATACACATGCAGGAGCTCCTTCGAAAAATGGCAAACAGCAAGGGCCCTGCATTAAGCGGTGCACTTCTTTTTATTTTCACTCTTGCCATAATAGAATCAGTTATTATGTACATGATACATCCGTTCCTGCCAGGAACCTTAGTATATTTACTAGAGCGGCTTGGAGGAGTTATAATTCTTGCCTCTCTTCTATTTATCTTCTCCTCCATATGGATCCTTTCCAAAAACGATATTGCAGAATGCGTATATATTGACCAGGGCATATATGCGTATATAAGGCATCCCTACTATCTGGGTCTATTTCTGCTGTACGTTGGAATATGCTTGACTCTTGGGAACATATGCAGCATAGTTGTCTCAGTATTTGCGCTAAAAGACAGAGTGATTGAGTATATTAATGAGGAAGAGGCTCTGCTGATTGAGAAACACAAAAGCTACACCAAATACAGAGAAAGAGTATACAGCGGAATGCCAAACATTCTGGTAAATCCAGCAATCTCAACAGAGTCATTCATTTCCTCCTGCATGCCAAGCAAATAGTAACAAGTCTTACATGGATTATATTTACCTAGCCGTATAGGCGCTTAGTGCATACCTACCACTATTATACAGATGCTGGCACTTAATTGAAGAGAATGCATTAGCCACAATAGGTGTAACAGTCTATCATAAAAATTTAAATATTCAAAAAAAATTTAACGCTGCTGAAATGCATAAAGTGATCAAGCAGGTTTTGCAAAAGTTCATGCTTGTATGCATATTGGGAGCTTTCGTGCATGCACAATATGCTATAGACTCAGAAACTGCAGAGGAAGTGCAGATGAAGGGAGAGGAAAGCACTTGCGCAAAGAAAGAAGTTACCCCAGAAGAGACACAGTTCTACAAGAAAATAAGGGTAATAACAGACGAAATAGACGTCAGAATAGAGGAGATGAAGGCCACGGACAGCAAGGACCCTGAAAAAGCGAACCTAATCAGGAAATTTGTAGAGTTCCTTGATCAGAACAATATGCAGATCTTGCATGATACATATCTAAGCCAAGTGTTCCGCTACAGTGGAGATTTATATGATCTGCTGGATGTTCCAAGCATAGCGGAGAGCATATCAGATAAGCTGAATTCAAGTATCATTATTAAAAGAGCTGTAAATATAAGCATCTATGACATGCACGAGAAGGACATGTGTTTTGAGCTGACACATCCAAACATTGTGCAGACGTACTTTTCGTACGAGTCGCAGCCAGAGTCTTACAAAAAAGACAACTGTTCAATTATTTGGTTATTCCAGGAGAATCTGGAGTTTTCGCTTACCTCTTATAAAAATCTAGACACAGTCGATCGTCAAGTGATTCGAACTCTGCACAGAACCATTATTAAAGATGTGGCAGAAGGGCTTGCCTTTATGCACAGCAAGAGGATTGTTCATCTTGACTTGAAGACTATGAATATTATAGGCACGTACTCAAAGAAAAACAAGAGGATAATATTTAAGATAATAGACCTAGGGTTTGCGCGGAAGTTAGAAGAAGGCGTTGAGTCTGTGCACTTGCAGGACAGAGCATTTGGGACATACGGCTATATGCCTCCCGAGATATATTACAGATCTGTGCATGGATACGCTGCAGACATATGGTGTCTGGGTATTTTTGCATCAGATGTGGGCGTAATAGCACAAGGGGATGGTGACTGGATCAAAGAATTTAACATTTCCAAGAATATGCCAGGGAAATACAAGAAAGAGATACTGAGTGGTTATGAGTGCTATATAAAATTCCTTGCAGGGGAGTTTAAAGTAATTATTAGCCCAGAGACCCCTTTGATCCTGGCAGACTTTATTCATAAATGTGTCAATAGAGCAGATGAAGAGAGGGCCTCAATAAGCGAAATATTGAAACATCCATATTTATCTGCGATTTGCATATCAGATATTCCAGAGGCAGGAGCAAATATTGAAACATACTCAATGTAGGAAGAATGTAGAGTACGGATATGAAACATATAATTCCATACTATTTAGAAGAGTAGAATGCATATTGTATCTACACTTTGCATAGTAGAAAATAAACCCTATTCCACAGATACTATAACTGGTTTGTTCTTTAATATTCATGCAGCGGATATATCCGAGTTCAATATTCAACTGTGGAATATATTATGCGTTATATGCTCTCCAAGGAGTATAGTAGGACGCAGTATGTCTGCTCTTAGAATTGCATGTAGTAAGAATTGGCATTGCTTGGCACTGGGAATACATCAGGCTAAATATCTAAACTGTAGAAAGCACATATCTTAATTAGCCTATTACGATGGCATATGTGCGTTTCCAAGCAAAATAGAAAGCAGATTAGTGTTTAAATAAGTAATCATGCGCCTAAAAAGTCAAAAATAAAAGAGCACTCATGAAAGAAACTGCAGGTGATCCAATAGGTAGAGTGAAAGAAGCCTTTTATAAATTGTTTCAGTGTATATTTTGCTACATAGTATAGTTAGTAATGGCAATGTAGTTAGTATTGGCTAGTGTCTGTTTTGTCTTGGAAACAGAATATTTACAGCAAATACTATGTTCTTTCCGGAAATATGTGTGTATTGTTGTTTAAATGTAAATAGTATAAAACACACTGACACAATGTCTTATTTCCTATTTGCTGGATTTAAGGTATATATGACCTATATGGTGTTTACGCTAATGAAGCTAACAAGACATGGCTACAGAGAGAAAATATTTCTGGGTGGGCTACTTTTTACAGTGCTTTCTTCGTCCTACTGCACTGGTATTAGGGATGTAGAAAGGAAAATTGCAGACTTAGCTATTTACACTGTGTTTATAGCGCCTGCCTCTTGGGACAGCATTCTTTTCCAGGCATACATTCAAAAGCGCTCTTCAAAGAGTGCTATAGAGCAGAGCAAGCTTGTAATTCAGGAGAACGTGGAGCAGCTTAAGAAAATATTGAAGGAGAGCGTGGCAGACACCTCATTTAAATTCTCTCTAAAAAGGCTTTTTAACAAATACAAGAATACCCATCTTACAAACTTTCCGGATAGAAATCAGTTCTTTGCAGGGGATGAAAACACAGCACAGGCAGGGGATATGCAGAGAGTTGCAGTTGAAGCAAAACTCGAGATTCTTGATAAGATATCTAAATCAGAGCAGATGATTCTAGTTGAGAATATTAAGAAAATACTCTTTCTAATGGGGCAGAGGACAGAAAAAAAAGAAATTTGGAGCACGTATAGCAATGTGATTGAGAAAACAATGCAGGCAATGGGGAGTACTAACTCAGTGAAGATAACCTTAGATAATACAGCACAGCAATTTTACACTGAAATAAGACAGCTGCTTCTGGACAGAAAGATAAATCAGCACGTGTTTGACTTGGAAAAGGCCCGGTTTAATCTTGGCGGAGCAATATACAGCCCGGGTCTTCTTATTGATATAGCAGGAAAGTTGACAACAGAAGATAAAGACAAGTTTGTTGTTAGCCTAGTGAATTCTCTTCTGCAGCCTCTAATTCAGCTAAAGGCAAAGGTTGATGGAAGTACGCCCGAGAACATCAAAGAGGAGGTGATTAAATACCTTCAGTCTGTTACAAACTCAGTTGATGTGTATTTCTTGAAGAAAGAGATTGCAGAGTCGCAGGAGCTCAGATCTGAGTCGATCTGCAGAAGGATTGATCAGCTGTCAGACAAGAAGAAAGTGTCACAGAAGATTGATCAAGTGCAGATGAAAAACACAAAAAGAATGATTGCAACACTGCAAGAAGCAAATACATCTCTTTTTAAAGACTTCATTATTATAGACAGAGAAATAGTTTCTAAGTACACGGAATACATTAGAACAGGCGGTGGAGACAATAAGCTTAAAGAGGAGCTCGAATCAACATTTAATCTCTTCTGATCGCCAGAATATAAGCCTTTTTCTAGCATTCTTTCTGCTAGTGAGCTATATGTCTGGCAGCACATAAACTACATTCATTTATTGTGGGCTAAAGCCTATAGAAGAGGAAATAAGATAGTTTATGGCTGCAATGATTTGAAGCTAGATGAAAATTGCGGCGGGCCTATGCATGCAATTGATGCCAATCTAGAAGAAAGAGCAAGTGTTTGGTCAGATAAGGCTTCTAAAATTAGTATAGGGAAAGAATCATTATAAAATAAACTAGTAATCTTGCACTCGTAGTAGACTAATAAAGACACCTGTGATATCATAATAAAAACAATCCTTATTTACAGCATTAGTGTCTTATATTTGTATTTTTATATACTTGCATATTGTTTCTTTAAAACTTCTTGTTTAGAGCATGCTTTGGTTGTGTTTTCTGCCCTCGCATACACATAAGAGTAACTAGGCACATGGCCTTCTATGGCAGTATCCAGTTACTAAATAACTAAGCCATGTGTTTTCTGCCCGTCATACAATGGAATAGTTCTAGATCTAAGGTTTTCTAGCAAACCTAATGCAATAAAAGGCCAGCGCATGCAGATGCATTTTAGTGTAGCATAGTAGTATTCTCAGAAAAATAAGCTATTCTAATAATATTTTCTAGTTTCTTTTGTAGTAGACATTGCAAGAGTTTTAATAAAGAGATCTATACATCTATATGGACACTGTGGTATACAAAGCATACTATAAATTATGCCCAAATAATTTCCACCGGCTCTTATTTGTCTTTATTCTTGTGTCTAGAAAAGAGAAGCATAATTTAATGAATAAAGGGTGTTTAAATAAATAGCTGCTGCTAACAATCACTAAAGAAGAACTCAGAAAACATATAGCAGTGTGTGTAACACCAATTAGTGTGCAATACTGTGCTGTTTAGGTACTTATGATCTTTATTCTGTAACATTCTTTCGCTTTTTCTTCTTACCTTTTTTAATTCCTTCATCTGCTACTTCAGCCACAGGCACACTTGGCAATTTGTCCTTTTTTTCCTTTTTGCCCTTCTTTCCCTTGTTTTTGCTCTTCTTCTCTTCTGTTTTCTTGATTGGCAAGTTTTGCGTTGAAGCTGTGCTATTTGTTGCATTTTGCTGCATTCTAGGACAAGACGACAGTGCATGGCCCCCTGCGCCACAGTATGTACATATATGCGCAGTGCTGCCTTTTTCTTTGCTCATGTAGCAGTCAATTGCTTTGTGAGATCTGCTCATGCAAAGGCTGCACTTTATTTGGCCCTGTTTAATCGGGCAGACTGCCTCTGAGTGCCCATACTTTTTACATAATTTACAAAAGTAGCGAGGGCACTCTGTCTTTTTATGGTCTGTTTTTTTACAGATGTAGCACGCAAGCATAGGCCTGCTGCAGTCCCGCGCTAGATGCCCAGATTGGTTGCATCTGTAGCACACTGCACTGCACTGAAAATAGCGGTTGCTTTCAACAGGCTGCAGCTTTTTTAGATGGTCTATTTTGTGGGTCTCGGACCTGCCAAAATGAATAAGCGAGTATATCTCGCTTTCAATTTCGCTACAAATAGAGTCGTTATCCGACATTTCGTCGATCTCCCTGCATAGCTCTGCATCTGCTATCTCCTCCAAGTAGATCATTGACTCATGCGAGAATTTATGCATGCAAATTTTTCAGAAAGAATTATTCTTATGCTGGGCGTTGATGCTTCTTCTAAGCTATTCTTTACTGCAATTATGGGGTGGGAGCCAATCACAGACATGATCGAAGAGGGGCTTGCGCCGGAAGAGATTGACGTGATATCTGCATCAATATCAGACACGCTCTCAGAGTTTGGACGAATTAACAAAACAGACAGCATAGTCCTCGATCTAGAGGATTTTCTGCACAGTGTATTTGAAGAGTATGGGGTGTCTGTTTCAGACGAGCTTCTAAGCGAGTTAGTAGAGCTGGTAATGAAAATTCACAATACTAAAAATAAAAATAGAGAATAAATAGAAGTATTTTATAAGTATGATCAGTATAGCTAGAGTTTGTCATCGGCGGCTATACAAAACACAATCTTCTCTTTTGTTAGCCTTGGGATGATATCCGTGTCAACAAATAAAGCGCCTGGTGTAAGCACTCCTTTTTTGTTCTGAACTCCTGCTTGGTTACTTAGAATGATCTCTGCTGATACAAGAAGAGCGATTGGCGTGGATATATATCCTGGGTCTGGGCCCGATACGAGTGTTTTGTACGTTGTGGGGTTGTCGTGTTCGTCTACACCTTTTGCAAATATGTGGGTCTTAAATCCTGAGCATAGAATTTCCTGTTCTGACGGGCCATCTGTTCGCACTGCTCCGAAGCTCAAAACATCTATATAGTCATATGCAGCTGCGCGAAGTGAGCTTGGCAGAATGTACACTATCCCAACCAGCAGACATAAGAAGAGGAGATAGGCCATCCCAATCAAAGAAGACACGGCCATGTAGCAGTGGCATACTGGATATATCCCGCCAAGAAGAGCATTTGTCTTTCTAAGCACATAGGAATCGGATCCAGGGAATATCACAGCATACATGTTTACCAATGGACTGAAGAAGGGCATTTTTTTCACTTTTGGCCCTCTACGTCCATCTTTTCTGTCTTTGTCGCTGCTCTTCTTAGGAGCCTTTTGAGAGATTTCTCCTCTCTTCTCTCTCTTTTTAAGATTGTCCAGACTTGTTATGACTGTTTTAAATGTCCCTAGGTTGATTCTGCTGTTGATGAGATGCATATACGACTCAATAGACTCTGCGCGCCCTCCTTTTTCCTGTATTTGCTGCATAGTGTACATAATCCCTATGTCCAACGGAAGGGAGTCAAAGCCGCAGGCATGTGCAATGATTATTTCCTCGCTTTGAGCCTTTTCTCCAAACATCTTCATGCTCTCCTCAATAAACCCAGGCTCTCCTGTGCAGTCAATATAATGCGACCGGGCCCGAATAGCTGCCTCCACTATGCTTAGGCCTGTAATCGCAAAGGGCCCTATGCAGTTTATAATAACTTTGTAGCCCTCAAATATTCTGGCAAGCTTTCCAATGTTATCTACTCCTGTTATGTGGGTGGCCACCTTGTCCAGCGCCTTCGAGCTATCCTTTTTCACTGCGATGTCTCGAAATGTCCGGGTGAGCTTTTCCTCGCTTCTGCAGGTCACTCCCACAGACAGCTCGGGCCTATGGCATAGAATGTACTCTAACAACTTCTGTGCTGTAAACCCATTAACTCCGCAAATCAGTAGATCTCTCCTCTCTGTGTCTTCCTCCATGCACCTTTTTTAAATAATTAACTAATTAATATCTGTTAATTAATTCCACCTCATTGCTAGAAATTTCTCATCCACTGTCTTCTTGCTCTGAGTCTACTTTATACTACTAAATTTATTTCTCTCGTGTTCTCCAGTGGTCCATGAGGCCCATCCTTCATGGATCCACAAAAAGTCATTAGAATGTAATTGATTATAAGAAAGGAGAAACAAATACTTCTTCTTTTTCTTCTTTTTCGAGCTCCCATCCATCAGAAACCAATAGTCTTACTTCTTCTTCGGAAATAGGGGCATGCGAGAACTGGCAGTTTTTTCTTCTGCAGTTCTTCTTTATGTGGAACAGCTTGCATGGGAACTTAGACAGGTCGTGCGAGAATGTGCAGTTGCTGCCTCGTATGCATGCATTCTTTACAAAATATTTGCAGAGGTGTTTCTTCTCAGGCTTAAAAGGCATGCTTTTAAGCATCACATTTTCGTCTCCGCTTTCTTTCGTGCTGTTTACCTTCACTCTTTTGTTTCGTGCGATTTCTCTAGGTTCTCTGAATCGCGGCACTGATAATCTTGGCAGTCTTGGCAGTTCTATAATGGGCATTTAAATTTAATTTTTATTCTCCTATGCAAATATATTAGCAAATTAACTCGTCTGAAAATAAAGGATTCACAAATAATTTTTGTATGGAAAAATCTAGCAGAACAGCGAGACAGGATGATAAGAATAGATGCACACGAATATCTCCACTAAAAAGACTGGGGGTTCAGGTTGTTTTGGCCGTTCTATTCATGGGAATGGCGCATACCTTGGATATTAGAAAGACTCTAGAGGGCATTAAAGAAGAGGCAAGTAGAATAGTAAATATGGAAGATCGGACTAAAAGCGGAGCTGTTTCTGTTGAAAATGGCGAAAAAATAGAAGTTCCAGAGGGCAGTGAAAAGAGCTCGCCGACCGGTGCTGAAAAGGACATGCCCGCAGACAATGAGAAAGAGAAAAGTCTTCACATTGAGAGTCTAGTAAAGGGACATGAGCTTCTTGCTAAACAAGAGTATTTGAGCGCGCTTGAGTACTACTCTCTTGCACAGGAAGAGTATCTGCAGAGCGAAAAGCCAGAGGAGTCAGTTCAGAGAGAAATCGGCATGGGTCTGTGCAAAGCGCTGCTTGGTCTAGGAAGGTTTGATGACACAATTAAGGAGGTAATTAGAATTGGTGTAATGGATTCAGAAGGGCTTGCAATACTTCAGAAGGCCACGCAGTTCAAAAAGCTAACTATTAACTCGCCTGAGGAGGAAGTAAATAGCGCATTAATGGAAAGCCCACTCTCTGCAGCATTGCTAAAGATCCGAATTGCCCAGCGCATACGCAAAAAGATGTACCAGCTGGCTCTTTTTGACGCTGAAGTTCTGGCTGAAATAGACACGGAAGAGAAAAGCGGAGAGGCACACATGATGCACTGCTACTTTTTGATGGGGAAGACAGACAGTGGTATGAACATACTGAAGACTAATGAAGAGTTGTCAACGCTCTATGAAAAAGCACAGTTTATTGTTCAGAAATATAATGGTTTAAATCGGCACAATAGCAGATGCACTGCATACAATTATAGAGAGTGGAGGACATTTACTGATAAGGACCTGGCCCTTGCAAGGCTGATTGACTCTCGTTTTACGCCTACAATCTTTACATACACAATGATAAAGGCATTGGAGATTGTTGTTAGAATGGGAATTATACTTAAGGAGTCTCCTGCGCGTGTAATTGCATACTCTGAGCAAATTCTCAAAGAAAAAGCCAGAGGAGGCGCGCCAACTGAAAAGGACTGGAAGGACCACATCAGTGTAATGATCAATTTGGGCAAGTTCTCGATGGCACATGATGCAATAAAAGAGAACATGAAGACAGACAGCGCGGAGTACAATGCAGTAAAGAAGCTCTATAATGAAAACATTAAGATTGCTCGAGAAAAGAAGAATCAGGAGGATGCAATTAAGAAGAAAAAAAAGGAAGAAGAGGACAAAAGGGCTACTGAGGAGGCTCTTAAAAAAGAAAAGGCGCGGTCTGAGAGGAGAATACGTGTAGTGAAGTCGAAGAGAGGCAGACATGTTGATCCAGAAGGGTTTTACAAGTATTTAGGCTTAAAGAATGCAGCACCCAAGGAGGAGGTGATGCGTGCATATAGAAAGGCCAGCAAAAAGGCGAATATCTCGTTAAGAAAAAACAGAAACAACCCGGAAGAAGAAAAAAAGTGTAAGGATGCAATCATCAAGGCCAATAAGGCAAAAGATGTTCTTTCAGATGACATAAAGAAGCAGGAGTACGACACTGGATACTATATGACAGAAAAAGAAAAAGAGTCTTGGGGGTACAATGATGATGTAATGGACCAATATGAAGGATCTAATGGCTCATATGGAAGAGATAGCCACAACGGAGCCGATCTATTTGAAATATTAATGAATGGAGGCGGCTTTGGCGGAGGCTTTGGAGGTGGCTTTGGCGGCGGAGGCTTTAGCGGATTTGAGGGCGGCTTTGGAAGAGGCGGAACTCGTAGAGTGGTTTACTATATGTAATGTAATTATAGATTGGACTGTCATTCTAAAATAAATATAGGTTACATAACTCGATTTTTCTATATACTTTGAAGTGCGCACAAGGAAATGGCACTCGATTGATGGGATAGCAGTCTATAATAGACAGATTTGTTGTTTAGAGTGCTTTTTATTCGTGTATTGTTGCGGATGTTTGGATATACTATGACTGTTTTTCTTTACATCTGGGTTGTTCTTAGCAATTGATATGCAATGCTTTGTGAGCATTCTCATGCAACTATATAGCGTTCTTTTGATTAGTAGATTTTCCGGGATTATTTTCGTATATATCAGCAATCTCATGGAATTATACTTGAGAAGTGGATATTTGATTGCTATTTTATATCCAAACAACTTGGTGTACACTAAGTAGGTTTAAAGCTAATTAAAAGATATTTTGTTATGCCATGCAGGCATATGTATACAATGAAAAGTGAACTGCTACTATGCTTAGATGTCAACTAATTCTAATTAAGGAAAACTTGGCTTTTTTGTAAATGCACTACATATAAAGTGTTTCTTAAGACATATGCTATAATCCACTAGCCTCCTCTTTTATACTACAAGCATTCTACACAGCACTTTCTTTCTCCTTAACAACATTCTTGTTCTTTTCTAAGTACTATATACCTATATGCCAGCCCTGCCCAAGGTTCTTGTGCCAATGAAGAGATTAATATATAAGGGGGCCTCGGCCTACTGGCCCCCACACCACTTCCCTGCCAGCCCAAATGCCCGCCAGTGGTGCTTTACATCCGCGCTGACCCACAGCACTGAGTGTTTCCAGACCCGACTGTTATGCGTCTGTGGCTGAGAAGTCTCTCGCACTGCGAATAAAAGACAGAGTTTTCGCGTATTTATAGACCGCATTTTATTTTTTTCCTTTTTCGTCAGCAATTTCCCTCTCCGCACTTTTTTGCCCCTGCAAACCGAAGGAAGAGGGCATTTTCTCCGAAATTCCTGTGTTTTGCCCTGCTGGGGCGCCCCTGCAAAAAATATTTTCTCAGGTGTTTTTTCTGAGATGGGTCTCCTGCCTAGAAAGGGCGTGCGCATCCACACTGCAGCGAGGACAGAGACACTCTGCATATGTGTGTGCAGGGCAGAGCTCCTAGAAGGGTAGCTGTGTCCGAGAGGCAGAGACTGCAGACTGTTCTGTGAAAGGGCCCTACTCTCTATAACTCACACATGCCATAAAGAGAGCAACAAAAAGAGTGCGCCCACATCTCTCAACTCTGTCTGTACTCAGGCTAGTAGTGCAGTCTGAGGTATTCAAGCCAGCCAGTCTGTTTATATTCACTGCTTATATACTGCGTATTACAGTATGGCATCTGTGCGCTCTGCGCTATACTCTATGCGTGTGAGGTACACAGCCAGGCTGCGCAATTCCTGCGCAATTTACCCTTACTCGGGCATATTGGGGGTGCAGCCCCCATAGACCTGTCTATATTCACTTTAGAGCGGGTCTTTTTGTATATTAAAAAGTATATGCGCTCTTTGGGGGATATTGGGGGCATCCAGAACGGGTAAATTAAGGTCTATTTTCCAAAATATAAGTATAAATAGAGCATAAATCTGTAAAAATATTCCAAGGGAAACACAGGAATCACTTGCTAGTTCTCCTCTGTGTGCACTTGCGCACAGGCAGATACCTTAAGCTCATCAAGGTAAGTTAAACTCATCTAGACAACTTAAGCTCTTCGGACAACTTAAACTCATCAAGGTAAGTTAAACTCATCACAGGCCCGCACTGAAACCTGGGCCTAGCAAGAAGCACTTTAAACTCTTCGCATAGTATTCCTGGCACACACATAAGCCCATCCTGCCTGCACAAAACAGATAAAACAACCCCGCAGGCAGGCCCGAATATCCTAAGCTCCTATTAAACTCCTCTAAATGAACTGTCTCTACATGTATATTAACAACACAAAAAACAATAAAGACACATGCATTTACTCCTTTTTTATTTTATTTCTGCACACTGCTTTCTACTTCTGTCCTCTGCTTGTATACTTTACTACTACAGAGCAGAGTGTGTGTTGTGATGATGCTACTGTGCTGCACCATGCATAAACATTCCGAATGGCCTGCAGTATTGCAATACAGCACAAGCACTTCTCTGCTATGGCTGTAACCTGACTGTAGAGCAAGAGTGTGCTGTTTATAGTTTGCTTACATGAATGTATTTACATGCTGCTATACATGTATTCTTCCTTTGGTATAATCTATAGTATTACTGCTGCGGCATTCTGGTTGTGTTCTCTATGTGCTGGGCATACATAGCCTGTTTTGTGTATTAAGCTCCTCTGTGTGGTGTCAGCACCCAGCTGGGTCTTTGAATTGTGCAGTTTTTTTGATTTTCCTGTGCTTTCGTCTTTTTTTAGAGGAAATAAGCCTTCTATCTAATATTTACACACGAAATACAGAAGAGTTTATTTTTTACATATATATGGAAAGTAGAAAAAGAGTAAACCAAAAAATGTATAGAATAAATAGAGAGACCTGCCATCGTATAAAAATATAGAAAACGTGCTGGGCAACCTTAACTTTGATTTACCAACACACTACAAAACCAGAGATACCACTTTATCCTTTGTTTTATTTAGATAGCCTTACTTATTGTGATCTACCTATCATTTGGGCTCTTCTTAAATAACTATCTCTACCCGTACTAAGCACACTCTTTGTTGGAATTCGTATAGTAAAGCCCATGCGTATATGTAATAATATCCACATCTAATGCGTAAAGAAAGCTATTGTACACTTAAACACAAATATACATTCTATGCACACGCGGAGGCAAATGTGTGTGGGATACCGCCTAGCAAGGAGATGCATTCTCTACACTCTCTATGATCTAGAAGTGTACTAGTATTAAAATTAACTCCCTTTGTGTGCTTTAATGCAAAAAGAACTCCTTTGTTATTCTCTCGTTTACTTTAGATTTTACCTGCACACTCTCGCATATTTTTATGAGAGGATGGCTCCTTGTCTGTGCAGATTTGAGCTGGCTTAGATCTGTATCTGCAAACACGCAGCTCGCCAGCACAAGGGGGGAGGGGTCTGCAAGCTTTATGTCTTTTTTCTGCGGCTGGTTTTTATCTAGAATTTTTGCAAGCTCTATATCGGAGCCTGTCCCTAACATATACAAAACCGAGAATATCTTTCTGACCTGGTTGTGCAGAAAGGACTTTGCGCGTATGCGCATTAGATAGACCTCCACTCCTGTGACGCTGTCCTCTGATACCTTTTCAAAAACTATTGAGTCGACTGTGCGCACGGCCTCTTCTGCACACACCTCATCTGGGGACACTTTTTGCTTTTTCTCAAGGCGTTTTTTCTTTGAGGCCTCTTTTTCCTGCTTGCAGAGCCTTCCAAACCAATGGGTGCCCAGTAGCTTTTGTGACTCGTCTGCCATTTTTTCTATGGATAGAGAGCTGCCTGCTCTCCTAGAAAAGTAGTACTCATACTCCCTGGATATGCACGAGAACCGGGCGCTGAACTGGTCATCCACAAACATCCATCCAAGCACTCGGATGTCCTCGGGAAGGTGCTGGTTAAGAATCAGATCATACGGATACTCCTTTCCTGCAGGTGCAGGCAGAAAAAGCGATATAAACTGGGAGGCTGCTGAAACGCCTGCGTCTGTTCTGCCGCACTTGTAATACTTCCTCTCAGCGATGCCTGAAAGTATTTCCTTTGGCCACACGAAGGTGCTTGGGCGGACCTGCTTTTCCTCTGCCTGGATGAATTTGGCCTTTAGAAAGCTTAGGAATAAATGGTGCTCCACAGTTGGAAGGCCTGGCTGGTATGCAAAGCCGTGGTAGTTCTGGCCGTTGTACGAGAGTTTGAGCAAGACATTTCTAGAAATAAGCGGCATGCCAACTAAAAAAATATGCAAGAAGATGAGAAGGCAAGTAAACGAGACCAGGTCTTTGACTTGGAAAAATACGTAGGAAAGAAGGTACGAATATGCTTTTTTGGCGGGATAGAAGTGACTGGGTGTCTATTGGGGTATGACCAGCTGCTAAATATAGTCCTGGGGGATGGAAAAATGGCGTCTTTTTCAGAGCAGGAGGATAAAAGCCTGGACTTAGGAGAGCTTATGCAGGAGGCTCCATCCAGCATGATGTGCAAAGGAGTGTCAATATGCTCTATAGATCTTATGACGGCGCCTGAGAGCGCAGAGGAGTATGCATATCCAGAAAATGCATATTATACAATAGGCAGCAGAGGCTAGGGTTATCTGTGGCTAACTCAGTTGGCATGACTCACGGCGCTCTTATAATGTATAGTTAAAGGGTGTGTGATAGATTTTCCTCTCTATAGCTTTGCATGTCTATAGTACTATTTAAATAAATAATTGGAGTGCAAATGCTCAGAGTGCAGGTTAGAAGCATATTGTTAAATAATGTGCGATTTTGAAAATAGTATGGCACACAAGGAATGCCAGACTGTAATAATAGCAGCAGAGCGCACAGAACATAAAATAAATGACTACTTTGACATAGAATGCTGCGATTGGCTAGAGTACTGCATATTATCATAGTGATATGAAAAGAGGAGGAATAGCTCTGAAATAGTAGCATAAAGTGGATATTATTCTGGAGAAAAGAGCATTTATTATAGGACCTGCCATTCACTGACTTTCTTCTGTGGGTTTCTATAGTTGATCCAAATATTTTATTTTAAATACTTCTGAAAACACTTCATACTATATGGAAAGCATTTACTTTTAGAAAGTCTATATAAAAAAATGGTACAGTTTAGAATACTATTTTACTATAAAAAAGATGCCTCAAATATAAAGCAGGCAGACAAAAGGATAATATTAAAGTTTATTATTCTCTAGTGATCTATTGCAGAAAGATATACATGAATATCCATTGTGCAGGGATCTTCTATTATGGGCCGATCTGGATCATATAAAAGATCGTCCTCTGTGTTTTTAGAGACAAAGTCAGTTTCCTTTGTTTTCTGCATTATATCATAGAATGCTCTAAGATTGTTTCTGTAGCTTTCTACTTCTCTTGTGTTATCCTGAATCTGACCTCTAATTGCTTCTGTTGCATAGTTTGTGCTTACAGCGCATTTTTCTTGAATATCTTTAAGTATGCTTGCAATGTGCTGCATGCAGGCCATTTGAGCTTTAGTTTTTAAAATTAGCTCGCTTAATACATATTGCACGTATTCTTCTTCATATCTTCCTCCCACTGTGTTTCTAAGCTTTGAACTTCTCTTCTTTTTCTTTGCATTGCTTGTGTTGCTGGATAAAAACGTGTTTGTGATAAATGATCGAGTGTATGTGGTGTCACAATCATCGTCAGCAAACATACCATTGTGTATTTCTTCTCTTTCCCTATCTTTTCTCTCTCGTACAGAGACCAACCGCATGGTGTTTTGTGAATACTGCTCTGTTGTATTCTGCACACTATGTGAATATGCTCTTGCTTTCTGCAGAAGAGAGTCAAGAATACATGTAGCCGGCTCTGACTGGCCTTGTATATATGCCAAGACCTTTTCATACTCCTCAATGTCTATAAGATACCTCAAGCCCTTAGAAACAGAGCCTATTTCCAAGTTTAGCTCTGCAGCAGACAGAATGTTCTTCTGTAAGACAAGAACCTCTTCCATTTTCTGAATGTTCTGTGGAGTTTGACTGCCTGGTGCCGAGAAAAACTCTCTCCAAAGACCCAGTTTCATTTGCAAATTGCATACTTTCTCGAGGGCCTCTCTTCCAGATTGCGCATAGCAATTGAGTGCCTGCGCATGATCACCTTCTTTGACTAAGGCATCGCCTGATAAAAGGAGTAAGGACTGCACTGTGTCCACAAAAGAAGAGGACTCTATCTCTTCTGGAGTGACTTCGTCAGCGCACAGACTATCCATATCCAGCAGGTACAGATAAAAGTCTCTGATGCATTCCTTTTCAATGCTTAGCTTAAGATTCTGAGTTGCAGAGAGACATAGAGACCCGCCTGTGTTCTCTCTCTCTAAAATATGCTGCTTTATCATGTAAAGAGTTTGTTTTCTTTTGTCTTTAGCCACTCTTGCAATTTTAAGTCTTCTTTTTGTTTCTTCATAGGAATTAAATGGATCTATTCTATCAGAGGAACCAACTAAGAGAATGTCATTTGTCTCGTCGGTTGGGGTATCAGTCGCCTGCATAATAATATAGCACAGGGTATATGCGTACACATTTAAAGAGCACTGGAGAAGAACCGCTGGAGAGATTGCACCTATGCACTTTTCTATAATGCGTTTTGGAATCGCGTGCTTCTCTGTGGTTGAAAAGTGCTTTGGGGAAATTATTTCCTTAGAGGTAAACTTTTCAGCAAGTCTGACAATAAGCTCTGGAGAGCGCTTAAATGTATATATTTCCACTGCAATGCTGCACCATGCATAAACGTCTGCATCTAAAGAGCAAGCATTGTAATTTTTCTCTGCTGTTTGGAGTAGCATAGAATTGATTTTTTTGACAGCATACTGCTCTATTAGGCTAACTACATGGTGTGCTTTATCGTTTTCTTCACTGAAAAGAAGTGTGGCTATTTGAAGCAGAGTGCGGGCGTCTATCCTGTTTTGAAGAAGGTTCTGAGAGATGGCATCCAGATATCTGACTATTGATAGCCCGTGCTTCTTGGCCAGCGAAGCAGACTTTGCCAGCTCTCCAGCGCGCACAAGTTTATCTATTTTATTCTCCAGTAAAAAGCCAAGGTAGAAGGTTTCAAGCATGCCATATACATCTATTGCTATAACAGCAATTTCTGAGACAAAAACTATTCTGCTGTCCTTTCCTGTCCGAGCTACTCTCTCTTGGCATACTGCTATCTCATCTGCATCATTTGAGGCAATTGACACTCGGTATATCTCTGTCCATGCCTGTACCTTAGCAGAGACGAGCAAATAGTCTTGGTCTGTGGTGACTGGGGCAATGGAAGTAACGCCCTCTACTCTGGCAATAGTACCGTTGCACTGTATAGTCAGTGACATGCTTTCTCTATTGAGAGTAAGCAGCACAGTGCGCCCGCACAGAGACATCTTAGTGTTGTCTAATACAGCTGGGATTTCTGTACTGTGCTCAGTTTCATTCTCCATCTTATGTATGCTCATTGCGCTGATCTTTTCGCAAATTTCTGGGTTCTGCTCTGTAGACAGACATGGAATTCTTACATTCTCTGGCTCCCCAACACTTGCAGTGTCTGCCATGTCTGATAGCACTCGGGTATATTTCTGGGCTTCAACTTTGTAAGTCACTGCCCCACTAGAGAAGGCATGCAGATCAGTTGGAACGCCTTCTATTTTTACCTCTCTGCTATACATGGGAGGGGGGATAGGGCATTTAGATAGATCGTACATGATAAGTCTTGAACCGTCCACGTCGATCACATCTCTTGCTGTTCGATTGACACATGTGGTCTGTAGAAATCCTACAATGTGTGCGTTTAGAACAATATTTACCCCATACTGCGGTGACAATACCATATCTTGCACTGCAGTAATTGGCAGGGATTCTTCTCCCTCTTCTCTACCCATCTGTGCAATGTTTTGGTTCACTTTCAAGTATAGACAGTTGTTTTTAATATAGTATATCTTCAGATAAAACTGTGTGCCTTCTTGGTTTATGATGTACATATAGTCATTGTACGACCGAATTGATACAATATGGTTGCTCTCTATCTTTTCTTCTTTCCTGTCACACTCCCGAATGTGGAAGAGCTCCTTGTACTTCAGGCCATTTCTCTCTAAAATATGGATTGTATTCTGATCTGTTACTGCATATATGAGTGAGAATCGGTTATGCCAGCTGGCTAGTTTGTATTTGGATCTTTTTTCAAACACAACGCTATTCTTTTCCAGGGTATCTTCTACCTCAACTTCTGTGTCATTTCCTACAGACACCCTCTTCATGCTGTCCACATATGCACTTTCATTTAGTAGATACTTTTTTGTCTGCATGAGCCGGCTGTTCATAATCTTGTTGCAAACTGTGATTGTGTCAGCAATAGGCTCCAGATTGTATGTGTATATGGCTAGAACAGATGCGACAAGCAGGAAAATGTATTTTCCATCGATTGACCACTCAGCATAAATTTCCTCTTTTAGAGGATCTTTCTCTATAAGCTCCCTTAGCTCTTCGCTATACTCTTCCTTTTTCACAAGATTAAAGTATTTATCAAGCAAGATGACCTCGCTTTCCGTGAGAATAACAATATTTCCAGTTGTTTGATTAAAAAACGCATTTAAAATAGCCTCTTCCATTTCGCCAACACACTCCCACTCGTAGTTTGTTTTCTTCTCAGCTCTAAAGATGTGGCCCTCCTTGGTTGCCACTTTGAAGACGTCTCCTGCTTCAGCTGCATAGAATGCAATTGGGGTGATCTCTTCTTCTATTTTCTCTGTTATTTGTGCATGCGTGCGCTGGTTGTATACTGCAGTGCCGCTCAGTATAAAGCTGTTTGACAAGCGCGGGCTTTCATAGCTAGCTGTTTTTGTATGGTGCAGCACAATATTCTCCATAAAATTTTTCTCGTCGTCAACTGTTATATACACATTGCTGCATACTGTAGCACACTAGGCCACGCTAATAAAGCTTGCCATATAAATAAATGCACAGTTAGATAGTTTATTCTATGTAAACAGAGATTATGCTTGGTAATGAGGTGCATGCCGATGCACTAGAATTTAGCAAATACAGAAGTCTATATATGTGCTTCATAGCATTGCATTTATTATTGGATAGAAAGTTAACTTTAGAAAAAGCTCACTGCATGGATAGGATAGATGGCATGACAGAGAAACCCAATGCGATAGCTTTAGAAGGGTTTGTATTTAGACTATTTATTTATTTCTATTAAGGAAAGGTGAAAAGGAAAAGATAGGGTTGTTTTCAAGCTCTATTACATGCTGCTGCTCTTTATACACTGCAAAAAGACTCTTAGCATCTAGTATATCTGAACCTTAAAATGAAGCGCACATAGAAAAAGCTGTTTTTTAAAATTAGAGGTATGCTTAGAGAGTCTACCGAATTTATGTCTTATGTGATATTCACATTTTTTCTCTTCTCAGCATAGTCTTTAGTGCGCTATTTGTTGCAGAGAGGTCTCTTCTGTCTTAAATATGCTGCTGTAATGCCTATACCAAAAGAAGATGACATTCTACACTAGAAAGTGCTCTTCCGTCTATCTTCTTCGCCCAGTGTACTTTGAAGTTCTTGGAACTTCCAGGCCCTTTTCCTCTCTCTTTGCTTTTTTTCGAATAATCCAATCTCTGTAGGATAGGTCTTTATTTGCAACAGGCTTTTTAAAGGTGCGCGCCTTCTTTTTTTCTCTGATGTGGACTGACTTGCCCTTTGCGCCGGCCATTTCAAGAATGAGATATGTTTTTCTTTTTTTCTTGCTGTCCTGGTTCTCAACAAGCGTGCCGCCTGTAAATCCATATTTTGAGGCGCACATGATAATTGACTCCATCTGCTTATCTGACTCTGGATAGTACTGCAGAACAGCCATTCCGTCTGTTTTAAGCGCATCGTACAGAGTGAAGAAAAAGGCATTGAGTAGCTTTTTAGAGTCCTTCTGCACTGCCAGCCACTGCAGGACACTCACGCTAATTGCGTAGTCAAAGGTGGCGCTTTTAAAGGGAAGGCCCTCCCCAATATCAACAACAGCAAAGTCACAGAAGTTATCAGCGGGCTGGTCTCCATACGTAATGTTTCCAATCCTTTTCTTTGCCAGCTTCAGCATATCCACGCTTATGTCAATGCCAATTGTATAGTTATCGTCGTCAATGATCTGTTCAGTGCTTATACCACTTCCACAGCCAATATCAAGAATGAGCGAGTCTGTTGGGTTCCCCAAGATATCCAGGCATTTCTGGGTAAGCCTGCTTTGTATGTTGTTCAAACTACTGCTATTATCGTATTTTTCTGCTATTTCTTCTGTGTAGTACACTTTATTTCCACAGTTCTCTGGTCTTCCCATACGAATTGAAATAATAAAAAATTTACTCTCTAACTGCTAAGTACACCCCTCAAGAACTGTAGAAAGGATATTTGTGAAAATATGGCTAGAAAGGTGGCTGCTGGCCAATCCTTTTCATTTTTTGTCTATTTGTAAAATACGTATAATAAATAGGAGATTAAAGAAGAAACTAGTTAATTAAACTATTTAATAAATTATTAATAATAATCAAAATTTAAAGAAACAAAAAGAGAGCAGATAGACGGATAAGATATAAGTCAGCACAGAATGCAAGCAGAGTGCCAGAAAACACAGAGTATGCATGCGCACAAACAATTAATCTATATTTTTGGGTTATTCTATAATATGCTGCTCTAGCAGAGAAGATGTATATGGTGTTTTTGCAATAGAATGGAAATGCATATTTAAGTGAAAGTTAACAGTGCTTAAGTGCTCTTTGCAATATGCTGCGTATAGGGAATTATCTAATGCTAAGAAAGACAGTGTTTTTCAAGCAGAAGGCATTTTAGCATTGCATAATAGAAGTGCGTGCAAATTAGTGCGTATTCATGCGTTTTCTAAAAGGCATGCTTATTTTATGTGCAAATATCACTTTGATGTATGAAAAAATATGATTAACGTGCCAAAACATCTATATAACTAGAATAGATATAATGGATATACACAGGCATTCTGTAGAGACAGTGGTGCCACTAGATATAACCCGAATGATTTGCTAACAAAAGAGTGTTACAAAAGAGCTAATGAAAGAGGTCTCTAATAGAGAGTATAAATAGACTGAATGTGCACTGTGCTAGCATGGGTGTATTTGTTGAAGAGTGGTGTTCTGCGGTAGAATTTTTTGGGTGGGCATTTATTGCATGTTATTGCAGCAAATGGTGGTAGAACTTTGACTGAAGGCAGAAATAGAAACTACGACATTATTCATTTATTCTACAGTGGCTCAGTGCAAATAGAAGCAAAATAACCGAGGGTTATCTGCAGCCAAGAAGAAATCGCATATCTAGGTAGCCTATCTAAGTGAACATCTAGGCCTTCATCTGCATATAGCAGAAGAGGTGTGTGCAGGTAGCTACTGCAGCAGAAGGCCGTTCTAGACAAAGATAATAATATGCAGAATCTTTTAAATAGTAGCAAATGAATGAATAACTATATTACATAGGAATATAACTGCATGGCACGCAGTGCTCAGAGTACGACCTGTAGAAATCTCGGTATCCACCGCTCATGACATACACGTTAGGAAACCGCAGGTGCGGATATGTGCTTGTAAGCCTGTCCTCGTTTCTGAGAGAAATTGCCAGACGGGGCGCGCGCACGGAAGAGTATTCGCAGTACAGAATGATGATTAGCGATGAGTCTTTTCTGCTTGCCACCATTCCGTTGAAGAACTTCTTCATTTCATTCTGGGTTGTTATGTTAACAGCGGTTTTTATGTGCCCTCCAGTATACTCGTACTCAAACCGGCAGTCGATGAGAATAACCCCTGCAGTGTTTATTAGAGAAGCAACAGTTTCTGCTGAAACCCGGAGAATGCTGTCGGATGGGCCTGTGCCCATTGCAGGCAATGCATATGTGCATGCGTTTATTTTGGTGCTTTTGCAGGGCGAGGAGCTTGTGCCACTGTGTGTTTCAGACTTGCTGATGATTTTGGGCCTGCTCCAGTGCTGTATTATATCTGAATCTGTGTTACTTCGGCGCAGTTCGGCGGATTTCTTTGTGGATCTGGATGTGTTCCGGGCCACCTCCTGAAACACAGAAGATCTTCTTTTTTTATCAGATAAAATTGCTTTACACTTTAGAAGGGAAAACTTGTCCTTACCCTTCGATCTTTTCGCAGACTGTACAAATCTCGGGGATACTTTTCCATTTGTGATGGAGCTGTTACAAACCTCTCTATTAAATATTTCCTCAAAGGTTGTCGGAAGATCCATAAACTCATTTTTAAGCTCGCATGCAAAAATATCCTCGTACTCGAGGGAAGAGCGCGGAGCCTTGGGTGGAGCACACCTTCCCTGCACAAATGTTTTGCCAATTTCCTCTATTTCTCCGTCATCCAGTATAATATCTAACTCAGATTCTAAAGTGCTCATGAAGGGCATCGCAAAATAAAAATATATATAGGCGAATATGAGCGAATATTCAATCAGGCTTACTTTAAAACATATACAAAACAATCTTGCTATTTTAGAATATATTGTTATTTGTTTAGGCTTGGATGTTTGAAAGGTTTACAATTAGGACAACGCCATCCGAGACAAGCCGGTTTAAAGGCGACAAACACTTCTCATTACTTAAGATGCTTTCTCTTGACCCCATACAGGCGCTGAATGCCGAAGAGTTTGCAGCCTGGGCAGGGCTAACCCTCATTATATGCCTGATGTTCTACTTGTACTCTCTTCTTAAAAGGGCCATTAAAAAGAAGATACTAGGCGCAAACCGAGGAAGCGTCAGCGTTGAAGAGGCACAGAAGAACAAACAGTAGAAATAGAAGGTTCGTGCGAAATAATTGTGCAGCAGTATAACAAAGTACTGCTTTAAAAGTAAGAACAGCAATAGGAGCTTTCTCAATAAATGCAGCTGCAAAGCAGTATTTTATTTTCTTTGTCCGTGGATAGAGCTGCATAAAGATGTGTAGACTTGCACACTTTCCATGCAGGAGCATATTTTGTCCAATTATAAGTGAATCCAAGCATATAGTATTTTGTGTATTTTTGCAGCGGCAGGAACTTAGCAAATTGACTCTAAGTAAAAAAGTATTTGGGTCTCTAGTGTGCATAGAGACTCTCTAGCAAGCTTCTAAATATAAAGAAGTCGGGTTATATTAGCCTATTGCACTGTTTTGTATAGAAAGCAATTACATATGAAAATTAATTAGAAATTGAGCTGCTCTCATGCTAAGCAAGATTAGTGTGCTCTATAGATCTTGCATGGTGCAGAGTGCATGTTTTATATTAGTGGCTGCAGTGCATCTGTTATTTTTGCAGATGCCTGTCAATAGCATTGCATTGTGTAGAGAAGAATTATTTTCATTTTCGTTTTATTTTTTAGTCCCTGCATGACCAACCAAGTTATAGATGATATACACACACTAAGAGTGCTAAACAAGAGCGAAATACCCATGGGAAAGGGAAGCAGACAGTGCAGATCATGTATGGGAAGAAGAGGACTTATTAGACAGTACGAGCTAATGATGTGCAGAAGATGTTTCCGAGAGTACGCAACCGACATTGGTTTCGAAAAGCTTAACTAAATAAGAATAAATTCAAGATAAAGTGACTATTTTCGCACTTCAGCATGCTTATAATAAAGTTGCGTAGATATGCGCAGTGAAATAAATTCACAAAATCTATTGCACTGTTTTGGTGAGTATAGACATTTTAGCTCTGGCAGAAAATCACATATATCTTATTGCATCATGCAGTGCAGAAGAAGCAGGTCTTAAGTGTTTTTGAGAGAGCTCTCTTGCTGTGTTTTCCAAGTATTCTTCATACAGGGAAATGAGCAAAAAGAGTAAAAATATGCGTGTATTTAAGAAAACAGTAGAGGTCGAAATATAGCAGAAAAAGGCATGTCTAGGGTGAATTTAAAGCAATCAATCCACGCCCAAAAAGTTATATGTACCTTGCATATGCTTGGAACAGACCAAAGCCTTTTTATGGGAGAAACTTTTCTTATTTCTGTGACTATTGGTGGCTCGCATTGTATATCAGGGTGCTTTAATAGCAGAAGTGGTTTACACTTTGAGTTATATATAGAAGAAATCAAATGGCACACTGCTGCCTGAAGTGTGTGGTTGGCTAATGTTGCTAAATAGTCTATTGTTAGGAGATTAAATTAAACATTTTTGACATAGTAGCCTTACCTGTGTACCAAAGGCTATAATATATTCTGTCATCCCAAGCGAATACTTGGAAAACTTTGCCTGCTAGATCATCATAATGCAAGGGGCTCTTCATGTCTACACACCAATAGTTTTGTATGACTTATACTCTTGGCCTTCTATTTGTTCTTGAGCGAATAATTAGCCATCTCAAGAAAATATCATGAAAGGCATTCTTCTGGAAGCTTCTAGAAGCTTTATGCCTAGATTTAATATCCCCTTGAAGGAGTTTTATAAACAGAGGACAAAAATAGATTATTCGTTTTAGTATGGCTAAGTCTAATATTTCAAAGAAGAAAACTTAGCTCTCAAAGTGCTAATTCAAGAAGACCACAGTTTCCGTATTCAGTAATTTTCTATAGAATTAATTATTGAAATAGCATTTTATTCTGGATATAAAAGTATTTTTAACTAAAAATACACTCATATGAATGTTCTATGAAAGTTATATTTAAATTCTCTGTTAAATACTTCTGGTGTGCTCTAGATATGGCTAGAGCTTTCTCATAGCTGTGTATAAAAGTTGCTTGATGTATGCTGTGGTAGCCTATATATCGGCTTTTCAAATACAGCTATATAAACTAAAGCTAGATGTCTTATAGTACTTTGGCTATATTACAGTTATAGCTATTTTTCCTCCTCGAAATGTTAGTCTCACTCATACTAATTTAGATATAATTTATTTCTCGCTGTCTATGTTAGACCTGCAGGAGAAGAATATTGAAGTGGTGCAATGAAAATATAATTCTACTAGATAACTTAAAGCAAATAGAAATATACATTACTTATTCAATCACTTGTTCATAGACGCATAAACAAGTAGAGCTCCTTGTAGCGTTGGCCTTTAACCAAATCACGGAAGGCAATGAGCAACACTAATCTACATTGTTGACCCGGAGAGAGGTTTCATGCCCTCATGGCAAGGAAAACCAACAGTTATCTTTTTTTAAATGGATGTACGTTTCTAAGCGTATATGCCGTTGTATTCATATTTTATATTCTATAATTTTCTGCTATGTTTCTAGGCTGAGAAATCCAATATTTTCGGGGTTATTCGGGTTAATGCATTCGGAAGGGTTTATACAATTAGAGAGTAGGGAAATCTTTATATAATTCCAAAAGAAATATAAAAAGAAAGAAAACACCAATAGTACGCTGAATACAAAGAAAAAATGTCAAAATACCCCAAGAATCCAAGGCATTTATAAACACTTTATAATTTAGACCACTATGTTCTGGGTAGAACATTCCCCTCATTTAGACGCAGAAAATAGCTAGACCCATAGTATATAGATCCACGGGGTCTAATAAAAGAGATTCTAGATTATTAATTTATTATTAAAATGTTTTTTATTAAAGCGTTTATCAATTTATTCAATTATAAAAACTAGTGTATAAATACTCAAAAATAAAAAAAAATATGGAAAATTTAAATATAACAGATAAGAAGAATGAGCATACGGAGATTGACATTGGAAACTTACCAATTGAAGACATAGAAATGAATTCTATTGCAGAGGAAGGCAAGTCTTCCAGCATTCTTATGAAGATGGACAAGTACGAGCGAGTTACAGAAAAGGGAGTGCCTCTACTCAAAAGAGTTTCTTTTTCTCTGCCAGAGGGGAAAATGACAGCACTGCTTGGTCTGAGTGGAGATGGAAAGTCTACGCTAATGGACGGAATGGCAGGGCTGTGCAGTCCCTCGCACAAAACATACGGAGAGGTGTACGTTAAGGGGAAGCGCGGTGTACTTGAGAAAAGAAAGGCGGAGGAGTGGTTCAGCCGAGTGAACTACACACAGCAGAGCATGATTGAGTACAAAAAGATCCCAGCATACGATGTTCTTTGCTCAATTGCAAAGTGCTGTGGAAAGAAGGTGCAGGAAGTAGACGACTATATGTCAATGCTGAGAATCTCAAAGGTGAAGAAAGTGCATTTTAACAACCTGTCTGGGGGTGAGCAAAGAAGAGCCATGGTCATTGCAGGCCTGCTTGCACAGAAGGACTTGAATATATGGGACGAGCCACTGACAGGGCTCGACTCAGAAATGGCGCGTGTGATTCTTTCCATCATGAAGAAGTCGCAGAGCACAAATTTGGTGACCGTGCACCAGATTTCCGAGGATCTGATGAAGCGGTTTGACCATGTGATTCTTATGCACAAGTCGACTATTATATACTCGGGACCAGCAGGAGAGATACAGAAGTACTTCACAGAAAAGGGAATAGAGTTCCCTGCAGACGCATTTTATGTGAACTACTTAATGCAGCTCTGTGCAGAGAACAGCGACAATCACACGGATATAAAGAACATTGAGATATTCAACACACTGGCAAATGAAATTCTTCACTCTTCATGCGGAGAGAATGCTGGAGAAAATGTTCTATTTACAAGAAAGCAGTTAAAGCTGTCCTTCACAAGAATTATGGAAATACTTAAAAGGTCGCTATATATGGATAGGTTATTCAAAGGGAGCTCTATTGTTTTTTGTATATTTTTTACTATACTGTTTAGTATAATGTTTAGTATAAGGAAACTTTCGCTTTTGGGGAATTGTAAAAAAATTAATGATTTTTATAGTATAGCGCTTGGTGTTAATGTAAGTAGTGCAATTTTTATTCCAAAAGCGCTAGAACTAGCTAAGCAGAGAATAGCTGAACACAGTGATATGGAGAGCTATTTTGTCTATCTAAGTTCAGTACATAAAATGATGGCAAATGCTGCATGGATATCTATTCTTACAAGCGTATTTAATCCATTGATTTTTATGGTTGGATGTGTTGGAGGCTTAATTTTTCCAAGTAAACTGTTGGATATTGACTTTAACAGACGGTGCAGGAGTAATATACAAGGAAAGCAGTTTACAGCAGGGGACTTTATGGGAGCGATTATTACTGATGTTCTACTAAAAAGTACAGCTGTTATTTTCGTAATATTCGTGGTAGTATATATTATCTGCGTGAATCAGACAGATGAAAGTATATCAACTGTAATGACAATTGGGCACACAATACCAATTGTCCTTTTATTATTTACATCCATTATAATAGGCATGTACTCTATTATTATGAACTTTTCACCAATCCCGCTAAAGCTATTTTCTCTCATCGGTATATTATATATATTTATATTCCAGATAGTGCCTTCTTTTATATTCAATAATATGATCCCAACCAATTCTAAATTGGCAGATACTCAATTCAATTACTCTATGAGTATCTTTACTAGCGAAAATATAGAACTTATTAGAGAATGTATAGACAAATCTAATATGTTTTTTAGTAATATTAGCGATAACAAAAAGAAAATGGTATTAGCTTTTGCTAATCTAGTATTTATGCTATCCAGAGTATTTATACTCTTGGACCCATCATTATTTTTCAATCAGATCTTAGAAAAAGTAGCATTATATCTGAATATGCTTACAATGGGAACTGAAGCTGGGCCTAAATCATATAAAGTATTCGCTAAGTGGTATGCGCACTTCTACAGGTATTTTAATTATCAGGTTTCAGAATTGAATGCAGATATAGATGAATTAAATATGAAGAGACACAAACATTATTTAAAAAAACTAGTGAATGGAGTAAGCAGTTATAGTGATGGTTTATTGGGTTGTGACCCTCATGAAGTTCTTAACAATGAAGACTCGCTTATAGGGATTTCAATATGGAGACTTATGTGGTCTATACTAAAGTTCTGGGTCTTCCCTGGAATAGTCCTAATAGCAGTATCACTATACACATATAGGCGCATGCAGCCCAAAATAAGAAGCTGATCACATATAAAGTAAGTGTGTTTAAGCCGCACATGCATTAAGCCTGCCTAAAGAATAAATTTATAGTGAAAGTCAGTTTTATATGGCATATTTAATTTTTATTTTCCAACTATGCTACAAAAGAGCTAGTATGTCCTGCTTTCTTGCACAGCTCTAGATATTTAGAAAATTGGTCTTCTTTGAACCCAGCAGTGCTGAAATTTATGAATGAAAAGACCTTTCAAAATTGTGCCAATAAAGAACCAAGGAGGTGTGTGCCAGGTGAGATGCCGCTGTGCACTGGAGTGTGTACACGTATGTAACTCTGATATGCAGGGTATATAACAAAACAACTATTTATTTTTTGACCTATTTACTTCTGGCCTCTCTTGCAGCAGCTCGAACAGGCCTCTTTTTCTTGGATACAGCTGTATCTACTTTAGCGGCTGGGACATCAGCTTTTGCCTTGATATTTGAAGGTTCTGACTTTACCTTGATATTTGAAGGTTCTGACTTTGCCTTGATATTTGAAGGTTCTGCCTTTGTTTTTTTGTCGCTCTGTGGTTTTGATGCTGCCTTCTTTATAGGCACCTCTTCCTCCTTTTCAAATACGCGCAAGGATGCCTTTCTTCGGGGTCTTTTTTTCCGCCCTATCTCCTCAGAGTCTGTGCTCTGGTCATCCTCAATGACTCCAGGGAGCAGAGGTGTTTTCTCCTTCCTAACCAAATCGATAATGGTCCAAACAGAAAGGATTCCTGATATAATGTATGGGTAATAGGTTCCTAGCTTCCCATTGTAGTACTGCACAAGGAAGTACCCCAGACCAGCAATATCCTTCATCATGCACTGCTTCACACCAGGTCTTTTCCTTCCATCAATGTACAGCACTAGAAGTATCCCAAGACTGAATATTCCTACCCCAAATACATACGACGAGTACTGGCTGCGCGCGATATCTATAGTAGTAAACAGATCTAAAATACAAAAGAAAGAGCACAGCAGCGTAGAAACTTTGCTCTTTCTAGTCTGCAGAGCTAGATGCATGCATATTGTAAATAGAAAGGATATAATGATAGTGATTGCTGTGTTTTTGAGCGGGACTGACTGTGTAGTTAGCAGAATATAAATGTAAAGTAGCGATACGCCCACTTCATGGACGCTCTTAAATCCTCTTCCATTTAAGAAGCAGCAGGTTATGCCTGCCCTTGGTATGAGCTTTATCTCATCCAAGTCTGTGATTATTCTTCGATACTTTTCGATGCTCTCTGATACACTTGAAGAACAAACAAACATACCACAAATAAACCAAATATTATTTATTCTATATTAGGTATAAAAAGAGGTTCTGCCAGTGGGAGCTAGAGTGCCAAGTGCAGCACCCGTGTGCAAGCACAGTGCTATACTGGTGTGCCAAGCTGAGAAAAGCATGAATACTATACTGTCCTTTCATTTTTACTACGCAATTGGATAGAATTTTAAAATCAAGGAAAATCTTGAATGTTCAGGCATATGCGTACATAAAAAGAAATTAATGTCATTTAGATGAAAATAATAAAAGGCGCCAATAAACGCAGAGACATGGTGTTTAAAAAGAAACTCACCAATTGCTTTGATTTAGAACAGGAAAAATAGTCTGTTAGTTTTCTAGGCATGCATGTGTAAAGACTTTCCTAAAATGCAATGTAGGTCCTCATAACTTTTTGTTACTAGATTCTGTGCATTAGAAGCTCATCTAATTCTGGTTATATTCGGGTTATATCTGATAAAGATAATGTAGAAAATACTGTATCATGCTTAATCTAGATTGATATTAAGAAATATATGCATATGCAGTCACATAAAGACTAAAAACTGAATAAGAAGCAGGAGAATGACTTATTCAGATGTCTTGGGAGCAGCATGAGTTTAGTGTTACGTGGGCGCATCTATAAGAGAAGCAGCCCATATTGTCTTTCTCCTGCATGTCTTAATGCAGTTCTGCTAAAAACAAAGCTACATTCTATTAAGCCCTGCGTATTTTTCACTGCATTGTAGCTGTATAGCGCAAAAGAAAAATTTAGCATTAGGAGTTTTAGTGCTATTATTAAGCTTGAGTAAACACTGCTATTTCATGAGTTTAGACATTTGCGTATGCATTTGTAGAATGGTACTGTGCTTCTTTAACTGTATTTCTGTTGGGTATTCGGGCTAATCCAAGAAAGATAAATAGCAAGCTGTCTATGCATAAATACTGCTGCACAGAAGTGCAATAAAATGCGCAGCATTTGAAGTAGTTTAGCTTTACCACTTCTTGAGCTTATATTGCAGCCATTCAACTCCAGAGGGGTTTTAAACAATCTGTAGTGTGCTGTGGCAGGAAACAAATATAACCCTAGTGGTAAAGAGAGTATAACTATGGCTGCTGTTCTAAAAATAGTCCTTATGTGTATATCACACAGCTACAGCAAGAGACTTTCTCTGCTACCGCATCCAGTTTGCTATTCATAGATAGCATTATCAGTCAGCATGTAATAGTATTTTCCAAATATTAAGAATAGTTTATTTATCTGCTGGACTTAGCAACTCTTTCAATTTCATCTCTCTTCTTAACTGCGTATGAGTTTGGATTTCCTCTAGATGCAGCGATAAGCTCATCTGCAATTGTTTCTGGAAGTGTCTTTGTGTTTTTGAATGCTGCCTTTCTCATTCCAGTGGTGAGGTATTCCACAGAGAGGTTTAGTCTTCTTAATGGAGAGACGTCAACAGAGGATCTCTTTGCAGAGCCACCCTTTCCTACTCTAGCAGTAGACTCCCTTGGTCCAGAGTTGATGCATGCATCAACGAGGATCTGGATTGGGTTCTTCTTTGTAAGTCTTTCAATGATTACGAAGGAGTCTCTGACAGCCTTGAGAACAAGCAATGCCTTGCTTGTGTTTCTTCCGTGTCTCATAAGTCCGTGAGCAAGTCTCATGGTAAGAGGCATACCGGCCTTTGCAAACTGTTTCTTGCAGTAGCTGCTTCCTGTGTGAGGAACAGACACACGTGTGTGCACGTTAATGTATGGCTTTAAGGATATGTCGTTGACTTCAATATCATCGTAACTGTATCTTCCAAATAGCTTGATTGTGTTTTCTTTAGACTCCACTTGATTCATCCAGGGTGAATAAAAAAATGCAAAAAATGAATCCAGCGCAGAGAGTGAAAATATTGCCGTCGCATACGGACTTATGCTCTTTTGCAATTACAGAAGAAAAAAAAGTAATAGTGCCAGTTCTAGTGAACGGGTACACCCTGTTTCAGGACTCAAGCAACAATAGGCTTGTGATTGGTATAATAATCCAGAATGAAAAAGAGCTAAAGGATGTGACGTGCTCAATCCTTGGGTACAGTAGCACGGCCACTTGCATGGATGCAATGGACATTCCTGCCGACACACAGAAGGAGATTGAGCAAATGTATAGGGAAAATTCAAGCAGTGAGTCAAGCGAGTCAAACTGGCACATAGTTATGAAATATCTTAAAAACGTGCTGACTAGTGAAAATGTATAGTGCACTAGTTTACTAATCTGGAGAGGACCCGCATCATAAGTTGACTGCCTTGCACTGCCAGTATTCCTCTCTGTGTTCTTATTAGTGGTCTAGCTAAATTAAACATATGCTTTAAAATGCCTTATTCTTTTAACTTTTGTTGTTCTGTGTTGTAGAATAAGTATCTGAATGGAGGGGATTTCAACTAATATTTTATTTTTACTGCACCACGGTCCTAGAGTTCTAATAATCAGAGAAACGTAGTCCCTTGCCTTTGTATCGATCTACAGTAATATCCCTGTGTTTTATTTAATCTATCTATAGAACTACAATGGATATTTGCTAAATTAATGCATCTGTAAAATTATCGTCCTTCTGGAGATCACCTGCTATTGCAGGGGCATCCAAAATAAAATGATCGCGATGGAGTTAAACAAAGCTTTCAATCAGGCCTCGGGTATAAATGCAAAGACAATTTGCAAGAAGACAAAATGGAAGAAAGCCCACTGCAAACGCACAGCACGAGCCGAAGTCAACAACACTCTGAAAAGAGCAATAAAAGCTCTTCACTAAGCAAGATGGAGTCACTATTGGGATACTATTTTCAGACCAAGGAACTTCCGCCCATACAGCACATCACAGTGGCTTCATTGGTTAAGCAAAAAAGCCAAGGAGGGAATCAGATAATAATTCAAGACCGAGCTGCAATTAAGTATGAAGAAATTGCTCAGATTAAGTACCAGTACCGAGAAGTGGTGGTAGGCAGCTTTATTAAGACAGAACGCCTATGTGCGCGCTACAGCACAACTATCAAGCTCCCGCGAGTGACTCCTGAGGTTGAAACAAAAATCCGAGTGTGGAGACAAGACGTGCAAGAAGGCATCCAAATGGCAAACCTTAATAATAGCCCAAACGATAGCGCTATTGGCCTCATCTCGTACCTGCTACCTACTGAAGCAAAAGAGGTAGTGCAAGGCCACACTAATATAAACTCCTTACTGGAGGCTGTGTGCTGTTTCTATGAGAGAAAGCAGTGCTCTGCAGCCCTTGCAGCGCCTTTTCAGGAGAATTTTCTATTCATCCGGGACTACTACGAAGCAGTTCAGAGAAGAGTCTTAAAGAATCAAGATTCCTCTTTCTCAGATGAGAAGACCGAAGAGCTTGTCTATGCAGCCTTTTTAGATGGCCTAACCCCTGAAACTGTACAAAACAGCCTATATGTTTCCTGTAGGACCTGCAAAGAATATGTCAATCTGCTTGAAGATATTGAGAAGAGACTTATAGAGGACCTGCAGAAAAAATACAATGGGCGAGAGCATTCTAAACGAGATACACCAATAGTAACTGCTACTCTGCACAACCCTCACAAGGAAAGAATGTTTTGTGCTATACACAGGCGTTATTGCATGCATAGCACAGAAGAATGTTTATTGCGCAAGAAAAAGGAGCAAGCCAAGTCATCCTCTGCCCAGAGCTTAGCTTTTAAAAATGAGCCAACAAAAGACCAAACAGAAAAAATAAATGATACAGCCCACCAATGTGTGGATGATGCCACAGGCCCAGAGCAGCAAGAATCCTTTCTAAGTTTAACTGCTAGAGCTTAGCAAACAGAAGTAAAATACCTACTATACATGTTCTTCAAAGTGCATGTCTTAAGCAAACACATGGTTAAGAACCAATTCAGCGAGTGCTAAAATAGCACAAAAAACTCTATATCTAAGGAGTACTGCATCTAAGAGCCGCCTTACAAATTCAACCTGCAAAAAGATTATCAAAGAATAAAGCCTGTTATATGCATAAGTTATAATGAACATACACTTTTCAGCTGTGTCTATTTTATTGCAGAAACTTTTCTAAATGAATAATTTCTAAAGCAGAAGGCTTTTTCTTTTAGCTCTATATTTCAATTGCATGCTGAGCATTTATTTAAAATACTTAATGCATGCTTGGAACTCAACCAAAGTGAATATAAGTATCATTTAGTAAAACTTGCACTACTCCATTTGCATATGCAAGATTGTATTAAGATAAAGCTGACGCCTTTATGCATGCATATACGCTCAAAAATGCGGTATAACAAGCCAAGTAGATTTTTCGTATACTTTTATTTCTTGTGCAAATAGCGCCCACTTCTGCAAGTTCTGCAGCAAAAATCAGCACTGCATGCAAGCGCATAGTGGCAAATACTGAGTTGGCCTAGCAAGAAGAATATTTATTTCACTTCTTTTCCGCTCTTAATTATTTCATCAATCATTAGAATTTTGGTGGATACAATAACAGCAGACTGAATCGTATTTCTAAGAATAGCATAGTTGTCTATTATGTCCATGTCCAGCGCATTTCCTATCTCACCAGTTGAAATATTAATTGTGGCATTCTCAGCCTCTGATGACTTGATCTTTGAAAGTATTTCTACTGAGTTGTATCCCAAGTTCTTTATGAGCGTCTTTGGAACTGACATAAGAGCGGCCTTCCACACACCATATGAGGTAAAATCTTCTGTTGTTGTGTTGTTTGAGTCCAGCGCTTCTGCAAGCTTATAATACGTTGAGGACCCACCTGGAAGGACAAACCCGTCAGACAGACCGCAGGAGATGGACTTTAGAGCCGACTTGACAGCACTTTCCAGATACTCCATCTGGTATGGCGAAATTCCCTGCACCAAAAGAGTGCATGTTTTGTTGAAGGGGGTTTTCTCAACAAAGGTAAACTTGTCGTCTCCAATAGAAACCTCTCGCACAAGCCCTGCGAACCCGAAAACATTTTCGTTCAGCTCCTGGATGCTTGCAACAGGAGTGCACCCTGTAAGAAGCTGCAGCCTTTCCATGTTCTTTCTTTTTGCTCTTCTTAGCGCCAATATGTTGTACTTAGCAAATATCTCGAGCGCATGCTGATCTATTCCTTTCTGTGTTATAATCATAAACTGTGGGTTCTGCTGCTGGTTTGCAATTGCAACTTTCTGGATTACCTCCAAAACCTTTTGGATCCGCTGCATAATAATGCGCCTTTCTCCCTCCTCCATTTTAAGCTTGTCCTCTGTTCTTCTGTAGTAGAACTGTGCATTGTGCTCTGGCTTTTCATACTCAAAGGAAATGTTGGTGCATAGGATAAATACATTCTGCAGCCTCTTGGGCATCATTGGGTGCCTTCCTCCATGGTCCATAACAAGCCCTCGCACAATTCGAAGCGGCTCTACTGCATCTATATCCGCCATCTTTACAATTTCCAGCATCTTTAGATCTGTCTTGTTCTGGAATCTAACGGTTTCTGCTGCAGAGACAATAATCTCAGAGTACTTTGCAGCCTGCTTTGGCGAAAACTTTGTTCGCAGCGCAGTGTGTGCTAGCTTGTAAATTGTGTCTTTGCTGTCTTCAATTGGAACCTTTAGGCTGTCTAGCGTCTCCAGAATGAACTTTTCTCTCTTGACCAGGCCTGAGATAAGCACCTGCGGGTGGACCCCTTCGTATATATACTCAAGCGCCTTGGACAGCATAGACGCAGAGAGAATCACTGCTGCAGTCACACCGTCTCCATACTCCTCTCCCTGCTGAGACACCATTTTTGACAGAAGAACTGCTCCAGGCTGCGCCAGCTGGATATTTTTTAAAAGGTTTAGCCCGTCCTTGACTAGGCGTATCTCTCCGGCCGGAGTAATTAGTAGCTTCACTGCTCCATTTGGGCCCAGGCCATTTCTGATAGTTGCGCTTAATTGCGAAATAGCTTCTGTGTTCAGAATGATGGCTTGTCCTGCCTGCGTAATTTGGGTTTCTTTGCCGAGGTATGCCATGTGAAATTACGAAAAAATAAAATGAAAGTTTTAAATAGTGCAGAATAACGAAAGGCTGCTGAATTCATTCTTGCTGAAGATATATTGCTTTGATTACTAAACAGATGGTCTAAACAAGAATAAGTATGCCAGATGGGCATGCTGTGGGTGTAAAATTAGAAGAAGCAACTCTAATAAGTATTAGCTACATGCACTTCTGCCTTATTCAATGCTTTCTGGTCAGCCAGGCATTTATTTCCTGCTGCAAATATACTGTTTTCTGCAAAAAACCCATTTGGAAAAATTCTGTATATTCTGTATATTCAAGACATAGCTTATTTTTTTAATGAAACGGATATTTATTGAATAAGATCCTGTCAGAGAGGAGACATATAAGACTATACTGTACGAGGAAAGTAGACAAAATCAACATCCATGTTCTCCCATATGGAGCCATAAAACTTTTGTGTCTTCGGCTGCAGGTTAAGAAATAGCTCAAAGCACAGATTTTCTTCTGTTCATTTGCATTTCAATTCTTTCACATACAGCATAAACCATACAGCATAAGCGAATAAGTGTCTGTACTAAATATCGCTTTTGAGGTTGGGGTAAAGTGTGAGTTTTATTGTGCTAGGGTTATATCGGGTCTATATCATTGTATATTCTATGCGGTATAAGATCTTATAATTAAAAAATATCTTGGTCTTTTACTAGTAATTTAAATTACATCTTAACAGTTGAACTATCCCCTATACTCCAAACATATTTAAGTGCTTTGAGTTTTTAATATGAGACCATATGATTTATAACAGCATATGCGAAAATCAAGCATATAGTGCTCTGGTGTAGAGACAATTACTTTCTTTCTGTTATATCGGGTTATATCAAAGTGTATTTACTCTAGTATTTGTTTTAATTTTATAATGAGTATTTGTGTATTATTTCTTCTTCTTGGGCATTTTGTATAGATGAATTTTATTCGATATGTCTGCTGCTAAATGATATTACTATTCTGCCCAACAATGCGCATAGTGCATATGTCTTCTAGAGCAGGCGCACTCTAGAATCTTATTAATGGCAAGTTTTGTTTCAATTACGAGCATCTGTCTCCCAATAAAGCCCTTTGTTTTCTATATTATGCAGGATCCATTCACTATATTTATATAAAATTAACTTATTCTGTACACCAGTTTAGTATATATATGTCATTTAAACATATATGAATACTTTTAAATCACTGGCTTTATACTTAACAGGCTTTATACTCTTCACATCCTGCGTGTTTCCAATGCATAATATTTTGTGTTTTGTCTTTTTAATTTATTTTTATGTATCCATAATTGCAGCTGTTCTATAAATAAAAGAATGCAAAGCGTAACTCTAAAAAAATAAGAAAACATTTAAGAAGACTTTCTTTTTATCAAATCAAGAAAGCCAAAAATATTTGCATCTACACAGAGCACAGGACCACTGCACAACATGAAACAAACTCCATTTCAACTCACACCCAAAAAGACAGGCGATTCGACACTTGCTGTTATGCATGTTTAGCAATGCAGAATGCATAGCTTACAATGGTTGTGTAGGATATAACATGCAAGAAAATCAGCATTCAAAGATCTCTAGTATTATAAACACACGAAAAGGCTTTATGTTTAATAAATAAAGAAACCAAATAGAATAAAAGGATATTGGTGATTCTTTTGGAGAAAGCTCTGCAGAGTTCTTTGTCTGACAGATGCATTACTGCTCTACACTTTATTAATTGGGCAGCGTGTGTGTTGGAATTTAGAGAAACGGTCTCAGATATGTGAAATCTGTTGGTTTAATTCTAGATTTTTTGTTTGGGCCTGCATTTAATAATTGGCTTATGTAGATATAAATATATCTGTAATAATATACAATAGATTATGAACATCAAGAACGAAGAGAGCAGAAGAAGAGCAGAGGGAGACTCTAGCGAAAGCATGTGTGACTACAGCATTGTAAATTCCTCAGAAGAAAGCATTTCCCCCCGTGAGGAAGGCCTCTGGAGAAATACACAAGAATCAATTCTAGGAGACAGGCCGTACATTCTGCCAAACGGGGAGATATATAAGAAGAGAGTGAGAACTGTCATGACGCCTGTTCAAAATGAATCACTTAGAAGATACTTTCAGATTAACCCCTTCCCATCATCTGAAGCCCGTCTCTCAATTTCCTCTTCACTGGGAATGCGGCCAAGAACTGTGCAAATATGGTTTCAGAACCAAAGGCAGAAAATGAAGCACGTTATTCAGGAAGAAGAGAAAATTAAAGAGTCTAGGGAGGCAACAATCTACACAGGAGAGAAGGAGGAAGAGCCATTATGGGTCTTGGCTCATCTTTCCTGCACTGTTCTAAACACCAACAATGCAATGTAAATTAAGGTTTTTCTTGCTGATATTTATCATCGTGCAGCTTCAGATCGTATAGATAGCTTTATCTGAGAGTATGCAATTCAGTAATAAATCTTTATGAATAACCATATGTTATATCTGACTTGCAAGTAAGTGGAGTTCTAGATTGTTTGTTTATGTTAGCCTTACAAAGTGACAAAGAGGATTGTTGGCTTGCTGTTTGCGCAGTTATCGTGTAAAGAGTGCTTTTTCATGCTAAATATCACTTATTCAGTGAGACATGCAGTATGAAAATTTTATCTGCGCGGTATATGAACTAGAGGGGCGTGGTGTGCAAAAAGTAGAAAGGTCATATGATACAATGTGGTATGGAGTTGCATGCAAATTGTACTATGCTGTTGTGCTTTCTATATATTTCAGTTCCAGATTAGCTCTCTGCGCTCATGAGAACTCTTCTGTTATATTTAAGGCAGCTTTTTTATTTGTAGTATAGGCATCTAATGAACTTTTTACAGACTATATATTATTCAAGTAGAACTCACAGGAGCCATCAAAGATGTACATTTTCAGGTATTTACATCTTTAAAGGAAGTGCTAGTGCACACTTGAAAATATTCGGTGAAGTAAAAGGGATTCTGTAAGACAAGTTCTCAATATTAGCAAGTGTGCACTGAAGTGCATATATTCTGTATATTAGCTCTGCTATGCGCCAACTCGGACTGGGCGCTGTATATTATTTGAAGAAATAAAGCTATGCTTTAAGACAGTATTATTTTTTTACTATAGCCAGAAGAGACTTATGCTGCTTTATGCATGCTGTGTGTTCTTCAACTGGCATAGTGCAATTGGCTTTCAACAAGATTCATTTTAATGCGAAAAAATTACCCTGCATTCAATTTGTTTTTATTTATGCCTCTCTGTCTATAGAGTAGTTTGTCAACTAGTCTTTTGCAAATATAAAAGTGTGCTTTATTCTGGGCAGATCTAAAAGCAGAAGATATGCGGTATGAGCTATTAGTAGATGAATTATGCTCTGGAGTATTGGCTGTTCTTAATTAGTTTTATCTTTTTATTTAATAAAGCACTATTTATTTATAAACACTCAGCACTGCAAATAGCACTACTTTATTGGCCATCGCATATTTTAATCAATTGTTTTCTTGGTGATGTGTATCTGTGGTGCCGTTGGTAAAATATGCTTCTTCTGCTACTAGCCTCACTGGGGGAATAGCGCATGCAAAAAGAGGAGGGTGCAGAATATGAAACATTTAAAAACACCAAACACTCTGAAACCATGGATTATCTTATAGCCTGGATAAATGTTTGTAAATATGCGCAGAGAAGAGCAGGAGTACGAATATCTATACAAGATAGTTTTGATTGGAGACAGTGGAGTAGGAAAGACTAACCTTTTGGAAAGGCTGGCCCATAACAGATTTAACACAAACACGAAGTCCACCATTGGCGTAGAGTTTGACACAAAGTGCTTTGTTGTAAACGGGAAGAAAATAAAGGCGCAGATCTGGGATACTGCAGGGCAGGAGAGATACCGCGCAATTACATCTGCATATTACAGAGGAGCTGTGGGGGCCATTGTGGTGTACGATATATCCCGAAAGGAGACCTTTGACAACGCAAGGACAGAGTGGATAAAGCAGCTGAAGGACAACTCAGAGAGCGGCCTGGTCATTTCCTTGGTTGGAAACAAAACCGACCTAAATGAAAAGCGGCAGGTGTCTCTGCAGGAGGCTAGGGAGGCAGCGCAGATAGGGGGATACCAGCTAACAGAAACATCAGCTCTTTCGGACGTAAATGTGCAGGAGGCCTTTGAAACCCTTATACAGAAAATATACCAAACCCGTGCTGGAGAGAGACACAGCGCACCAAAGCAAGACATTATAAACCTAGAGGACGATGCAGCAATGAAAGCCTCAAACAGCTGGTGCTGCTAATTTTTTATTCAAATGGGAATGCCAAGCAAAAAAGACCCGCAGTGTGCGCGGAGAATGTCGGTGGGCACAGTAGAAAGCCAGGCGCTAGATATAGCAAACATGCATGCATACTTTAAAGAGCGCCCTGCGCTGGTTGAAAGTGCGTTTCACGAGTTGGAGAAGATTTCTAATGACCCAGTAGTAAAGAAAATAAACAGAAGGCACTCTGATCAATTTCGAGCAGTAGAGACCAATAGGCTATTCTCTGAGATGGAGAACAATCGAAAGCTAAGGATGATACATAAGTTCCAAAAAGACCATGTAAACATATCAAGTATAACAGATAAGTGGAGGGAGGTTCTTCTATGTGCATTTGAAGACCTTGTAAAGTATACAGAAGCAAAGCCAATAGAGCTTTATAAGGGATTCCATCTTAAGACAATACACGTAGACAAGGAGGAGGTAGGAATATACAGTGAATACGAATCAGAGACAGAAGAAGAGTAAAGCAGAAGTATGTGTGTACTTTAGATACCCGCTGGTCAAATAAAGAAGTTACGCAAAGCATTCTATTTATTTATGAGTTTATCTGCATCTTTTATAAGGGTTAACTAGTACAGAGTGAAAAACTGCAGCATTGATTTGAAGAAAGGTCTATATTAGACATACACATGCATGGCAGAAAGAAAAATTGGTTGGTAAATATACGATTAGTGTTTATAGACAGCAGCGTGGAGTACAGAAAACTAGCAGATGATTTCTGTTTTCCTAGTGCTTTTGTATTGAGTGGTAGGGATATATACTGGCTTCTCATTTAATCATGCCTTGTATCTGAGCTAGTAGCACAGGGCACGTGGTTCTCTGGTGCAGCGTCTTGTGGGTCGCGGTTTTCTTTTATGCTGTCAAGAAGAGATGACTCGTTCATCTGCAGGAAAAAAAGAAAGGATCTGATGCACTCGCCCATGTACTCCATGTGTTCTCTGCTTAAGTTCAGCGTAGGCTGGACTCGCCTCATAATAAGAAGCATTCGGAGAATATGCGTAAGCCCGTACGTTTGCAGAATTTTCGTTGTTTTTGGGTACAAATACTCCTCGTAGAATGCCCTTTCCTCTTTATACAAAATACATGTATGTACGCAGTACAGGAATACCTCCTTGAATCCTTTTAATATCTCTTTTATCTCCTCAACCGACTGCTGTTTTATATACACTTCAGAGTTGTAGAACATTGTGAATATTTCGTCTGCAGAAAGATTGACTGCAGGAGGCTCTTTGTACAAGGGCATTGTCTCTTTCTCTTGAACAAGAAGCTCCTGAAATGCGGAGGAAAGTGTTATCTTGGGCCAAACAATTTCAAGATCTGTCTCTTCGCTCATTATAGAAGTGTCAAGTGTTTCAAGCGCGGCCAAAGATACCCATTTTATAAGACCTGCTGCGGTTTTCACCTTGTATATTGTAATGGTGTTTGCGGACTCCGTTGCTTTTTCCTTTTTTTCTAGAATTATGCCTATTTCCTTCTGTGTATTTGTTGTAATTAGGACTTTCTTTCCTTCCGTTAGTATTGTTTTTGCGGTCTTTTCATTGAACATACTAATGCAAAATTTTTATTCTCTTCCTGCTAGTTATATCATGGTTTGCCTACAAAATATGTTGTATTATTACTGTCTGTAAATTCAGGGGTATTGACAGTGGCCCAAAAAGCTTTATGACGCGTGTGAGTTCGATGGAGATGCATGCAGAGCAATTCCAATAGGATGGGTTCTTTGGAAGCACGCGGCATTTGCTTAAAGGAAAGCTTCTGTAATGTAAAAGACTGTGCATTCTATAGTGTATTTTTTTGAGAATTAGCAGCGTATAATCTGATTCTGCGCAGTATTAGCACTTTATTAAGGAAGTGCACTAAGAGAGACAGCTATTGTATTTGTAGAAAGTTCTTTAAGTACACTTTTTAAAAAGTGTTAGACACACTGTGTAGTTAGTAGTATAGGTATTTAAAACTGTAAGAATTAAAATTTCTGCTCTTCAAGAAGTGTCAGAGAGGCAGAAGGCAGTGAATTTAATGCAAGTCATGGTATGTGCATGGAGAAATTGTAAAAACTCAACTATTAAATAGTTCATTTTTAATTTAACTTTGACCGTTTATGCCAAATAGGCATGCTAATTAATTAATTTCTTGATGCACGCATCAGCACCTCTATTCTATTGCTGCCACCAATAAACGTGCTTTTTAGATGATAGCCAAAGCATGCAACTCCCAGTGTAGGGATAACCAATAACTTTCATTTATATGGGGTTTAAAATGCAGCTATTTTTGGATATTGCAATGTGGTTGGTTTCTTCTATAACTTCCAGGGGCGTAAAGACAATTGGTTTATTTTAAAGATCACTTAATTTGTTTATCTTAAGAGAAATTCTTATTTGTAGATTAAGACTAATTAATCACCTTTATTTGGTGTGATTTGTGTGCTGGTGATTGGGTAAGAAAATTATTTATATATATACTAAAATCTGCAAACACCATTATGAATAATCAGAACAGTTTAGAATCAGAAAAACCTACTAGCATGGAAAGCAGCCAGGGTTCCTCTGCAAATTCAACAAATATAGAAATGAGTTCTATTGCAGAGGGAGAGAAGTCTTCCGGCATTCTTATGAAGATGGACAAGTACGAGAGGGTTACAGAAAAGGGAGTGCCTCTTCTCAAAAGAGTTTCTTTTTCTCTGCCAGAGGGGAAAATGACAGCGCTGCTTGGTCTGAGCGGAGATGGAAAGTCTACGCTAATGGACGGAATGGCAGGGCTGTGCAGTCCCTCGCACAAAACATACGGAGAGGTGTACGTTAAGGGGAAGAGCGGGGTGCTTGAGAAAAGAAAGGCAGAAGAGTGGTTCAGCCGGGTGAACTACACACAGCAGAGCATGATTGAGTACAAAAAGATCCCAGCGTACGATGTTCTGTGCTCAATTGCAAAGTGCTATGGAAAGAACGAGCAAGAGGTAGACGACTACATGTCGATGCTGAGAATCTCAAAGGTGAAGAAAGTGCATTTTAACAACCTGTCTGGGGGTGAGCAGAGAAGAGCCATGGTCATTGCAGGGCTGCTTGCACAGAAGGACTTGAATATATGGGACGAGCCACTGACAGGGCTAGACTCAGAAATGGCGCGTGTGATTCTTTCCATGATGAAAAAGTCACAGAGCACAAATTTGGTGACCGTGCACCAGGTGTCAGAAGACCTGATGAGGCGGTTTGACCATGTGATTCTTATGCACAAGTCGACTATTATATACTCAGGACCAGCAGAAGAGATAAAGAAGTACTTCGCAGACAAGGGAATAGAGTTTCCCGCAGACGCATTTTATGTGAACTATCTGATGCAGCTCTGTGCAGAGAACAGCGACAATCACACGGATATAAAGAACATTGAGATATTCAACACACTGGCAAATGAAATTGTTCACTCGCCATGTGGAGAGAAAGCTGGAGAAAACATTAAGTTCCTGCCTCTACAGTTAAAACTATCCTTCACAGGAATTATGGAAATACTTAAAAGATCGCTATATATGGATAGGTTATTCAAAGGGAGCTCTGTTATTGGAAACTTACTATTTCCATTGTTTTTAACTACAGTAGGATCGATTGCTTTCATTTTATTTATAAACCAGGCATGCGGGCCAAAAGAAAACAGAAGCCCCATAGAAAAATACTACTATTCTGATCAAGCATTGTATTATCCAAATGTTCTCTACTTATTTAAGAAAAAACTAAGTGAGTCGCCAGATGTGGATGCACTGTTTCTGAAACAGGTTAGCGCTATACATACAGTAGTTGCTAACATTGGATGGGTCTCCATTCTTTCAAAGTTATTTAACTCTGCTCTCTTTTATGGAGGATCTATTGGCTGTTTAATGGTTCCAGGCAGCTTCTTGGTTATAGAGTTCTATAAGCTATGCAAAACCAGTATAGCAGCAAAGCAGTTTAAAGTGGGAGACTTTATGGGCGCGCAGGTTGTAGATATTATTGTTAGAAAATCATTTGTTCTATGGGTCATTTTGATGGCTCTCTATTTTGTGGTATATCGTATAGTAGATCCAAATCTGCTGAGTGCAACTACAATTGGACACTTGCTTCCTATGACTATTTTAGTTTTCTCTGTCTTGCTGATGGGCCTGCATGCTGTAATGCTTCACTATGCGCCTATTACACTGAAGCTATTTGGGCTATTTTCAGGTTTATACATATTGATTACACAAGGAATTCCAGGAAAATTCTATAGTATAGCTAGTACTTTACAAAATCCATATGGGCATGTACTTAGTATAGATGAATGCATCAGTATATTTACCAAAGAATCAGTGGATGAACTGATCAAAATGGTAAAAAGCACTGAAATGAGCGATGAAAAGAAAAAGTTAGCCAGTTTAGGACTTAACATAGCAGTTAAAATGACAAGATTCTTTATAGTATGCGATCCCTCGCTGTACTTTTCGCAAATTCTGGCAAAGGTTTCGCTATACAACAATAAGATTACAATTGACTCAGAATTAGCAAAAACAATTAACGCTAAGGTAATCACCAGAATTGCTGAGGGAATAGAGGCCATGGGTGGGGAAGAAAATGAAAGTGACCAGGATCATAAATTTAGTACAGATGGTTCAATGGGTGCGCATTTAACAAAATACTTGATGACTGCTTGCTTGGACAGAGCGCCAAATGAGGTGTTTAACAATTCAGTTTCTCTGAAAAAAATCTCTCTTTTCCATATTGGGTGGAGTGTATTGAGATTTTGGCTCTTACCTATTGCACTATTAGCACTAACTGGCCTATACACATACAGATTTATGCTGCCCAAGCTAAGAAACTGATAGGATACTATGATAGAATAAATCACACCAGATACTACAATATTATATTTTATGTATGTAAACAGCATGCACATTTTTTTATACTTTAAATATTGTGCTAGGGCATAGAATGCGCTCAGTGCGCTATAATTGGTCTATACTCGGCTGAAAGTTCAATTAGTTAGGAGATTGAGTATTCTATATGCTATTATAACTGGAAATGTATAATCCAGTTGTTAAATTCCTAGTACGTGCATGTAACAAAGAAAGCAGTCATATTGTGTCTGTGTAGATTGTCTAGAGAATGGAGTCACTGCAGGCTGCATTATTAAATATTTTGCAAAATTTATAAAGAACTGCTATTCTACCTAGGTGTGTAGAGCTGTAGATTTTTATAGAAAGAGTTGCTTTTCAACAGCTGAAATGTTCTAGAGGGTTATATAGGATATATTAGGCCAATTTAGTCTATAAGTATAGGAAGATTCTTAGTAAGAGTAATTCAAGAAATATGCTGAATTAAGTGATGCACAGTATATACATAGGATTTTGGCATTTAATAGAGACATAAGCGTACATAGATATTCTGCACTTAGACCCGGAATGAATTTGAGCCAATATGGAAGAAATTGGTTTGCTAAGTTTACTATACAAAAAGCACTTTGACATTGCAGAAGTTCTAATCCTCCTATATAATCAAGACTTCATCCAGACTATACCTTTACAGAACATAGTAAAAAGCAGGGTCTGGATACTTGCATATTTTAATTGAGGATTTTAAAGTGTGTGAGACGTGCAGCTTATACAAATGCAAAAGTGTAAATGCATTGCGTTTGGGGTTGCACTACGGTGCTAGAGAGACTTTATCTAGAAATGCTTACGCATGAATTGTGCAAGCAGTTCATCTTCGTCCTAGCTCAGTATAGGCCTGTGCAGAAAGTAGGTCTGTCTCTATTTATAGAGGATATGTTGTATGCTATTGCAAATGAATCTGCAGTAAGTCATAGATTAAAGCACAAGAAGCACAACATGCATAGTTCTATAAAGAAAAGCACGCTATGCATCCATGTGCAAGTCTATTTCTGTGCTTAGAACTGTATTTTGGCTAGAAATAAAAACGGCTAAATATGCATAACTTGCTCTTTTTTGCCTAGAGTGCCGTGTGCAGGACTGTTCATAGAGAAAGAAAAGAAAAAAATTATAAATATTTTATATTTAAGAAAGAGTTCAACTACTTATAACTTGGGAGTTGACCAAGCATATAACCCAAATTCTATGAAAGCACCAATTAAAATACAGACACAATAAACAAAAATATTCTCTAGGAGGAAACAACACCTCCTAAGAGCAGCCACATTTAGTAGACAGAGCATATGTACATCCATTTAAAGGATGTTTTAAAGACAGTTTAAAAAGTTGAAGATCTTAATTTGATAAAGTGTATAAGATATAAAGGATTAAGCATGGGCCTATTGTAGAGCTAGTATGTGTGTTATTTATATTTGATCTATTATATCTTCTTAATTAATATTTGTTATTTTTTTATTTTAAAAATGTTCCTTTAAATAAAAACGAGAATGCACAAACTAGAAGTAAACGCATGTAATTGGTGGGGAATTTAGGGGTGATGCTATAAGAAAAATTTTTATTTTCATAACGAAATGCGCGCACAGCCAACATATAATGAAAATACAAACAACATTAGCGACAAACACAACACAAAGCCATTCCATTCAAAAATATTATCAAGAAAGGGAAGAGGGCTGGAGGATGATAAGTGGATTGGATCTGCAGTAATGGAGAACGTGGAAGTGCTAATTTTGGACGAAAATCAATTAAGCACGCTGCCAAACGGAGTGCTAGCTCGATGTTTTCCAAAGCTGAAGGTGCTGAGCATGAAGAACTGCAGCGTGGGAAAGCTGAGTATTGAAGCGCTCTCGCACCCAGTGCTTGAAGTACTTGATTTGCAAGGAAGCAAGAATCTGACTCGGCTGTCTGTGTGGGAGGAGGAGAGCAAAGACGTCTCTCTGGTTGGGCTGCCCTCTCTGCAAATACTGAATTTACTTGACACAAATGTTTCCATGCTGGACCCTATGTGGTTCAACTACATGCCAAACTTGCTCTGGCTCCACATGCACTGCGAGAATATATGCGGTGGGTGCGGCTTTGGATTTTTAGGGGTACTTGACGTTCTTCAGTGTTTGAAATTTACTGGTATAACTACAGGGGCATGCCTCTCATGCAAAACAGAGAACCATTCAGCAGGATTTTCCACTGCAATTAAGTTCTCAATATATAACATGGTGTGCAATATGTCCTCTCTGGTTACCCTAGACCTTTCTGGAAGAAACATGAACATTGACTACTTTATTTTCCATGCACCTTTGCCCTACTTAGAGGGCCTTCGGATGCAGGGAAAGCTAATGCGGGACATGAGCTTGCGGGATTGGCCAGGCATTATAAAAACAATTAAGCATCTATCACTAGGAGTTATTGATGACTCAGAGGAGCAGAGTGTCCAGAAAACACAGGGAGAGGCCACGTTCTACGCAGAGAAAATTCTGGAGGCCTCAAATTTGGAAAGCCTTTCCTTTGACTGCGAGACAGTTCGAAGAATTAAGTTTTCTTTGGGAACCAGAAAAGTTGTGTTTCCGTATCTTCGGCACCTCACGATTAAAAACTGCGACCTGCGCCCTCTTACCTTTTTTAACAAAGAGAACGCACCAGCTCTTGACAGCCTAGAGATAATTAGCTGTTCTTTCACAGAGGGGTATTTCTACACAATTAAAAAGCGGCTGGGGAACAGGCTAAGAAGCCTCCGCATTGGAATCGAAAAAATGGATGCGCCTCAGGCAATATATGATCTGTTTACTTTCATCAGAAGCCACAAAAACCTGGAAATTCTTCATTTATCTGTGTGCGACACAATAACAGAGTCTCAGAGCTTCTATAAGTACTTTAGCGACCAGCCCTCGCTAAAGGAGCTCTATGTCATTGGTAAGATGAGTATCCAGCGCATGAAGAGGTTTTTGTATCAGCTTGGGCGCTGCAGCTCTCTTACAACACTTCTTTTGGACATAGAAGACCCGTGTCTTGTTCTATCATATTTCTATCCAATTCGCAGCTTGCACTTTCTTTCTTTGAAAGGAACCTTTAAGAACCACTCAAACTTCTTTGTAAACCAAAGCACAACACAGGATGACTTTGCAAAGATCTCTGAAATGGGGCTGCTGCAGGTCCTTGATGTATCATACTGCGGGCTTACGAAGTTTCCGGCGTCTATTCTGCCGCACTTGATGTCGCTGCGATATTTGTACTTGAACAACAACCATCTTCATGATATGTCAGAAAGCATGCTCTCCTACCTGGCGTCGATAAAAGAAGAGCCTCTTTTTATTGATATATCCAACAACCCAACCGATATAAACAAGATAGAACAAACTATATGCAACAACACTTGGCTTGGAGTATCTGGGTATGTTTTATACTGATGTCTTCTCTATATGCAATAAATATCTCCTATAGTACTGCATTCGCATTTATACGCTCTCAAGCACATACTCAAAGTTGCTGGGAGACTCTTCTTTATTATGCACCCAATGCAGCACAGCCCGTTTTTTACACCAGATTCTTTTTATATTTTATTTCTATTTCTCACTGCAGCGCATACTTTCTAATGTAGCATAGTGAGAATAGAAATACTTACTCAAAAAACTAAAAGAAATTTTGGTTCTAACAACTCACAGAACTGTGTGCAAATGTGAATTTGAAAAGATAGGCTGCACATCGCCTTACAAGTATTAAATCGAATATACTTCTTTGCAATAGTGTAGCACAAAATCACTGAGTTTTAAATTCTTTACTCTCTACTTGCAATGCAAAAGCTTGCCAGTAAATATGCGAGCAAGAAATTGTTCTTAAACTACTAGACTTAGACACATTAAAAATTGAACATAATAACAGTATGCATTTATATTGCAGACTTAACGGGAATATGCCCTCTAGACAGACAAATTTGCAAATATCCAAGAAGACACTGCTATTTTCAGCTGTGACATAGGAAAGCTCCTAGAGCGGTGGAATCCAGATAGAAATACATGTTATTTGCTCGGTGAAGATTGAATTTTTGATTTGCTTAAATTAGCTAAGCAATTTCATTCTATTTAAATGATTAAAGCTAAAAAATATTTGATTCATATAATGAAGAGGTATTACGCGCGGAAAAATACGCTCTACGCGGATAAGTGGTCTAAACAAAGGCATTTGTTAGTATTGGGGATGATGATTCTTGGAATAGCTGCATCGGTGAATATAGAAGAAAATAGTTTTTTTTCAGATTCAAGAAGAAAAAGCGAGACCCCTTTAAACAGGACAATTCGCGTTCTAAAAAGAGAGAATGACAAAATAAACACAGAGACCATTAAATTCAGCATAGACAACAACGGAGCTCTTGAGATGCAAAACCCAGAGGAAGGATTAATCACTGTTACTCTCTCAAAGTACTATGACATAAAGAATGACATATTTGACTTTGAGGATGCTCTCAAGTACACTAGCATAACAATCGACGGGAGTGGGGAGGGCGATAGCAAAGCACGGGGAGAGCTGTGCATGCAGTTCGTGCATGCGTTTAGGAATGCAAAAGTAAAGACTCTTCAGATAAAAGGCATTAAGATTAACAAAGAAGATCTGCCCGCTATAAACACTTCCAAGAACACAGTGCTTCCTATTTACAACACAACGGTGGAAAAGATAGTTTTCTCTGAAGTGAGCAACTGTCTGGCAGAGCGCATACTAAGACATTATAGCTTCTGCTCTCCAGTTGAGCTGGTGTTAGATACTAAAGAGCCCGTTTCATGGGATACTCTTTTGGCAATATCTAGAAACAAGCAATACAAGAGAATTGAGATTGGGAAGCTAGCAAGCCTTTCCATGCTAACAGAGAAAAAAATTAAAAGTCTAGAGAAAATACTTGCTTGCTTGGTTGTTAAAGAGCTCCCGCGGCGCAACCATGCACAGCTCCAGCCGGAAATCAAGCGTATATTTGAAAACAGCATGGGGTATTCATCTCATGTAACAGTCCAAATGTATAAGCAGCTTAGACATTCAGCTCTATCCCTACCTTCTGATGGCAGTGATCTAGAGCTATTTGTAGAAGGCGGCCTCAGAGACTTTGACATAGACGTAGATGAAAACACGCCAGTTCTGGGGGAGAGCACGCAAGCACTGTGTGAGGCAGAAATGCAGGAGCTGTTGAAAGACAACAGATCTGTGTCTATATCCCAGTCTTACTATACAAGCCTTCCGTCTGCTTCTAGCAATAGAGTGATATTAAGGTTTATGGAAGAGACACCGATTAACTCTGCTATCCTTAGAAAAATCTTTATATGGATTGGGAATAACATGAAGACAGCCTCAAGTGTAACGATACACAATGTAAAAATGACAAGCGTGCTGGAAGAAATTTTGGGGTCTGTGCGGGTATGCATAAACTCAATGCAGCATCTAAAACATCTATACATCGTGAGCGGGGGCGCAAAGAAAAGAAAAATAGAGCTACGAAATACCAGCTATCACGACATTTTAACCGCATCGAGAACCTTTGCGATTAACAATAATACATGCACAACAGGATTCCCTGCAAGCGTGTATATTACGGGAAAAATGAAACTTAAACAGTCCCAAGTGCTGGAGAGCGGAAGTGAAGAAAACATAATAAAATACCCTGGAGAAGCAACTGACGCTATAAGTCTTTGCTCAGTATGCATTCTAGGTGTGTTTGTAAACGAGACAGCCCAAAATAGAAACAAAACCACAATGGATTATCTGTCAATCCAGGAGATCGAAGGCATGACGTGGAAGGACTTTTTAGAAAGTGAAAATAGAAACTTTATTGAGGCCCATTTAAAACACGCATACTCAGTTGATTCAGAGAATTCTATAACTGAGAGAGACTTTTATAAGATGGTAAAGCACTATTGCAACATGCCTATTATAGTCTTCCCAATGTGCAAGCATTCTGTTTGTGCAAAGTGTTTGTCTGCAGGGTACATGCATATGCAGGAAGATGATCACTTGAATTTAGAAAGGCACAAACTCATTAAAATTAGGTGCCCAGCATGCCGTGAGGTTAATATCATGTCCACGTACTTCCACTATCCAGTGTGTGTAACAAGTACATACAAAATCCCTGACTCACATATATACCAGGTTGAAAAATCAGCAACATCTGGGAACTTAGCAAAGAACTATGTATTCTACGCATGCGAAGGATTTAGGTCTGATGAGTACTATAGAAAGTTTCTTCCGTACTCAGTAAAGACAGATGTAGTTATTAAAATACCTGGTCATGATGAAAACTCTGTTTTTAGCGCACCAAGCAGCTCTCGAGCTCTCAATGTCTAAGAAGAACATACTTTTCTGCTGGAATATGCTTCTAGTGGGGTTTATAAAAACTTGGATTTTTCTTCTAGAGAAAAAGCACTGAGTTACTGAGGATTATGCATTTATGTCACTGCAAAGAGAGGTAGTCTTTTTAAGAGCTGCCTGTGATGGTACTGTATACCCGAATCTTCCTAATAATTTTATAGTATGCTGGGACCAGCTTTTATTTGTGCAGCACGTGGTGTAAAAGAGCCTTTAAGTTAAAAACTAAAAGAAAAGTAGCCACATAGAGCTGTCGTATATGTCGCAGAAATATGTAAATATGTGTATTGGAATGTAAAGTTAGTGTAGCGGTATTCCTATTTCTGCCCACCAGGCATGCCATCTTGTATATCCATACTGACCCAGGGTGGTCTATAAAATCTGAGACTAGTGCACTGCTGTATAGCAGTAGTAGAACTTGCTAAATAAAGCTCGTGCCAAAATGACCTAGATAAGTAGCCCGATATATATGCAGGTGCCCTCTAATAAAGCGGTTTTTCTTATTCATCATATAATTTATTTATTGTTGTCTATTTATAGACCTCTAAACAGCTACTATTGATGCGATCCCATAAGAATAGAGCCTCATTAATATTAGATGGAAAGTAAAAGCACGTGGCATTATATCTGATCGTTGTGATTATTGCCTTTTAAATAAGCAGCGCCTCATGTAGTGTGTTGGCCTACATCCAAAGTAGGGAGGAAGTGGTAAATTAAATACATGGGAAAGAACAGTATGTAAAAGAACCCGAAAATACGTACAGTATAATCTGCGCTCCTCCGAAGGCTTACAGCCTGCAAGTTTCCACTGCGAAGAATAAAAAAACATAACTAGAGTCGCTCCCACATAATAGACTTTGTTTTGTGGTTTTGTGTATATTTATTTTTCTGGAGCTGCAAGACTTATAGACAACTGTTGGCTGGTAATATGCACTTACAGCAAACAGAATGGCTACTAGTAAAAGAGGGCCAGAGAGTGTGACAAACTTGAATCACTCAATTACTGTGATATAGCCCGAATTACTTCTTGAATATTAGACTTGGATACACTAAATTTAGATGCAATTACTTTTTGTTGACATATATGGTTCTTGTGTTGTTATTAATCATTTTATGTTTAATAAAAACAAACATAGGATAAAAAAACAGATGAAAGTCTGACAAATATTGCTAACAACATAAGACCATCAAAATAAGGATGTGTAAACAAAAAGAGCATCTTGTAGCGTGCTGATCTTTAATAAAGGCCTGGAGAGGCAGTAGCAAATCCATACTCTATCCATTGCTGATCCAGAAAGAAGGTCTTATGCTTTCAGAGAAGAGAAATTTAACAATGTAAAAAGTAGAGTCCCTTATTATAGCATTCTAGCTCACAAACAAACCCGGATACATTCCTACAAACATACATCTATATTTAGGATTCAGAAAAAGGGCGGCGCACCCTCAATACAGATAAGCCTAGTAATCATTTAAAATCCTTGCCAGACCAGTAAACTGTACTCTTTGTGGATGGGTGATAGTATGCATGCAGCTCTGTTTTGGCTTGGCATGCCATGTGGGCATGGAAGTAAAATAAAAATCATTGATTAAGATAACCCGAATCAAAGATGCATATCTAAGAAATATATATATAATGCAATTGATTTAAACCCAGATATGTTTTTGTATAAGAAGATAGAAGAAGGGATGGTCAACAGAAGGAAAAGAGCACTAAAGAGCCATTTGTTTTTGTTTGCCGCTGTTATGTGTATCTCTAGGCTTGGAATGTATTTAGCAGCAAGCGCGCCACTGGAAGAGACCATAGAAAGGCAAAGCATAGAAAATATCAGCAGAACATGTGAAAGTAGCACATTCAAAGACGATCAAGAGAGCGAAGACGTGAAGAAAAACATACATGCGTCTCCCTGCGTAGATGGTGTAATTTACAAAACCGAAGTGTTTATGAACATAGATCCTTCGCCGCCTCAGAGTACAGGAACCAATGACAAAAATATAAAAGAAAAGTGTTTTAAAGCAGAAAATGCGAAGATAGAAAACCTCATAGCAGCAATAGAAGCTAGCCTCTCTGAGCATGCAGAGAAGTGTAGTGGTCTGAAGAAAAAAATAAATATACACGAGACTGCGCAGGAAGAGAATTCAAATGAGAATACAGCAAATGCAGTAGAGTCAGAAAGTGCACAGGCCTCTAGTGGCATATCAAGTGAACAAGCACTTAGCAAATTACAAAAGGCTGCGGATAGACTATACACAGATAAGGAAAACCTCCTGCCAATTGTAGCTGCTGAGTATGAAAAGATAAAACTAACAAAAAAGAAGATATTCAGAGAACTAAAAAGTCTTTATACAGAGTACTGTGCGTACATGGAGCAGAAAAAAGAAATCCAGAAAAATATTAATGACCACTTTAAGGAAAGCAAATATATGAATAAAATGAAGGAATGCGAGTATAAAGACTATGAGGCACATCTGAACAATCTAACCATAGTAGATCTAAGTATAAAGGAGTTGAAAGCTGATATTAAGGAGATTAAACTTGCAATCGAGATAGGCATTCAGAAATGCACACGCTATAAAATGAACAATGAAAACAAGGAATTCCGCTGCCTTAGCCATAAGAAATTCATAGAGTATATAGATACGTGTTATACACCCACAATGAACGCGCGCAATTACCAATGCTATAAAACATGGGAATTCAATAGGCAGGTATGGATGCGGGAGAAAATACAGTATTTATTAAGAAAGGCGGAATTAAAGCATGTAGTCAAAACAGAAAAGTCAGAAGAGGCTGTGTCTATAGCAGAAGCTGCAAAGGAAATGCAAAATCAAAATAAAAAAGAGGCAAAGAAGATTACAGATGTTTCAGAGGCGATACTCCAACTTTATATTCTAAATGAGCAGATTACTTTAAATGATAAACTGCTATCCCATTTGATACTTAATACCAGGAGAAGCGCTGCAGAAGAGACAATGTCAACGGAAGAGGAACAAAACTGTGCAAAGGACCGCCATTCGCCTTTTTTCTTCGATGTTGAAGAGCAAGAAACGTCTGTATAATTCCAAGCCCGGGTATATCTTAAGTCCAGGCGCGAATAAATTTGGGTTATAGTGTAGATATGCATGTGCTAGATTGCATAGTAACAGGATGCATTTAGCCACGCGTAGTTCCGGCGCGCTCGACTTGGGTTTTCGAATTGTTTTGTTATAGTGGAAAATCTGTCTTTGTAGTGCTTTTTACAGGCACCTCCACATGATTGTTCTACTACACTCGGGGTATATTATGGAAATAAATAAGAGCTTTAAATTTTATGTTAGTGCAGCTAAGAAAAGCTATTGAAGGACAGGCTGTGCACTTTACATATTTTAAATGGAGAGTGCATTCGAGATTTATTATTTGAAGGAGAGCGTCCATTAAAATCTTCCACGCATTAGTAATTACACATTAGTAAATATGTATAGGCTAAATAATAATTATAAATATGTATATTTGTTTTAAATAAAACTCAATTACATTCTGGGTGATTAATTTACATGTAAACAGATCTCCATATAAACAAACAAAAGGATTATCTATATAAGGACTTTGCATTCAGATAGCATTAGCAAAAATGATTTGGTTCGCACAAACAAGAATATTGAAGATAAGCATAGTTGTTGTGCTAGTAGGCATTGTCTCTTTATTAGCGGCTTTAGCATATATAAACCAAGGCGCACTATGCAATATAGTAAAAAATAATATGGATGAAAGAATCCTAATGACTGTACACACTAATGGGAATGAACCTTCATCCAGTAAAGATCCTGTACTAGAACTTGAATATTCGTCTGCATCTGATTCCTCTAGCTACGGTAAACAGTCGAAAGGCAGTGAGAAAGACTTTAAAGATATGGCAACAGATTCAGAAGGCAGTGTGGGATATTCAGAAGGCAGTGTGAGAGATTCGGAAGATATACAAACAGATTCAGAAGATGTGCGAACAGATTCAGAAGGCAGTGTGAGAGATTCGGAAAATATACAAACAAATTCAGAAGGCAGTGAAAAAAGGGCAAAAACCCCACCAGTACAGCCAGGAAGTAGTAAAGAAGAGATAGGAACACCATTAGTAACTATGCGTTCTAATGCAAGAGCAATTAATGCTTTGAGAACAAACCTAGCTAAACCCTCATGTAATAAAAATATACCACCTACAGATGAAAGCACTGACAAAGATCAAAACTTAGAACACCCTCTTCCCATACCACAGAAATTTATAAAAAAACAGCTGAACAGCATGTCAGAATTCAACTTACAGGAATTTAATATGGATGTGGTGCTTTTAAAAAATAAAGAAGCAGAGCTATCTGACATACAAAAAGAGTTAGACAAGGCCTTTTCAAAATACTCTGAAGATAAATCCATTATTGATGATGTGATTAAATATACTAAAAAGGCCGGGTCTATAGCGGATATAGGTGATTGGGTAGAAAAAAAAATGTACAAGATACATGAAAAAATACTAAAAGGAAGTAATGAGATAAATACAATAAGATACCTAGCCAATCAATGCTTGTTAAGACATGATGAGCAGAAAAAATTGCTGGATATGCTAAAGCCCAAAGAGGAGACAGAAAGTGAAAAAATATGTAGCAGCCAAGAGAACATAGTGTATGATTTAAAGACCGAGAAATTAGAATTCTACGACGAGATCATACAAATGGTTGATGCATATATGGAATTGAATAATAAGAAAATAGAGTACGCAAGCCTTGTAATACAGAGAGAATCTATCCTATATGAGTTAGCCTTGGAGAAAAGTAAAAAACTTTCTGAAAAAATGGAAAAAACACATAGAACATGGTTAGTAGAAAAATTTAAGTCGAATTATCTTGCCGCCATGACTTTTCATGTTAAAAGAATTTTGAAAAAACACCAAGATATAATTAAGGATATGGAAGAATTCAGAATATACGCTGATTCTATACTGAACCGGCAGGGTTTATATAAAAAAGAAGTAAACGAGATAAGATCAATTATCTTTCAAATGCAGAAGCTTCAAGAAATAGAAAGTAAGCGAGACTTTAAATGGGACCCTGTGTATGTAAAATACACACAGGAAAATACAAAAGCAATCACAGCCTATAGAAATGATGTGGATATCCCGATTATGTTAAGAAATTCGGATTCTAAATACGAGAAAGTCAAAAATGATATAGCTTCTGTGAGGGGACAGTATGATAAATGTGCAGATGCACTTGCAAAAGGCATGAAAAAAGACTATGTAATGATTCAAGGTTTCAAACAGATCGTAGAGGAAAAATGGGCTATTTATAGTAATAAAAAAGAAAAGCTCCTTAAATTAAGTTGGTGTGTAAAAAAATTAAAAGATAACAATATAAAAATGCATGATATAACCCGAAAGCTACATGAATTGATTGAAAAAAACAAACTAGAGCATTCAAATTACATTAAAGAACACAAAGCAGCAGTAGACGGGATTTACAACCATTGGATGGAACAAGAACTTAGTTATCGGCGCGAAGAAAAAAATTGTAATAACCCGGCTACTAGTAATAAGTTTCTAATTATATCTTCTAAAATAGATAATATATGTAAGGCCAGAAATAATATAGAAATAGATCACATGAACATGATTAAAAATAACAAAATAACAGTGGATATTTTATATAAAGATCATCCATCATATAAAGATTACCTCAACTATATTAAAGCCATAGCAACTTATGACAAAAATATAGCAGAACTAGATCTAAGTTATATGGATAGTTTAAAGTCTAAAACAAACATAGCGATTCTTATAAAAGAAAAAGATGCTGCGCGCGCAATAGATAACTCAGGATTATATTCTTCGAATGAATACACTATCAAAGCATACGAAAACCACATAAGATATATAGAAACTTGCATGGATTATATCAAGGAGAGATGCGACTATCTGAAAACATATATAGCCCGACTAAATAATATGCTTGTGGATGATGACCCGCCCTTATTTTTATATATGTATACTGAAGCTACTACGAAAAAAGAAGTAGATAAAGAAGAAGATATGCTACATATGTTAATAAAAGAACTAAAAGATAGACTTGAGGGTAAGCGTTAAGCAGGCAGTAGGATAGAGAAAATGTAAAATGACAGTAGCATGCTTTCGCTTCTATACAATCAGAATGCATATATGTATGAGCTATCCAGAATTTTCATTGTTTGGATCAATGGAAGCGTTAGTTTCTTACAGGATGTTATTTCAAACTTTAATACTTAGTAAAAATAAATTTTTCTAAATAACTTAGGTTTCAGTTATTCACTACAGCATAGCCAGTAGACTAATCTTTGGGTGGAAACACCTGGTTTTAGCAATGCCATGAATGCTGGGCAGGGCATAAACAAAGTAAATTCTTACAGTACTGCAGGCTTGAATTTACTAAGCCAATCTAAGATTGCATATTTTAAAACTAGCTGGAAAGCAGCAGCAATCTCTCATTATATCCACTACAACAGGTAGGATGCGTGGTAATGGATGATAGCCCATGCGCTCCAGAAACACATGTTTTTACAAGGAGTATTTATCGAAAGAAGCGCTGGAAGAGAGGGTTGGCCTGGCAGCCATATCCCAATATAACCCGAATAACCCACGAAAAGCAGCTGGACAATTTCCATGCTATTCCTATCAAGAAGGCCATAACAACTTTGTTTCTTTGACTGCTGGGTAGAAACATGCGCTGATATAGATACCTATACTTTTATGTTTCTAGAATTCTCTATCTTACTATTTTTTGCATAAACTTTGTAGGGCCTTTAAGAGTTTTATCATAGAATAATAATATGCAATATTTCTTGGCTTTGGATGCCTTAATGTGAAAAATAAAGAAAATCTTGCATAGCTCTATAAGTTATCTTGGCGTACTAGACTTTATTTAGCTGGATTTTTAAGCTGAAGCTTGTTTTCAGCGCGCAAAAAGCCAATCTCTCTGTGTCTTCATTGCTAAGCAGAAAATGCTTTACATGTTTTTTAAAGTATGTTATGAATGCTATTTGACAGACTGTCTAGTATTTAATCATGTTAAGTTTGTTTAAAATTTAATATATTATATAGTGAAAACAAATAAGAAAGATCAATAAAACAATTAAACTTTCTGTACATACATACAGAATATATTAAAATATACTAAGTTTTCTTTTCAAAACAGCAAACAAGATGATAGGAAAATTAACCAAAAGTTTTGTAAAAGTAGTAAGCCTTCTAGTGTTTGCCTACCTCTGCCAAGTACAGGCCAGTCATATTTTAGATAACAACTCCCAAACATCTATAAACAGTTCCATCCAGAATCCAGACCCTGCAAGCAGGCAAAATCGGCTGCCTGTCATAAGTCCCCAGAACTCCCAAACTATGAGTATAGATAGCAAGCAAGTGCTAAGCCCTAACAGCGAAGAAAATGCTCCAGCTGTACCCAAAAGGGTGTCTTCCTTGCGGCTGTATTTTAATAAAAATACACAACACATTTGCGCCAATAATTATACAGAACATTCTGAAAAGCATATAGATGACTTGGAGGAATGGATGGATGAGATAAACAATGCGCTACAAGATATGGAAAAGACTAAAAAAATCCAAAATCCTTTTAAACCAGTAACACGCGCAGTAGATGCATACAAAGAAAATAAAGAAGAGTTGAAAGCTGCACAGGATGTTTTTTGTGAAGAAATGGAAGAACCTGTTTTAAAAAACAGTGGCTTAAACATTTCTAAAGAAAATTCTGAACCCATAAAGGATTTAGAGAAACAAGAGCCTTGCAACAATGCAAAGCAAAATATACAGAAAGAAGTGCCGATAAACACCAACGAATGCGATTCCTCTAGTTTGGAAACCACGCAAGAGCCTTGTCTAAGCCCTCATACGCCTGAATCCCTCTCGCTTCCTGAATGTGCAGAAATTAGCTATGAAAATTTAGAAAGCATTCCTACCACTAGTGAATTTCAGGAAAAGCCCAAGTTATATATGGATGTGGATAAAGATGTCAATCCCTTTAAAGGAAACAATAAAAAATATCTAGAGCGTATAAAAAACGCAATTGCAGCTGCAAATAATGTACGCTGTTCCTGGGAAAATTGTACAGCGCAAAAAACATCTGAAAAGACTTCTACTGGATTTTGTGATGAGCACAATAAGCTGGAAAGCTATATTCTTGTTGCGAAGGCTATGAAAGAAATAGAAACCTCAGAAAAAAGTAAAAATAAATAGCCTGTGCTTAAAAAGTGGCTATGCAGAAAGGCAGAGCATGCCATTTATTTCTTGCTGAAGACATGATAGAACCTGAATAAGTTTGCAAAATGCGGACATTTGATCTTTATTCGATAGAAAAATCTGCATTGCACTAGTTCTATATAGCACTATAGTGGAAAGCATGTATCTTAGTGTGCTGTGTGGTTTACAGCACAAACACATTTTTTCATAGTGCTAACTAGTGCTGGCACTGAACCTAAAGATAATTAAGAACCAATAAAGCATATAGCTTAGCTTAAAACTTCGGGCTATATACAATAAATCAATATATGAAAACACACTATTATTTTGTACATTTGGAAAAATATAAATAATTCGGGTTCTATTCTAATATCTACTGCAGGCTACCTAACACGAGAGCGCTATATACACCCTCATGAATTGCCTTTATTCCAATCATTCCTAATATAAGTAAACACTATTCTCTTTTTATTTTCGTGTGCCTTGCCAAAGTAATTCCTGCTGTAGCAGTGTCTATACTTTTTTCAACATGCATAATAAAAATAGAAATTCCAAGAACACATGCAGCACATAAAGCATCAGCATACATCTGGAATATCAGCGCAAAAAGAGTCCAAATTCCCATAATATGCTTATAGTGTACTAGGCTAGTCAGGAGAATCCGCCAGCGCTCTTATTTCATAAAGATATTTATGTGCATACAGCATACCTCTCTCTATCCAAAAGAATGCATGCGAAGAACCTTATTGCATAATAACGGCCATATTACTCTTCTGATGCACACAAATGAGCGTGCTGTAGAACTGCTTTTTACCCCTAATAGAAGCGCTTTAGTTCTGTTAAGGGGTTAATACAGACAAATCATTTTGGATGCATTTGCATAAATATTCGTTATAATTGATCCATAAAAATTGAACCAATAGTAAAAAATAACTATAAAATAATTGCATATGCCAGTAAATTAAAGAATGCAAAGGTGTAGTAGAAAAAATCAAAAGATCAAATACTCGGATTGTATTGCCAAAGCCATATACTTCCTTGTTCAGCTACTTGCGGTACAGCAAGTATACGCTCGCATAGGGCTGGATGGAATAGAAGATCTGCACAAGCATAATATAGACACTATTGACAAAAAAAAGATGGTTATTAACCCAGAAGGCCCACTCAGCCTGCTACGGCCATACATCAGCAAAGAAGGCGGGTTCCTGCATAACAAGCGGTTTTTCTCGCCCGAAATAAAGATAAGCTATAGCCTGGCCACTGAAGAAGGTCAAGGAGTAGCAGAAAACAAAAGAAACAGCCACATGGATGCGCCATATGAAAACCCCTCAGCGTACATCAAGGGCTACCACTCTGCGCTGATTGAAATGTTTCCGTCCCAAAGTAACATTCTGTCTATTTTTACTTCTGTAAACCGTGCATTTATCACGTTTCTGAGAAGCAGTGAGGTGTCCGAGCATGCAGACACAATTCTTGCTGCGCTGCTCCTTCTCAGTGAGGGAGTCAACATTCCGCTTTACTTTGAGGGAGGGAAGAAAACGAAGAAGCTCATTCTGAAAAACACAGCAGGCAGTAAAATGGACTTTTCACTAAACACTCGTGTTCTATGCACTACGGTTAATAAAAACATGGAAGAGACTGAAGAAAAATTCTATCAGAACGAAGCTATAGAAGTCATTCAGTTTTTTATAAACAGCAGGGAATGTCCAAGCATACAGAGAGAGGATGGCGAGTATGCAGAGCCCACAAGCTTTGAAAACTTTATGCAGGGCGCGTTTCTAAATAACGCGAGATGGCTTATCCAGTGCTACATATTTGAGTATATAGGAACACCGCAGCAAATATGCGCGCTCGCTCAAAAGGTGTATGATTTGCTGTCTTTGCAGATCCAGAGCAGCAGCAACTCTGCGAATTCGAAAGAAAAGGCAGATCTGGTTCTTAAAAAGTGCTTTGTGCCTGCAGACGGTCATTTGGAAAGCCTGAAATATGTGCAAGCTGTGAAGAAAATACAAGTGGCCACCCACCGCCTGGGCCTTCTTCCTTTTTCAACCAAAGAGGATCTGCCACAAGAGAAGTCCAACGTGCCTTTCTATATAGAATCATCTGAGTTTGCTAAAAAACAAAAGGGCACATTCACTGACTGTGTGGAGAACGCTATACTTACTCTTTTCTGCTGCTTTGCATATGATCCAAAGAGACAGGGATACACAACCGAACACATGCCATCTGCATCAGATAGGCTAAATGTCTTTTTCAGTGACTACAGCGACATGTTTGGATCTGGCTCTCAGTACGTGCACAATGACTGGAATCGTGTGGTAGCATGTCTACAAAACGAGAAAATTGTGTACGTTAAGAAAAACAAAAATGAACTTGAGGCGTGCATCTTTAACATCCTCTATGTGATTGCAGAGATTACAAATCAGAGCTCTGATAAGATGAAGGAACTAGACGATATTGTATCCAAATTCAAAAAAGGCAAAAACATACTCAATATCTATAAAAGTGTTGAAAAATATGCAAATAGTCTATTTAGATCACTCTTAAAAGAAGACAGCATGAAAGGCATAACTATTGATATTGAGTCTCCATTAAAACAAAATGCGATAAAGGGCTTAGAGAAAAGAGAATATCTATACGGAAACATAACACTAAATTACAGCTGTAACAAAGAGACAGAGGCAATTTGCATATCTGTAGAGCCCAAGCATGCTGAAGTGGCATATCCTCCGCAGGAAAAAGATCAGATGACACCAGAAGATATAGCAAGTATAGAAAACACTATTTTGCAGATAAAAGAAACTCTTGCCCGGGAAGAAACCTTCACCAGCTGTATGGCTATTTACTATGCAGAGCAGATGGTAAGAAGTCTCAAAGAAAGCGTGATGTCTTCTCAAATTGCAGCTATACAGCAGGTGGGAAGGGATATGTTCCGGGGAATTGAAGGAATCTTTTTATTCGGGAAAATAGACGAGATAGAGCAGAAAAAAGAGATTGTGTCGTGCGTTGTAATGCATATATTTGAGAAAAACATGGGTGCTGACAGCTCTATTGTGCGCTTTATCTCAAATGTTGTTGGAAGCATGGATTTGCTTGACATGAATGTTAAAAAAAACTTCCTTCCAATTCTTCGGTATAGTAAAGAGTACAATGAGTACTATCCTAGCATAGACCTAAATACGGAGAGCATGCGCAAGCATACATACTCAACTAAGGAAACCCCGCGGGCTCTTCAGCATGTGCTTAGCCGGCAGTCACCAGATATTCTCATGAAATGGATAGAGCGAATAGTTTCTCTAAAAACAGATTCAGGGGTGTTTAATCTTCCTTTTTCTTTTAGATGGCTGTCCACAGAGGAGAAAAACTGTCTAATAGCGCTAATAACAGAAAATGGCAAGAGCTGCAGTAATATGCATAGAATTGCGAGTATGTTAGAATCAAAAAAAGACTGCTTTAAGGCATGTGAAGCGGAGATTACTCAGCTATGGGTTACGTGGATTTGCCTTGCATGCCAAATGGAAGGGTACTCAGAGATTATAAAAGAATGCTTTAACTCAATTGACACCAAGCAAAAGAATATAACCATCCCGGAAATAGGAGATTCGAAATATTTAGAAAAGACTTTAGAGGTTCTGGACAGTATGCATGGTGATTTAGGTGTATCAAGTGATAAAGAGATGTTATTTAGAGTTATTTGGGATGCCTACGTAACAAAACTAGAAGAGGTTTATGAAAGAGAAGAAGAAGAAAAGGGAGTTATGGATTGTTCCAACCCAAATACTTTAGAAGAAGATATGGAGGGTTCCGAACCCAAATTAGAAATGGATCAATCCATAGAATAAAAATTAAGAAGCACTAGATGGATATCTAAATAAACATGGTTTTTATACTTTCAGATTATGTTTTTAGGGCTAAACTGCGCAGGCTATACGTATAGAAAATACCTTATAGTACAGGATGTGCATACAACAGTGCATATATCGTGCAGAAGCAGATGCTGTTATAACAGCTGGTCATTGCATGTTTAAAGAACTATATAACCTAATTGCTATGCAGAAGAAACGTGTGCAAATACCATACCAGGCATGGAGCACAGAGAACTGTGTGCAATGTGGTAGATAAGTGAACAGCCAATATAGAAGTATCTGGGGAATGTGTACTCTTAGGTACTGCAGGTGTCTTTGTTTTCTTTTTTTTTCCTTTGTATCTGGCGAATAACAGTTCTCTACTGTATGCTAATTTTTTTCTTCTGAGTTTTATTTTCTCTATGTATTCTACTAAATAAACTTCTTCATTATGCTATATTTATACTTTATTTTCCAATATATAGGAGAATAAAAATAGAAAATGCATTAGAGCAAGGTGAAAAAGACACACAGGAATGAATAAGAACTAAATGTATTTGCAGGCTATACACTGCACAGAATGCGCTATTCTTTAGAAACTGCGCTTATCAGACGCTTCTGTGCAATATCTGCTCTAGCAACCCCACCTTACGAAACTCAGATTATTTATTCTAATGGCATGGCGACTTCATCAAGAACATTCTGCCTCATACAGTTATCAGAAATATTGAGTGCATGCCAGGCCTTGAAGCATCTGAGTTAGATATATTAAACTAGCACGTTTTTTTGTCTTTTGTTTATAGACTCTCAGTGCATGGATTATATCGATCTAGAGAAAATTGCAGAAAATGACCTTTGATCTTATTGATAGATGCTTAATTATTTAACCTTAAATGAACAAGCTCAAGAGTCTAGGCCATAATGTAGCGTTTTCTTCATATGCAGAGTCTCTTGCAGTGTGTTTGTGCTCTGCTCACCCCAGCCCGAAATAGCCAGAATCTATTTACATTGCGGGGGAGAAGAACTTGCACGATTAAGAAAGAAAGGAACACTACAGTATCCAAAGCCATAAATATTTTAATTTTTAGATAAGATATGAAGTTAGGTACAATATTCAGAAGCAAAAGAGTATTATCAAAAGAGTTAAGTGCCCAGAGGACAAAGATAAAAGATAAAAGAGAGGGCTTATGGTGCGCAGCAGTATGTGTGTTGATTCAGCTAGCCATGCTATGCCAAGTGTGGGGCAGAGTGAGAACAAACAAAGAGCTAATGAGCATTCAAAAGAGAGAGTTTACTTTTATGGACAAAGGAAAAGAAAAAACATTAGTAATAGGCCCAGACAGCGCACTAAGCCCACTGCGAGGAAGAATAGCAGATAGCATTCGGGTTATGCACAACAAGAGATTTCTATCCCCCGAGATAAAGATAGAGCACTCAATAGCAGTTAAAAAGAATGCAAAGGGAAAGATTGAAATCGCGCAAACTCGAGATTACAGGCTGGACAGAGTGCACGATGATAGTGACCTTGCATATAAAGGCAGCTTGCTCAAGTATACGAAAGAGTATTTTACCACGCTTCTTGAGCTGTTCCCCTCTATGCACGGGTATGTGTCCATATGGTCAGACAGAGAGGACTCTTTTTTTTCTTTTATTAATAGTACTTCTGTAGAGAAGTACAAGTATAAAATACTTGCTTCGTTGCTGCTGCTTGCAGAGGGGATAGATGTACCACTGGCAATTAATGAGAGTCAGAACGGAACAGAGCTAGTTCTGAAGAAGGCAGATGAAGGAGAGCACTTCAGAGTGAGCACTAAAATAGAGGATTCAGATGAGATGATTACCAGAGAGGAGGACTCTAGTGCATCAGGAAAAAATATTAAGCTTGAAAGGCCTGCAGTTGCAAGTGTGGTAAGGTTTTTTATAGAAAACCGAGAAAATTCAGTTCTTAAAAAAAAGGGATACACTTCAGAGCCAAAGTCATACAAAGAGTTTAAAAAAGGCAAGTTCATGAACAGCCCAGGCTTTCTTATACAAACATATGTGTACCACTGCATGGAGAATGAAGACCAGACAGTTCTTTTTATTAAGGCCGTCTATGATCTGCTGTGTGAGTATATGGCGCAGGAAAAAGAAGCTCCGAGAGAACTCTGGCTATATCGGGTTAAAAACTATTTAGAAAATAAATATGTAGAATGGAAAGAAGGCAGAGCAGAAAATATCCAGGTGAGTCAAGCCGGGTATGAACTGCCCAGAGCAGCAAAGCGCGTGTTTGGCAGACACTTTGTGCCCTTAGAGCAGATTTCGGTTGGGATGGAATACATAGACGTTGCGCGGAAATCAATATATAACCACATATTGCATCACCAAGAGAGTCTACTGCACTTGGAGCCTATTGTAGATGCTTTTTCTGTTCAAAAAAACAGAGAGAGTCTAGATGCATGCACTCCAAACGAAGCGTGTCCTTCTGCTACCAGCGACTTAGCGTCTACAATGGGGGGTGCTGACTACGGCGAGACAGCTCTGCTAGGCCTGTTCTGCTGGGCTTTATACAACTGTGAGGAAAGTATGTACACAGTTGACCACATAGAGTCCGTCTCCGAGGAGCTGAAAAGCTTTTTCAAGATACACAAATACATGGATGGAGCAATCTCAAAAAGCATGCATGATGACTGGAACAAAGTAATAGGAGGCCTATCCAATTGGAACATACGATATCTGCAAAAGGGCAGAAAACAGCTTGCACCCGGGATAATAAACATGCTGTATGTCATTAAAGAGATAACGGGGGTGGGTGATGCAAAAAAGATAGATGAGTTTAGAGAAAAGCTCGAGTGTATGGATAATAAACACAAGATTCGCGCAGCTGAAAGGCTTCACTCAGAGCTTACAAACGATGTCTCCATTGACAAGAAACAGAAAGATCAGATAGAGCAGGAGATAAGGCAGTTAATAGACGAAAAAGAGCTATCTAAGAAGAAGCTGTTTGAGTGGAGGCTAAAATGTGCTGGCAAAGGACTGGCGCCTAGCATAAAGCTAGAAATAAAGAGTCTAAAGGGTGTGATAAAAGAAAGAAAAAAAGAGGAGCTCAATGCATTGTTTTTTGATTATGTTAACAAAGAGAAAACCCTGGCAGTTGCACTAAAAAGCGACATAAGCAAATACTTGACTGAAATAATTAATAAAATTGCCATAAAAAAAGAGGACATTAATGCGGATGCAGAGATCGAGTATAAAGAGACTCTTAAAGGTGGATACAGCGATCTGTTTGGGAAAATAAAAATATCGTACACTCTTGATGATGCACAGGAAAAGGATGCACATTTAGCCAACACCTGCTCGTATGAATTTAATGTCTACCCCAAGTATTGTGCTGATAAAGTAGTAGGGCTGGGATGGGAAACAGGCTCTAGGCTGCATAGCACAGGCTGTGCATTGGAAGAGGCAAAGCTGTCAAGAATCAAGAAAAAGACATTTATTGCAGAGATGCTTAGATTTCACATAGATAGAGAGGTGGAGATGTGTACATGTGAGCCAAATAGTAGAAGCCAGCCCAAGCCAAATAAAATGCTGCAGGATGCACTCTTCTGTGGAAAGCAATGCAGGCCTGTGGATGCTCTCCTGCTTGGCCCAGCAGCGCATAGCAGGCTTTATAAAAGAGACATTATATGGGCTCTTCTTCTGCATATAGTAGACAAAAACCTTGGCAGAAGCCATCCTCTCGTGCATCTAGTAAATAACGCGATGGGCGGTGTTCTCTTCGCAACTAGTGATGACATAAACGCAGTGCTTGTGCTGCTCAGCCACACCTTAGAAGATACATACTATCCGAACATAGCCATAGATGGGTATCCATACAGAAATGCATCCTGTTTTACAAACACAATAGAAAAGGCATTAGAATGGGCAAATAGCACAGAATTTGTATCCCAAGAAACATATGCTGGCATAATAGCCAAAATAGTGGCTAGTCTACAAAGAGATTTCCCGGAAAACAAGTGTAACCCGGAATTAGAGCATCTTGTCAAAGGGCTAAATACTACTGAAAAGTCTGTATTTGCCAAGATTATATTGCATAGTGTAACCACTGCTGGCTATACATCCCAAACTGTTCAAACTGTGCAAGAAGCAGAAAAAAAAACTCAGTTGATGTTTGTGAGAGGCACACTAGCTAGCCTTTTCTGTGCATTCGGGCCGCTCCCAATATAAATAAAGTGCCTAAAAAGATAAAGACGTATTGTGTTCAGAATAATATGGACAGATTTAGATTAATGCCCGAATTAACCGGCTAAGGCTTGGAATGGCTTGTTAGTGCAAAAGAAGCTTCAAATAAAGTTATTTAGAATTTATGTATTAATGATTGTGGCCCAGCTAGTTCAATTGCATACTGCTCTATTGTCAATTCTTCACTAGACTATATGCGCAGTAGAATTATTAAAATAAAGATATAAATGATTTTCAACTATAGAATATTAATGCGAATAATATCTAAAAATAGAAATGAGCAAAGGACAAAGACAAAGAGTAAAGTATATGCTTCTGGCTGTCATAGGTATAATCAAGCTGTATCTGAGGGCCGCAGATGTATCTGAATTGAGTGCAAAGCCGTCTGACACACTAGAGTGCTCAAAAGAAGAGAAAACAGGCTTTGTGTTTAACAATGCGCAGCTGAAAGCAGGAGAACAGGTTGTAGCAGAACAAGATGCTAAAAAAACCGTAACCAGTCCACTCTGTAGTATAAGCAATACAAAGAGTGCTGCTGCACACACAGAGAATGCAAACCCAAATAAGCAGAAAGAATTATGCACATTGGAAGGCATGGTAGACACAAAAAGTATAGCTGAAAAGAAGGAGAGCAGTATTTCTGCGCTAGATGTGCCAGAAGGTAGACACTTAGAGCGTAGTAATAGCGCAGGCGAACTGGCTGAGTATGCAATGGATAAAAAAAACAGCTCTAATCTAGTGTTTGAAAAAAAGGAGGAAGAGCTAGCTAAAAAGGAAGTGAATGCTGCCATTGAAGCAGACACACTAGAGATGGAAATACTGATGAAGATGAAAAGGCAGGTAGAGGTGGAAAGGCAGATAGAGATGGAAAGGCAGATAGAGATGGAAAGGCAGGTAAGGCTGATGGAGATGAAAAGGCTGGCAGAGATGGAAAGGCCGGTATGGCGGGCAGAGATGAAAAGGCTGGCAGAGATGAAAGATGCTGTAAAGCTGGCAAGAGATGTCTTTAAAACAAAGAGTAGGGAATTAGAGGATTCTAAAAAAAAATATGGTAAACATACGACTATATTTAATAAAAAGATCAAGGAAATAAACCCTATAACTGAGAAAATTAATTACCACTATGGTGCCCCTTCCGATCTAAAACCAGCAGATAACACAATCTCTAAGAAAAATAAACTGATAAAAAGGATTTGTGCCCTGAATGATGAAATAGATGTACTAGAGTCAGATAAAAGGGCAAGTGAGTTTTTCTACGAAATATTCACTGATTCCATGAAAGAAATAGAAAAGAGTGCATCCTTCACAAGAAAAAACATTATGGAATACAATTTACTAGAAGTAAAAGCAGAGAGAAGAACTACTCTTATCATACAATGCTTTTCAGAAATACTTAAAAAAATGCATGAAAGAGATGATTTATTTATTCAGAAGAAAAAAGAATATGAAAACGGCTTGTTGGACAATGTGGCGGAAGCCATAGGTTTTATGTCATTTAACCCATTCCAGATATATAAAGATTTGATGGGAATAAATATTATCGGGTTCGGGTTATATATAGCTCGGATGAAACTTACAGCGGAAGCTATTAATATTGCAGCTAATATGCATGCCATGCACGAGAAATTTATGTCCAAGGTAGTAGAAAAAGAGCAGGCATATAGATCATATGATGCAGCTGAAAGCGCGTGTGAAGAGCAGCAGCGTGTGGTAAACGAGGCAAATAAGGCAATGCGCGCTGCAGAAGAATGTTATAAAGATATAATTTGAATCATATTACATGCTTGCGCATGCTAATAAGTAAGTGTGTATATGAGAAGAGAAGAGTATTAATATAAAAATAAAAATGATCTTCAAGTAAGTATGTATTAGTGCGAAAAATAAAATAAAGAGAATGGTAGAGAAGTTTGCAGAAGACATGATCCAATATAATCTAGATCACATGCAAGCGTCTGTTTTCTGTCAAACAGTTGTTTTTTCAATTGCTGCATCAATGCTATGCATTCTCTGTATAACAACGGTTTTGTCTATTCTGCTGGTAGGTGCAGTAGCATTGAAAGTTTGCATGCCTTCTAGCGCACTCACTGCAGTAAAGATATGCCACAAGGCAGTAAGTAAAGAGAAGTCTAATCCGCATCGGAAAGATGCACCTGAAGACATTGCATTGGAGGAAAGGAAAGAGAAAACCAAAGAAAAGGATATTATAGGGGTGGATGAGTCTGGAAAAACAGATGGCATGACAAGCATACCCGATACCAAAAATGTGTGGGAGTGCTCTAGCATGGAAAAAAATATAATAGACAGACTAGCAAGTTCAGATGGCGTAGCAGGTGCAGGTGTAAAGGCTTTTATTGCAGTGGATAAAGAAGCATTTGATGTTAGCGTGAAGAAGAATCACATAGCCAAAATCTAGGAAGAAATCCATTCTGACGCCCACAATAGAGCTCTAATGAACGAGTCTTACAGCAAGAGTGCCTGCCGAATACCAGAAGAAAGAGACATAAAATACAAGCTCGAAATGAAGGAAATTAATGGGCTGGATTTAGAAATAGATTGCTATTTAAAAAAGATAAAGTATGCAGAAAGTATGTTGAAGAAACATGAGGCAGAGATGGCAGCTGCAGAAAAGAACAAACATGACTCAAAGCAGTGCTACCTGGTGTATCTATTGGCAGTGATCTACTTCGGGAGAACGTACTTGATTGGGATGAAAGCGCTTTTAGAATATTTAAGCCTCATAGATACCAAGACAAATTTACTGTACAAAGTAAGGCAAGCAGAGGCAGAATAAGCGCGGGCTGCAGAAGAAGAGTTTGAAGCCCCGGTGATAGAGGTGACAAAAAGTACACCTGCAATGGGATATACAGCCAGCAACCTTAATCTGCAAAACTATGCCTATATTTGGGAGAGTAGTGCGATTTCTAGACTAGTAGCAAAAACAAATGAGTATATATGCATCTGCATATCCGAAGAGGAGCAAAAGGAATACAGAGAGATTATTTTTAATCTATCTACGCTATTTAGCGATGTTAAGTGCAGTATACTGAAAACCCCGAAACCCTGCTATGTTAGCTGGGTACTCTGATATAGCCAAAGTTTGTGCGCACTAAAACAGTCTAAATAAGAGAGCTGAGTGATTGTATGCGAGTGAAGTGCCCATATACTAGCAGCCTATTTCTTCAATATGTGCATAACCAGAGGAAAAATAAAAATAAAATTCAGCCCAACTCAGAATGTGTCCAGAGGATGTTTAAAAGATCTGCTTTTGTTATATGCGTTTGTATAATGCGATGACCGTGTAGATAAAGTGCCTCTATATAGCTCTATAGTGCATAATACAGACTAATCTGCTGTCTATAAGAGAGTGTATGTATAACTATCAATAAATACTTGTTTCGTTCTCTATTTGCCTTTAGTGTGTTACTCTTTCTGTTTCTCTCTTTCTTCTCTCCTTGTGTCTGACGAGCGGTGGTTCTCTGAAATGTGCAACTTTTCTTCTTTTCCCTGCCTCTCATGCTTTATTTCTCTTTTTATACCTACGTAAAATAAACTACTCTACTAAAAGAAATATACACTTTATTTTCCAATGTATAAGAGAATAAAAAACAAGAAGACATAGAAAGAGAGGAAAAGGAGAAAGTAGACAAATACGAAGAAATGAAAGAATATAGCCCGAATAACAGTGGATTATAGTAAAGAAGGCACTGTGCTGCGTGAATAGCAACTAAATAAGAAAATATTCTTTATAGCAGAGAACATTTATTGATGTCTTGAGAGTATCCCCAGCTGCTGCTCGTGCTGTGGGTTTATCTTGACTAGTGTGTTTGCCCTTCGATAGAATACTATTTGCATACTACAGATTTCTCTTCCTTTGGGGCGTAAGGCCTTTTACTGGGCCAGCTGCGTCGATAGATATTTGTCTTTTCTTTCCAAGACTTCACTGTAGACTAATAACTATAAGATACTTTCCTTTATTACGCTAAATTTAAATTAAAAATGTTTTATTCAATAATGCTTCATGCAACATGCTATGTTTTTAGCTGAGTTTTCCTCTTTGAAATATTAGACTTAGTCATACTAAACTTGGATATAATTTATTTCTCATTGTCTATACGGTTTGTAAAGTGGATACTTACTAAAGTTGGTTTACACAACAAAACAATATTATCACATCAGATTGTAATGTAAGACTTTGTGTTACACAAACATAGATCACTATTATGTGTCGCGTAAGCAAGTATATCCCCTTGTAGCGTGCTTTTCTGCAGGAAAATCCCCGGAGGTCAATGGCCAAAATCAACTTATAGTGCAGGGTAAGTGTTTAGATTTCTTGTGCAACCAACAGAATTCCGAGAAGTATTCTAACATAGCATCGTACTTTTCCATACTTTTTCTGTCATCCTCCGAGCAGAAAAGTGTTTTATTTTCTTCTAAAGTACTTAGAGATTTTTCAAAGTATTCCGCGGGTCCTGACATTTCTTTTTTAAACTTAAATGGGCTTGGATAATCATCAAAGACTATAAAGTCATAAACTGTCTTAGCAGATTCTAATGAGAACCTAGAATCATCTGAGCATACATGGATAAACCAGATAATATACACATAGTTTAAATTGTAGTCTTTCATGTGTTCTTTCATATATTCTTCGATATTGGATTGAATTTCCACCAAGTCTTCTATCATCGCATTAGACATGATACGATGAATTAGAACCGGTCGGGTTATAAATTCTACACTTACATCGATCATCCTTGGGTTATTCACAGTTGCTCTAAGATAGTTGCATATGGCTTTTGATGCTGCAGGCTCTGAAAAATGCCTTATTATAGTATCGCATAACCATTCTTTTAGTTCTGATAGACGAATCCAAATAGCATCTTCTTTGGGGATAGGCTCTGATGGCTTAAATCCAAGCCTTGGATAGAATTTCTGCCAGCTTGCGTGAAATGGGAAGAGCAGCATCATTAAACGTCTTGATACATAATCATTGAGCGGAACACTTCCTAAAATGTTTGCAGTAAACCGTGTTAGAGGGTTTGTTGGGCCCACTTCCTTATCTATGGTAGAGATTATAAAATCCATTATAATAGTGCCTTTAACATGATAGGAAACAAGCTTTCCTAATACGGATATTTTAGATATGCATTCGGGTCCTTCCGGTATAGCCTGGAATATTTTGTCCGCAAATTTTACACGGAGATCATAATCACTACAACTTAAAACATCTAACTCTGCACTAATGTACTGATCCGCAATGTATCCTATATAGCAGTTTATACCGCTGTAAATATTTTTTACTTCTTCATACTTTTTTTTAATATATGCAGAGCTAGTATTTGAAGATGGAAGAAGAACAAGATTTGCATGTTCTTGTATTATATCCAAAGAAATTCCATTATATGCTTTACCGAAAGTATAAATAATGTTAATCTCAGCGAAAATATCTGCCTTTCCATTTGGTCTTGTCTTAAGTCTCATTTGTTTGCACTCTACTCTCACATTCTTATTCTTTGACAAAGCCTTAACAATCGATTCTATCTTATTTGATATGTATTCCTTTTGCTTATTATCTAATTCTCCTGTTCTGCATTCATTCTCTATACATTCAACTAGCTCTAATATATCTGCTTTCTGGCCTGTTATTTCTGCAATTACCAGAAATATATTTCCAACCCCAGGGAAAAGTTCATTTTTAATCTGCATGTAGTCAATCTTTTCATTCTTTAAGCAAGCAACAACTTTACTCCATTGTTTGTGCATTTCAAAGTTTGTGATTTCTGTTGGCTTAGGATAGTCTCCAAAGAAGTCTCTCAACTCATCACTTACTCCCTCTCCCATGTGGTCTGTCTCATACTCTCCGGTTTCTGGATTATATGCCAGGCAGCAGAACAGCCCAAGCAGAGCTGTCTCTACGCAGTTGCTATAGTATAAGGCTTGGTTCTTCTCAAAGCCCGACTTGTCTAGTTTACAACGCGGCACTCTAGTATACTTCGGCAGCTGACTATCACTGTAGAAGGGAAAATTAGTATTTTCATTTTTAACTTTTATAAAGCTATAGAATTTTTCAATGTACTTTATATTTTCACTAAGTTCTTCTTTTGCAACGAAAAGCTCATCAAATATTCTGCCCTTTTTACCCTTCTTCTTCGTCTGCTCCGGGTTCTCCTTTTCAGTTACTTGGTCAACCAGTAGTTCATGCGCTGCTTCTACAAAGTTTTTGTAGTCTTCTGCTGTGTCAATGAACTCGTAGATGTATGTCTGTATAAGGAAGGCTGCATTATTCAGAAACTTTCCACTTTCAAACTCTTCTTTTGTGGCTGGCATTGCAAACTCACCTCCTTTCTTTAGCAATGAATTGTCTTTGCACTGCATATAGAACTTAACAATTCCAGCCGCCTCACTTTGGTAGATGTTTTCACTGTGCTCATTAGTAACTGGGTCTATACCTGCAGTATGCATTTCTACATTTACAAATACTTTTTTCTTGCACGTCTTACTTTTTATGACAAGATTATTTTTCTTTCCTTTGTAGTCTACTGCTATTTTAATGTCAACGCCCTCTGAGAGCAGCAGCAGCGCAGCGAGGATGTACTTTGTGTCCTTTTTAACATGATCTGCTCTTAGGAAGTTTGTAAGTGCATTTGACCTTCCTGCCTCAATGGAGAGGTCTCCATCTGCAGACGGAAACATCTTTATCAGCAGGGTGTGATACATGCTAAGATACCTGCCTTCTGGGGTTTTTGTGTCCATGTCTTTGTGTACTCTGTCATTCACTGGCTTTCTTTTAAAGTTGTACTCTTGTTCGTTTTCATCAGATATTTCTTTCTTAGAAAGTATATAGTCTGTGTCTATTTCAGAAGAAAAAAACCGCTTGTTGTACATGTATCCATTCTGGTTTCCAATGTATCCACGTAGCAGATTCAATGGTCCTCTTGGGTTAATAACCACATCCTGCTTCTCGCCAACAAAAGTCTCATGTACTGTCTTTATGTCTTCCATATCGATTCT